AGAATCCTCGTTATACGGTAGTTAGACGAATTACTCTAAATTCCTAGCTAAACCCTTATAAGGTAATGGAGAAAAAGATAAGGGAGTTTAGTATACCGATACTAGAGATTCGAACGATTTATTAGCCGAGGGCCTAGGATTATATTATATTAGTAATAGAAGAGGCTTTAGAGGATAATCGACGACGATTTAGTAACGGCGTTAGTACTTAATTTATACGTTACTTATAAGAGACTTAGATTCTAAAGGAGTACCGAGTAATCCGCCTTTATACTATTAAAAACGCTAACCTTAAATCTACGTTAAGCTAGCGAAGTAAGTCCTATTATAATAGTATTAGAGAGTTAACTAACGGCTAATTATTACTAGAAGAGTTAGTAAAAAGGCTTATTATTAAGATTAATTTAGTAATTAAAGATATTAACTAGGACGAGGCCTCATTATCCGCTAGCTACTCGCGACTTACCTAAGGTCCTACCTTCTTATAAATAAGGTTATAGGTGTCGAATTACGCGATTTTACGCCTAGAAAGAGAGTAGAATACATTAGATATAATATTAAGAGGAGGAGGAGACCTTAATACACTAGAAATTAGCGTCTATAAGTATAAGATCCTCCTACGGTTTAGTATTACCTATCGACACTAGTTAAAGAGGGCTTATTTATAAGGTTCCGCTATTCTAAAGACCCTTATTTATCCTCGTTAGTAGCTAGGTAGAGGCTCTATTTACTTATCTAATTAGGTACCTTTTTATCTAATAACTAATGCTTAATTAATGCCGCCGCCGCCGCTATTAGCACTAGTAACGATAATTCACTAGGAGACGGTGAATTAACTAGTAGAGATCCGAGGTCTCCTTAATCCGTAGGAAGCTTATTAATTAGCGGTGGACGCCGTAAACGTAGAGCGTTAAATTACTTATTTTAAGACTCTCTAGCTATAAAGCCTTTTACGCGCGGCGCAACGACGTTATTAAATGTAATAGGTACTACTCGACGCGCTAGACCCTCGCCGATAGGGTTATTTAGTAAAGCGTAGTACTCACGGACCTACAAATCAACGCGTATTACTTACTAACGAGGTTAACGAGCGACAACGCCGCTAAAATCGATTAATATAGCTACAATAGGAGCGTTATAAGGCATCGTAGTTAATTAATTAAGAGATGGAGTAGTTATTAGATCGCGCGGCAATAGAGCAATAACTATTTAATAAAGAGGAGGATACTATAGAGTTTATTAGGCGCGCGCTTCTTTAGGACGTCCCTATAAGCCCTAGGGTTATTTCTATAACTCCTCCTCTACCTAAGGTTATTCCTACGAGTCCTCCTCCACTAGAAACCTTAGATTTAGTAATCCTCACCCCTAAGAGGCCTCGGCTACGGCGCGAGCCCTCGCTAGAGGGTTCTCCGCTGCAGATTACACTAAATGAGCCTCCGGCGTTAACTACGCTAGTAGCACTTAGTAGAGCAAAGAGACGGAGGAACTACACTACTAAATTTAACTAGGGTCGATAACAGGGGTTCATTCCTAAGTTCCAGGAGCGACAGTGAAATAGAGCGGAAGAACCTTAATCCGGAGGCCCTGGAGTGGCATCAACGCCCAGGTTTAACGCCGACAAGGCTTTATCAAACCTCAGCCTTGTCGACGAGGTCTCACGATGACAGTGTGGTTGATAAATAGATGAATAATGGCAGGATATGCAAAATGGGTTAATTTTACGGCCAAATTAGGCCTAGTTTACATTACTTGGCATTCGCTCGCATTTCCGTTCGCTCCGCCGATTCGCTCCTCAGAGTCATTCCCGCGGAGGTAGGCCCGCTGTCCAATGACCTTGGCTTTGACAAACTTAACTCGAGTGGTTAATAGAAATCCTTTCGTCTAGCGTCCATAAACTCCTGGTACAGGTCATGTTGCTACTACGCGCCCAGCCTGAAATCAAAGAATTGCATGTTGTGCTGACTGAATAAGCGGAGTCATCCGCCAGCGGAGATCGCGAGATTGAGAGTCCGGTTTTCACACTGGACCAAAAACGCGGGGATCGCTGAACATCGCCGTATGCCTATCTGGATGCCTGTACTTATCGCTGGGTCGACACCACCACTCTCACATTTTTGTAAAACGAGATTAGTACAGGGAACTTCTGTGAAAGTACTGAAGACCATATCTCCCTTATCCCACAGTTTGGAGCCGAGATGTTAAGCTTTACCTCACCAGACCCTACTTCTGTACCTAAGTCCTTTCCAAATTCTGTAATCATCATCGGGGCTGGAGTGTTCGGATTGTCGACCGGGTTTGCTATTGCAAAAAGATATCCTTCAACAAAAGTCACTATAATCGACCGTCTCACACCACCTGTGCCAGATGGCACCAGAATTGATACTACGCGATGCATCCGTTCAGGTAAGCCTCGGTCATTGAGCATTGGCTGGAGCAAGAAATCCCAGAAAGAGCCGGTTCAAAACCAGCGGTGGGTTAGCTGAGTGCCAACAGACTATCTTGACCCTACGTACACGCGGCTCGCAAAGAGATCTCAGAAAATAATCCGGGAGGATCCTGAGCTCAGACGGCATCTCTTTCAGCAAGGAATGACCTTCGTCTGTGACGGCCAGCCGAGTCGTTTCACAGAGGTGGAAATCACCGCTTACACGTGGAAGGTCTTCTGATCCAGATAATTACGTCGAGCTGTTCAACCGCGAAGAAGTCTTCCAGCGAATCTACGGCAAGGACTCCTAACCACCCCCGTTGCTAGATCTCGGTGGAAATTCACGTTGGAATCGAGCATACTGCAATCTCGAGGATGCATTCATTGATGCCAAAGAGTCCATTCAAGTCTATTACGATCGTTGTTCGCAGTATTCGACGGTCGATTTCATATGTGGCTCCGCGGTTGAGAATATTCAAATGTTCGATGGTCAGGCCGAGGGAGTTATTTTAGAAGATAGAACAGTAGTTCAGGCCGACCTAGTGATCGTCGCAGCTGGAGCCTGGTCAAACAAGCTGGTATATCTCGGGACTCGCCTGATTCCGATCGGACATGAGGTGGCCTGGATCAAGGTATCGGCCGAGGAGGAAGGTCGCTGGAAAAATATGTCCATTACAACAAATATGAGCACTGGTCTTAACATGTTCCCGCCGTATAATGGCGAGATTAAAATACTTCGGAGGTCACCGGGTTATAAGAACACGACGATTGTCCCGCATCCAGAAGACCGTTCAAAGAAGATTCAGATCTCCTATCCACGGACAATTGTCAGCAATCCTGCTGATGTTATTCCGAGTGAAGCCGAGGCCGCGATGCGGGACAACATGTGTGAGATCATTCCGACTCTTGCAGACAGGCCATTTGACAGAACCAAAATATGTTGGTGAGTACGCAAACTTCCAGCCCTAATATATATTTCTGTGAACCTATTAGGTTAATCGATGTGCAAATGATGCAGGATCAGTACGACTCCTACCGCCGACTTTCTGATAGCTCCTCATCCCCGTATTACTGGCGTCCACATGGCCACGGGTGGCTCCGCCCACGCGTGGAAGTTCCTCCCCATAATTGGTGATTGGGTAGTCGACTCGATTATGGGCACCTTGGCTCATGAATTGGTAGAAAAATATGCTTTTGACAAACACTCAGGCGACAAAGATCAGAATGCACCTCGAAAGGATGGCGAGCCACAAGAACTGAGAGAAAAAGTGCGTCATCATCTCTGAACTCTGAGCGGTGTTGAGCCCCAATGCACTTGCGTTGATGTTTCCACACTGTGGCTCGAAAGCATGGAATAGGTAGAATTGCTTGAATGTCACAGACTATCAATGCGCCGTTTTTGCAACTTGCAATGTCGAACGATTTAGATCTTAGAATGGCTGAATCCATCCTAGGTTACCTCAATAGAGGATTGCTCAATGCTAGATTGTAAAGATCCCAGCCTTTTTGTAGTTTAAGCAGGTCCTGTGTAAATGAAACGGAACATAGTGTAATGGATTTTAATAGAGATCTCCTGCCCTAGCATGCCCCTACAATGCGTAGAAGAGGGAAAGTTCCAAAAGACAACACTAATTCTGTTATTCTGAGCTGTCTAGTGTTTAGGTCCACGTCAGCACAAGAAACTCATTCATGTTCTGGAACGCTTCCCAATCGAATGATACATCATCGAAATCGGAAAGCGAAAAATCCACCTGAGGAGTGTATGTGTCAGGCCCAACATCTGTCATCGGCAAAGAGAACTGAGGGTCCAGGATCCGTTTCGCGACACCACCCGAATCTGAGTCTGTTGCGGCTGCAAGATCATCCGATGGTTCCATGTCAGACGAACGGAGGATACTATTGCCCATCTTCGTTGTTGTAAAGTCAAGTGCAGTTGCCATTGGCGTTTGTGTTTTCTCATTACTTTGAGCTAGGTCAGCAAGTACCTTAGACGCATTGATATCGAAAGCGTCACGTTTCCCCTTGAAATCGGGGAAGTGTTCTACCATGCCCCAGAGGACCGATGAGCAAGTGTTCACAAGTGATTCCAGAGAGCGTAGGTCGAGTTGTTCTCGGACCCGAGATGAAGTAACGTAGCTGGACATTAGAGCAGTGCCTGCCGAGGACAGATTCTCGACCGCTTGCCAGTATATTGTGAGCCTATGATCGCGGAAGAATTGTCGATAGAGCTTGATCATTTTTATTGCAGCATCTGTCATTTGCAGCAGTGACTCTTCTGGTGGGTCTTGAATGTTAGGGGAAGGGTGTTATAAGAAGAACAATGCTCGGTGGAACGTCAACTCAAAGTTCTCGAGAATATTTCGTTCACGATTAGTGACATTGTCATTTCGAGGAGTGTCCTTGTACCAAGTTTGGATGCGACTTTTCATATTGGATTGCCAGCGGCTCAAGTCGTCGGAGCACGAATCAGAAAAGGGTTCTCGTAGAGCATGTTTTGCATTTCTGACTGTATCTGCCGATATCGGAACACATAAGTGCTGATACTCTTGGTTTTGAAGGAACTACCTTTGCGTATGACTATTCCATTGGGTGTGATACCATCATCCTCAACCTGGCTGGGGAACTAGAGAGAGTTACTCATTTGCTGTTCAAGCAAAGATTCATTCATACCTTGGCTGTGATTGCACCATCCGACAAGCACGATGGCATAGACAGGGCAATGAATATGTTTCTATCCATCGCATATGCAACCCAAAACGTCCTTCTCATTGTGTCCAAAGTAAGACAATCCACGTTGTTGGGATGCGGGTCCTGTGGAGGTTCAATTCTACTGCGAGGCGCAGAGCCGCCCCAACTGTTTTCCAGACAGCCCAGATAGTTGGATGATGGTAACAATATTGTCCAACAAGAAGCAGAGCCTGCACTCCCTCAACATCACTGGGCAGCCCGGTCTCATTCAGTGCTCTTACTGCAGCTCTATGGTATCGATCTGCCAATGATGCTGGAATTCTGGAGGGATCCTGTTTCTGGAGGGTCAAGAGAGCCACAGCGAATACCTCGAAGACAAAGAAGACCGCGACTCTCGATTCCATGTTGGCATGAGTATGGTTCAATTCCACAACGTTTGACATACTATATAGAAGATCCAGCTTTTGGTTGAATGTTGGTTCATGGAGAAGTGGGAGGCTGAGATTCGCGAATTGGAGATAAGCCCTGACAAGGTTTTGAGCGGCCTCCTTAGTAGGAAGCGACACGGGCGAAGTATCCAGTCCGCCGATCATATCCGGGGGAAGATGTTTTGTGGTGGATGAAAGGCCTTCCATACCAGCGCTTGGGTTTTGTCTAAGGGTCATGGGTTCTGTCAATAGAATTCTGGAAAACGTCGGCTCGTCCTGGGGCATACGCCTTGCTAGATTCATCACCTTTTCTAGTGTAACCTGAGCCGTCGCCCCGGTTGTGTCGGTCGTAAGCATCGGGGGTTGAGGAGGCGATATTTCTTCTTGGGAGAAGCCGTCTGATGGTTGGGTTCGTTCGACTGGTGACATCAGGGATCCCACCGCTTCGCCCCCCTCACTTTCGTCCTCGTTGATTCCGTGTTGTTGAAGTTTCAACTCCAAGTACGCAACCCTCTCTTCAAGGCTGTGCACATAGCTGTTAATGGATCACGTTAGTCGCTGCCTGCTGATCGAGGTGAACGATGCGACTATTGTAACCTTCTCGGTACATGTCTCTTAGCTACCGCGTCGTAGCCCACGCATTCAGCACCAGCAGTTTCGCAGAGGCTGCATCTCTGGTATGGTGCGTGTCTCAATTTCAGCAATGTTTCTCAAAGAGCCTTTCCTGGTGTCATTGATGCTTACCGGGAGCTTTTGGTCACATCGCTTCTTCTTCCGCCGGCAACGAATGCAGGCGGTTCTGTTAGACCTAGCAAGTGGTGGTGGCTTGCCTTTGGTGACCCCTTGAGCCAGTCCTGCAGGAGTCATTGGTCCTAGGTGAATATGGGTTTACGTTGCCATGGTGAGAAGGCAAGATAATATGAAAGGGGGACTAAGCAGAGGTACGCCGTTATAGTAATTTAAATCTTGGACATGGCGCGTAATAGTTGTTTGATGGAGGTGGTATAGGTTGGCTGGAATCGCTCCTTCAGGGCCGATGCGCCTCCTTTCCCCAGAGGCAAGTTAGGCGGGGTAGGAGGTGCACGCGTATTGGTTCATTTTACTCCATCCGCGGCTCATCTGTAACGTCGAACGACGACCACTGTCAATCCCCATTTCATCCAGGACCAAGTTGTAGAATTGAAAGACAATTCAATTGAGTGCTTAGCCCCTTCTCATGCCGCTCGAACGCCAACTTTCAGTAGCAAATGTTTACCATTTCGGGGACGGGTACCTGTATTGCTTAGATATTATACACATAGATTTCCAAAGCACAAATCGATAGGAGTATGCCTTCCTCACTGTCCTCTAACATGCCCCGTTGAAAATATAATGGACACAATTGAAACCCCCAGATGGCCCAAAACAGAAGGCCGCTAGACATCACACATGAAAACTTTTTGAAAGATGAGGGGCCTGGCTTAATGCGCCCTTTAGGCACACGTGCTTCAATCGCGCGCGTCCCTGGTGAGAATGGTTGATCTGCCAGTTTCAAAGCTGAGCCTGGGGCTGCAGTCGACGATACTGCTTTCGGTGGCATCGTCTGTGGTGCTCGCTGGATACATAAACCCGTCGACAACAGTTATTTCCCCTTCAAGTTCTTCTTCATATCGAGGAGGTGGAGCATAAGCAGGGAGGTTGTCTGAGCCTCTACTGCTGCCGACTCCAGCGTCGTAAGATGATGAAGTATATGGGGATGGATAGGATGATTGGTATCTGGCCGGGGCGGCACGATAATCGCCCTGGGCCCGGCCTTCCTCTGCGGCGACCAAGTTCCTGACGAGGTCGGTTGCATCACGGAGGGTGAGGATATGTCTCTGCAGCGAATCCTGCGAGATCCCTTCTCGTTCCAAGATCATTTGTCTCTTCTCTTCGTAGTCACCGGTCGCTTGCCGTTTGAGCTGCTTCCACCATGTGCGCCACTTGTGCTTACATGCAGCTTTTCGATACAATCTTCTGGTGAGAAACTCTTCCCGACGCGCAGCACGCTCGGCCCGACGCCTTGGATCACGACATATCTGTACAATACGAAAGATGACTCCGCCAACTAGAACCAAGAGCACAAGAGATACCACTGCGAGCAATAAGTGACGCCGAATGAGGTGCTGCATGCGAGCGGTGTTATCCTGAAACGTTGCCAGGGCATCATGCGCAGAGGCTTCCGTCGATTCAAACCATGAGTGAGATTCAGAATGGTCACCAGAGGATTTCGGGAGCTCATCCGACTCATGAATATCGGTGTCTTCGATCTCGTCGTGAGCGGGGAACGCAGGAGGAGTAGGAATGGCAGAGCTGTATAAAGAGTGAGGCTCTTCTTCTACTGTCTCAATAATCTCCGCGGACTGTGGTGCCGTCTTCTGCTCCTGACTACTGTCTTGCCCTTGAGCACGGCAGGGAGATTGAGCATCCCCATCCGTACATCCAGCAACTCGGCCTGAGTGATGTGAAAAATGTGCGGAGATCAACTTGCAGATGCTGGGAGCACTGCTTTTCGCAGTATTCCAGACGCACTTGAGGTTTGTGCAAGATTTAAATTCTGCCTTGATCAAGGACATGATATTTATTTCGGTGTCATGGAATTGCTGATGGAGTTCCGTCAATTGAGCCTTAAGCTCTTCCAGCTTCGTATATTGCACTTCTAATGGGTCGTCAAAGATGGTTTCGTCCAAGGTGGCAGTGGCCACAGCTAATCTGGAGGAATTGTCGGGGCGAAGCCACATGTCACACATTTCATCGTCGTCACCTAAACGGTCGACAGGAGATTCTTGCAGACGTAAGACTGTAGGGTGGCCTTTTTGTTTGAAGGAGGTGGTGAAACCGGACGGGCCTTTCACCTGGATGTCTCCAGTGATATCGGCGAACCAGACTGAGATCATTGATGCTTCCCCTTTCAGGCAGGTCGATTCCCAGAAGGCATGGACATCTTTCTCGCCCATACCATTGGAAGGTTTTGATTTGAAGGTGATTTGCCCCTTGGCGGCTTCGTTGATTAAGGCCAGAGGTGAGCCATTGAGACGTGGAGGACTGCTTGTGCACTCCTCATCGGCCGAATCGATCTCGAGTGTGAGCTCCTGCAAACGAAGTCAATGAGACGGCCGGCATCCTGCGGCCTGAGGAAGAAACCCACCAAGCCGTCATCGGTGCCGAGAAAGCACCCATGGCAGGGAGCACTGAAGTTGATGGAGACATGATCAGAGCCTGAGACGGTGAGCGACCGACAGCGACAGCAAGCAAGGAAAGAAGTGAATACCTGTTGTACCAGCAACAGTGGTGATGTCTCTCGTAGAAGAGCTGGGAGTGGACGAAGGGGAGGGAGTGATAGCAGCCGAAGCAAGAGAGGAAAGAAACGCAGCAGCCTGGGCCAAGGTGGACTTCATTTTGATCCGATCCAGATAGTGACTGTATCAAACTAGAAGACACCAAGCCAATGGTTGCAACCAAACACAAATTATTCACTTATGAATAATGCAACAGATATGCTGACATGCCCCGAACGAACAAAGGAACCACACTCTGATTCACGACTCCATATTTACATCCCAGGAACCAGGGTGAATCCAATAGATAGAGAAGACCCGTGGAAAGGGATGATAGTAGAAGATGGTATTATCTGGAAAGATGGAGATCAACAAAACAAACTCCAATGGATTATGAATCGATGGATGGCGAGCGAGAAGAGGTGGAAGTGGGACAGGTTTGAGATCTAGGGGGAGAGAGGATGGGACGGAACTTGGTGGTGTGTTTTCGCTGGAGCCTGAACTCCAAGCTGGAGGCAGGGCCAGCTCGCCTCGTACTCGTGTAGTCAGTAATTAGTTGTGGGCGGCCTGGGGTCGCGGAAGGCGTTAAGTCCACCCGAACCCGAGCCCGCGGGATTCCAGTTTTGCACAGCCCCGAGCGTGCCACATTAAGCCTGAATTGGCCACGCATGGCATCCACCAATCCTGTCGCGCCTTTACCGCCAAGAACATGAGCCCGCTTCTGGACGTCTAGCCTCTTTCGGGTAAAGGTGCTGCCCTCACGTGATACACCAAACCAGACACAAGCGATGCCAAGGCTCCCTCCAACTGGCACTATCCTATTCTCGTCTCATGCTGCGACGGAAGCCACTTCTTTGGATGACATTGACATTCACGAGTCCTGCAGGTCGCTCTACACGCAAGGCTCCAGTACTCCGTACTCCGTACCTGACTACGATAAGCTCCAGTATCCCTGTAGCGCTGTCCCGGAGAAACTTGTCCGAGACCTCAGTACCACCATCAAACGCGAGCCTTGGTCTGTTTTGCTCTTTTAGCATCATTAACAGGAGCCATGGTATGTCCCGAACTTCCTCGAACCACCCATCTGTACTAACCGGCAAACAGCTTCCACTGGGACTTCTGACAGCAGCACAGGGGCACCCGATGCTCGTTGAGCTGAAGAACGGGGAGACTCTGAATGGTCATCTCGTCAATTGTGACACGTGGATGAATCTAACCCTCAAGGAAGTCGTCCAAACGAGCCCGGAAGGCGATAAGTTCTTCAGGCTCGCCGAGGTATATGTCAGAGGCAATAATGTGAGTGTTATGTCTCTGCTCCGCCTATCGATGGAGAGGACGAGTGGAAGGTCACCGCCCCTTCTGTGGATTTCAACTAACGCGCCCAAAAAGATCAAATATCTCCGCGTGCCGGAGGAAATAATAGACTTGGCTAAGGAGCAACAACAGCATAACCATCAAGGCAACCAACGGGGTCGTGGTGGTCAAGGCCATCGTGGGGATCAGGGTGGCCGAGGGGACCGTGGTCGCGGTCAAGGGCGAGGCGGCGGTCGTGGTCGGGGTAGAGGGAGAGGACAGGGTTGAGGAGAGGTAGAATCATGGCTTCGACGGTCCCAGAACTGGTGAATCACCTCAGATATAGATGGGACAAATTCGGGAATTGGCCAAGGACATACTTATTGCCGCTCAACGATGCAATGCCTTAGCACTGGACGTCCAGGCGCTCACATCGAAAAACCCGTGCATGATATTCCACGTTGCGGGCGTCACTGAGATCGTTTCAAATCCAGTCCACAACGGATTGGTCACCTAGTGGACGAGCTGGATTGACTCAAGGCCGGATACTTTGGGACCCTTTTCGGATACGTGCGAATAAATCTATGTCCATACCAAACATGCTATGGCAGATACTACGCCACGTGGCCACCACAAGAGCAGAATACAAAATAGCGTGCCTACTCCCGCATAATGTTCGTGGTGAGATGATATCGACTGGCACCGCAGCAATGCTTTGCTCCTTTTTTTATTAGAGTTAATATGTGCTAGTTCGACTTATGCTGAGATAGATGTCGAGAACTTTCACAAACCAATAGACTGCTATCCAGAAACTTGCCGTCTACGCTCTACAGACCCGCCTTCTCTTACACCACTTCGAAGTTCGAGCTGCTGAGCCGAGGTGCAATAAAATTGATCAAAACGCCCTGGTGATGCCGAGGTTGGCTTCAGAAGGAGATTATCTAGCATCTGAAGGATGGGCCAGTACCAATACTAGCATTTAAGTACACGTGGCAGTAGAGAATGACATCTAATTTAGACGCACGTAATTACCTGTGCAGAATTATAAATTAGCTCAGGAGCTGAATATGGGGCGATTGCAAAATCTCGCAACATCATTCAAAAGCGCACCATGTGGATCGACTTACCTGGAAACTGCCCTTGCCTCCCATTGACCCGTCCGTTCCACCATTCGTTCTCGTTTTGTGTTCTTGAGATGATCTCAATAACATCGCCCGTCATGAAACTGAGGTCACCCTCTGCTTGAGCTTCATAATCGTACAAGGCTGTCACTGTCTCCGCTGCTGGAACCCCACTCAAACGACTGGGTTTGGGCTTGGGTGGTGGGGGTTTGCCTTTGGCAGCAATCGAAGCGGCCAGAGCAGGACTGCTTGGAGTGCTTGCGGAGGTCGCGGGTGAGTATGGAGGTGGTGGATTAGCAATTCCAGCCTCGGGGTCGTACGTTTTTCGATTACCATACGTAGATTTGTTTGCTTCTGCCTCTTTTGATTTGGCGGCGTATTTGGACACTCCTTTGGCTACCTTGATCCCTCCGGTGCCCTTGAAATGGACTATCGATAAGGCCTCGGCTTGACTTTGGACATCGCCTCTCTTCATTTCGAAGGCCTCTTCGATGTCAAGGGTCAAATTGAAGTAGCCGATATTGATGCCTTGCATTTTGTCATGCAGTGTGTAGAAGACGTTTAATTGCATGTAGTAGAAGGATTGGAAAAGCGGCCTGATGAACTCTGCCTCAAGCGCGAATAGCTTCGGTAGTTCGTCTTTGAGCAGATTGTTAAAGTATTCATAGTCCGTAGTGGCTTGTTCGACATCATTTTCTGCCTTGAAAAGCGCCTTCTCGTCCTTGAGGGTCTTTTCCTTCTTGTCCTGCAATTTCTTGAGAGTGGCTCTATGGCGATCGTAGTCGAGTTGCTTATGTTGTCGTTTGACCGACACTTTGCGGATAGATTTGATCACTTCCAATAGCTGATCTGCAGGAGCTATGACCCGCTGCTCGATCATTTCCAGCTCGGGCTGTAATGTAGCCTGGAGCTCGCGCACGATCGCCTCATATTCTTCACAAGCTCGGATACCTTCGGGGTTGCCCTCCGGGATCGTTGAGTTCGGGTCGGAAACACGGCCTGATATCGGCTTGTAAATTTCCTGGATAGCTTTGGAGAATTCGATTTGGTGATTCAGCATGCCTAAGAAAGTTGTCAGAGGTACGATCGTTTTTGGGGTTGTGAAGTGGTAAGGATAATACACACCGTTGATGGCATCAAAGTACTTTTTGGACTCATCATGGAGTTTCTTGGTCTCGGTTTCTAGTTCAGCGAAGCGGCGTTCAGCGTCAATGTATACAGCGTCTTTGGTATTGTCACCAAGGTTGAAGCGCTGTTTGAACTGCTGGGGCGCTCGGGTCAGGCTTTTTCCAACACCTTTGAGACTCATGCTTGTATTTCGTTGTCTGTTTGCTGTTGCTCTATTCCCAACCCCGCCGTGTGGGAATGGCTTTTGCTAATGTGGCAGTAACAGTAACGGTGGAATGGAGAGTGGAAGGCGCTGAAGAAAGGCCTAATTAGGGTGGAGACTTGAGAGATTAGCGAGAAAGAGTCTGTGTCAGATGGTGCAATATCCGGAGGGCTTCACATAGGTATGCTGCAGTGTGGTAGGAGTGAACCGGTGGTGTCTGGATCAAAGACGTGTTGCGACGGTCGGAGGGGCCGTGGTCAATGTTGAAGAGTAGCCGGCCATGTACTGATTGATGATGGCGCAGGTGCAGGTGCAGATGGAAGTGGCGGAAGAGGGTACAAGTACTCCGTACATACGAGTAGTAGGAAGTGCAGGGACACCCAGCGATCACATCTCATCTGCATCTGTCCCCGGCTGTCAGACTATTGACTGGTCGACTCCAGTTAACTCCAGTTAAGGTCAACCATACCCGCCGCCTGCCAGCGATGACGCATCATGCCCAGACTCACACCTCATTATGTGGCTGTGGCCTTGGCTGAGCCTGCTGGTCAAGGCGGCGCCAGGTCTGGTGGACAGGCAGAGTTGATCCAAGATTCCGTATTACATTCATGACTGAGAATGTAAGTCAAGGTTGAAGAGGATTCAGCGACGCTTGCAAGTGCTTACCACCGAGTATTCGGTACTGCATGTTTCTATGTAATTTAAAGAAGCGGGTGTGCTCTTGGGCAACAAATCCTCCCTGGTAAAGGCGGGTACCCGCTGGGGCTTCGCTTTGGGGCCTGAGGCCCCTCCTCCAGTAATACATACTCGTAAGAGAGCTTCCGAAAAAGAGGCAGAGGCCAGGCCACGGTCACGTGAGCAGGTCTCACCCGGCGAAATATCTCACCGTATCACTGCAGCCAAGATTTCACTTTAAGGGCTTGTCCTTCACCGTACATCCTCCGCAGCTCTGTCGGCATCGACGTCGCAGCTGCTGAAGGCATTGTTGCTCATTGACATTGAACGTCTCTTGTGTGTCGCGCTCGACCAGCCTTGCCCCACCATGGCTGTTATAGAGACCGTCAAAGAAGCCATTGGCCTCGGCCATTCAGGTACGACCGATGCTTTCTTCCCTCTCATACCCTGCTAATATTTATCCAGATGCAGCACCATCTCCCGCTTCGCGTGAGGCAATGTCAGAAGCAAAACTACCCCTAGCATATCGAGATAGCTGTGCCGGTCTCCTGATCCCTCTCAATAAGTGCCGCCATGACACCTTTTTCGCCATCTGGAAATGCGAGGTGAGTAGGACAAGTGCGAACCACTTGTGCCATGCAACAGTGATCGAGGAGAATTCGGACTGACGTACGAGCGCCCGACGAGCTACAGAACGAACGACACACTTATGAAAAATGCCAATACGAGGAATTCAAGAAAAGAGTGGCCAGAATGAAGGAATTGCGCGCTGCGAAAGCCTCCGAATCCAATGCTGTGGCCTGAGGAGTGATGCGGGGTCGACATTAGATGCGAAGCTGTCGTTTGTATATATCGGGGACACATATGCCTAGTCGGCATTTGGACGGCGTCAATGGAAGATGGATCATAAAATCATGAGATATGGCCGGCATCTACCTCCCGGCGAAGCTCCGTCATCTAGCTCTTCCTTCATCTGGGGTATCATCGACTCGAGGCCTCCAGGAAAGCACAAGGCTGGATAGACAGACCACAGATGGCAGATTCAATACAAGACTCTGGTCGCGTTTTCCGTGCGAATCCGGTCACGTGAAGTGCATAGGACCAACATGCCGGGCCCATCGTTCATTCATGCAGACGCAAGTCTTCTAACCTATTAGCAGGATCGCATTTTCACTACATGAACGTTCCCTGCGACAAAGACACACAAGATATGTGGTATATGGACCCCCACGCTCGCTAGTAGTTCCAGACGGTTTGGCGATGATGATGTGATCGAGACCGGCAGACGAACGCGGATACAAGCGGGGGCAAGGAACAGGCCTGAAAATGATGGTTTTAATTGGATCTCAGCGAGAAGACGAGGCGACATCAAGTGTAGAGACAGGCCTATCCACTTTTCTTCTCGAGCAAAGCTCCGTTCCACTGGAAACGGGGCTGGCTAGTATTACGGACATCAAATACGCAGGTGACACAACGAATCATCAGAATCATCAGAACCATGGGGCGCGTTGATGACTAATGTGGTAGTGGGAAAAAGCGCCCTTTGGCTCGCGTTAATAATATAGCAGACCTACTCGTCCTCGGTAAAGCAACTGCTTTTAACGTCCACTTCTACTCCCTTTGTGCAGCCCCAGGGCCTCGCCATTCTTCTTCTGATTCTCACATGTTGACCCATTCAGATTTCATCGGAACCCCAATCCGGTGTCTTTTCCCGACCGAGGTCGGTATAAGCATCTAGAGGCCCACCTGCAACTGCCTGTTCGGCTTGTATTTCCCGGAATTCGCCCGCGTTCGCAGAAAAAAAGTCGAAAAACGTCACGACAGAAAGGGCTGTTTCGTCCTGGGTTGACGCCTTCTTCACCACTGCCCAGCACTCGCAATTGTGACTAGCAAGTGTTTCAATAATATTCCGAGTTCGAAGGCCCCCCCAAAGCATGGCTCAATTGCTTTCAAAACTACGCTGAACTTGGAGCCATTGCCAGTCACGTTTTCAGAACCAGCCGACTTTGCCCGGATGGGGTAATTTTGAATTCCGACTCTCTTCAACGACTTTCATCTTGCCTTGTCGTGGCAGAATAACTAGACATGGGGCTTTTGTTAGTCATGGCGCGCCACCGTCTTTGAAGGCATTGCTAATTGACTGTTCAGAGCATTGGGCACGGCTCTTGAATGGCCGGATGCAAAGAAGGCCGCTGGCCAGGTGAGAGAGTGGGGCATCGAGGTACGAGTCGGCTTGCCGTTATCGCCTGACTGATCAACGGATTAACAACCTCTGTAGCAATTGCTCACTATATGGCGCAACGCTAAAGGCAAGGAACGGGATGCCCTACTGTGGGGAGACGAGGTAGGAATGTTCCATCGGTTGTTTGACGGCGTTGATCGTGTTTATGCAGATCGAGTATTTGGTTGTCGCTTTCGATGACGAACACCAAAAGGTCCGCCTTTCGCTATGCCAAGCGGATGTTCTTAAAGCTCTTGCTCGAGACGAAGAACTCGCAAAGAAAGGACCAGTGGTCCCTGACTTGCAAAATGGGTATGTCAATTTATACCGCTCGAAGTGCGATTCCGGATGTTGACGAGGTTAAGCGATTCTCCCAGACGTGGAGCTCTTCCAACGTTTCACCCTGAATTCGGTCGATTTATGCTTGAAGCCACCCCTGGCAAGCCATGGGGTATCGGTTTCAAGGACTTGCTGGATGTTGAGTCAGATATGAAGAACCGCCGTGTGATCGCCAAAGACCACATGGATCCCGACCAGTATCCCGTAACACTCACGACATTTCCACGCCTTGGGTGTCGGGAAGACTTCATTTCGCCTTACTACCCTCCTTCTGGACCTGCCCTTCGCTCTCAATTTGTTCCCGATGAAATTGCCAATCCTCATATTCGATTTCCCACCCTTGCTGCCAACATTCGCTCGCGCCGCGGTCGCAAAGTCGAACTGAATGTCCCTGTCTTCAAAGATAAGAATACGCCCTCTCCCTTCCACGACCCAACGGTGAACTATGACCTCCATAAATGGCCTGAGGACGATGATGTCCGTAATGGTGCAGCAAAACCCGACTGCGTGTACATGGATGCAATGGCATTTGGCATGGGCAGTTGCTGTCTACAAATCACTTTCCAAGCCAAAAACATACGTGAAGGTCGCACTCTTTATGACCAACTATCTCCTCTTGGCCCGATCATGCTGGCCCTGACCGCTGCTACTCCAATCTACAAGGGTTTTCTCGTCGACACGGATGTTCGCTGGAACCAGATTTCCCGTGCGGTCGACGACCGGACACCAGAAGAATTGGGGGAGGTTCCACTCAAGAATGATCGGTGGCGGATACCGAAGTCCAGATATGCTAGTAACAGTACATACATCGCAGAGGATCCACGGCGACGGCCAGAATACATGGATCCCGATCTTATTGTCGACGAGACACTGAAGCAAAAGCTTGTAGGCGGGGGCATGGATGATCTCCTCGCCACACACTTTGCTCACCTCTTCATTCGAGACCCTATCGTCATCTTCTCCGAAGACCTCAAGACCCTCGACCCTGAAGGCTCCAACCATTTCGAAAACATCCAGAGTACTAATTGGCAGCACATGCGATTCAAGCCGCCGCCACCAGACGCCGATATCGGTTGGCGAGTTGAGTTCCGCTCAATGGAGATCCAAATGACCGATTTTGAAAACGCAGCCTTCAGCATTTTCATCGTGCTCGTCACCCGAGCCATCCTATCATTTGACCTGAACTTCTACATCCCGATCGCCCGCACGACAGAAAACATGGAGACTGCACACACGAGAGACGGGGTGATGAAGTCGAAATTCTGGTTCAGGAAGAACCCCTGCCCCCCACGACGCAGTACGAAGGACTTGGCACCGATGGCCAACGGCAGCGAAGCAGGAGGGATGCCAGGTGCACCAGCGTCTCTTCGAGCGGCCGCACAACAAACACCACAACCCAGCCGCCCACCGACCCCCGGTCCTGTGGAAGACGAATACAGACTGATGACCATCGACGAGATCATCAACGGAACCCGAAATGAAGACAACAACCCGGACGATTTCCCCGGGCTCATTCCACTCGTGGAGCTGTACCTCGACAGCGTCAACATCGATGTGACCACACGCTGCGAGCTGGCGCGCTACCTGGACCTGATCCGCAAGCGCGCCAACGGCACCCTCTGGACCGGTGCCAAGTGGATCCGCGAGTTCGTCCGCTCACATCCCGACTACAACGGCGACAGTGCCGTCAGTGAGAAGATCGTCTATGATCTGTTCAAGAAGGTCGAAGAAGTCACCTGCTGCGAAGGCCGCCCCGCGGGCAAAGGGCCCGGGTGGGAGATGTTAACCGCGAAGCGGAGGGTTGTGGGTTTGGATGATTAAAAGAGAAATTTCACCCTGGAACTGCTGCTTGCATGTTTGGCCTAGCAAGTGCTTCTGAACCTATCTAGATATTTGTTCTTATCCTCATCTATTCTCTAGCAGGGGATAGAGGCCAAGACTGAGTCCGATCTAATGAAGGTGTCTCTGTTGGTTGGAGCTCTCTGGCACATTTCAAACGATACGATGCACATTTCACTTCCTTTAGCTGTCGGTCACCTGAACTTGAGACTTTTTCCATGGTCGTGCAGCGCTGCTATCCAGTGGTGTGTGCAGTGTAATGAGTCGACGACGATCGTGGTCCTTTTTTGGATCTGTAGACCGCACGTACGCTAACTCCTGAACTAATGGCCAATACCATATCGCTCATGGGGAGCATGGTGTGCTTGCGTTGTACCTCTGAGAGCCTCTAGCCCTCAAGGAAATGCAGGGACCCTGACCATCAAACGTCATAAACCCGGAGTATTCTAGAGGCTTGCTGGGTAAGGTAGAGCTCATTCACCGAGAGGCACATACGCTACACTGCACAAGCCGCGAAATGCATCGTTGCATGTATGTATCTGTGGCATATGATTTTACTGGCCGTGGCGCCCGCCGTCTATTACGGGTCCAGGACATCGCGAGAAAGCACTGTGTATCAGGACGCGCGGAAGGTCCGGCTTGTTCCTATCGAGTTACGGTTTGTGTGTGGCACGTGGGTGAAAGAAATCAAGGAACGAGAGCGGCGTAGACAGACGGGCATGATCCATGTTTTTTTGGGTGCTTCTTTCGCCTGGTGGGCGCAACAGTGCTCCGACGACGGGAGATAGCAAAAATGGTAATTGGTATTGGTACTTGGTTGGTTGATTGATTGTATTGATTGTATTGCATCCGCTTGGAGGTCTCTCGATTTTGCGACATGGCTTGCTTGCTAGCTAACTAACTGGCGCCATGCACCTCACATACCTCAGCCATACATCTCACGCACAGCAGGCGGGCCACAAACGGTGTCCCGGGCCTAGTCGAACAGGATCCTGTTCCATAACATGTCAATCTCGATCTCGATCTCGAGCTTTCTTAATATCTCGACTCCTGCGTCTTGTCAAGATACGCCGCCGTCTTCTCCTCGCCACCGGCACCGTAACGGGCGGCGGGGGGGCTGCCACGACCGATTCCACCGGAGCGCTCCTCGTCATATGGTTCGCCCTCGGTGTAAACGACGGAGAACTGGCGGTCGGCCTCGTCGGGCTTCTCGCACCAGACGCGGCTCGTGGCAGGGACGGGTCTCACGCGGCAGAGAAGATAGTACACCGAGCTGGAAACAATGAAGCCTGTGAAGAAGTTGAAGCGGTAAAGATATACTGCGCCCATGGGCATCTGTTGACAGCGGGGGAGGGAAGTCAGCAATCAGGAAGCGACACTATACAGATCAAATGGGAAGACTGGATTAGAAGACATCCAGGAAATAGTTCACGTACCCTTCCGTTGGTGCCGATCGCGTCGACGAAGCCAACAATGTTGATCAAGATGCCGCAGATGTAAGCGGTGTAGCCTCTCCAGGACCAGCCGAACCAGTAGAAGTAAGGGCTGGACTTTTGCGCCGAGTACAGGCCCTTCAGGTCCAGATAGCCCTTGCGCACGGCATAGTAGTCGCAGATCAGCACGCCCGCGATGGATGATAGAAAGACGGAGTATGCGGACAGGTAGGTGGTGAAGTTGTTGGACGAGCTGAGCAGATTCCAGGGACACATGCAGATACCGACGATCGCGCAGATATAGCCGCCGCGGCGGATGTTCAGGTATCGCGGCAGGAGAGCGGTCAGATCCGTGCCAGCAGAAACACTGTTGGCGGCGATGTTGGTGCCGAGTTGTGCGAGAACGAATGCGGTCGCGATCACGAACACGCCGAATCGCTCGGCGCTGCTGGCATCGTCGAGGAGGAATTGCGACAGGAGATCGAGAGGGTTCCAGATCGCAGTGCCGTAGATGACGGTTGATGACGACGAGACGATGATGCCGATGAAAGAGGTCACAGCGAAGCCGATGGGGATAGTGAACAGCTGCGACCACAGTGCGTCTCTGGGCTTTTGGGCGAAACGGCTGAAATCCGGATCGTTGACGATCAAGGTCGCGAAGTTGGAGATTGATGCCATGATTCCGGATATCCAGCCCCAGGCAAGCTTGGAGCCAGAGGCTTCGGCGGGTTGTCGGACGATCGGGCCGATGCCTTTCGCTCGCACGATGGCCCAGATGAAGAAGGCGATGCCCGCAGCAGGGACGAAGTATGCCTTGACGGTGAACAGATGGCGAATTTTGTGAACGGATGGATAGATGAAAGGTAGCGATCCAAGCCAAAATAGGAAAAAGCCGACAAAATCTCGCGTTGAGGTTCCTGAGTTTGGAATGCCATTGTGGATGTCGTTGAAAGAAGGCCACTGGAGCAAGCAGAAGTGGTGAGCAATGTTAAATACGAGGCAAGTTTGGGGTGAGAAAACTCACGATAGATCTGATCATCAATGTCACGCACTGACCTCCAATGTAAGACTGCACTCCGTACCATATGCAAGCCATTGCTGCAGGGACGAATCAGTACAGGCTTCGACGAGGATGAACAGCAGATCATATTTACCAGCACGGTTAAAAACAGGCCACAAAGAACCCCAGATTCCAAAGGAAGAGCGGGCAACCACGGGGAAGGAAATATGATAAACAGCACCAATCCGACCTGTCAGACAGATGAAGACCGCAGCGACGAAATAGCCTATCCACACACAAAGCCAGGCATGCCACCATGCCAGGCCGCTGCCGGTGATCATGGAGGAGGCGATCATCCAGGTGTTGATGTTGAAGGAATCGGCAACCCAGAAACCTTTGGAACGAGGAATGTCAGTTTCTGACCCTGCTTGGACTGAAGCTGCTTGGAGATGATCAATGCCTACCGACGAAGTTCCATGGACCCCATTGGCGTCTCTCAGGTTCAACGGGTTTCAAGTCATGGTTGGTGAGCATGAGCTGGGCATTGGTGAGGCCAGGCTCAGACTCGGTCTGGAGTTTGCCAAGCAGGCGGGAGGCTTTGGATCCTCTGAATCTCGACATGGTGAGAGAATATTTCTGTTGAAGTGGGAGGGGTAGCGATGCAAAGGTCCAACGGAAGGCTATACCACTGAGGGTGTCTGCACAATCCTCCTTTGGGAGAGGGTGAGACTGGGACCCAGAAGGAGGCGATCGAGGGAGTAATGGTTCACGATCCTCCCAGGTTGCAGAGCCTGCTCGGTAGGCTGAAGAGGAAGCTATGGTGTCCAACTCTATATCGGCAGCGGCATCTTGGGAAGCGGAAGATGACATCCCGCGGCGGGTTTGTTTATATGTACTTTTTCTGTGGCACCATTACGACGTCCAAAAAGCAACGAGGTCTGGGTGGGCCGTCATGATGTGGAGGTTAGTTAGGAATATCGGAGCGAGCATAACCAAGTCCCACGAGACGGGTGGCCCGCACTCTCCAAAGCCCGTTATCAGTACGCCATTTCGAAGGCGAGACCGACGAGGCTAGCGGTGTGCTAGGGTAGTAGAAGAGAAGTGTCAAGGATACCGGGTTGTGGATAGGGGAGTGTTCGACCTCCATCATCTGGTCGTCCGCAGATTTTGGTGAAATATGCTACAGACGCTCGTTAGGGCGGGTGATCATTGGGCAGTTGGACGTCACAAGAGAAGGTTAAGTGACCATCATATGTGAGCCAAGTGTTGTGCCGCCGATCCTAGACAGACGGTGGATACGCGGCTTGTAGGTCGTAGTGCACAAACACATGGAGCTGAAGTTGCATAGACAAACCCTGGGTGGCATTCGCCCTTTTCTCCACAGTCGGGAACTCATCCAGCCAGTGGGAGAACACTTTGCCAAAGGACCTGCAACCGCTGGCCATGGGCTAATGTATACCAAGTCGATCACGGGCCCTGATTCTCTGCAGACAACGTCACGGCCGTGAGCAGGCCGTAACTTGGAGATAAGTTGCGCATTGGCGAAGCAGGCTCATTGTGCGCAAGGCATTAAAACGGTCGCCCGACACGCCAACAGAGGAGAGTAGCTTTGCCTTCCAAGGGTTGAACCTTGCCCGAGCCCGCATCTCGCCGCATCTGATTGTCTAAAGCGATTTAGCCCTGACGCACAAGTTTGACGTACAGGTACTCTATGGCCTTTGAGCAAAACGATTAAAGATAACGATTTGGTAGAGCGGACGGGGAGCGTTGTTTGGCTGGAGTTGCCCGGCCCGTCTTACGAGGTGACTCGATGAAATCGAGTAACTGAAATGTGGAAGGGTGCCAAGACCGCCAAGACCGCCAAGACCTCCGAGGGCCTCGGAGGCTTATCAAGTTATCAAAAGTATGCTGAGTGTTTATGGCATTGTGTCGAGAATCAAGTCAAGCTGGGACAAGGTGTGTCAAGGCTCTTGGGAGCAAGCTTCAGCTCGTCGGAAAAGGCTGATAAGTATTACTTGGGATTCCAGCCTCGGGATTTGTCCTAGTTGCTCGATCCAATCGCTCCGCTCTCTTCTTATCTTACAAGCACGCCAGCCCATACAACTGCGCATTTACATACGCGCCTTTCCGTCCGCCAGCCCAGCGTCGCGGGCGGCCAGAATCGCGATCGTGATCTGAAGAACTTTGTTCTGTGGTCGAGATCCCTCCTGTCCTTCTTGGTCCCAAAGATGCCCATGCATGCATCTCATCTAGATTGTAGATAACCTGTTCTCATCAAGGCCCGATCCCCCCCCCCCCCCGTACGCCCGTGATTGTAACTCCAACAAGATAAGTGAAATCACCATGTATAGCGCCTAGACAGCAGGAACTGCGCACTCCGTCGTGGAAGAGACACCTTACCGACCGCAAAACATGCCGAGCAATTTCTTGAGGATCCGAGGGAGGAATCTCTTGACCATCTTCTCGACCTCGTCGTTCTGTCCGCCTTGGTTCTGTTGATGGTGTTGCTGACCTCCTTGCTGTTGATACTGTTGCTGTTGCTGTTGCTGTTGCTGGTGGTGGTGGTGCTGCTGCTGTTGACCATATCCTTGCTGATAGCCACCCCAGCTATTGACATCCTGCATATTGACATTCCCACCGCTCAGATTGACGTAAATGCGCCCTTCGTTCTCCTCCGTATGATACTGCAGGTTCAACTCACGACAGACTTGCTCCACCCGCGGCTTGATCTTCTGCACGTGGCCGGTACTGTGGTTCCCCTTGCCGACAATAACATGCAAGTGAGTCTGGCCGTGCGACTGCGCGTACCGAATGCGCTCCTCTAAGATGTCCTCCGCCTCTTCCACAAACTGTCCGTGTAGGTCGATCGTGTCGGCCGGGGCCCTCCCCTCGGCATTGTTCTCCCGGAAAATGAACTCGGACGCTTGTCGGTTGAACTGTTCCATCTTCAGGCCGTGCGCTTTGCCTTCCTCGGAGAGCGCCTTCGCTGCTGCACCATCGCCCTTCTGGTATGCTTGTTGTGACTTGGAGAGCGCAGAGGAGCGTTTGCCGGCTTCCTGGCGCGCGAGATCTCGGAGGCGGTCGTATTCTTGCTCTGCGGCTTGCGATTGATCGTGGTTGAACGCTGGTGTTGATTACGACATGTCAGCTGCGCCGCTTCGCGACCACGAAGCTCCGCGGGCTTTTGAAATGCGCGTTTCAAATGATGGGAACTCACGTCTGCCTCCAACTCGCGTCGGGCCTTTGGCTGACATCTCGTATGACATTTTGCCTGCCGCGACTGGACCGTGGTGGCTCAACTTTGCGCGCAGGGAACCGTTTCGCGCGCACGGCCGATGAGTGCGATATGGAATAGATTGGTGTGCAGTCTGAGTATGCTGAGGAGGTCAATGTAAATCTGCGCCCGTAAAAGGAGAAAATGAGTGAACACTATCACTAACCGGAACAGCCTACCATGTGGTGGTTGTTCCTGGTAAGACGATCGGAAATCTGGGATTGAGCAGCTCGCTCGGCTACGCCCTTGGCCTATGGATGCTGGAAGCTAGCTCTAGCTTAAGCAACTAAGAGGAACAGCCATCTGGTTTGAACAGCGAGATTGGGCGGGGCGTCAGGGATTGTAGGTCTGAACCACGGGGTGCTCCGGGCTCTTATAGGTGTCAGGGGTGTCCCCACTCCTGGCTAGAGGCCTCCGGCCTGCGCCCCCAGATCTCTCCAAGCAAGAGAACGAATTGGAGTCCAAGAGTCGCAGAGGTGGACGGGACTGACCAGCTGCACTGTTGACGTTCATGCAGCCGGACTGGGACATCTTCATCTCAAAGTTCAGCTTCGTTCATGCTCATTAGTATGAATCATTAACTATTAGCTTAATATTATAGAGAGAGCAGCGCATTTTCATAACAGTTGGACAGTTCCCGCAGGATCCAGCCTATGCGTGGAGTGACCCCCCAAACCCACGTGTCGTCGTAGAAGCTGGCCCAATGCTCTGCAAGCCTTGCCGCCATGCTGGTCGCTTGGTCGATACCCTCGTCTTCCGCCAGAATGTCGCCCATGTTCTGGATCAGTTGCTCTTCGCGTTCGCTGAGAACTCGGCCCCTACCACGCACGGTCTCAACTTCAATCGTGTGGACCCATTTGGTGACGAGTAAGGCTAGCATGACTTGTTAGCATTCTTTTCCTATATTCCATGGGAGAGCCAAAGTTTACCGGCATCCCAGCCAGCCAGCGCATGCTCGACCGACCAGGTCAAGGCGGCAGTTTTGCGGAGAAGAAGAGTCCCTGCTTTGGAGGGGATCACCATCCCTTCAAACGCACGAGCGACGGCTCTGCTGGTAAACTCGTCTCTTTCTTGAGGGACCGCCACAAAATCTTCAAGCGAGGCGATAATGTCTTCTCGATTATCTTTTAGTAACATCATCCTGTCCGCACATCCATTTCCGGTAAACGCCCGGCAGTAGGTGACTCTCAAGAGTGCTAGACAGTTGAACAGTAAGGGGCCTTCTGACTCTGTCCAAGTATAATCATGATCCGCTCGTGCCTGCGTGATGAGCGCTCGACATCTTGACAATGCCGCTTCTGTTTGGACAAGGACTTGCGACTCTTCCGAGCCATGGGACTGGCCTTGGGCCATTCCAGTCATTTCGTCGAAGAAATAAGACCCTTGCGTCACATGCCAGATTTGAATGGAAACGGCATTAATCACCACGGTGCACGCAAAGGGTGACCAACTCCAACACTCTTCAGGCACGCCGCGCAGCGAACTGCCATACATAATTGTGGAAACGGCGTCCCGGACGGATAGTAATGATGACCTGCCTTTCACGTTGACTAGGTCATACCATTGGGAGGCGTTTGTGGCATCCCATAGACTTTGGTCGCCAGGCATTTCGATGTTGCCATCCGACACAATCGAGTAACTTGGCGGCATTCCATATGTCATAGCGAGCGAATTCGTGAGCATAATGTGTCCGTATAAAAGTCTGGGAACGTTATCAGAGAGGGCAACGTGCGCCGCTTAGTTGCATCGTCTTACCTCTTGACGCACTCTCTATCAATCCAATCTTGCCAGGTAAGTCCGTCAACTCCAAAATTTCGAGGCTTCACGGATGGCGCCAGGCGCCGGAAGTCCTATCTTGAGTTAGTGGGATTTCTGTGGTGGCCGGGGAGAGTTGATTGCGCACAAGGCTGAATTCCCCAATCTTTGCAATTGCTCTGGACATGACTTCAGGATCTCCACTGAAAGAGGCAAACATGGTAAGGAGAAGTCGGGTCTGTCCACTCCACAAGTTCTCTCGATACCGATTCGTGTGGCCAAGCACAGGCATCGTCCAGTCTTCCAACAAGTTTGGTGTCCTCTCGACTACACTCCCACGGTGGGTTCGCGCAGAAAGTGCTTGATCTGCTTTGTGATATAATAACGCCGCGACTTTTCTCTCTAGCCGGTAGAGAGCGCCAATGGCACACATCGCGAGCACAAGAGGCGAAGGCGTGCGTTCGAGGTCCATGGTCGGAAGATGAAAGATGGGTAGATGGACATGAAAGGCGTCGACGAACGTGCGGAAGCACTTTTGAAGCGCAATTGCAACCGGCAGACGGAAGTCAGTTAGCTTCTCCGGTGGCAATCGTCTCGATAAGTCCTCCAGCAATTTCGTTCGCATGGTCTCCGTAAATATTAATGTAGGCGGCTTTGCGCTTGCCATGCGACGAACTTTTGGCACCGGTACACTAGGAGTAGCAGAATTGAGGAAGTAGTCGGCCGGATCCGTCCTAAAGAAGTCTCTTATAGTGTTGGATGCGGGTATGGCCCTATCGTCTCTTTGCTGACTGGGTGAGTGCAACTTAGTTAGGTCGGTCCCTACTGTTTCATTCGGTACGAAGAGTTCCGAATCTCTGCCGCCCTGTCGAGAGTCTACGCTCGAAGTACTGAATTGCTCGAGGGGTGAGAAGCCTTCGGTGAGCCCCTTGAGTCCTGGAAGACTCATATCCACCATCTGTTCGGCAGGTAGTCCAAAGAATGGATCGAAGAACTCCAGCAACCCAAGGTCCGCGTTGAAAGGTGTGAGGGCGGGCGGGCTCGTTGGAAGAGGTTGGTCCTTGCTGGTTGCATTCCCTGAAGCGTCAATTGTATTTGGCGGGCTATTGTGATGATCGGTGGCTTCTGGCGTGGGAAGAGGTGGTGTCACATTTCGGTGCTCGCTGGGGCTTGAAATGGCTGGCTGGGGAGATGCATGTCGAGGTCTTTTGACACGTCTTTCGGATGCTGGTGGATTCCTTTTCAGGGGTGCGTTTGGCGATTGCGATGGTGACCCGGCCTGCACTACTACTGGATCAGGCTGATTGGAAGATTTTGGAGTCTGCGAGGCCTCATCTTGGTCCGAACTCTCGTGAACGCTGTCTTTTGCTGTCTTTGAACCTGATGATGTATCCTGATTAGATATCGATCCACGAGAAACAGAGCAATGTCCCTTAGATGGTGTGAAGCAGTGGGTCTCACGTTCGGCCTGCTTCCCAGTCACGTCCTTGGCCTTTTCATCGGCATGAAGAGTCCTTTCGTGTCGCACGAGCAAGTCTCTAACGTGACATTTTAGCACTTTAAACGAGCAGTCGGGTGGTTGAATGTTCATACTTGCGACTATATCGCCGGCGGCAGAAATGACAGGCGAAAGGTTTCTCCTGGGTATCTGGCATTCTGGTGAGTCGACCCGACCATATTGGGGCGCTTCAAACAAGAGAGTTGAGTGGACAGTATGAATACTCACGTCTTCTCTGGTGGCGAACACAATGCTCACTTCGCTTGAAAGCTCGCGAGCACACATTGCAGACATGCTTTCTTTTGGCACTGTCGGCACTCGTTTTTAGTGCATCTGGCTTCGCGAACTCGATGGTCGAGACTCCGGCGAGAGGCATTACCATGGTGACCTGTGGTGAATAAGATAGATCTTGTCAACAGACGCCGACTCAAGGACCCTGGGAAGAAAAGAGCACGACTGAGAAGATGAACCAGTGGAGGCCCAGGGGCCGATGGTCTAAGTTGAGTGGCAGCCACATGCGCACGGATGTGGAATGGGCCTCATGAATGGCATTGGGAGTCTACGGTCCTGAGTGCTGACAAGCAAGACTTTGCTGGATAAATCGCGGAGTGAAGGTTTGGGCATTGGAGAACGCCCAGAAGCAGCTGCGCTTTCCACGCGTTGTGGTTGGAGCTGCGAGCCTGCGACACGAGCCAAAACCCATAAGTGCGGGGAAGCGCTTCGCCCGGGGGAAATCAATCTAAATTGGGGAAGCCCCAGGCCTGTGGTTGCATATGATCCGGGCTTCGGGTGCATAAAATATGCACAGGTCATCTGGCTTTCTTCAAGAGCTGAATCCTCTAATATCAATGGAAGATGGTCGTAGGTCTTCTCAAGTTGCATCTGCCGTCATTTTGTACCTCGTTATACTAAGAATGGAGAGCCGTTGCAATTGAATATAAAGTATGCTCGTCAACGACATCCCTTCGACGGATACTGCAACAACTCAGGTCGTGACTGTCTTGTCGTCGATAGCAGAGCAGAATATGTCCTTGGCCTACCTTGCTGATTCTATTGCCTTCCTTGGTACACTCGGTGCGATGAACATGAATCGCATTGTTAAAATACTGGTTACCGCCTCGTACTATTGCTAGGGAACGCCAGCAATGTCTCGTCAGCGGGAAAGAGCCCCTAGACCAAATGGGGAATGTGGGGTAGATTGGGGAAAAGCACTCTCAATGTGGGGTTACGGCGCACAAATTTCAAGCAGACTTGAAGGCGCGACCAAAGGCCAAGAGTCTCCAAACGCGAGTGCCTGATGGTCCGAGTACTCCGTACTATAGCCTGACTTTACACACGTGACTGGTGACACAGAGTACAGGGTGCGCGTGTACTTTGTGTGTTGCTGGTTCAGGGCCTGTACTCGCAGCTCCGTATCGACCTGCATCTAGACTCACAGTCTAGACTCCGTCTATCCTCGAGCCCAGCAGGCTGAGTTGGACGTGTGTCACGACTCATCATATCATCAACAGCAATCTCGGTGTGGATGCTGCTGTGATCCCATCCGTAAGGCTTGCATACTAGAGTCCATGATTGATGACCTGGGACCTGGGACCCGAGTATCACGATCACGGTGAAATAGTCTATTTACCAGAGCAATCATAGCACCCGGCAGGGCTGGCTGAAGAAGCGCCATGTTCGAAGTGAATGAAGAAAACAGGTGGCTTTCACGCGTCGCGAGTTGCTGACATAATCCTCAACAGGGTCTCAACCTCACCCAAGCCTCACGTCGCATTATCCGACGAGGACTCCATAAAGGAGAGCCCGCTTAGAGAGTTTAAACTTTCGGCCTGAGCCTTTGTGAATCGGTCAAAGTCTATGCACTCATAGCTCTGATGCAGTTGGAGTTACGGAACTATCGGATTCTGTGCTCCAGTGACCAAGACTCCTCGAACATGAGAGAAGAACATCGCTCACCTCCGCGACAAGGGACGGCAATTGTTGCACTTTCAGTCAGATAGGTGGCCGTGTTGTCCGACAATACGACCGAAAGGAGGACTTGACTCGTAAACTCTCGATAAAGCCAGACCGTGCCCCAAAGGTGGTGGGTGCTTGTGCATCATGATCTTCGAAATCGTTGTGTATTCGTAGATCACAAGGGGGGCTCCTAGTCCACATCTCGGATAAGACTGTCACCGGCCACTTGCCTGGGACCTGGGTACGGCTTTTTACGAAGGGCATGCACCCTGGTCAGCTGTTTGAGGAAATCCATCATCTAATTACGTGTGGTGTAACTGTGTTCGGTTGTTCCTGTCTGCAACAAACTGTCCGTTCTGGTCCAAGAGTCGGCTGGATGATGACGATGATTGACATTTTCGGCAGGACTGATCCCAAATAGATTAAGCCTGGCGGCTATGATCACAGGCCCTAAAGCCTAGTACGAAGGATGAGATACGACGGTTACCGGAGTCGGTGAAAGGGTGCGACTTGGTAGGTTGGATGTTCACCAAGCAAGATTGTGGCGGAAAGGATGATCGAATGCAGGTCAACGAGCAAAGCGCTAGTTGTTGACAGATGAGCGAATGGTTAACGACAACGAGGCCGCCTTTCTTGGGTGATTCCAAGGTATATCGGCTGGTTCCAAGTGTCCCAAGTAAAACTGGGTTGGATCCACTGGGCAAAGCTGCCGCTAAAGGACGCTACTCTGACGCGACAGGGCTTGGGAGGGCATGGGAGGGCTTGGGAGAGTTTCTCAGTTGACCTTGATCCCGGGACCCTGAGGATGACGAGAAGGGACGAAACAAACTCTTGCATGAAGCTACTCCAGAGTAAGAGGCCTTCCCGAGGTCAAGTCCGACTGCGAGGCAACTAACTCGGTGGCTAGTACGGAAGGACAGCGTCTGAAACACCATCAGCCGGGCATCGGAAATAGACTGATCGTCACGAGTGACAGCTGCCATCACATCAGAGAATTCAATTGATTTGCGGTGTCCGGGAACTTGGATTATGGATCACGGTCTGGGATAGTCTCGCTTTGTGCAGTAAGGGGGTTTTGATGGGCAGCTTCCGCCTGGACGGGTATCTAGACAGTTGGAGGCCAGATCATGAACTATCGTTATCATTCAGAATTTTTCGCTTGATTGATCATGGTGAAGATTTCCAGTTGCCGGGGTGGGTGGGCAGCACGCCACAGACCACAGAAAGGGGCCATGTTTAAGCTTCACCAGCCCGCGGACTTATTCCTGGCAGCTGGGAAATGGACCAAAACGCAACGCCATAGCCTGCCATTGGGACCACCATTTCAGAAAGTTGACCGACCATCGACGGGCTTGAATGCGAATATACAGAGTACGAAAACTCAGTAAAGGTGAAGGTCGTGCTTGTGAGGCGCAAGATTCTGTTTCGGTACGAGAGTCTCCGCCTCGTAGCAGCTGGAGACATTGGGCCTGCATGACTCTGCAGGTCAATTTCTAAGTGTCTCGCCAGTGATCGCTTGCTGGCATTATGACATGGTTATCTCTCTATATTAAACCAGAAAGTGGACTATGGCGATGGCGATGGAGTCCTCGTTGCTTGTCCTCAGGAGCAGGCTAGAAAGAGTGCGCAAGCAATTTTACGCAGTGCTAGTACCAATCAATCGAAGGGAAAGGGGACATACCCATGTTGGTTAGGGGTGTCGATACGGGAGTAGAACACACTAGAGTTGCTTGAGAAGGGAGATGAGGAGCTCGCATCAAGCGAACCGTCGCCTGACCAAGTACACACCCTGACTTGAATCAATGGAGTTGGGATCCATGGTCGTTAGCAATTCGAGAGCTTCGATAATCACTAAGGCTCAATGAAACACTGATGATGCATTAATGATTAACGACAGGAACATACTCCGTACCTAGGGTACCTGGGTAAGAAACCGTTGCTTACCAGGCTATCGTTGTGCACCTCGAACCACCACTCGTTACGAGATAGCAGGCAACTTCTCCGGACTCCAGAGTCACAGTCGTAATCGGCTGCACGTCCCAATGCAGTGGTTGCGGTGATGGTTGCGTCTGTGCTTGATCCAGCCTTGAGGTTTGGGCTTGGATAGCCCCTGCTCCTCTGCTCAAATGAAGACATCGAGAATCTCGAAAAGACAAGAGGCTGATGGCCCAAAGCGTCTCTGGCCCGGTTGTCGCGGTGGGCAGAGGCAAACCGCTTGAGAAATGCGCCGTATCGAGGCCTGGAGAGAGATGGCTTAATGCCGCTTGGTCAAGTACTGTACGAGTAGTTCAGCGACGGTCGGCTGCATAGCATCGCTAGCCTCGCCGTCTGAGGAGGTGATTGACTGTGGGCGACTGTCCCTCGTTCAGCGGCCGGGGAGGGGCAAGTCAACAGGGATCCAACCTCCCGCCAAAACCTCACTAAGCTCGACCCTGTTTAGGCGGTGGCACCAAACCCCATTAAAATCTCGGGAGGGGGGCCGCCGGCTAAGAAACGAAGGGGGGCCAATGACTGGCGCACCGGGGAGGAGCATGTCCAAGGTCCCAGTATCAATGGGGGAGGAACTGCCCAGTGCAGACTCCGAGTACTACTACTCAGCACAAAAGAGCAGCTTCATGCGCGACATTGGAAAGTGTTTGGCTGTCACTGCCAGTGCCAACTGCACTGCGTACGGAGGGCACGGACTGCCTCGGAATGGCACTTGACTTGTTTGACAGCACAGACCGACCGACCGGATTTGATCTGCCTGATGTTTGGGTGCTGGTCCCATCTAGACAAGATCTTCGTACTAGGTCCGGACGAGCACCTCGTAGTAGCAGTTAGGGTTTGTGGGTGGCCAGCACTAGCAGCCGTAGCCGGTGGTACCTGGACTTAGGCTCCGGGCTTGGGTCTTGGGGGCGTGCGGGATCCCAGTCGCTTCCACTTGGGTGCCAGTGTGCCACTGCTTCGCAGCTCTTAGTAGTGGCCCCTCCAATCCTAGCCCGCCTCCACCCTCAGTCTTCCCCCTTCGCCCACCTCTTCAGGACTGATCATCTCCAGGAACAGGCCTGAAGAAAGGGACCCAGAAACCCCCCACCTGGGACCCTCCAGCCACTCCCCGGCCTACCAGGAACTTAGTGGATTGCGCCTGACCCGTCCCGGCCTGGTGTCTGCTTCAACCCTCGATCCTCGATTTCTTTGCCTCGTCCGACTCCTGCCCTTCGCTTGTGCGTGGGCTCCTACTCGTCCTCGTAGGCACTGCAGTCTGCGAGTCTGTAGGTCTGCAAAGCAGCTGCAATCCCATTTCCAATCCACATCCACATCCACATCCATCCACCTGCAGTCCACTGCTCCTACCACGACCACTACCGCTACTACAATCCAGTCCAGCAGTCCGCACAACATCGTCGCCCTTCATCTTTCTCCTCTTCCCATCTATCTCTGTACATTATCCGTCGTCGTCGTTGTCACCATCTTCTCTTGACAACAAACTATCTCGCCTTGCTGGCGCAGTTTTACGTACTGCACCAACCTCTCCGGCTATCCCTGACACCCACCCCGTATCTCTTCTGGGTCCTTGATCGGCGCCAATTTTCCGCTCTCGCCCTCTACCGCGCCGATCTTCCTCGGATTTCCAACACCTTGATCTTCCTCGTCATTGTACCTAGTCACCTTCAGATTCAGAGCAAGGCGTTCGTTCTACAAACGATTCAAGTTGAGACCATCTCTACGACTACATCGCTTCGTCACAGGTCAGTCATTCTCAGCTACCATCTCTGACGCGCCAGAACATCCTCCTTTCCCCGTATTTAGGTCTCCCTGCGGAAATTCTTTCGTCTCATCAATCAAGAGTTCATTGATTCATACTGACCAGAAATAGCTCTCCACCAGCGAGCCGTGAGGGTCACCATCTCTCTCGAACTCTCCCATTCCTCGCCTCCCCAGTAATCCCTTGACCTCGCAACCATGGGCTGCGGTGCAAGCAAAGAAGACACGGCCGGCAAGGCTAGGAACGATGAAATCGAGAATCAGCTTAAGAGAGACAAAATGGCGCAGCGAAACGAGATCAAGATGCTTCTACTAGGTGCGTATGCTACCACTCGGTGGCTCACGACGAATGTGTGCTGATATTAACATTCTACTCTCTAGGAGCTGGTGAATCTGGAAAATCCACCATTCTCAAGCAGATGAAACTCATCCACGAAGGAGGCTATTCGCGGGACGAGCGCGAATCTTTCAAGGAGATCATCTTCTCAAACACCGTTCAATCAATGCGCGTCATTCTCGAGGCTATGGAGTCCCTCGAGCTGCCTCTGGACGATCAACGTGCCGAGTATCATGTTCAGACAATCTTTATGCAGCCACCACAGATAGAAGGCGATAGCTTGCCCCCCGAGGTTGGAGCTGCCATCAAAGCTCTATGGCAAGACGTTGGAGTCCAGGAGTGCTTCAAGCGGTCGAGAGAATACCAGTTGAACGATTCAGCCCGATAGTGAGTAGAGACCATCGCACCAAACGCCCTTCGCTTCTAACCTTATTAGCTATTTCGATTCGATAGACCGCATCGCCGCTCACGACTACATGCCAAATGACCAAGACGTGCTTCGATCTCGGGTAAAGACGACTGGTATCACAGAAACCACCTTCATCATTCAAGACTTGACCTACCGCATGTTTGATGTCGGCGGACAAAGATCAGAGCGAAAAAAATGGATCCACTGCTTCGAGAATGTCACCACCATCCTTTTCCTGGTCGCCATCTCGGAATACGATCAACTGCTGTTCGAAGATGAGACTGTCAACCGAATGCAAGAAGCCCTCACCTTGTTTGATAGCATTTGCAACTCCAGATGGTTTATCAAGACCAGCATTATCCTGTTTTTGAACAAGATCGACAGATTCAAGGAGAAGCTGCCAGTCAGCCCCATGCAAAATTACTTTCCCGATTATGAAGGTATGTTCTATCGAATTCTAAGGCTGATCATGTATTGACCAAACACGCTTAGGCGGCCCGGATTATGCTGCGGCTTGCGACTACATTCTCAATCGATTTGTCTCTCTGAATCAGGCCGAAACCAAACAGATCTATACCCATTTCACCTGTGCTACCGATACCACACAAATAAGATTCGTGATGGGTGCTGTCAACGGTAAGTATCACTCTTGTTCCTACCTGCCACTTCTAACTCTCCACAGACATCATCATCCAAGAAAACCTTCGAATGTGTGGCCTCATATGATGACATGAGCATTGCTACAGCGTTGTCCTGTTTAGCTTTGATTTGTCCACGACTGCATATACCACCGGCGTTCAGGGTTGACATCCTCCTTCTCCATTCTAGGACCCAGCTACCAAATTCGTTACACGGCCGTCTTTTTCGCCGGTTGCTTGCACAATTCCACTGATGGCTTCCGTCAGACCAATCAGTCTGTTGACTCTGACAAGGAAACCTTCCTGTTCTTCTTCAATGCGACTGGTTGTTTTTCTCCCTCGTGTTTTGCCCCATTGATTAGCAACATGGACCACGCGGGGCTTATGGTCTTTGGTTGCTGCCACCGCTGAGGCATATTTTCAACCGTACAAAAGGCAACCCTTTTTTTTCTTCTTTCGTTTAAGTTCACGCAGGACTTGAAATGAAAGGAAAGGCGGGATCCAGGATTCTACCGTTTGGCTACGACACGAAGGGCTTGATTTTAGATTGCTTTGCTGAGGCTGGGAAAGGGATTGGAGCTGTAGAGTGTACATCACTTTGATCGAATGGAGAGAAGAAGAGTACGATACAGAGATAAAACACGGAAGTGTAAATTGAGCTCGTTTGACTGCACTAGGTAATTAATCATGGGCGCCCGCATATTTCCTGCTATTGATGTGTGGCCTACCTCGAGGTTTATATGTACAGCCGGTGAATCTCTAAAGGAAAGGATCCATATAACTCTTTAGTTTCACGTGTTTTCCAGAGAATACTCAATCCCGTGGTTTGAAACATGCATGATCAACATTCCCCTGGTGTCACCCATTAGACCTCAATTACAGGGGACAATATCTGAGCTGGGCACCCAGGTGGCACCCAGATGGGTGGAAAACGTTGCTTACGTCATCTCCCACCCCTTCCTTGTAGAGCAGGCTACAAGCACGTGCTAGGAATATCATTGTTAAGTGTTGAAGCCACAGCTTGCAGGGCTACCTCCTAGGGGCCACCACCATGACGCGCAGATCGCAGGGGACCTCCCAGGACGAAGAATTTCCAGACCTCTTCTCGAATCCATCATCGATGCACGGGAGGCGCCGATGTGGAAAGCCAATCGTAATTCGTTGAAGCTTGAGACTATGTGACAGACTGCGCATCGCGGCAGTTCTTGCTTCCAGTGTATGCAATGACAACATATGGGACGCGTGGGCGGTGGCGCCCATTGTGGAAGCCCAAAAGAGTGTTGACGAATCCATACACGGCACTTGCACTTGCAATGAGACGACCCGTCGTAGCCTATCCTCCATGCAAGTAAAAATCCGCCCATTCAAGGTGATCTGCCATTCCATCTAGGTATTGCATTTCTTGAGCTGGCAAGTCGAGGGTTGTGGGAAAGACTTTTGGAGGCTCAGAATTCTGGTCCAGTTGAATGTGTTGTCGAGTTCAAAGCGGCGTCTCCGATTGATTGACGCCGAGATTTTTGCGTTGCAATGTGGTGAGCAATAGTGTTGCTTACTGTGGGATCGAAAGAAAGAGGCTGATCCGGATGATGCAACAGTACAATACATGGCGCGGGAAAAGGTTGTACTGCTTCTTATCGAGGACCTGAGGCTCAGTGTGGCGATAGGAAAGACAGCAGACTCGGGCGTGGATTGACCGGTAGGCTCATGCTTGAGTCCTGGCTGGATCTCGCGGTGGCAACATCATGTTGGAGTGATCGCATTGAATGCCTGCTTCGCCCATACCGCTCCGAGGTCCGAGGAAATCGCATTCGCAACTCTGAAGCTGGAGCTGATTTGAGCTAGTAAATACCGAATTTGCTTTTGTTGCCGAATCGTCTTGGACCGAGCACCCGCAATGCGAAGTGGGAAGAGGAAAACCAACGCAGTGACATTTGTCTCTTGTAACGCAAGCGATGTGCCTTCCAGAATCTTACTGACGTATTCATCAACTTCGACCTGGCAGAGGCTGGGAGTCGTTATATGCCATTTGTTCCAGATTTGATCGTAGTCATAAACACCAGACAGATAAATCGAAATGGCTGAGTGGAATATCCAGGCGATTGTCATTTGATGATCAGCTTTGTGCGAAGCTGGCCAAAGCTGTGCCATGTCTTCCCACGAGGATAAATCAGACCGTAGCCGATGACCTTCCTCAGCGAACGCTACGAGAGCTCTCAGATTACTTTCTTGAAGATGGAGTTCGATGTTGAACTTGGATCGAGTATACTCAACAACTCTTTCCTCCCAAGGTCAGTGGGTCGGAATGAGGAACAAGACCATAGTCATCTCAACTCACCGAACGCACAAGTCAGAGGCAAGTGTCATGATGTCGAGCAATCTCTCTCTTGGACTCCACTCGCCAGCGTAATCGCCGAGCCACATTTCTTGCATCAGGTCAATCCAAGGTTTGGTGGAGAGAAACGATCTCTCGGCGAACAGCATTGCACGAGCGATCTCGAAAATTCTTATTTCAAGAAAAAACTCCCTGCCAGCGCCACGTCGGCAGCCATCCGGAGCTACGGACTGGAGGATTCTTGATGTTCCATAGAGCATGTGCCAAACCCATCCTTGGCCCGAGTCGTCGCACATTAGCTGGGGCGGACGTTAGCTATTTCTCTCCAAAGCACGTCGATGATTAGGGGAATCACACCTCAAACAAGCCCAGGAGGAAGGTAGTCCACGAAAGTTGCAATAGATCACAATTGTCAGCCCTGGTGATTTGATTTCGAAGCGCGGTAATGGCGGCCGTATAGCGGCGGAAAGCATCGGCGGCTGGGCGCCGATCGATCGACTCGTGATTTTTCGCTCTCTGAAGTGCTCCAATGGCACAGATTGTGCTAACAAGGGTTTGGTGAGAACTCAAATGGCCGTGTATGGCAAGCCATGGGGACGACGATCGGCCCGTGAAATTGTTTCGTGGCAGAAACTCCTTGAAGAAAGCCAGAACATAAATCGTGTCAGTATCCACCGGAGGGCTCTGAATGGTGAAAACTTGCGTCTGCAGCACGATTTCCCCGTTGGTCTGGCTTCGGTTCGTGTTGGAGTCCAAGGCGATGGACAAATCGCGAACGGGAAGCTCGCAAAATTTCCCTCGTCGAAGGCAATTATGGCAAGGGCTTCCGCCAGAGCACTGTTACCGTCAGAAGCCAAGATCAAATGTCTTCTATGTCACCGTCTTGCCTTCAGGTGACTCGATGAACACGCAGTACATCTTGAACGATTTTTTCTCAGATCGAAGGGCCCAGCACCCATGGTGTCCCGAAAATCATGGAAGTGCTACTTTCGGTCACTCAATGAGCTCCTCTAAGAAGAAAATGCCGCTTGGTTTCCCTTTAAAGAGATCACTGAGCGAAGCTAAGCTTTGTTCTCGGAAGAAAGTTCGCCATGTAATTTCCATGTGTTGAAAGGTTTGGTGCTGTGCATTGATCAGAAAGTTGCGCAAAAGCAGAGGGCCGAATGGCTATTCCCTTCTCGGTGCGAAATGAGCGACGCTAAAGATCTTGGCATCATCATTCAGCCAATAATATTATACTCCACCGGGGCGCAAGGCTGCGCCTGAGATGAGGATACTCGACGAACCCACATGAGAATCTCGTTGAATGCAGTATAAATCACTGCCTGAGGCCGCACCAGAATGATCCTGCACGACAAGCATCACGCATAGTTGGCCAATTCAGTCCCTCTGTCCAGACGATCAAGTCCCCAAAATGCAATTCTCTTCAACATTCTTCTCAGGTGCACTGCTTGTGCACATTGCGTGTGCGGCGGTGGCCCCTATTCCTCCACCCCCCGGGCCTTATGGAGTCGCCTTACAAACAGCCGAGCTGGTCAACACTGGGATGACTGACCCTTTTGCTCCCTCGAAAGAAAATCGTCGTATCGTCGTATCGGCTTTCTATCCCACATCGAAGAGCAGAGACTGTCGACAGTCGCAAACTCCGTACATGCCACCAGCAACAGCCTATGTCTACGACCAGCTCTATGGCTCAGTGGGACTGCCAAACGGTACCTTCGAGACACTGGCGTTGACTTTGTGCAGTCCAAATGCAACCATGGCAAGACGCAAGCATACGCCGCACCCTGTTGTCCTGTTCTCGCCAGGGCTGGGAAACTCGAGATTGATTTATAACAGTATCGCTGCAACCTTGGCTGCTCAAGGCTTTGTGGTTCTGACAGTCGATCACCCTTACGATGGCGCAATCGTTGAATTTCCCGACGGAAGCTTTGTGCTAGCGGCAAACATTACCAATGATGAGCAGATCCAGACCTCGTTGGATGTGCGCAGCAAGGATATGCTATATGTCAAGCAACAGCTTCACAGTCATACTGTCACGCGAGAACTCTTCAATGGACTGTACGGATACCCCGACCTTGGCAAGGCGTTCCTGTTTGGACACTCATTAGGAGGAGCAACAGCTGCCGCTGCCATGCTGGAAGACAGAAAAATTCTTGCTGGTATCAACCTCGATGGGACATTTTTCGGGGATGTCATCAAGAATGACCTTGATCGACCTTTTATGATATATGCGCATGAAGGGAAGAACCTGTCAACCGACCAGTCCTGGGCAGACACCTGGTCACATCTGCGGAGCTCAAAGCTCGAGGTGACTGTCAGAGGGTCTGCACATGGATCCTACACAGATTTCCCTCTATTGTTGGAGGTGCTTGGTCTGCGAGATCAATTACCTGCTGAGGTCAGTGAGTCAATTGGGGCGATTTCGGGAACTCGAATGCTCGACATTTTATCAACGTCGATTGCTCCATTCTTTCGCTTTGCGGGATGCCAAAACACAGCGGAACAGCTCAAGAGAACACTGTCGCAGGTCTTGGAGATGGAAACGCTGAATTCAACATTTGTGTACCCTCACTGCAATTCACATTCAAGCCCTCTTAAGTTCTTTGGAGAAGCTTATTCTTCTTTGCTTTGAAAATAGTGCTGCGCTTGAAGAAAAGGCTCGGGTACTTTCTGTACAATCTGCTTTTCTATAAAATCTACTTTTGTGATTCCGAGACGCTGAGATTTGTAAAATACGCTGTACCATAGTCTTAACAAGGATACTCTTGGAGCCGCCTTACGAAGCGCGCTACCAGTATACCTAGCGATAGATTACGACGCACTTTATAGCTCCAGAATGACTGACAACTTCCTCTTCCGCAAGACCACACACTTGTGCGGATCTGGCGAGGTTGTCTTACTTCTTCAATCTCTATACAGTTCATGAATGCGTAATCTATGTATACATCCAAGAGCGGGCTTGATTCTTTCGCTGGACGATTCAACCCAGTCTTGCTAACACCGCTTCCCAGCTTCTAGACACTTAACTTCAAAAGAATAGCTACGAGCTGAAAGTTACTTCAACCTCTATCAGGGAAGGCTTGGTCTCTATGCTGACGACCAAGGGAAACCTCACACTATTGACCCTCTGCAGCTATGATTTTAAGGATCATAGGCCGGGTGATATGGATGCCCTAGAAGCAGATGTGGCCATGTCGCTGATGAAAGTATTCTGAAGGATGAATCATCGCGTGAGAAGGCAACTAAAGAATAGTTTGACTCGCGAGCCGCCCTACTCTCTCTCTCTCTCTCACCTCTGATTTGAATCATCCGCACTAACGTATATTCCAAAATAGGACTAGTCTCGCGGAATAATTTAGAGTGTTGGCTATAATCCGAGATGAGCTAGGCCTAACCAGCCTTACCTGCCTGTTCGTGAGCTGTGATTAGCTATATTAGTATGGTTCGCACCAGGTTTGAGTCACTGGATATCTCATTATGCAAACTACAACTTCGATCCAAATCGACTCAAAGTTTGGCATAATTTAGTTCTAGATCTAGTGTCGTACTAGGCGGCAAACGCTTTGTTCCTCGTCGCCGGGTACATTTGAAATAAATTCAGCCATTCGTCACCTTTTCAGCCAGATAATCCCTGATATCAATCAGGGACGGATTTATATAGAGTATGCTGCATTCGGTTGAGCATTGCAAGTAAAGTGAGTAAAGCCAAGGAGACAAATTTAGGGCTAGGGCCAACCGAGAATATCCGTCAAGGAAGTGACCTTCGCGGGATAGTGTAGCCGAGCCTGCAGAGTTCTCATGTGGTGAATGGTGATGGATGTATGGAAGAGTCCCAGTGAGGCAAATAGGCAGTGACATAGTCGAATCCTCGGCCATTACACAGATATACCCTCTCCCTTTCACTCTTTGTCCGCTACGCAATCTTAGCCTCAACGGTGAGTTAATAGATACATCACGAATAGAACTCCTTTTCAGCTGCAGGCGATGAACATCTGAGTCACAACAAGCCCACGCGTCCTCCAAAGCCAAATCATGTATCGCAAAATCTAGGAAAGCAATAGCAGACGGGGAAAGTTGCACATAGCAAAAGAATAATATTTAAGACGGGGCAGCGCTTCACACCTAAATTTCGTGTGAGCCATTAGCTCTTTTTGGCAGCAACTCTTCTTAATTGCTCACATCTCTTATCCCACCCCAGTCAAGGCATTATGGGGGACACTCCTAGTGATCCTGTCCCTAGGAAGGGCCCAAAGCTCGCATTTCATGAAGTAAACGAGGGCAACTGGAAGTCTCAAACCCGGCCAGACCTGCAATCTCGCCCCCAACATATGGTCCCTCCTCGAAGCCAACTAGGACGAAGATGACTGGGTACAAGCCGTCTACGCCGACGAAATGCTTGTCGGCATGCTCGTGATGGCGATATGGGATGCTGGGGATGCCTACTACATCTGGCGATATATGATCGATGCCCGGTATCAGTCTCAGGTACGGCCGACAGGGGGTAGAGTTTGCGATTGCGCATATTCGACAGCATAACACTAAAGCAACGATGCTGAAAATCAACTCAACACCGCCCGAGGGAAAAAAGAGTGAGCATCCAGCGAAGAATGTGCGCCCTGGAGATTCGGCATATAGGTTTTATGAGAACCTTGGATTCAAGCAGATCGGCCTGATGGATGAAGATGGAGAGATCCCGATGGGCATCACATTATGCGAGTAGATAGAAAGTTTTCCAAGAATCGACGTTTGCCGCAGAACTCAGCGGTGAAGCTTGACCTCTCCAAGTTCCATTTCCGTTTCAAACATGAGCCCCTGCCGTTTGCCCTAAGCTCTTACCAGGCCATCATGAGCTGTGGCTGCGCTATCCTATGCTCGGGACTGGCTAGATTGAGGGCCGTCCTATGCAGCGTTGGCATAACTGGGTGCCAGTTAAAGAGTCTCATCCGGGTGTGGTCCTCAGTGGGCCCCGAGCTCGAATCGACCGGTCGATTGTCTATTTTTGCATCCCTGCTAAAGCTCGAGTAAGGCTGATTTTAGGAGTCCAGATTTGGACACCTCCACCCAACGTACATCCTCAACCACAACATCCTGCTTTGCCAACGTGTGCTTGAGATTTCCAGTCCTCGCAGGTGCATATCATGGTAGCTCTCTTAGTACGTTCCACCTCCCGGTATGTAAGTTGGAAGGGCTCGTCCTCTCTCGGAGTCACTCTACACCTTAACGGCAAGGTTACCTTAAACCAATTCAGCTGCCGCATAGTCCGCAATGGATCAAGAAGTCCAAAGACTTTGGTAAGCATGGAACTAGTACCTCCGGTGCGTTCTGACAGCTCTTTGTGCCCTGCCCAGCCGTAGAACCAAAATATGGGTGCGTCGACCACGTTTACTTCGAGCGTCGTATAGTCTTTGAGCTGTCTGACGGACTCCTAAAATTAATTCCACTTCATTGCTTTCTGGAAATCGGGCTGAGGGCCACTTTCTCCAGCTGAATATAGAAACGTTTCTCGATGTATCACCTCGATATACAGCTTGCGTATCGAAGTAAAATGGTGTGGTGGGACAATGGAGCAGAATAGTTCGAAGGCCGGTGGTCCACGAAACGCGAATATATTGCTGGTATCCTGCTAGTACCTAGAGAAGAATGTGCTATCTAAGTTCTGAATGCCCTAATAGTCGGCTTTTAGGTAGCTAGCACCGCCGTAAGGGCTGCGGGATAGAAAAGCGAGTTGGGTGCCTTTTTGTACAACGTAGAAATATTGATTTCCGGAAACTATTTGATGAGTCTAACTTCGTTCATCGAATATTAGTTTACTGAGGAGTAACAAGAAGAATTTTGGTTGGCTAAGCTTTGAGCCTGCCAATTCCAATTGCTCTCTGGCCGCAAGGAGGGTTGTAAAGAGTTTGAAATTGGACGCGGCTTTGGACATGGCTTTTGAGCTTGATTTCCTAAACGTTGAACGTATTTCCTTAACGCTCTGCGTTCCCGCGATCTCTTCATCCTGTCAGTTAAATCTCCCAGGATCATCACAATAGAAAGACTGCTAGGATTTTTGATCCTAGATCCAAAAGATTGAGGCGTTTGGGCGAGCAGCCCTATCGTACCCTCCAATGAGAACGTATGTGTTGGCGAATTTGGACTACGCCGCTTTTGGCAAGCACTCGAGCATGTAATTATGAGATTTCTGTCGCTTTCTTTTCTATGGCCTCTGTTCTTGTTTATATACAAATTTATGAGGCATTTGATCTCCGTGAGCCCCTTCCCCATGATTTCAAATCACTCATTGATTCCCAAGCATTCCAAACGTTGATACAGTGGCGTTTTTTATGACAGGACTCACAGGAGTGCCTCGCAGAGTTTAGTATCCTTATTTTTAGTGCTTAACGTCTTCTGTGAGTTAGTACGCGCTAGAATCATTAGCGCCGACAGTATGTCAAGGCTAGAATAAGTCCCAAGTCACGAATCCGATCCGTCGCCACAAGGTTCTGCCATCTATCGTCGACCAATTATCAATAATCGATTAAACAGATCGACGGAGGCGAGCACGGTCCAAATCTCGCACCTGAGATTAGGTATGTACTCTATTTTCCATCGTCACCCCCCGAGTAAGTGAGTTCCGGGGGATTAGTCACCATGGGCCCCTTCACGTGACTATGTTGGAAATAGGACTAGCCCACCCTTGCAGTTGCCAAGCCCATTGCATCAGTGATAATCCGTTCCGAGTTGTCATGAAGGCCACCCTAAAACGCCCATGGATGACGCAGCAGTAGGATCAAATACTTCTCTGCCCCTTCTTATTGTGTATTATTATTGTTTGTTTGGACTTCCTACATACGGCGCAGCGCAGTTTACATCGACATGTAAATAGCAACTCATTACCCAAGATGTCACTCGCATCTACCCTCTCTCCAATAGGCATCTCCTTTCGTCGTGAACACACACCTACTCAGAACGGCCCTAAGAGTGTTTCCTTCCAACATGAAACCAATTATCTAAATCTCCACCGAACATTGCTACGGCTCCAGCACTTAATCCTCCTCACGCCTGCGCCTATCTTAACCTCAAAACAAGATGCCGGCACTCTACGAGAAAGAGCGCAACTGACGCCACTCCAGAGCCAGATACAAGCCGAGCTATGGTCTCCGCTGCCATACAGCCGTGAGAAGTGGCTGCAGGATGTCGAGGGAGCACGCACACTGCTTCTACAGCTCGAACGCCAGGCACAAAGCATTCGCGTCCAACGCGCAAAGTACGAAGCCATCAAAGATCTCGCGGAGAAGCGAGCGATTGTGAAGAGGTTAAGAAACCGGATTGAAGAGATTGGAAGGGAGGTAGAGCTCATGGGTAGTGATGACTATAAACCGCCCTATCGAGACGATAATGCAGAAACACTATTCGATGCTTTGCGGGAGCACAGCCAGGCAACAGGCAATGAGGATAAGGACCATGGGATATCGAAGGATGGTGTATTGTTCGAGGGGAAGCTTCTCAAGGTTCTTGAAGAGGACGATGGTGCGCCCGATGTGAGAACTGGTCAACGAGAGGAATTGTTCTCATCTTCGGAAGTACGACGACGAGGTGGAAATCAGGATAAATCATCAAACTCAAGTGATGCTCGAACCACGGGCTTTTCGAATCTTCAATCTACGGAACGGTCGCTTTTGGATTCCTCTCGAGTACACGAAGACATCACAGCTTCGCTAGTCAGTATGGCAGCCCAGTTGAAGCAACAGAGTCGTGCGATGCATTTCTCTTTGGAGCAGGACAAAGGTCTTGTTGGAAAGGCACTAGAAGGTCTCGACATCAGCCTTACCGGGATGGAATCTGCCAGCAAAAACATGGCATTCCTCAAGCGAATGAGTGAGGAGGAGGGCTGGCTTGGACGCATGAAACTTTACGCGATGATCTTCGCGATGTGGATTGCGGCATTCTTGTTGGTGTTTGTGTGCCCCAAACTGAGGTTTTGAAAGAGCAGGCGCAAGGCGAGGCTCCACGTGCAGAAGTCAATAGCAACACGGTGACGGCAACATGCAGCGTGCACGTCTTCGGGGCCAAGGGAGTGATCGTGCTTGAATGCTTGGTTTGGCATTCAACCTTGGTGACTGCAATTGGGCACTGCTGGTCACCGAAATCAAGCAAGCAAGCAGAGAGCTCATCACGCCTATTGCCCTATGAATTTCCACAACGTAATTGTCCACAACGCAGATCCTCTTGAATAAGTGCTCGAACACGGTTGAGCAGCAATTGACCAGGCCTCGTCAGTGCCACATGCCATCTTGCCATTTTGCTTGAAGTGGTGGGTTGGAGAGCCATGCAATTTGCATGCAGCCCCCATCGCCCTTGCGATCGGGTTCTTTGTGGAATAGCAGCCGCCCATGAGGTGGCAGCTGTACAGCGTACGACTACAAGTAGGCATTTCCCTACTCACAATCTTTATGTCTGTTCTATATCTGTGTACTTGTCAGGCCCTTCCCGGGCCTCCTCTACTTACTTGTGGCAATGTTCACTCGTCTGTGTACGTCTATTCTAGTCTAATAGACGTGACCCGCGGGACTTGATCCACGGTCCCCATCTAGTCCTTCGTTCTGTATATGTAGACGTTTATCGCTGAGTCACCTGTATAGTTAGCTGTCCCTAGCAATAGTCGCTCATTTAGGATGCACTACATAAAGTATCGACATAACTATAGTAGTAGATAATATATCTTAAAGATCTATTTAAAGTTATAGGTAGTATCATAAGCCTATAGCACTTAGATACGAGCCTTGGGGCCCCACACTTAAGGTTTGCCCAGCAAGCTTATGAGAGGCATCTATTACAGACTAGTAGTGCGAGCCCACGACAGCCTAGGGCTTACTCCACGGACCAAAACACAGATGTTGTTAGTAAAGGAGATAAACATATTTAAAGCTATATTCTGTACTGTGTATAACAAGGAGTGTTCCATAATATACTAGGTAATTATCGTAATATTGTATTAATAATATATCTCTTGTTAACTCCGCCTCTTTAATATGAATTCTTCATACTATAAACCATAGCTAGGTAGGAGAACGAAGTACCCGAGTTAGCTCTTTATTGTAGGTATATGAAAGGGGCCACTTCCTTTCCACGTACCGAAACTGCAACATTAGGTCAGGGCGGCTTGTGGGTTGTAAAGGGCGATTTTTGGAGCTTCAGCACGTCGTTTACGAGAGGATCACCGCGTTATTGAGCTCCACCCCGCACTCAGAGACAGTTTGTCTGTTGCTCTGAGAGTTGTCAGCGGACACCACGTGGAGATGGGAGCTCGTTGTACGCCTTTGAGCCATGGCAGTGGCAGAATATCCAACCTGAATGAGAAGTCCCAGGAGGTCCGCATCTTGTAGGCCAGGGGCCAATGAGAAGACCTTCTTCTCAGCCGATATAAAGCTGACAATATTACTCGACTTCCGATAGCCAGATATTTGTACTACCAGCCTCTCGCTTATCAACGATCCTAGATTAAGGGTCTCACTTTTCACTATGGTCGATGAGGCTCATCGTCATTTACCTAGACACTCTCTCTTACGTCTCGAGATACCCACAGTGGGGTGACAAGGTATAGGCAACTTGAGACGACCATGCAAACACCTGTAAATACCTGCATGGGCACGTAGTTCGTGTCCCCCGCATTCTCGAGGAGTCTTCCACCAATGGGACCTCCCCCTAGGACTGCAAAAGCAAAGGCTGTGATGATCAGGGAGTCGAAAAATCCGAAGCCAGTATCAGCCACAATACCCAAAGCGTAGCACCCAAAAAAGGCTTCAGCGTCCAGTATCGGTGCAAGATAGAAGGCCATCCGCGCCGAGAGTCCATATTGATAGCCGTATATCGAAACATAGGTCTAGATTCGGTTCAGCATGTAAATGGGGAGGAAACAAAGGGTAGAAGATTGTCTTACATAGTGGATGTAGATGCCCAAGTTCATAATGAAACTTGCCAGAGTGAAGAGCAAAGTCCGTTTATCGGTCAAGTAGGTCTTGATTTTGATGGATTCGCGTGGCATTTCGCGTGGGAACGGTGGTTGAATCAGGATCACTGCAGCCACCATCAAGGCTAGCTGCATGAAGCCAATGATGCGTAGGGTCCAACCCAACGAGACGCCACTGTAGTTGACCAGCTGGTTCACGAGAACTGCCCAGATAACACCTAGACAGAAAAAAAGAGAATATGGGATTAGTCAAAGGTCGTTGAGATATCACATGGAGAAGCACATCGTATACGTACCACCGACGTTCTGGCCCGAAATGACCATACCGATTACAAATTTTCTCGCCTTCAGGAAACACTGAGACTGGACGGCCAAAGCCGGGGTGAAGGCAAATCACGTAGACGTCTGGAAGCTAGGCTGGCTTGTCCTCCCCCAATGCCATACGGGCAACTGCCTCGCCAGCCGACCAGCACTGGCCCATACCATACCCATTAAACTCCACAGCGGCCCATTCGCCATTGTCTACATCTCTCCCACTCAATCTGGCAGGCACGGGGGCCACGATCGGAGCCTGATCTGCCGTCATGCTCAGGATTCCGCACCAAGTCCATTGGAGTTTCATCGAGGGGATGGTCACCCCAGTCTCCGGATCGGTCCAGCCTTTCGCAAAAATTTGCTGAGGGAGCAAGGTTTTCAAGTTATTCGGCGCATCGATACTGACAGAGGTATCGTTGGAAGTGATGTAGTCATCCAGCTTCTGGGTGTCGCCTCCGTAGAAGAGATTGCCGGCCTCGGCATTCTGTTGCATCCAGCAGAGACCTTGCTCGACCAGGTTGGTCTCCGGATTCCAGCTGATGGGTACGTGCCAGAGCCACGACACGGCACGATTGCCGAATTGCGGACCTGGTCGGTCGCACGACATGGTCAATCTGCAAGGGAAGACGGCGCCTCGGAACTTGGGGAGAAGATGGCCGACGAAACGGACGGTACAATGAAAGACCTTGGCGGCGCGTACCACGCTTCGAGGGGTCGTCAACACGTACGGATACGCAGAATGAGGACCGTCAGAAGATACGGCAACCGACTTCACGCGAGTGTTCGTCGCAATGGAGAGCCTTTCCGGATATTGAGCGAGGAGACGTTGGTATAGCCCTGTGATAACGGCCAGAAAACTCGAGACTGCGTGGTGAATGCGCCAACAATGTCTTTGAGCCCATGATCCTGTTGGAAGACGGCGTTAGCATTCAGAAAGAAAGCTACTTGAAACCAGGAGGTGTGGAGATTTCATACTTTCTTGGCTTGCTCCTTGCTGACCTTGCCATATGTTCCTCGAAACTCGGGAACGTCTTCCGGGTACATTTGTACTGACTCGGAGAATTTGGCCATACTGTCCTCGTCGGCGAAAGCGATGACTGTCTGAACCTCGCGAATCTGGAATTCACCATAGAGGTTCTCTGCCTTTAAGAAAACCGCCGCAGTGAATCATACCACGTCGAGAGAGGGGTTAGAGGAAGTCGCGATCTGTTCTACAGCACATGGTGCTCCGTAGCCGCACGGCTGTGGTGGTTTTTGGACCAATGCGCCGCTCTGCTGCCGTCACACAATCGAGAAGTTTCCTCCAAGCATTTCAAATGTAGAGCAGATAGTGAACGATATCCTCATCGAATTTGAGAAGCAACAGACTCCCGATATTTCCTGGAAAGAGCTCTTGACCAAATGCTGAGATCTGAGCGACATGTCGAGATGCTGCGATCAGGGAAGGCTTCTTCAGCAATCGTTGAAACTCCCGGATTTCATTCTCAGACTGGATTTGTTACTACCAGAAGTTGATCGATTTCCTATCGGTGGGTTGGCAGTTGAGGACGTGAAAGAACACGTCTCCGACGTTCGGCTGTTGCTCGCCCAAGTTCGGCTGCGCTCGTTTAACATGCAGCTCTGCACTTGAATCTCCCGCGGTGTCCAGGGACACCCTCTCCTCTTTCGCGCAATAGAAGACCTTCAGGGTCTGACTTACCCGATGCATAGCAGTCCACGATCCACCACCGCTCGTCGACGGACAAATGCGGCCTGCCCGCTTCGGCACGGTGTCGACCGGGAAGACATTGAATGCAGAAGGGCTCGGGAAAGATCAGGACTAGCTATCTCAAAGGGTCGTGATGGAACAGTCTGTCAGGCAATAGGTCCGGAAGCCCTTGAGGATCGCTCAAAAAGACTAGAATCTTTAGTTTTAATTTACTTAATGCTAAAACTAATCTTTTTGTTATAGATAGAATAAATATTCTGATAGATTGGAATGTTCTTAACGAGATTCTTAAAAAGAAAGTGTCAAGGATAGATTTAATAACGCTACGTTGAGAAGAATCTATATGAAGTTTCGGACTATCTAGTAAGCTAATGTACGCTATTTTCTAGTTAAAGCTTGAGCAAATTACTGTGGCTAAAATCTCTGGTGGCGTCTTCTCGGCGCACCCCGAAAAAGATCTCTACGCTGTGTGTTCTAGCGTTACACCTACGTCACCACAACACAAGATCAAGGTAGATTCTGCCTACAAATGCTGGCTTGTTTCCTTCTTTGAACTACTCTCACTACTCATGCACACTCTGATCCAGAACACCGAGACTGGTTGTACCTTTTAGACCCTTCAAAAGAAACCAGCAATTCCCTAGTCTCAAACCAACCTCATTATGTCTACCAACGACAACACCTCTTCCCTCAAGTCAGTTGTTGATACTGCTACAGGTTATGTGCAGTCTGGCATTGCCTCCTTGACTGGCAGCGCTGGTGATCAGGTACAGCGACATCCGTCCCCTCAACATTTCCCACTAACACCATGTAAGGCTAAAGCAGACGAATACAAGAACGCGGGCGCTGCTGAGTCTGACTTCTCTCACACCGCAGCAAAAGCTGGTCCTTTCACCATCAGCTCCTCCGGTGCACCTGCAAAAGACAACCCGGACCGCAGCCAGGGTCAATGGGATCAGACCATGGGCAGTGCCAAGGAGACTGTCGGTGGTCTTCTAGGCAACGAGAATCTCAAACACCAGGGCCGCGAGCAGAACCTCCAAGGTCAAGGTCAAGAAGCGAAGGGTCAATTATCTGATCTTAGTCAAGGAATTAGTGATCGTGTCCAGGGATCTCTTGGTGGCGCCGTTGCTGGCCTAACCGGTGATCGTGAATCTCAAGCCAAACATGCCCAGCAGCATGACGAAGGGAAGACCAGACAACGTGGAGTTGAATTGGATCTGGACGAACAGGCCAAGGCACAGGAGAGATCGAGCGCCTGAGCTTAGAGATGGTTATGGTCATGATTCACGGCGCCTCCCACAGCCTCAGAGCATTGTTTGATTAGCATACTTCATGATACCCCTCAATTGAATCTTTCATATCCAGCCAGGTGACCTTGATCTTCCCCGCCAGATATTAATTTGTTAAGTAGTTACTATCGACTCCGCAGATACTTATTTGGTATTATGATATCTCATGAGAGTGCAGTTCATTCCGCAAGTCAGTAACCACGACGCACAACACATAAACAAGTCAGGCCAGCAGACAGAAGCTGCCAAAGCAATACATCGAGCACTTTCAGTTTCGCCGCCCACACAATTTTCTGCACCTGGTGATCACCATCCCTACTCGTCCAACGTGAGAGCATACCAAGCATACGAGCCAAAAGGTACCTCCTTGTCAGATAATTACTACTCAACAGCCGAGGATAACAGGTCCGCTGGGAGGAGTCCACTTCTCCGCACCTCCGAACCGCATCCCTTCCCCGTACCGAGGGAACGTGATAGAAACACATACATAGGCATGTTAGATGCCAAAGCACCAGATATCGCGAAAGGGAAGGGGTTTCAACTTCTCTTCTATCAAGTCTTATCAAGATTTGATATGTGAAGGCTTTCGACGTTGCTAGTACGCCTTTTGAATCTTGATACGGATACTGGGTAGCCATCAAAACCCACAATCTTTCGCGGCGCTACTTCCATTCATTCCTAGAGCTCAAGGAGGAAAAATTCCAATTCCACCAATTAAGTCTTAGATTCGTCATAAAACGCAGCCTAAAAATAACCAGTATGGGATCCAAGCCGCAACGAGTCGAGACTCCCGTGGCAGGCCTGCCAGCGATAAAGCGCCACATCGCAACACACGACGCGGCGGGGACATCAGTCTACGTAGCCTCTCCACCGCCGCAGCAATACATCCGGATCCCTGGGACGGGCGGAGTCGCGCGGTCGTGGTCTGTGGGATCCGTGCCGGCGAAGCTCGAGGGCGATGCAGACATGAAAGCGTACCTGGCCGAGGACGGCGCCACGAGCTGGACGCACCCGGCGATCGTGACGCCCAACGGTGTGAATGCGTTGGTCGTGGATCTGGAGCCTGGGGGTGTCAGCGACATGCACCGGACGGTGTCGATTGATTTCTCCATTTGTGTCATTGGTGAAATCTTGCATGAGCTGGATGGTGGAGAGACGGTGTTGCTGAAGCCTGGTGTAAGTTCTCTTGTGTTTTCGATCTTTTTGAGCATATTGGTTGTTCTTCATTTCCAGGTTCTAGACACTGCTTCCATGTTGTGACTACCCTTACCTAGCTCCTGATTGAGTCTCATAGTCATATGGCGATTGCTTTGACCACTGCTGACAGTGCGCGATGTGCACAGGATCACATCGTTCAGCGAGGTACGAACCACAAGTGGCGCAATGCTTCCAAGACAGAACCTGCCCGCTTCATTGGTGTGACTTTGTCCTGCGAACCCTTCGACATCGCGGGAAAACAACTGCAGGAGAAGTTCGCCGGAGATACCTTTGCCGACGCCGCAAAGGGAAAATCGGCAAGTAATTTGTAAAGACCCAAAAGCTCTTGTAGAAGTCTCCTTGCTTGCTGCCCTTGACCCGAGCCTCACATAAAGTTCTTGCCTCGTCTGTGGGATACCGTTGCACGGCTGGAGATATAGCAAGAGTAATAATTCATGTCACGATTGACCCGGCGCCGTGGATCAGCTTGAACTGTCTTCCCCTTGTACGCTCAAGCTTTCTCGCTTTGGGCCTCAAGATACCATCATATGAAAAACTCCGTTTCACCGTGTTAAGACTGTTTGTTACCTTGAACAAGATCAGTCCTCAAGATGCAAGTAGTGTGTTATCTGCCATTGCACATCGAGGCGGTGTCCCTTTTTCCTCGGTTTCTTGCTTCGTGGTTGAGATTTCGCAGAGCTTGTGCTATCTACACCGCTGGGAAGCCTCATGGACTAAGAAAACGAGAAACTGCAGCTTCATAGGATGAAGTAGTCGCATTGGTCTTTCATACCCGCCCCACGAATCTTTAGGATTTCCTGCGCACGCACCTCTGCGGCTTCAAGTTCAGATGCGCTCATTGTAACTGTGGACACGTTGATCAAACATTGGATAGCCCGACTACTTACCCGACCATTGCAATCTTGATGGAAGCGTAGGCCACTCTTAAAGCACCCGCGGGCTTCTCTGCGCAGCTGTTGCCTCAATGCGATTTGTGTCGTGTGAGTCTGGAATGAGCCCTTCACTTGAATTACCTTCCCCAGCAGGATCTGGGCGTTCACCAAATATTCGTTTGTCAGGATTAGATCTTTTTTGGTCGAGTGCCTGAAGGGACATGGGGTTTAAGCTAGCGATGGCCTCATCCAGTTGAAATTGGCATTTCAATGCTGAAGCAAGTTCGAAAGTTGGTTCTTCCACGCCTTCCACTTCCATTCCAAAAGGTCGCCGTCGGCCCTTTACTACGCCCCGTAGCTAAGGGGTAGCCTCGGAGAGTTTGTGTGATCTGTTGAGGAGGATGCCAATGCGATGGGCTTTGCAGAGCATGGTTGGAGCTCTGGTTGCGACTGACGCTATTCACGGAACCAGCATCCAGAAAGCTCATGGCATCTCCGCAAGCATGGATCCAGGCCAATATGCCCTCCTGGAGGAATTTTGGTTGGAGTTCACCAGTCCAGAGGGCGAGTGATTACGACTGACGCTGTCACGGATAGCCTACGAATTGTTTCATTTGAATATCGAATCGTAAAGAGGCAGGAATTTCACGAGACATGAACAAGTCATGGCTCTCGCCTTATACGAACAAGGGTGACGGAACCTTCGGTTCAGAGGAAGAGCTCGAGGAAGAATATGCTCCACATGAGATCGTGGTAGAACTAGGGTCCCCAGCATTCGAAGAATACTTGGGGGATGAGGAAGCCGAGTTCGATGGGGACACGTCCGGGTCAGATGCTGAGGACTTGGGCAGACTCGAAGACAACATGAGGGGCGATGGCAAACACGAACATGGTCTGGATAGACCTATGTGGTGGATCTGTAGCTGAGATAAAATCATCCCCACTAGAATTTTCCTTTCGGGTTGCACCAAAGGTCTTCTTTGGAAGGTGGCATATTATCAATCTACTTGGGAAGTGGCCATCATCCAAAGTTGAGAAACTCAAGGCACTTCTTAAAACCATCAGAGTTCCAAGATTATGTCCAGGGCTATCATGCCTCTGACTGAATCAACATATACAAGAAAAGGGGTAACCGTTATTAGGCCCCAAGATGCCTAATTTTGTGCATAGCTTACGCTATTAACAAGCACTTTGCAAGCCTTGGTATCGCTTGCATTATTCACTCACCCGCACTCACAACCACCTGTCTTCCTTTTCGAAGCCTCGGCAATTGGATAGGTACAAGAAGGGCGGCCATGATGACTGATGCTACGATAGCACACAAAAAGGTAGTTCGAAGTGATGTAGCATAGGAATCAATGACTAAAATACTCTTAGTATGGTCATAAAATGGATTATTGCGCATCCTCACCTTGTCCTTGAGTTTTGGGCTCGAGGGTCTTTATGCTCTCCACGGATGATCGGACTGCACGGATAACTGAATCAGAGTTTGGGCCTGAGACATTCTTTCTCAAGCTTGTCGTAAGGCAATTTTGGAACACCAAGCTGGATATTGCAACTCCCAGCACAGTCCCTAAGTTCCTCCACAGCCCGATGGTTGTCGTCACCACTGCTTGGTCAGCCTGATCAGAGACTGCAAGCGCACTCATCATGGTGTTGGGAAATACAAATCCTTGACCGAGCGGTACGCCTGTGATCAGTATCAAGATGACTAGTTCGGAGGTGTTTTTGTTGATGCAAGCCACTGCGATGGACCCAATAATGTAGACGATAGCGCCAAAGACCAATGTTGGTTTTAACCGCCTGGTGTAGGTTATGATATACCCAGTGGAGATACCTGCGAACGACCCAAGAAGACTGGGGATTGCCAGGCGAAAGCCAGAGCTTGCGGCGCTTGTGAGCAGAACCGCTTGGAAAAAGAGCGGAATGTTGAACAGAACGGTGTTAGAAGCAATTCCGCCCAACATGTTGGCAAAGACCATGTTGGCGATCGGGGGCTTACTGAGTAGCCGAAAAGGCATCAAAGGATGCCTAACCTTGGACTCAATGGTCGCGAATATGCATGCAGCAACAACGAAGGCTATAGCACACGATATGACTGGAAGCGATACCCATGGATATATGTTGCCTCCAAGATTCAGTGCAAGTATCAGGGTCGTGACTGTGGTGATGAGAAAGACCGATCCAAGCGAGTCAAAGTTTTTGAGGGCGATCCATGCACCACCTTCGTCTTTGTTGATCAGCATAGGTCCCAAATTCGGAGGTGTGAAGATAAGAGCCATGACGAAGCAGGCAGCAATGAAGGGAACCTGAACTCCGAAGGCCCACCTCCAGCCGAAGGCGTCACACAGCCAGCCACCAAGGGCAGCTCCAGAGGCCGAACCGAGGCCAAAAGAAACATTAATGTGAGACTGGAACACACCTCGATCTTCAATCCGGACAAGATCAGAGACGATTATCAGGCTCATGGACATGGTGCCGCCAGCACCTAGCCCACATGCAGCTCTCGCCGCGATAAAGCTCTCGATGCTGTTAGCAAGAGCGCACCAGAGGGTTGTCAAGCCGAAGATAGCGAAAGAAAGCAAAAAGATTGATTTCCTGCCAATTGTGTCTGAGAGGCGTCCGAACAGGGGCTGGAAAGCGGTGCTTGTGATAAGGAAAACCGTACTCAACCATGACGCCACCTGTGATGCACCGAAATACGACGTTATCACAGGATGACTTGATGCCATGAGAGTCGAATCGAAGCATGCGACAAAATAACCGAGGACAACGACACCAAAGACAAGCCAAAAACGTGGCGGGGATATGCCTATGAACCTAGTGTCTTCACTTGGACTCGAGTCTTCGAGCGCTGCTGGCTCCACATCACGCTTAACAAAAGTGCCATAAGTTGGTGTCTCCGATGTTCGGGCGATTAGCGACTTCGAAATTGTCTGTGGCCGCTCGTCGCTTGATGTGCTGTATGGTTCCGCTGAGGCTATAAATGCCCCAGAGTTGAATGAACCGAATTGGGCGAAGCTGAGTTGGAGCTCATCGACATCCACGTCACTTGAGCGGGAAGAGCCTGACGATGAGTCGCGACGGAAAACGCCATTGGTGGGGAGTGACCTGGGAAAAGAAAACGTTCGCCTCTCATCAAATATTCCCCAGCTTGCTAGGCCGTCCATTGACTGTGCCGTCGTATGACATTGGCCCTCTGCACTCAACCACTGATTGGCCGTAGAGGAAGATGGTTGTGGCATAGGAACAACTATATCAATTGCATATGCGCCCTCGGAATGAACAGCAGAAGCTGACTTTAAGAAGAAAACTCCAGGCTTGTGCACAAATTAGAACTGCCAATTGCTATCATGTATAAGGTTCGATGTGATACCAGAGGCCAAAGTTGTTCCGATAGCCTTAACAGAGGGGACATTGTGTATGGACCCAACATTAGAGAGCCTTTAAATATAGCGTTTATGGAGAACTTTTCACATCAGGTATCGCAAGGATCTTACTAGGAACATCCAATATGTTGATAGAAACCTTCTCTCCGTATAGACAGCAGTCGGCGTGTGTGGTCATTTGGCCGCACAGCCGGCCGTAGCTCTACTCGATGCGCCGTATACCCATTCTTACTGACCCATGGCCGACAGGCCAAGAGAGCTTATGTGAAAGTTGGGCGTTGGGGAGCTCGGATCGACACCACCCCACTCGTGCCCACCTCAGTCCACCGCAATCCAGAGTGCTAGAGATAAGGAAAAATCATCAAGCCAATCATCGTACATCTTTCCGCGCAAATATCATATGTCTCTGGCAAGCAATGACAATCTCATTAGCCGTGGGCGACGGCATCACCAGAATTTACTCGGCAAATGCAGAATTCTGTGGCCGATCCTCAAGGCCGATTCTCGCGCTCTCGCGAGATTTTTGCGGCAAACGAAGGCCAACGGCGAGAGCAGTGGTCCCCAATGGCCCCTGCGTGCCTTTTTCGCACTGCAATTGACGTCGCTCCGCGGTTTTACATGGGGGAAAGACAGCCTGGGACAAACTCGTTGGCCGTCACCAGAGTCTACCACCAATTAACCCCAATTAACCCACTTAGCAGTCGGCCAGAATTGACCATTATGCCGTCTGCCATCGAGATATTTAAATAAGCGATCCGGACAGCCATGATGGCGTCTGTCCATCAGCACTTCTCAACTTCTTCTCAGCAGAGCTTGCCAGCCTCCACATCCAACGAACGGGACGACAATCAAGGCAAGATCGAAAACATGTCGGATACAGAGTTCAACAAGACCAACACCAGCTCGATGTCGGCTGACAAGGACATCAAACTCCTGGAAGATGGAGTGATAACCACTGGCCAGGAGGGAGACAGCCGAAGAGTGTCGGCAAGCATTGCCATTGACCCTGCGGCCGAGAGACGCCTTGTCTGGAAGTTTGACCTCCGTATCCTCCCAACTCTCGCAGTCATGTACCTGTTCAACTCTCTGGACAAGTCGAACCTGGGAAACGCCAAAACAGCCGGCCTCGAGAAGACCTTGGGCCTTGTGGGTAATGACTACAATCTTATCCTATCGATCTTCTTCATCCCCTACGTCCTTACAGCTCCTTTCTTGGGCATTGCAGGCAAGAAATGGGGACCTGCCAACGTCCTACCCATTATGATGTTCAGCTTTGGAACTTGCACCCTTCTCGTGGTCGCTGTTCAAAATTTCGGAGGGCTTCTAGCTTTGCGATGGTTTCTTGGAATGGCTGAAAGTGCTTTTTTCCCAGTGGGTGGCTTTCACAATTCTGCAATTTATGGACAAGAATTCAGATGCTGACCGCGCTTTAGCTTGTGATCTACTATCAAACAACATTTTACCGCCGCGGTGAACTCGCCCGCCGTCTCGCTATTTTCTACGCGGCGTCATCGATCGCATCGGCTTTTGGTGGCCTGCTCTCGTATGGAGTTTTCCAGATCCAGGGAGGCAGCCTCGCCAATTGGCGATACCTCTTTCTCATTGAAGGCAGCTGCACCATCCTATTTTCATTCTTCGCTTTCTGGTATCTCCCCAGAGATGCCGCGAGCGCCAAATTCCTGACTCCAGAGGAGAAGCAACTAGCATTCTACCGGATTCAAGTCGATTCGTCCTCCGTTGTCGGAGAGAAATTCAACTTCCGATCTGCCATGGCCATCTTCAAGCACCCAACGAGCTGGATCATCCTCGGGATTGAGATCTGTCTCGGTGTGCCGTTGCAATCCGTGTCATTGTTTCTGCCTGTTATCGTCAAACGCCTTGGCTATTCCACGGTGAAGACCAACCTATACACTGTAGCACCAAACATCTCCGGCGCTGCTATGCTTCTCATTCTAGCATTCGCCTCCGACTACACCAGACTCCGATTTCCCTTCGTTGCACTCGGCTTCGCTTTCACCTGCATTGGGTTTATCATCTACGCCACAGTCGACATACATTCTCAGCTGAACGTCGCTTACTACGCGTGCTTTATGATGACATGGGGGACTAGTGCACCCAGCGTGATTCTGGATGTATGGTACAACAACAACATTGCGGACGAGAACAAGCGAATGATGCTGACCAGTATCGGCGTCCCGGTCGCCAACCTGATGGGTGTCGTTTCCAGCAACATCTTCCAGAATAAGGATGCACCCAAGTACATGCCAGCTTTGATCACAACTGCAGCTTTTGGAGCCTGTGGGTGCTTTCTCACTCTTCTCCTCGGTGCTTGGATGGTCATTGACAACAAGAGACGGGATGCTAATGATGGAAAGAAAGTCAGAGCCATCGATATTCCTTCGGAGTTGTTGGCTGCCGGTCCCAGCAGTCCTAACTACCGCTGGTGCTATTGAGAAGTTATCAAAGTGCAGAGCGAAACGCGGCGAGAATATGACTTATGACGACTACCTGGACCGGGGAGAACGGAACAGGAGTCTGGTTTCGAAAATGGGGTGATCGTTGTCCTAGACGACGAATGATGACTTGCTTGTTCACTGCTGATTCATGAGTGATTCGAGCACGATGGAGAGGTCCCTTTTGTTTTCCTTATGCTGCGAGATTATTACTATGATACCTTTTATAGCTTCTCTTGTTTTGGCCCGGGGAAGAAAAATTTACTGCACAACTTTGTTGCACAACTTTTCATTGTACAAGTTTCCAAGTGCCTTCCTCAATTGACCTTCGACCGTGATCACAAAGCCTGCGCACCTTTCTTAATCATTCCCCAATCTCGGAGGAAGAGCTGCCAAACTGTTCAACTCAGCTCAAATAACATAGTCCCAAAAATCGGCAAAGGCTAAACGCACAAGTGACACTAGAAAATTCCTGAAGCTTATGCAGCAGCACTTGCCACATCCGCTGACCATTGGCCGTTATCTTCCATCCACCAACCGGCGTCGAAGTCGATCCCGTTCAGGCTCGTCAGATTGTGCGGGAAGAAATCATACGAAACTCCCGACCAGGGTGTTGAGGGTGAAGTGAATATGGACGGCCCGTCACCCATCTCCGAGTTCACATCATCACCAGTCGTTTTTGTCAAATTCTTGGCCATGTGATCGAGTGCCGTCGCTGCAAACTTGGCGGGCCAGAAGCTAGTCCCATACGCCGAGAGCAGCTTCCGATAGTATTTAAATCGGCCGTCCCAGTACCTTACGCGTGTATCATCAGTGGAAAGGCGTTTCAAGCTGGCCATGAAAGTGCCAGCAAGTGCGAGGTTGAATCCTGAGCCTACATGCAGAATTAAGCCAAAGCGGAGAAACGGATATGAACAGAACTTACACGACCACCAGAAAGTACTCAGCCTGTTGATCTGCAGTGTCTCTACCAAGGTGATCATGCTCGAAGTACACTCGACAGCGAGCTCAAATTGGCGATCTAGAGAAAGGTTTCTTCGATATAGCTTTGGAAATATACCCCGTAGCAGCATGATTCTAACAGTGTAGAAGGCGATTTCCAGGCTGCCTGAGAGAAGATTTTAGCGAGTCGAGTCATCTCTCCACCAAGATGCCTTACCTGTCACGTCAGGAAAGAATCGCTGAACGAGGATGTGATCCAGGTATGTGGCGCGCCAGTTTACAAGTTTCTGCTCGATTCGATCAGAAACATCAATGATATGTTCACCGGTAACTGTTCTGAGCTGTACAACGGAACTGAGGGTAAAGAAAATCGAGAGGATCTCGTCCAAGATCACGGTCAATTCAGCCATGGCAACGAAGCAATGAATACCAGTAATAAGCTCCGGCCGCTTCACAGGTTCGCCATCAGGGCCATCGCTACTCGCTGCTGTACCCTCAAAATCAATTGCCGATAGCATGGGTGTTGTTGTGTTACTGTCCCTGATGTATGATGGCCGTCCAAGTGCCATCGCAAACCTAAGAATTTTAGAAACGAAAAGTCGAAAACGATATCATATCGTGTCGGTCCGCGCTCACCATTTGTCTTGCATATACATTGACCACCACAGACGTTTTCTGCGCCTTTTAACAGCTTCCGGAATGCTCCAGGCTGAGCAATCGATATTGAGGCCAAGATCATGACAGATACCAACAATGGTGCCAATCTAGGGAGAACAAATTATCAACATCGGCAACTGATCCAAAGGGAGAATTTCAACGGCGTCTCGGATGATAGTACTGTCATCGCTGACCGGTGAAAGGCACATGAGACAAATCAGGATGAACTCACCACAGCCCACATCCCCGGGGCACTCGTGCTCCTACAGCAGTCAGCTCGTTCCAAGCCAGCTGAGCTCCAAGAGAAGACTCACATTTTGCCTCGTAGTGCTCTTTGAGTGAACAGAATAGCGGCTTCTACAGTCTCAAGGGTCGGAGATCTCGCTTCAAGCAGTAATAAGGCAGAAAACCCTTCAATCAGAACATTATTGTCCAGTCCTTGCAATTCAGGGGAGGTATATTTGGAAATAATGGCGATTGCGTTGGTCAGCAGCCGAGAATTATGCTTCTTTGCTCGGCTTTCATCTAACAGTGGATATGCTGGATGGGACTGTTCGAAAAAGATTGATTGCACCACTGCTGCGTCCGGATCAATAGGCCGAGCATGATTATTGGATGTTTCGGAGAATGCAGATGTCGACGAGGATGCCCGCTCCTTGAGTGAATAATCAGCTATCACTTTCATGAGTTCGGACCTGAGAGGCATATTACCCTGAAGTATGCCTCCCGTGCTGGGTCGTTTCCAATTGCCTGATCTCGCTCAAGGGCAAAGTACACATCGTCCGTCCCACTTAGGCCAATATATTTCCCTTCACCAATGTTGACTCCGCTCCTCGGAGGCTCATCTGCGCGGCCACTTGGTCGCAGCCCCGTGTTCTCCTGTATTGGCCCACTGGATGGTCCTGTAGACTGGGTTGCAGAATTTGCCGTGGGAGTTTCAACTGGCTTTACCTTCCGTTTGCGCGCGGATGGCTCTGAGCTGAATGTACATGGAATGGATCGCCTGCTACATAGAGCACAGTCACCCTCAGCATCTCTGACACAGCATACTCGTCGGCGACGGCAATTGTCGCAGGGTTTTTGCTTTCGGGATCGATACTTCCTCGCTGGTCCAACATCGGCCGACGCCATTATGACGTGTTCCTGCCTATGTTAAGAAGGGGGATCAACATATCTCTGTACTTGCAATTCGACATGGCCATGCGGCCATTACAAGCTTGCTTTTCAAGTGCTCTAACCACATTGTTCTTGACAAAATTCTTGAACATAATCTCGGACTACGATGACTTTGTTTCGCAGTGGTGACAGCATTCTTTTGATTGGAGCAGTTTCGATAAGGGAGATAAGAGACGGCGCTAGACTATTTTCGATTTCGAGGCTTGACACGTCGCGTGATTTGGAGCTACTCCGGGCTGTTTGAAGCCCAAGTGCAAAAGTGTGAGAACCTCAGCCTCGTCGGGCGGCCTTCCCATTGACGTGTTATCCAATCATTCAATGGCATCCTCAAATAATGAGGGTCAGATGACTGTTGGAGTGCAGTTCGACGCATTCTGTGAAAGTTCACTAGGTCCTTGACGATGGAACAAAAGGTTCAAGCTGACGGGTACCCGACTCTGCCCTCCATCGCTCTCTGGTTTTTTGTGACCGTTGTAAGACGAGATAGATTCGCTGTGCGCACCCTGCGGAAGAAGAGCCATGCGGAGCATGCCTCGACAGCGGCGTGGCCTGTGAGTCGACAATTCCACGGAGACAACTGGCCTATGCTGGTCCTGATGACGCCTGCGCACGATACAAGGGTCTTGAGGCCCTTGTTCAAAGTGTCTTTCCTAATGAAGACTGCAATGAAACGCAAAATCTATCATGGTCGGCTGCAGAGAGATATTTTCCAATACATGGTTATGATCAGTCGGTGGACCTTTCTCAGCTCACAGAAGATGTGAACTCGCAGAGATCGGTTAGCTAGGCGAGCACGACAGCGGTCCCTATATCCAACGGCCTAGGAGCGCCATCCCCAACGTTTCTCAGCAGTGACGCTACGATCGCTTCCTCTGTGGCCCCCCTAGACTCCTGGATCTTTCATTACTACGAGCAATCTGTGGCCGTGCATTGTTGATTCCGCAGTCCAAGGCACGGTTACTAATCCATCGGAAGAGACTTGCATTCTCGTACCTCATGGTGTCGCACATCAATTATGTCGTTCCAGCATCCTCTTTCGAACCTGCCAGGACCGTCCGTGGGCTTGAAGCACTGAGGAGTCAGACAGACTCTCGATGATGCTCGTGCGAGATGGGATCTACGGAGCAAGTTGCGGGCAGAGTTTGCCAATATAAAGGCCAGCATTGCTTTTGAACCAGGAATACAGGCTCATCCAGCGTCAGCAGCCGCAGGGCAAGGTAACGAGCCTGCGACGGGCTCCTGGCATACTCTAAATGAAGGTCAAGAGGGCCCACGGTCGGTGAGCCCGTCTCGTAGGTGCGTATGAGTGCGCTTCTCGGGACGAGGCAGAGCACATCCAAGGTACATCGATCTCACACGATGATTTAGCAACAGGAGCGGTGGGGACGGCCACTTCTATTCAGAACAACAATGTCTCTGCAGCAATGTACCAACATGAGATTTTCATGCCTTACGCAGTGCCAATATCTGGCTTTACACAGTTCAGTGATGGCAACGATATGTTCTGGGATTTCTTCAACGTCAACCTCGTTGATTCTGTGGATACAAGTGCTCAATTCTGTGTCAGTCTATAAAGTTACCCAAAATGTATTAAGGTCACTTACTGGAATGTAGATGAACGAAGCATTGCCGAACCTGTTGATAGTAGATAATGCGGCCGCTTTCTTCTCACTGGTTTGGTCGAGAGTCGCGGTAACCCAACCCAAAATGACCGCGTCGACCACATAGCAGTGCGAACAGTCACACCAAACCAAGTCATTCCGAGAACGACACTTACTGATGTCTGCAGGGTAATAAATGTAAGCGACCCGACAACGAACACCAGCCGGTAGACGTGCCAAACATGAGGGCGAAATAACTCAACGCAGCGCCAGTTCTATTGGCTCAGGCGGAGTATGAGAGGCCAAGTGCAGGTGGGAAATACTTCACTGGCCATTCTGGACACAAATCGAAATCAGTATCAGACTCTATGCGACCTGTTCGTGTAGGTGAATGACGTGCAAACCGAAAAAGGAGATGATGTACGCTGCGACGCACAGGACTATAATCCCAACGCCGATTGCAACTTTGCCGTCGGTAATAGCGCTGATAAGTTGACCTGCAATAATGCGGGCGATTGTACCGAAGCCAAGATTGACAACTATGTTGACCAAACCATAGATTTTGGCGCCACATATTCCGAAGGCGTAACGAGCCATCGCGATCTGACGAAGGCCCGTAAGGGCACAAAACGTTGCCGTAAATGTAGGTACGATAGCGCCTGTAGCTAATTCGAGAACAGTGATGAGGATCGAGTGATTGGCAGACAATCAGGAAATGGGATCCAAAAGACCCATTGATATCGTTCCAGGTGGGATTAATGGAAACCAGAAGAAAGACATCCAAAAAATCTCGTCAATAAATGATAAGAGGTCTTTACTTGACATACAATAAAGGATGCTCGGAGGTCGACGTTCATTCTCGGGAATGCAATCCGCGCCTGTGGTCTCGAATCTCGATACCCAACCTCTTGTCGAGCCATGCTTCGGCAGCTCGTAGCTTGCGCAGGAGTGGGATCCTTTCACGCATGGCCATGACCTCCAGCTCACCATGACCACGACCAGGTCTAGCGTATTCGCGTGCATGAACCGAAGCTCGTTCCTCATCGTGAATCAGGCAGAGCGTTGCTCGTAGGATCAGCCATATCCGTCTCCGCCGTGGACTGTAGTGTTCATGGGGTGTTCCAAAGTCATTTCGAGGGATGCTAACAGCTACTGAAGAAGGGTGAAATGATGAGGAGAAGCAAGAGTATGCTACTTCAGGACCAAGGCTGGTCTACAAAGGCTGTGCAGCTTCTGTGGAGGCGTGTTTTCGAATGCAGATACTTTGACGAGATCTTGAGGAAGCCCGGCTTACTGGTTCGAACTTCGACCGACAATGTTGCCTGCTTCTACTTTGACATATTTATGTACGGCTTGGTCCTCCTACAGTGTATGGAATCAAACGAAGCTCGCATCTCTTTGGCAGCACCGGCCTATGTGTATTCACTTTGACTCGGGATCACAAGCCCCTTCATACGACAGCATGCACTAGCTAACTTCATGGATGTTGTAATGATATCGCGAATTGTTTTCGATCCACGGTCCAGATAGTCTTCGTGGACCACTTGGCAGCAAAAGGCAAGTTAAATCTGCTCGGAGCTTACTTGCTCCTCACCCAGCCGTGCCGCTTTTCAACCCCAATCACCCTCGTATTATAGTCGCTCAGCTTCAAACTTTTGCGCTGAGTGCAGCGCCAACGACGATCCAAAATTAGAGGCGCACCGACCATTCCCTCTTTATGTGTGAACTGCACTGACGTGTTCAGCGTAGCACCTGGGACTTATTTTGCAGTTTGCACATTGATTCCCATGTAACTTAGAAACTCAGTTTTGAGACTCTTCTTCGAGGAAGGTGTGATCATGACTGAATTCTCGGATGTCGAGGTGCTTCTCTCACTCAACGCGGCTCATTAGTCGTATGGTGTGGCTAATCACCGATTAAAGCACCCTACTATTGTAAAACCGAAATGGTTACCCAGATGTCATCAATTCAGAGTTTTCATCCAGAGGGAAGTTTCAATATAGGGAGCTGTTCTTTCCTCTCTCTTTCACTTTTTCTTTCAGTAAAACATCGCTACAATTCTAATTTCTCCTCTTGTAGAGACTTCATTCTTAAAGAGCGCGTTTTCAGCTGCTAAGATTGTAAGTCTCTGTTATGATAAGTGGTGGCCTGTGTGCAGGTATTTCGTTTGCGATATTCTCATCCCAAAAGGTAATCTTCAGAAATCTCCTTTCAGGAATTCGCTTGTAGGGATTTCATTTTCAGGGCCAAGTCCCCAAAAGTCTACTGTATTCCGAGGGATGGTATTTTTACTTTGCCAGTTGTTCTCTTTAACAACTCAGGTACTTTAGCGAGCGCGGAAACAGTGAGGTGAATAGATCGTTGTCGCAACACAGTTCTCCAACGTATGGCGCCGCACACCTCCGGCCTGGCATAGGAAGGGTTACCACAGTATACACCCAATAATATCGCTGGGTAGCCAGGCTGAATCGTTCTCACGCAAAAATGTTCCCACATGGAGATCGTCTCTCCAACGAAATTTTCCACAGTATCAAAGTTTCCCGATGGGCAAATGTGGTTATGGAGAAAGGATAGTTGTCCCCTTCTCCGCCGAACTAGTAATGTTGATCTCCCGTTCGATGTACGGATTGATTGACAAATCTTAGCCTGGGGCTTCGTAGCGGGAGTTTGACACTCCCTTGAATCTATTCGTTGCCTTCCTCACCCGTCAGCTTTATCGTCTCCATCGTCATGTAGACCGTATCCATCTTCAGTTGCATAATACCTTCTTCTACGTCCAGCAAAAATCACGTCCGCTTGAGTGCTGTCTAAGGTCTGGAGGGACAAATTTAAAGAAATCCTTTCAAGAAGCATTCTTTTCAAGACTTCGCTCCTGCGGGTAATCGCTGTGTCCTAGTCTGTATGCCTTCAAAGGTCGGCCCACCTGGGCGCCTTTGATCACAAGAAGAGACAACCTCAGTTGGTCGGTTATGGGCCACGGGACGTAGAACCCGCCTCCCGCAGCGACAGACATCCTAGAATTCGGTCTCAGCCTGGATGTGTGGTCCCGGGCTTGAATCTGTCCTAGGCATATTGTCCCAGGACAAACAGATTCCCAGCAGATTCTACTCAGGTGAGATGGGATCTTAGAACATCTGATGTTGTAGGGAACTTGTCCTAGCCCTGGCGTATAACTTATATATTATGGCAATTTCCCTCCTAGAACTAGTTACATCCTAACTGTTCTGGCGTTTCGAGATATATCTGTAGAATGTAGAAGTAGTGACGAATTAGTATGTACTGTGTAGTGTTTTACTTGCTAGTATATGTAGGTTCCAGCTTCCCGAAACCACTAGGAGAGGTAGCCTAGGATAAACAGCCATATACACTCAAACAATAATATATAAAGATAGAACGCTCCGGATTTACGCTAATTAGCTAAGAGGACAATTACTAAACTTAGTAGTAGGGTGGAATCCCTTAGAGCAAATAGAGTACCACACAGTTCTTGCGGCAGGTTGGGTGATTGGAAGCTCTCCACATGTGTGCTGTGAGGCTTTGGCAGCTTTCAACGGTGCAGTGGAACTTACCGCTGAGTGGAGAGAATTATTTATTACTGCCGCCAATGCTTTGGAAGATGAGGGCCTCAATCTTACTGCTCAGTGGGCGGGGCATCCCTGGCGTGACGCCCAGCTGCAGCACTGCACTAGGATATTTACACTGGTCTATTGGTGACACTTTCTGCATTACAGCAAATACTCTGAAAGACTCCAATCTGCATGTCCCATTTCCAAGAAGGATCTTCTAAAAGGGACTTTGAACGTTGGGCTTCCGTACCCCGAGGCCCGTACATTGCCCACTATAGGGACCACGTAAGCAATTATCTACGGGTTACTTCACCGATCGCCCGACTTGTGTGCTCAAGGCTGAAACTATGTCTTGCTGACTCGCCTCTTCCTGTAATTAAGGGCCCTCCATCCTAGCCTGCATTCTTTTTCGCCTTTCATCTTTTCCTCAACCAGGCTGGGTAAATTTATTGCTTGCAAACGCACCTCAAATTGTGTTTCATCTAGCGTCCGACAAAAAGATCTTCGACATGCACCTCTTAAGTCTTGACTCTAACGGTAAACCTTACCTGACAGCTTTTCCCGAGCTTGAAGTACCAGCCTATGTCATTCTCTCTCATAGATGGGCAACTTCAAACGAGGAAGTTACTTTTAAAGACATAATGGAGAATTCTGGTAGTGAAAAGGCTGGATATCATAAGATCGACTTTTGTGGACAACAGGCAAAAGTAGACGGCCTGAGTTACTTCTGGATTGATAGTTGTTGTATTGACAAGTCGAGTGCTACAGAGCTCTCAAAAGCGATCAACTCTATGTTCAGATGGTATCGGAATGCCAAGAAGTGCTACGTGTATCTCACAGACGTTTCGATGACAGCAAGTGCTGAGCGCAAGTCATGGGAGCCAGCGTTCCGCAAAAGTCAATGGTTTACAAGAGGATGGACGCTGCAGGAGCTCCTGGCCCCGAGAGCTATCGAGTTCTTCTCTAGAGAAGGTAAAATACTTGGCGATAAGAAAACCTTGGGAGGACTTCTCCGCACGGTCACCGAGATTCCTTTTCATGCTCTACAGGGAGTTCCATTATCTCAATTCCCTGTCGAAGAAAAGTTCAGATGGGCAGCCAAACGCCAAACAACAGAGGTAGAAGACAAAGCCTATTCCCTCCTAGGTATTTTCGACGTTGCTATAGTCCCAATTTATGGTGAGGGAGAGAGGAATGCTATTTTCCGACTAAAGAAGGCCATTGAGGATAAGGGTAAGTTATTCTTTCCGCAACTGATTATCGCTTGGGCTAGGTTTCTCACATGCAATACTTAGAAAGCATGCCGAAAGAGCTTGATCCAGGAAAAACAAATTGCGTCCGCATGACAGTGCCAGCCGACCCGACTGGTGACTGTATTTTACATGTTACGATGGGTGGACCCACGCTGCCGGATATCATTTACAAAATGACTGGTGTTAAATTGAGGGTAGTGGAAGGCAAATGGCAAGCTCTATTTCCAAATGGCTCTAGCTTGACGCCGTTCCCTTCAGTACGTATTAATGGCATGAATGATGTGGGGATCGCAAAAATGTTCCCTATAGAGAGCTCTCATAGCATCATAGAAGGGTTGAGCACAAGCAACTTGTACGCGAAAGAAAAGGCAGGTGAGGCTCTTCTCCGTTCATGTGTGTCATTTCTTGTTCAAGCGGATTCAGAATGCGATGTCATTATGGAACTGACACTTGGTCGCGCAGTGGCTGATAGGATTGCGCTACAACTCTATGCCGACGGATGACAAGGCTGTTACACCACGTGAGGACGAGCGAGTGTGGAATAAGCATTGGGAAGATTCACAAACCCTAGTACATGCCAGAACCATAAACTTGATGATTTTTTCGTTTTGGTCGATAACCTTCCATATGATTGTGATACAGAATACGCCAAACCCTCACCCCTTGACTTGGCGCTAGAGGCTTACTGTATAAGCCAGAAGGTGAATTATCCAGGCGAAGCGGACAAGCAGCGACAGGGTAATTGGGAGACGGATGAGATACAAAGGGCCGATCCCGTTTGCCAAAAGATGAGTATGTTGGCGCCAACATTTACTTAGCGCGTACGAACTCTACAATACTCGATGCACAAAAATCTCAGATACTCAAACCTAGAAACCCTAATTGGTGGCCACGACATCGTCCAGGAAGATCACAGCGATGAAACCCGAAAAGAGCACGTGATGAAATTTTAATCACTGACAGGAAGGTGTAGATGCGTGCCTTTTATGGGGCTGTCGATTTGAAAGAGTCTTAAGCGACGAGCGTGGAAGTTGAGGAGACCTTAGGGTAGAGAAAGCGGCATGACACTGCAGCGGCAAGATTGCTGGCGGAGGCTTCAGCACCATAGACGATAAACGCCAAAGCCCCGCCAAAGGCTTTCGGCCCCACGAATAATGCGACACGGGTGATCTCTCACCCACGTCGCACGAACTGGGGGTTGAGCACAAGGCGGCATCACCCTAGACCCGAAAGAGAGGTTTGCTCAGTAGTTTTTACTTCGCTTGGCGGCGCCGGGGTGCCGACTGAAATCGTGACTCCTTCTAGACTAGAGCATTGCACCCTTATCTGCTCCGGGCGAAGTCCGGGTTAAGGTGCTGCAGCCTCGGGCCCCTCGGTGGAATAGAGACCGGCCCACGTACCCTCCACTCAAGCACAAACTACGACGGTACTGCATTACCACAGTCTCTCCTATCCCACAGTGTATTTATGACTTAACATACTGTGAGTAGACTAATTTAACAGCTCTGCACCTAACGACTGAGCGATAAGCGACTGAAATTCTGACCACTTTGGGTTATGAGTCGGGGGAGTCTATTCGGAATCGCGTGCAAGACATGCCGCCGTCGTGGCCGAAAATGCGATCGCAGACTGCCGACGTGTGTAAACTGTAGCCTACGAGGTGCAGAATGTGAGGGATACGTCGTGCGGTGGGTCAATGCTACTGTCGAGAGGGAAAACTTGGTAGACCAGACACCAGAGTTTCCTAACCATGAGAACGACGTACTTCTTACTCCGAAATTGCGCCATTCAAGCAAAGCCAAGACAACGAAGGCGAGGAAAGTGGCGAACTCTGCACATTCTCAGCGCCTGACGAAATCTGCATCGAACGCAGAGCCGCAGATCCAGGAACAGGTGACACGATCAAACCGCCCTACCGTGCAGGGTGCGACGTCTCGAGGCCTCTGCGGGCGACAACAGCAATGTTGGATAGTTCCCATGATCACAATGGCGGCGCATGATGATCTTGAGGATCTGGTCAGATACTGTATAAAGATGCCAAGATGATGTGCATGTAAAGCGCTGCTAACCATATCCCAGATGCCCTTGAGATCAGTGCTGCCTTCAACCTCGGCAACGGCCCAGTTGAAACGCCTTGCAGCCATCATATTCTACCCATGACCAGGGCTATCCCCTCTATGAGATGTGTAGTAGCGGCAACAGCGGCATGTCACCTCGCCAACCGGTTCGCAGACGACCGGTTGCATAGACGAAGCCTCCACTTACGGCTCAAAGCAACGGAACTATTGCGAGCAGAGCTTGAAAGCGGCCCAGACGGGCCAGATCTGGCTCGTCTGCTTTGCATGTTACTGCTCGCGCAGCTTGATGTATGTACTAGCCGCCACATTTCGGAACGCCTTTCTAACAGCCGCGGAGGTATGCTCAGGAGACTGCGTCGAATTCACAACACACCTCAAAGCCGCGCGTACATTTATAAGACTATATGACACTAAAGACACAGAGCGAAGTTTCATTGAACAGCGCCTAGCGTGGTAAGTATCTTCCTGTATATACTGGTCTCAACACTCACAATATAGCAGGCTTGACATTATGGAAGCGACCACAAACCCGAGAATGCCACATTTGGCCACCGAAGATATCAAGCGCATACTGAACAAGTTCAGAACGCCGTCAGGAGAAAGATTGTGGGGACTGGACGTGTTCCACTGCCCGATTGATCTCTTCGAACACCTCGCCGACGTTGTGGTACTATATGAATCCCAACCTAAATACCAAGAAACGTCTCAAAACACCGTCCGCAGAGCCACAGGTATCGGCAATGCTGTCAAGGACTGGGCTGCGTCTGCCGACTCTGAATACCGCCGTCACCTGAACGAGGTATGGAGGATCGGCATTTTACTGTACTTGGTTCGAATTTTCCGACTGCCCGATGATATTTTCGATACGGCAAGCCTGAGCGATAGCATCTTTCTTCATGCACGTTCTATTCCTTCCAAATCAAGCTGGAGGTATTCGACATCTTGGCCTTTGTTCCAGGCTGGCTTGTTGCTACTCCGCGAGGATAGCCACACCAAGACCTGGCTACGAAATGAACTGTATGAGAACTTCAGTACCCTTGGCTGTTTCCACCAGAAGCTTGCCGTAGATGCCTTAGAACAGGCATGGCAGTCAGGCAAGGATTCGTTCTTTGGTCCGCTTAACACCAACCTTGGCATGCGCAAACTAATATTATATTGAATGATCCCGTCGTCTACCGAGGCAACAGTCAGTGGCTTGCCGTCTACGGTTGCCTTTTTGTGACAGGATATTTCAGGAGAGCTCAGAGTGTGGTTGTTTTAGTAGATAGACGGCACACCGGCACCGAATACACAACTCAGTGGTTAGGTTCTCGTCTATGAAATTGGAGCTGTCTGAGACCAAATTCTAGTGAAAGGCACCGTACGGCTCTGCACTTGATACGTTCACTGTGGAGGGTGAAATCTGTTGTAAACCACGTCAATCTCTTGCAGGATTTTCTCCTTAACGGCAGGCTTTGCAAAGGATGAGTTAACAGCGTTCCTTGCCAAGGTAGCAACGTCGTTGTCGTCGAAATCGCACAGATGCTTCACCAGTAGTATGTTTTCCAAGATCCAGCAGTCTTCCATGTATGCTGGATCGTCGCTATTAATGCTTATTTTGATTCCTGCATCATACAGGGTACGGATCTTCGGGCCAAGCTCAGCAAACGTCGTATGTCGTAGGTATGACCAAGGGCAGATAGTCATGCCTAAATCACGCTTCAAGATCAGGTCGATCAAGTCCTGGTTTTCCGCAGCGTTAAGACCGTGGTCAATACGGTCAAGTCCATTACCTGCAACAGCAGATGCGGCCTGTTTGATGTGTTCGTGTGCATTCTTTGAATCAACATCGCAATGCATTGTAAGCTTGAAGCCATGACGTCTGGCCAGGGAAAAGACTTCGTCAAAAAGTTTCGGTGGTCGATCCTCCTCATTTGAATCCAGACCGATGCCTACGATGATATCGCGGTAGGGCAGTGCTGCCTTGTAGTGTTCCATTGCCGATTCTGGAGAGAGATCTCTGAGGAAGCACATGATGTATGCTGATGACACCTATCTCTAGTGGTCAGTTGTCAGAACACTGTTTGGTGGATGGGAAGACACATACGTTTAGGTCTGTCTCGGCCTTTCTCTGAGCTTCCCGGAAACCATCCATCATTACTTGCCAAGAAGTTCCGCGACTTGTGTGGCCTTGAGGATCAAAGAAGAGCTCACAGTAACGAACATTCATCTTGGCAGCATGTTCCAGATAGTGCATGGCCAAATCAAAGAAATCTTCCTTCATTTTGACAGCCTCAAAGCCTTCGTAATAGGCCTCAAAGAATTGAAATCGCTCTTCGTCATTGTTGACACGACTAGGATCTGGCCGGAGCAGGTCCATTGCAGCCTGCGTGTCCTCCAGACTAGTAAGCTCTGGACCATGGCTGGCAATCCTGAGCGTGGTTCCATTTCTTCGAGTCAACTTCCATCGTAGCTCGGCCGTCAATGTCCCTTCAAGATGAAGATGAAGCTCAACCTTAGGGATACCAAGGACGAATCGGTCTTTTTTTGCCAGTAATTCGTCTCTGAGCTTTTCTCGCTGCCGAACTGGAAGGGCTTCTTCCATGCCCATGGTTGGTAATCTGACGTTCGAGACTCTTTAACTCTAGAGCTGCTGTAGCAAGACTAGCTGATCTGAGGGGGAGGGCGATAGACATATATAGCCTGAGGGGATTAGCCTTTCTAACATGCTAATAGAGCGCAATGTAATAGCGTATACGCCCGTAGCTATGGGTCTGAGCTAAATGCATGAGCATCAGGCATAAACCTTACGCTGGTTGCATTGCCATTCCCCGTGGCAAGAGATTACAGCACAATTCTGAAGTTTCCTCCTTCATACGCAGTTCATCGATCTGGAGCAAGTCCCAAACAGGTCAAGATTTCAGTCTTGCCGATGTTGAGTGGAACTCGAAAGATGATTCACATCTTGCCTCTCCTCGAGAGGAGCAAGGATCCTTTACGTCAGACTTTGTTAGCCAGGAGAGCGCTACGCTCGACTAGGAAGGAATGTGCGTTCGGCTATATTATTTAAGATTTGCGTTCGGCGTGTTCCTCGTAGCTTCCTACCAGCCACATTCATGCTCATGCCTCAGACACTGGGGTCCTGTTCTATCTGGCGTCTGCACCTAACGAGGATAAACGATGGCGCTGCAGCCTTGCAGGAGCGAATGGTTTCATTGCTTGTAAGCCGTAAGCCATGAGTAGCGATTAGCACTCGCTCAATATCGCCCTCGCTACCTGATATCCCGAGGCGTCAAAACATTGACCGTATATCAACAATGGAGACATTCTAGGTATTGTGTTCTGAAGGGCGGCTCCGACCGCTACTATCGCTGTCCTGCTTGCTCAAAAATTGATGGAGAGTTGCACAAACAACGCCGGGGTTATCTAGAGCAATGGCGCCCTCAGTCACGGCATCAGTCCCGGCATCAAAATGGTGGACACTGTGTTCCGGAGGAGTCGATTGACTTGCCTGTGTTTGATATCTCCAAGTAGACAATAGAGCTGGGACTAACGATTGTAAAGGCAGCAGCTGGATGGGGCTTCTGATGGATTGCAGAATCTCTACTACTAGGACATTGGGTCGACAGGGCAGCGGACGACCTCAACGAAGAAGTTGTTGATATTGTGTTCGAAATATCGCGTTCATTCTTTGAGGAGACTCCTGCGACCGAGAGGGAAGATTGCAAAAATAAATAATAGCTGAGGCTTCGTTGGGATGAACGTTGGGCACCTCGATCCCCACACGGCATCAACGAGGCAACGTTAGACAAGCCTTCAACTTGGAACCGGATCCTACGACTGGTCAATGGCGTCAACCAATTCCTACCAATTTTCCAGAGAAGCAGCTCTTCGTGGTTTTTACGGTAGATGTCGCAGTATGGCTTCTCGTATTCTTCGGCTTATTGCACTGGGCCTTTTGGTTGAGGGTGCGAATTGACTGGTCAGAGCTCAGGAGAAGGCGGCACCAACCCACCAATTGCTCTTGGTTGAGACATCATCAACACTTCAGCCTTGAAAGCTCAATCAGATCCATTGACCCTATCACTGAGAATCACTCCTCTCTGTCAATGCTTTTGCAAGATCCTCCAACACTGAACATTCTAAAACATCAAAATGCTCGACCTCACGGGCCTCACTCCCGCACCCGTCACACTGTTCTTGCCAACGGCGAAGCCGACTACGAGGCAATTTACCGTCTCGGATCATGGCTTGGCAGCATCGACGGCGTCCAAGGTCTTGTTGTCCTAGGCCATGCTGGTGAAGGTACTTTCCTCACCCAAGAGGAACAATGCGCCATGATCGGAGCTTTTGTCAACTCAGTTGACATAAGATCCTCATCGTAGCGGGGTTCACTGGAGAAGGAACCCGAAGTTGTCTCCGCGGAAGCCAAACGTGCAGTAGAAACCGGGGCACAAGCAGGCTTTCTATATCCATCCCATGGCTGGGTGCGCTTTGGCTACCAACCGGGAGCTCCACAAGACCGCTATCGACGTGTTTATGAGGTCTGTAAAACGGCTCTTATTCTCTTTCAATATCCCTCCAACACCAAGACAACAAACAGCTTACAGACCATGCTCGAAATTTCCGCTTTGCCTGGTGTCTTCGCCAGGAAGAATGGGTACGCAACACGCGCCGATGGGACACAGGGATCACTGTCATCCATGATGAGCGTCCTGAGTTCCAAATTCTGACCTGTCACAAGGAATACTCGCTACACACGGCCTTTGACGATGATGGCATGCTAGTTCGTTATCGAGATATCGCACCAGAGCTACTTCTGGAATTGATCGATGCTGGCAAGGCCAAAGACTATGTGCGGGCTCGTGCAGCACATGATCGCCTTCTACCAGTCACAAAACCTGTTTATCATCGTGGCTCTCATATGGAAGGCACTGTAGCATTGAAGCATGTACTGGCCGCTCGGGGGATTCTCAATGATGCCACTGTTCGGTCACCACTGTTCCCCTTACCGGAAGGTGCGGAGGCAGAAATTCACGCCGCTGTCACTGCCGCTGCACTCCCGATGGTGGTTGCCGCTGGAAAACCCTTTGGACGGGCAGCAGGGTTGCCGAAGGGAATGCAAGCGAATGGAACTCCCAGTCAATTGCATAACGGGCATACCAGTTGGATCACCGCCACCGCATAGATTGGATATGCACAGCTTCTGGTGCAAATGCGGGGTGGATTGTTATGACTATTATACAAGTTCATAGACGAGAATAAGTAACATAGCTTTTGTTCCAGTTTGTTTTTGACGTTCTGTTCATGACGATAACGGACAGAGTTCATTCCAGGGACACTAAGAGACACGTCAGGGCTGCCTAGAGAAAGGTTTGATTATGGGCACATCGAGGCAAAGGGACTGACGTGTTTTGGACGTTGAAGCTATGTGGCAGTCGTGGTAGGCAAGCGGCTGATATTTTGAATGTAAATCGAAGAATAATGCGGTAGAAGAAGGAAGTGACATTATTTCGTGTCCATGATTTAACTCCATCTCCCCTCCATGGTTTACCTCTCGAGAGGCCTCCGTGACACAAGGCTGGCACTCAGCCTGATCATGTGACTATCAGTGACGTCGACAGAATCTTGGCCAATTAGAAGCCGAAGCTCTCAACTGCGGATTTATGGTTTCGATCCCAAACATACTTTGATTGCGGCATCAATGGCAGGCGGCGTGCCACAAAAGACGTTGGGCTGGCTCTATGATGTCTTGAAGCGTGTAGGTGAACTACTGGGCCATACATCGTGTAATCATACTGACTGCCTTACAGGAATATCACGATCCTAACCGAACGTATTCCGATCTTGCACATGTCCTCAGTCGATACCCTGGCTTCGGGCCTCGAACAGATGTCTACAGTGCGTTGATGCGATGGAAAGAAGATATGACCTACATGCTGAATTAGAATGCAGCGTTCGAGAATGGGGCTTCTGCGCTGTTGGTGCATTTCAAAGGCACCATTCCTGTGAATTTTCGGGGCAACACATATCAGTTTCCTGTCTCGTTATGGGTGCCGCATACATACCCTTACGATGCACCGATGGCATATGTAACCCCCACGGATGACATGGTCATCCGTCCAGGGCAATACGTTAGTTTGGACGGGAAGATATATCACCCATATCTAGCGCAGTGGCGAGATGCGTGGGATGTAAGTCAAGAATAAGTCAGGAGATGCCTGATCGCCGAATGCAATAATGGATGGTATTGACCATACTACAGCGATCCCATATGATTGATTTTCTGTCAATCCTTTCCGACGTATTTGCCAAAGAACCGCCTGTTATGTCAAGGACACAGCAGCCACAAAGACAATCAGAGCCAATCCCTCCGCCTGTTCCACCCTTACCCCGGGAAATCCAACCTCATCCAGCACCCAGTCCGGCTTTCCCAAGTTCACAATCACCAAGAGCTTCGCCAGGCCCACCGCCTCCACCGCCTAAAGATTTTGCCCAAAGTGGTCCAGCACCCGGGCCAACAGCACAGAGACCAGGCCGATATGATGCTCCTCCACCACTGCCATCCGAAGGACAACCAGGAAGGCCAGGCATTCCACGGGCTCAACCTCCCTATGCAAATGGAAGCACTCAACGACCGCCGAGCGGTATGAACTATATGCCACAAAGGACTAGCAGTCTCCGACAATCAACCCCGGCACAGGAACCACACTCGGCACCAGGCTATGAGCCATTGCAGCAGCAGCAATATCACCCACAGCCATCTAGGTCAGGTGATTCACAGCAACATCAACATCCTCCAACTCAACAGCCCCTGCCCGCAGGCCAAGACCCAAGAATTCCAGCACGGCCTCATGCCAATAACCCGCCATGGCAGGGACCATCTCCAGGCTCCCACGTATACAGTGAACGGCCTCCACCTCATCAATATTCTCAGAGCAAACCACTACCAGTATCACAGCATCAATACCAACAACACCAGGGCCCTCACTATGCGCAGCCACAACAAACCCCCTATCAACAACAACCACCTCAACCTCTACCTCAGCATCAGCCCAAACCAGCGAAAGCAGCACCGCCACCCAACCTGCTAGACTCACCCTTCGACATCCCCCTCCCAGCACCCAGCAACTCCACAGTCATTTCCAAAAACCCCAACATCCCCGTCCCGCCAATCCCCGTGAATCCCGAAAAGGAAGCCCTACTGGCGCACCTCTCTTACCAAGTAACACAATCCCTCCACCAACAAATCTCGCAATCCACCTCCGCGCTTCCCGCGCTCTCCTCACAACATGACGCCCTGCAACATACCCTCCAAACGCTCGCAGCGGAGCTCACAAACCTCCAAGCGACCCATTCCACACTCTCCTCCAACCTGAATCTACTGTCCAGCTCACTGGCGAAATCCGACAAAGTCATCAGCTCGGCACACGCACGGTCGTCGGCAAACGACATCCCCGCAGTAGATGAGATGCTGGTCCCGCCGACGGTGGTGTCGCGCCAGCTGTACGACGCGGCCTGCGAGGAACGCGGCATCGAGGCCGCTCTCCTCGCCCTGCAGGAGGGCTTTGTGAGGGGCCGCATCCCTGCGGATGTGTGGTCCCGTCGCACGAGGGAGCTCGCGCGTGAGGGATTCAAGCGCCGCTGGATCGAGCGCAAGGTCGCGAAGGGCATGGCGCTAGATATGGGCATGTTGGGTAATGGAGTGTAGGTAGCCTGGATGTAGATGGCAGTAGAAGCAGAAGAAATGGGACGACGAAGAAGATGAAGCACGCTTTCCATAGTACAATTCTGATGTATTGGCTGGTCTGGCTCTCCCAAGTGTTCTATTCAAGTGACGTCCCCACGTCGATAGAGGGGAAACAGGCCCTGGCTATCCTGACGTGCCCACGTTGTCATCCAACACAACTCTATGAGATTAAATCCCAATGATGTTTTTGCTCCTTTTGGCTCCTTTTCATATATCACTTTTTTTACTTCTTCCACACCCTTCAAGGTTTTCCAAAACAGACATTTGAAAAACAAGCACAACCTTGACCTGTCTTGTAGTTCAAGCAAGCCCATCTCCGATACTCAGAGCTCGGTTCTCATCAGCTCGCTATTCAATATTCACTCTCCGCTCTCCACTTTTCAACGTGGACTCTTTCCCTCTTCTGAGTCGGCCTTCTTGCGTGGAGCAGCCCACGGGCTATCCATCGATTCAACGTCGAGCGGCAGCAGCGCGGCCCTCGGCGATCTTGGCGTAGTCCTTGGTCATCATGAGGATGCCGGTGGGGCGGGGGATCGGGTAGTCGAAGCCGGTGGCGCGGTTGATTTTCGAGGGCGGCGGGATTGGGTCGCGGACGTCGCGGTGCAGCCAGCGGGATTGCGACTGTGCGTAGATCGAGACCAGGGTCGCGGGGACGGGGCGTGGTGTATTGAGGGTTGGGCGTGTTTGACGCGCTGGTGGTGCGGGCTGACGGCGAGGTGCTGGTTGACGAGCTGGTTGAGCTGGTGCTCGTTGAGGGCCTGGTGCTGGTTGACCTGCTGGCACGAGTGGAGGCGGGGCTCGGGTGTTCATGGTGGAATTGATGATGTCTGGATTGGTAGCATTATATTGCTGTTGTTGATATTGCTGCTGGGGCTGCGCTTGAGGCTGGTGTTGCTGCTGAACGGCTGGAGCTGGACAGGGTCTCATGTTTATGAGGCCCATCTTGTGGGCGTACGGGCTGTGCTTGGTTGGTTGTGCCTGAACAGGGAATGGATCGGTGTATGAGATTCCCAGGCCATTGAGGTTTTGATGGCCTTGGAACTGAGTTGGACAATCAGGCTTCTGATTCGTGCAAGCAGATTGCTGCATTTGGGGTTGTGGTGCGGACTGATGTCTCTGATGGCGTTGCTGATGATGGTGCGCAGCGACCTGATCGGAGGGTCCCGCATGGCCATTTTTGGACTGCTTCTCAACACCGAGGGGCCATGCCTGTGGACGATCGTATGAGCGCTGATGCACATGCTTGTAGCTTGGTTCATCCATGCTGTCACAGAGGAAGGGGAGAGTTTCAGACATGTCCTTGTTGGAATTCTTGCGGGCATGTTTTTGGCCTGGTCCTTGTATGTTGGACTCGGACCTCTTTCTCTTGCCACCTTGGGTATTTGGAGACGGAGACTTTGGGATGGAACAAGGAACAGAAAACTTTCCAAAGGGTTGAAATCCTGGGATAGCTGGCCCAGGCCCAGCTGAGTTGCCGCCCGTCACGTCGAAAATAGCGTCTGCAAGTGTTATGCTTGCTTCACCAAACCAGCCCCCACCAAAAATATTCCGTGGTGTTGTCTGGGAGCCAGGACTGAAAGTGCTCTCAGACCTGTGGTGGGAGGGAGGGCAGAAAGGAAAATTCAATGTAGAATTTTCAAGATTGTGAGTGCGAGAGGTGACGACACTTGGAGGAGCAGTCTGAAGATCGAGGGCTTTTGACAATCTGTTGGTCGCCTCTTGAGTTTCGTCAGTGTTGATGAATGAAGATTGTAGGTGATTCGGGCTCTCAGGCTCTCGGTAATTGATAGGCCAATTCGGGCGCAAACAAGTCATACAATGTTCAAGCGTTTGAGAATCACCTAGGTAGTGCATAGCAGTCGCTGGGGTACTGCAGGCCGGGCGTGTATGTGTATGAGTGGTAAAAGCATTAGGATCGCCGCTGAGGTTGGGATGGAAGTCCTCAGATCGGATGAGAATTGGATCACCAAACAGCGCCTCAAGCTCAGCATCGCTGATCACAGCATTGGTGCGTGAAGATGAGACAACAGCAGTAGTCTCGAAGCTGTGATCGACAGAAAGGGCCTGGGTGGTGGCAAAGGTTTTGGAATTTCCGTTGAAACTGGTTTGGATATCCCCAGCGTGGACGCCGTCGAGGCTGTCTTTAGAGCCCACAACAGCTTCGAAGCTGCTGCCGACATTAAGGGACTGAGTGGCCGTGAAATCATTGGTATTTCCATTGAGACCGGTCTGGGCAGCATCAGGCTGAACACCATTGAAGTCGTTAAACAGCATATCAAGCTCATCAACGCCCATCACAGGATCTTTGGACGAAGCTGGCACATCAGGAAATGTTGCTGCAAAGCCAAAGTCTTTGGGATCAAACTGCAGAGCTGAGTTCTCAAGAGCCAGCCTTGGGGCCGGGGCTGCGATCTGGGAATTGTGTGGCACAGGCCGAATTGTCCTAGCAACAGCTGGAACTGGACCTGAAGACGAGCCCATGATGGTGCTGGCTGTTGCTAGACAAATGTCATTCATGTTGGTAGTCGTGGCACTCAGCTGTTGGGAATTGACTGGTCTTGTAACTGCCGAAACCTCTGCTGCCTGGCCGTTTGAAGACCTTGTAAGTGCAGTATTCACAACTGAGAAGTCCAAAGCGGGGAGGATTGTTGCGGAAGCCTGCGCTGAGGCGTGGTTCTGAGTGGCGGTGGTGACAACTGCAGAGAGGTGTTCAGGATAGGGAATAGTAGCAGCTGGAATCGCCACGCTGCTGTTGGTGATGACTGGAAAGGCGGCTTTTGGGCCTAGGGTGGTAGCAGCTAGAGAAATCGTGGTGACTGGAACGGAGGCTTCAGAACCTGGGAGGCTGGCAGCTGAATTGCTGTTAGTGATAGTCAAGAGTACATCTCAGGGTTTTTGGACAGACGTACTGGTACTAGGAGAGGCTGTAGTAGCCATTTTGCTCTCAGTGCTAACTGCAACAATCACCTCAGAGCTTGGGACGGCAGCAGCTGAATTGGCTATCTCGATGTTAGTGATCCATGCAAGGGAGACTGTGGCATTTTGATGGGATTACCTGGACTGGCCATGTTGCTGTTACTGCTGAGGCTGACCTCAGTAAACACCATTTGGGCATCCAAATCAGCCATGCCCATATCCGCAGCATGATTGCCAAAGGCGTCCTCAAAGAACTCGCTGACGGTAGGCACGGAAGGATCATCGTCGAAGTTCAAGAACTCTGAGAAATCAAGGAGATCTTCCGTACCAGGGGGATGAAACTTGGGAGGGGAGTCAAAATTGAGATGGAAGTCTGGTCCGGTGAAGTCATCCATGTGGACCAGCTCTCTGAGTGCGCGGACTTGAACTCAAGGTAGTGTAGAAGGCAAAGAATAATGGGGAATTCGCTCTTAAAGGCAAGCAGAAGGGTCTGAAATGGTTTGAGATACCGGAATTGGTCGATTTCGAGATGGGAAATCAGAGGAACGATGAACAAAGTAAGAAAGACTCGTAGGAAATGAAGATCATGTGAGACTCAGCCGCCCAGTCAACATTCACCTGCATGTGTGAAGGAGCTCTATTGACGCATTGAGCAGACAATCGCAACCCAGCCTCGGCTATTGATAGATTCTGCCAGACTTGTTCATGGTGGCTACAGCACTGGCAGAAAACCGCAGAAGTGAATCTCCTGCCAACGAGAGGCGTAGCAGCTCCTGTCGGGTCGACATGGACATTGAAGGACAGTGCAATACATAAGACGGCTCAAGGCTGGTTTGTTGCAACCGGAGATGTGCCGCAAGGGAAATGACAGTCGGAAATGAAGCCTCTGCGGATCGCAAATAGCAGCATCAGAGACCTGTTTGCAAAAGGAGCTTGGGATGCGAGCATCTCTTTCGACAGAAACATCGGGTTTCCTTCCCACAATCATATACTCTGACTTCCTTGGCGTAGAAAGGTGAACAACTTTCTGTCTCCTGAAGACCTGCCTGGTCTTTCGCCCTGTCGAATGCGCCGAGCGTTCTGGGCGTGAAGAGTGCTTCCTCACTGGTCTTGCTCGGCTCTCCCATCAGTGTTCTCGGACACGTGATCTGCAATCGAGTTTGAATCCGACTTCTGATCGTTCTTGAGCCACGATCTACTGTGACGGCTGGATATCTCATTGTCTGTGCTTGAATATGTCTCATTCCTCATTCGCACATGTTGGTATGCTGCGACCAAGGTGTCAGGAAGATCAACTCCAGTATAAAAAGTGTTTTCCAGCGACAACGGAACAAATCTCTAGCTTTCCTCCATCCAGTTTCTGTTGCGCTGCATCCGTACAAAGCATCATCTTGAACGAAAAGCTCACCTGTGTTGAAGGAAAGAGTGGGAAGGCAAGGGGAGGTGAAGGGACGTTGATGGGGCCAATCAACCGAGGTCATTTTGAGTGAGAAATGTCAAAGCGTCTGCTTAGTCAGCCTCACCCCTTGATGCCAACAGCGCTGCTCACTTCGCTCAGAACAAGATCGGCGTCGTGCACTAAAAGCTTCGTAGAAGTGGAATATGTTTTATTCTATCTAGGTAGAGGTCCGGGAATCCGTGACGACTGCATGACCAAAGAAGTGAACCACCATGAATCAATACGCACACAGTCCACCACCATTATCCTCCATATTCCACGACCCCGCCAGACCAACGACTTGTGGCTCTTCGGCATCTAACTCTGCAGCGGTAATTCTGCTTTCGAGGGCTATCTCATGATCGGCCTCGGTACGTCGGCCTCCCATGAGTAGCTTTCTAGCCCAATCATCGATAGCAGGCTCGCCAGTCTCATCCCTAGCTTGTTTCAAGAATGGAATCAGAGCGGTGCCTCCTGTTCCTCGCATTTTCTTCTTTCTCTGCGACCCTTCCTGTGGTCTGTCGTAGGCAATCGATGCGATACCTTGTCCCCTTCTGGGCGCCGAGTCAGGACTGCTCTCTTGCCGATTTCTGCTCATGCTGCGAGATTCCCTGCTTTTGACAATGATATATCTAGACACCATCTGGATATGCTTGTCACGAAGTGAGCGGAGCATTGCCAAACATGCATCATAGGCGACACATAAGGATCGATTGGATTTGTGATGCTCGACGAATTCTCGAATGTTGGAAACACCCTCGACAGCCTGAAGAAATCTCCGGTGTGGACCGGGCATATACTGTCGCATCTCATGTATAAAACTGTGTCTGGGCTTCGGTGCAGCTCCTGGTTCTGCCTCTGACTCAGACGTTGTATCATCTTTCTTCGATCCCGTCGGTCGATGCTCAACCCCCAAGACAATATCAAAAAATTGAATCATGCTACTTTGAGCGTTTGACCCTCCACCATATTGTCTCCAGGTGGCATTCCTACTGCCGTCGTCGTAGAAAACACCCTTGGGAAGACCAGCATCTTTCATATTCTTGCTTCCTGCTAGGAATGGTCTTATTCGGTGATAGAACACATGCGGATCGCAGCTCTCATACATTCTCAGCAATAGTGTACCCAGCTCATCCAAGGTCTGTGCAAATGCTTGCAGGGATTTGGTGACGGTCTCGACGTCATTATCGCGAGCAGCCTGCATAGCGTCCAACATGAGTTGTATAGATGGACCTCCTTTTGCCTCCATGGCAACACTGACTAGGTAAAACCATTGTTCATCCAGTGACCCGGTGAAAGTGTGTAGTGCGGAAAGGTTGTCGAGGACAAGGGTATCGGAGAGGAAGATGGGCTTGAAGTTCCACAGACACAAGCCAGCGTACGTAGGCACGGGTGGTAATTCGAGATGCTGGCATATTTGTAGGAGAGGGTATGTGATCGAGGGAGGTAATCTCTGTGACCTGTTAGTTCCTATTAAGAGCCACACAAATCCACGACAACTAACCTCGGCTGGTTTCTCCCCACCCCAGATATAACCATTGGCAAAAAATGTCAAGATGCAGTATGCACGTCGCCACTCTGCCTCGGTTTCTAGATGAACCGCAGGAATGATAGGCAGATTATCAATCACAGTTCTGAGTCGCTTCGAGAGGAGGAGTGATTGGAAATTGTTCATGATCCGCTCCCAGCGGTCATAAAGTTGATGAGGGAGGCATTGTAAAGGGGATTCCGAAGGCAGAAAGCCTCTTTCTGAAGAGACTCCGTAGTCTTGTGGCCTGGGGATGGGTGGAAGCATTTTGAGGCAAGTTTATACGAGACGAAGGAGCCGTTCTGGGGTGGCAAACCCTGGTTGACAAGGCTTGTGCACTCAAAGCTGCGGAGAACGAGTTCTGCAATTGAAATATAGCAAGAAGATATGGCTAGGAAATCATGCTTAACAGGTCGATACTCTTCGAATTCTCCGGCAAGGTCGAGACAGCAATTTCCTCGTCTCAGGTAATGACGTGAGGTCAAGCCAGCGGCGGTATTGGTCAGCAGTATGGATGATACGGAAGGAGCATGAGGACAATGGTGAAGAAAAAGTACCACAGGAAGGTCACGGGGTCAAGAACGGGAGACAAAGGGTGTGGGCATATGGAAGTATCGGAGGAGAGGACGAAGAGGTCCCAAAGTCCAAGGTCAGGAGCTCGGGGTCATTGGATCCAACAAGTTCGCGGGTCTGGCCGGGCGAAATCAAGACTTACTAGTAGTCGACCATGAGTATGTTGGTGGTGTGGGCAACGGGGAGGCCAGATGTGGAACCAATTGCAATTGAAGGCAGCTGGTTGCATGATTAGAATTATGAAGCTGGAAATTGACATTTGGTATTGAGTCAGCACCGATATCGAAGTTGGCAGCTATTCCACCCTCAGGTCAGATGAGAGAATAGAAAAAAGAAGCAGATGAACCGAGGATTTAGTCAACTGTGGCGCAATAAAAAAAATGGTAGTGGGGGGATCGGAAGAGATTTCATGGCTTCTTCCAGCGGAATATCTAAATCCCGAGACCGTGTTCGAAACCGAAAGAAGCGCCAAGATGCGCTACTCCATATTGGGGGCTAACCTTCGCCGTGCAGCTCTGTCACGTGGCCTATTTGTCGAGGCCTACCCGCAGGTAGCATGTGACATCATGCCCTCCTGGCTCTACCACCTTTCTTCCTTGGGCGGTTATCTTAGAGGTCGCAGTCAACCTATAACAACGGAGTACTAGGTTGGCCTATTCCTTCGCTTACGCCCGGCCCTTTGTGTATATACTTTAAATACTTGACTACAGCCTTCATTATCAATTTTCTCTATAAATACTCGACAGATTTCGCTATAAGGTACTACTACGCCCTAGTCCCATCACCCCTCTCGTCTTACCCACTGTCAACAAAATAGCGAATGTTTGTCGGATCAGGTCTTGCTGCCGCTGTGTACCATGCCAATGGTCCACAAGGCGGTGTAGGGCATCGACGCCGCTCGTTACCAGCAACAAAGCTCGACTTTCGCTGCGCATGAGATCTGATCTGGTTCCAGCCGCCTTTGGGACCTCCAGCTCTGCCGTAATCGCGATTCCGACGAGACAGGAGGTTACGAAAGAAAGTTGGGCAGGGTTCCGACCTCCTCGTTACTCGTTTCCTGCACTAGTTTCAGCAGCTTTCGAGCATGAGAATCTTCCTCTCACATGCGCAGCCTTCGATACTGGGCTTGTCTTGACATGACCCAAATATGGATTGAGCGTCACCGCCCCGTTTAGTCGTTTTTAATTGCGGCTTCGCATTATGGTAGCGGTTATAGTTATCGTTGATTCCATTGGCTGTGCTGAATAAATGTCCATGTAGCCCCACCACTAGCTACTTCCAATTTCCTGTACGTTTTATCCTACCCTTCGGGGTCCATATACCCATTCAACAGCTCAGTCCAAGCATTCTATCTACCTTCATTTACTTTTTGTCGGAAAACCGCAGTTTTCACGTGGAATATAAGAATGCGCTGCTGCTCGGCGGCCCGATCCAGCGCAGCTTTTGCTGATACGATGTGAATGTTCTTTATCATGACTAATCGTCATATCCCAAATTGACGAACTCTAATGCAAGTCTGCTTCGGCTAATCATGGGTAAAGTCTATAATTTCGCTAGCTTTGTCGGTCATCAATTTCCAGTCGAACTTGTCTTGCAGTCGTCTCATCCAATGTCTATCATCGTACAAGAGAAGTCCTCCTAGGTCTTCATAAAGTATGTCATTCGTGTCCCGGACTGTCCCATCTCGACCTCCGCAACGATCGCCGATCGGTACGCTTGAGCAGAGAGCAGGTTGAAAAATTGATCGCAGCTTTTGGTGTGGTTAGCTCAATACAAAAGATTGAATTGCTTGTGCACTGTCGTGACGAACTGTACCCTCTTTCCAGACATTGCACTGGTCGGTCGTCCAGATAACCTCCCCCCATCGACTAATCCAATGATACCATAGTAGGATCTGCTAGTGTAGGAAACTATAAATGCACATGGTGTGTGCTAAAAATAGAGCAAGGCGAGGCGTCTATTAGGCTAATGAATGCCTTCATGAGGATGGTGAAGATTATGAAAGTTATCCAACAGGCTCTTGTAGAGGTTTTTATAACCGTCGACAGTCAAGCTCACTAAGTATAAGGGGAGAGTAACTGTTGTTCAACTCAGAGTGTCAGATAGTGGCCAGTCCACGGTCCTCCACTGCAGTACGAGCAAAAAAAACAGTCTGAGACCAAATTCGAGAAGTGCCGAGTTCGATAATGATGAAGACGAAAAGACTTGGCAAAACAGAATCTCTGTTGACGTATAATCGGTCTCGTAGCTACGGCCATCGGATGATATTCCCTGGAGTGCAAGCACACGATCTCGGACGTCCGTGTGCAGTCATTATCGCCGAATAGAACGATGAGTTCATGAAACGGCAGGTCTTGCTGTTATCGCCAATACTAGATGAAATGATTAAATTTCTAGACCCGTCCTATCTAGAGTTTGGTGGAAAGGAACTGAAAGACTTTCTCGGCTGGCTGTGCTGATACATTAGGAAAATTCGGGCCTTCTTGCAGCAAAAGCCTCAGGCACTATCCACAGACGCGTCCAACATTTGTTGGAACGAAGTTCTGCTAGTTCCAATTCATCCTTGGCCCAACCATCTAAATAGTCGTTTTTTCCCCGACGCAGGCGAGATCCGAAAACGCAATCGAATTATGGTTACTGGTAGCATGGCTGGCATCGCTGTAAATCCGCTGCGTTTGCCGAACGTGATGATTTCGCTCCGCAATATTGTTTGATCAACGTAGACGAGTCAAAGATGATGAACACGTATATTAAGACATGTTAATGCACCGGAGATACGGTGTGCAAAGTGTGTGCTTGGAATGTTTGGAAACAAACAGGGCATGATGAAGTTCTTGTGAATCAACGAGTTTATTCCTAAGACCCGAAGACCGGCGGCTAGCTAACGGGTTATCGGAGTTATACATATATACCTACACTGCCACAACAGGCTGTAGGCGAGCGCCAATTGGGGAGGTAGAACCATGTGGATTAAACATTGAAGCTAACTTCCTATACAGAGGGGTAGAAGCTCATTCCCGCCTTCAAAAGCAGCGAGAACGTGGCGGGATAATATTGTCCTTGCTAGCACTTGTACCACAACTAGTGATCCTCTTCTGCGCGCCATTATGAATCACGACTACTCTTCGCTTCACTTGTGGGAAGGTAAAAAGCTTGCAAGATAGGTCAACACCCCCGCCCTGAAACTTTCTATCATCTAGTGATGCGCGGTGCGACCCGGTATTTGATCGCGTCAAATTTCAATCCCGTGCCGTTAAGCCGCCAGGGGTCCACGAATATCTCCAGGCCGACTTTGCCAAGCAGGTTGTAAACCCTGCAGATAACGTACAAATTGCGTGGTTTGCCGTGACTGTGTTTCATCTGATTGTACTGGATATCACTCATGTAGAATGCAGCGGCACAATTTTGTTCCGTGGTGGCTTTGACCTCTACCAGATACTTGACGGGTAGATCGGTGACAGGTTGAAAAGACGACCAGTTGGGGAATGGTGCCAACGTCGACTTCTGTCGCAGAAAGCGCTCGAAATCGTCGGTCGAAGCTTCGTACACCAAGTCTGCCTCTTCTGGCGGCTTTCCTGGCTTTATCTCGCTGTATTCCGGCACGACGCTAACCCGGTCGCGGATCGTGCTTTGCCAGTTCTCGCGCGAGAAACCTTGCAGGCCCAACGCATCCAAGCACTCAAAGACCTTTGTCGGGGATCAGCGATATTACAAAATAATCAGATGATAGCAGATCGCTGGGGATAGTAATTTGTTACTCACATATAGCTCTCCCGCCGCGCCAATCTTCGCGTTTTCCTCGAACGTAAGGCGGCGGCCGCACCCCAAGCCAAGGGCCCGTCGAAGTCCCGTATCATCTTCGAGAGCATTCTCGAGATCTGACATAGAAAATGAATCCTGTGTTGATCCTCTTGCTTGTCGGATGATCCGCTCAAGAAGACGTCGATATAGCCTGTCATGCGCTGCACTCTGCAATGTGCCTGTAGACCCGGGGTAAGATATCAGATGACTTCGCGGAGACAAGATCGGCGTAATTGTTGTGGGCAATGATTCTGCGTCGACTTGGCTCGCCGGAGACGTTGATCGAACCTGGTGAGCTCTCTCTTCAACCGAATCATCCCGAGATTTGGGCGTTGTGAACTCATCAGACTGGGCCTGGTCCTCCGACGCCACACGACGTGGCTCGCCAGACATAGATGTCGTCGTTGGTTCGACGACCGGAGGCTTCTCGAGCCACCTCACGGTCGGAATGTCCTCCTCGACCATAATCCTGTCAAGCGACATTGACTCGTCGTTGATGATCCGATAGAACTGCTTGATAGCCTGTTGATCCTCAATTTGTAGGATTTTTGTAAGCTGCAGAGGCAACTCGGTGCGGAAGCAGGCATACAAGTCTTCTTCTCTACTCGGGACAAAAATTTTCAGGTCCTCGTCTAGAATTCTGATCTCTAGAAGCGGTCTGCCGCTCTGCACTACGACGACCTCGCCATCGCGGCAAACCTTAAGGTTCGTCACCATCCTGTCACACAATATGACTTCAGCTTCCAATAGTAATTGATGCATTGTTGTTCTCTTGTTGAAATACTTTGCACTGTGATGAAAAGTAGCACAGCTGGCGACCGTCAGTTTCTATTGCCCTGAATTGCTGAAGAGGAAAGTTTTACCAAGAGATTGCGTATGCTCTTTGTCTCAGAAAGGATGATAGTACCTGGTGAGGAGGTGACTCTTCTGCGTCAACCATTACTGTGACGTGCTTCGACAAAGAAGTGCCCAGTAAATTCAATGCATCAAGCAGAGGATACACGAACGTCATCTCGGCATTGTCGAAGTCTAGCAGTTTCAACTTCCCAGCAAACGCAGTCCCATATCGCTCATTGTCGACAACAAAGAAAGAGGCGGTAGGCTTCTCGAGTGACTTGCTTTCTCCGAGTCTGCATGGCAGGAAAGAGCAGTCTGTGAGCTTCCGGAGACACATGACAACTTTTTCGTCTCGTGGCGTGATCTGGATGACCTGACCAGCAACGACCATTACTTCTCTGATTCGCTCAATTACTCTTGAAAAGCGCAATCGATCCTCATCCTTGTCGCTGGTGGCGTCCTCAGCTCGGAAGGTCTTCGACGAGCTCATGATCTCTTTCATTAGCATCACAGCATCTTGAGTGACAACTCCAATATCTTTTCGAAAGAAGTCTTCCAGCTCAGGATACAAGTTTCCAATAGTCGTGCGTCCGGGAAAGGGGACAGTGCTCTGCCAGATTGTCTGGAAGGATTTGAGCCACCGATTGTCGGCGTATATATAGCTCTGGCCAAGAAATTCATTCCTATCTCGTTTAAGGCTGGGTCTGAAAATTGCGGACTCAATCCTTACCTGACCAAAGTCTTCGTCTCTGAATCTTTACACATTTCAGAAAGTGTGCTATAATGAGCCGAGAGATGGGTTTCGGATGGTTGGCGATTCTTTTGGAAATCCTGAACTTCAAGCAGGACGTCCAGATAAGATGCATCGGCCACTTCAAGAAGATTGACCCACAGTTGCGTTGTGCCTAGCCGGTCTTGGTAGATATCTTGTAGAACAGGTTTCATGGTGATGACGGGTGGGCCTCTCCACCGGCATTCATCAGCCGCGTACCACGACCGGCGTCTGCCTGGGACGTAAATGCCAGTCATTTGCTTGAATATGGACTGAATGCGTCAGATTCAGTGAGAGTACAAGGTGCTCACTTACTTACTTTCACCGTCTGGGACTCGCCTAAGGGCGCAGCAGCTGCAATACTTTCATATATTTCGGCGCATGTTGCAAAACACCAGCTCTCGTCACTGTTGCGATTGCTTTCGAGCTCTTCTTTCGCGGCGGCAAGCTCCAGAGAATAATAGTGGAGGTTGGCTTCATCTGTGACCCCGAAGTGCTGAAGGAATTTCCACGAATCTTCTCCTCGCAAAAGGGCGTTCTCCGGCAGCTGCAGAAATGGCAAAGCCAATTCAAGACCAAGCTTGCGACTCCTTTGTATCAACGCCTCTGTGGGGAATATGGTACTGCAAAGCGAGTGCCTCGATCCGTTTTGACACGTCACCAATAGACTCTTGAGATCCTTCTCAATGCGTGAGAATTGTTCCCATCGATAAGCGGTGTCCCAATACCTATGCAAGCATCCAAGAAATTTCGCACTATTGTTCAGAGCTGTAATATTGAGGAGCGGGTGCAGTTGATTTGAGTCATCCAATAAGCTCGGAAATGAGCGGACGCCAGCACATGTGGCTAACCATGAGGTCCATGTTTGGCCCTTTCTGATCGGTATACTCTCCGCAGGTATAAGAGTATAATTCTTGTGAAGGAAGCCGTACTTCTTCACCTTGCCAATACCTTGTTCTCCTAGAAGGTCCTGCGCTTCGTACTGCTCATTAGTCCGTAGGAATAGCCGAGTGGAAGGCATAACTTCTCTCTCTTCGCTACAAGCACGAAAGGATGAATTTGTGCTCGGCATCTTCTGACCCAACCAGAAAAGGAGTTGAAACTGAGCAACATAATCGTTAATCTTCTTCGCACTCCCCTCCTTCTGCGCCTTCAGAACTTTTTGTAAGAGAAGCTGATCGTCACAATCGGTGACGCCTAAGCTCGTATATAGGAACAATCTCTCGGCGACTGCACACTGCGTCGGATGAAGTAGCTGCAGACCAAGACAATCGGGTATACCCACCTTGAAATTTGGCTCATCGATTGCTCCGGGCAGATAAATTGGTGTTTCACTCGTTGCTTCAGGCTGCACCCACTGTGAGGTTGTAAGAGGAATAACCTTCAGTTTCAAGATATCTTCCCAAAATTGAGTGTGGAGAAAAGACGCTAGAAGGTTGGTCAGCGCTGTATGGTAGTCGTTTTCTAGAGGAGTGCCGTAGATACGAGATTTCTGAGATTGTAAATCGGCTTTCAAGCGATCCAAAATATTCTGAGAAGACAGTGTCTTTAGTCCAAGGGCCCTGAGGCTCAGAAAATCCTGCTTGTTGTATTTTGAGGACAGGTATACAGAGTCAAAGGGTAGATCCGGTAATATTGGCTGGTCGTCGAAGAGCATCTTGCTTGGCAGGATCCTGAGCTCGCTCGGCTCTCGCATAATGCCGTTTATGGTCTGCAAGATTTTGCGGTCTAATAGCTCCTTTTGAACTTCTCCGTGAAAGTCGTCCCAAAACTCTTCGGCAGATGAGGTAGGCAGGAACGGTATCCATTTATAGAACAACGGATCATCAGGCCGTGTGAAAGCTTCGATTGCTAATATGAAGCACTGGACAATACCTTTCCGCAACGCTTCGTTCCACTCGCCCTCCGGAATGCCTTCACGATTGGCGCCAAGAATGAAATCTGCATGTACGAGGACCTATAAATGGTCAGTGTAGCTTTTGGAAGCACGGTTTTTACGCTCACGGGAAGTTGCACTAGGCGCTGCACCGGAATGAAAGCAAACACGTGCTGACCACGGTCTGGAATAACTGGGTAACCTGTTTCTGAATTTATTTGGAAGCCTAGAGTGACCGAATTATGATTAGAGTCTCGCAAATCCTCCATTGGCATATCAGGCGCCTCGTGAGTGATTGTTCTGAACGTGGTTGTTGTACTAAGTCGATCTGTGCCGTAGGTATAATCGATTTGAATACGGTTACAGATCTCGATTTGTCCATCGAGAAGCTCACCTTCTCTTTCGATGGTTCGATATTGTGTGCGCGCGAGCACATCCTCGTAGATAATCTCAACTTTTGTTACCTTACGCGTGGCAAACACCAGGGTATCGGGGAGGTCGTCAAATTCTTTCATCAACTTGCCTATGGCTTTTGGATCGGAGTTTGTGAGGCTCAGGCGAAATCTCGTAACGACCCCTGGGGGCAACGGCTCGGACGATGGAGGCGTCCATAGTGGTGTGACCATTCCCAGCCCATCTTCACCGCGACGATGCTTAAAATGGAACGACCATTTGCCTGACTGGATATGTACCTCGTTGGCGACGCCGAAAACTGATTTGAAGCCTAGGCCCTTCTCACCTGTGGTCTGAGAGTCGCCTTTTTTGGAACTTTCTCCGGTAGAGCAGATCGACTTGACGTTGGCTACAGTGAATCCGAGTTCGTTCGAGTCAACGATGAGCAGATCGCGACGAAGTCGGAAGGTCAAATAGGGGCGAACTGCCGGAGCGTACTCGGCATCGTCCGCATTTTGTAACAGCTCCATGATAAATCTGGATCTGGAGAGGTACATCTGGTTGGAGGTACTGAGAAGAGTTAGGCCGAGGACGCACCAAATCATCGCGAAGCTCACGTCTTAGTATAATTGGCCAATATCTGACGTCGCTCTTTTTCCTTCCGTCGGTATTCATGCTGCCATTCTGGTGCTGTTTTACTTAGCTCTACTTCGTCAGCCTTGTCAATGTCACCTCTGTTTCGGCGTATGCGGTTGATGACTTCCTTTGCCACATCCTCAGTTGTCGGACGAGTATGATCGGATGGCTCAGGTTCCATTCCAGCGAAAGGCAAGTCAGTGATAAGTTCTGATTTAGCGGACTAGGTGCGGGTGCCGCAAAGTGTTGAAAGTCGAAAGGCGAAATCCTCTCAACTAAGGTCGGGTTAAACAAGAAAGCCTTCAGTAGCGATCCGACGTTTGAAGAACAAACTCTAGACGATGTGCAACCATGAGCAGAAAAGGCCAAGGCATTTCTTAAAGCCCCAGTTTTGCAACTCCTTATTCGCACTGCCAGCCACAATACTTAGCTTAGACTTGTGACTTACAGCCAAGGCGCTTGTACTTATACCTAGTAAGCACCCCCCGGGAGATCCATTTGCTAGGTTCCATACACTTTTACACATTCTGTTACAGGCTTTTTTGGGTCGGGAACTGGTCGCCTGCTAAAGAATGCATAGTAGAAGTACTAGAGGCTACGGACATGTATCCTAGGCTGTTAACCCGTGGCGTAGCCATGGTTCCGCAGTTACATAGGCATGATGCGCAGAGAAAGCCTCGTGTACGCCGAACCGCCCAGCACTAAAGCATTCAACGAAACCCGTCCACCTTGGCTCCCATTCACGTTTTTAGATAAGACTGTAGGGTTGAGGTGGATAAATAAGTGAGGTAATTTACGTCGTGCATATTAAGATTTATGGCGTCTGGGTGGAGACAGACTGAGGGTACAACATGCAGCGTATCACTCGGGCCGAACGGGGGACGTCCACTTAAGCACACGGAAAGCCCCTGCGGATTGCGCAAGCGTTCCCTGTGGCGGGCGCTCCACCTGCGAAAGGACCATTTCACCTCCAAAGGTGATAACCAATCTTTCTAGCTAGGTGCGACAGACAAACCTTCACATGCTGCAAACTGAGGATTGGTTGCGGGGAATGCTTTACTTAGACCCTGCCGCTCGTTCGGTCCTTTACGGGAGTGAACAGGCTTTGACATGGAAGTTGCGGATGGCGTGAGCTACGGTCACATCCGACAGATTGACGATTCCCCAGTTGCTGCACCACTGCAATCAAGATTGCTTTTGATTGGCTCAAGATACCAACAATGCTTACTGGAAGCTCTTGGGGAGATTAGTGCGAGAATGTGCTTACGAGTAAAGGACTTCTGCTCGGATTCGGTGTCTTGCTGTCAGGTTGACACAAGGCAGAGTAGCCCGTCGCGCTTGTCAAGCGCAACCGCATGTTCCAAACAGATTCTTGGCATTGAATCTCTGGGAAGTCTGCACGAAGGTGGCTTTCAAAAGTCGAAAACCATGTTACGGAAGGAAATCATTGCAAAATTTCGTGACCATGCGGAGACAATAGTGGTACTTTTGAGCCCTGAGCGACGGGGATTTGGAAAATCTTTTGAGAACCCTAAGCTAGATGAGCCACGCTTTTCTGATCCAATCTTTCGCTTTTCGGTCCCGTAGGGCCGGCTTCCCTGAATCTGTTGCGTCGAACGCCGCAGCAGCCACCTCCTAGATATTTCCACGCATTCCGTTTAGAACTCAGGAAGGATTGCAGAGCTTCGATTTGCCCAGGTAAATTCTGTAGCCTTGAATGGGGACGTTTGGGAGACTTATCTTAGCTTTTAAGATGGGCGGGCTGTGTCCACTGCCCTAGACGAGAAAAAGGCAGGCAATCGTTGAAGTTAGGGTTGCACCCTGGGTAAATTAAGCGGCACACCGCGCTGTCCTTACGCTCGATGCCTAATTTCTCGCACAGTACACTCGGCGCTTTGTACTGTACCAGTTCAAATGAGATTTATCTCAGCCAGATGTCCAGCTGAAAGGTAGGTATAGCCGATCGCAGGAGGCCGTGGTCAGGCCCCTTCTTACCTCTCTTTGTGATGATTAGGGGCAAATTAAAGCCCTCACAAAACAGAAGTACAACCCTCCGAATGCTAAGGTGTTTCACCGCGGTTTGATAGAAATAGATTCAAACTGCATCTAACCATAGCGATTTCCCAACTAATTTTTCCGACCAGCAAATGAGAAAATCGAACAGATTCGACCGTATGAGGAAAGGCTTGCTGTTCATGAGAATTTCGTGCGTCGGCTTGTCATCGCCCCCACACGTACGCAAGCGCGATATAGCTTGACTGGACTTGGTCCACGGTCTTGGAGCATCCAATGCATCTCGTTGGCTCGTCATTGCCCGTCATATACGACTCCCAGCTTGGTCGGATTGGGCGCTTGGTTGTGGAGCATCTGAGGACCTCGATGAAGCAGGTTTGAATTGGCGTTGAATCGATGGGAGGATCTACGAAACGAACCTGTTCCATTGCATTAAACTAATGTTAGAAATGACCCGTATCCTTTATTTGTGCATAGGTCCGGCGAGATGGAGTAGTTTCTCAATAATACAGGAACACCTATGAAAAAGGCTAATTATCATCGCCTCCTACGATGGTAGGAACCCATGAGGCGACGTGACGGCTTGGCACACTTTGATACAAAGCTGGGCATTAAGTGGCGACAGCAATGGTAACAGGGTCCTGAGTTGACACTTCCGAAACTCTGGCTAATGTCGGAACTGCGAAGAACACACTAGGATAGTTTTCAAGGTAGGGGGTTTTAACAGGATAGTATACTTCTAATTACTTGAGAACCACATTAGTTTATAGAAGTCCCGCGCTGGATTCAAGCCCTCCGTGTCCGAGAAGGTCGAAACAGGTGATACTTTCGATCATTGCGGAGGCCAAGAACAAACCTTGGTGCTGAGCCCCAACACCAATCGAAAAGCGTGGCCTGTCTGCCGGAGTGCCATGTTTAGCTGGCAAGTAATAAGCTTGGCTCGAAAATATTACTGGATGCACTACCCTACCGTGAATTTATCAAACTTGCCACTTTTTCTGCTTGACTGTGCTGCCGAGCTTTTAGCACGTATGGATCAAAAAGCGGTCTCCAATAACTTGCAGTGTGTATGCAATGCGAAGCCGCAATTGAAAACAACTAGAATGTCGAAGGAAACCATGCTTATGAGTTGATTCAAGGTCATCTCCACCCTGGCGGCCCGCTTCTAGTGCTGCTCCACAGACTGGTCCCACACATCCGATCGACTAGTCGAACCTTGATAGAAGTCCATCAAGGACGGATGATGATTTTCATCCGAGAAGCATTGATCTTTTTCATTCAGTGAATTCGCATACAGAGGGTTATGAGGGGTTATATGAGCGATCGATCGCAGCGACGACAGGAAATCAGCACCTATGGAAGCCATCCATAGCATAGGTAGCCCAGAAAATCCGTTGTCTGTATTCTGCAAGAGTTGTGGAGCCAAGATCAAATTCGAAAGTGCTATTCATGTTGTCGCTGGAGGTTCCCTCATCCGTTGGGTCCTGCAAAACATATGCCGCATGGAGTGCCGAAATACAGTGCTTCCCAGCGAGATCATACTGACCTTGCGACAAGGCGACATGTGCTAGAATCAAACTTGTCTGGACGAATTGCAAGTTTGAAATAATCTTTGACTTGTTAAAAGCCTCATAGACGATCTGTGAGAATATAAACTGAGGTGATTTTGACCGTGTAATTAATCACTGTTGCTACGAACGGATAGGGCAGACCAAAATTTGTCAGATACAAATTTGGTGGTACCCGTTCGAATCCTTTACGTGAAGGGCCTCTCTGGGAGTACGAAGCATTACGGATTCGATGGGGGTAAAATACTTGCTTACGTAGTCCATCGTCAGGCGTTGGTCCATTTCGTGTTGATCGTAGTCAAAAGAAAAGTCGGGGGTGGGAGTTGTAGGCATTAGTAAGGCTAAAGCTAAACCCATGACGGATAAGACACACGAGTCATGTTCCGATATTTGATGTGACAATCCCAATGCCCTCCCTTGTGCTGTGTTGGATTCATCATCGGTTATTACTTCGCCTGCTCGTGGTGTTCGTGACGAGACGCCCCCGCTGTTCCGTAACAGTATCGAGAGATTTGAGAATACGAATGAATATCTCTAAATAATAGGAATTGGGATCTTCCAGTGCAGGAACCCGACTGTTCTCCTTAGCTTTCGGAAATCGAGCCCCTTTGACTCCTTTTTCTGAATCATGACCGCCTTCCCAGAGTTGCACTTTATATGGCAACTATAGGTACTCAAGCGCAAGGGCGATTCTGATTGGATTGGACCCATTTAAATGTGTTTGAAGGAGAAGTGGTGAGAGACTCTGGCCCACTGTGGGAATCAATCGTGATGACAATGATCGTGATGGCCCCCGGCAGTGCTATTTGATGACCCTGGGAAACATGACACGGAATTGATCACCGCAATCTACTTAATTACGTCCCTTATGTATCAGAGCCATACCTAATGTTCACAAGGTCAATTAAACCTTTAGCTCAAGGTTGTTTCAGTGGCGAGCTTTGCAAGAATCTGAGCGTAGGTTCACATATCAGCTTTGCCAGCGACTCAGTCGGACAGAACAGTAACTTTGCCAGACCCCAGTCGAGAATGCGGTTGGACTCGTGAAGCCCAAGCCAAGCAAGCAATGTCAACGGAAAGTCATGTACGGTACGCTATGCGGTGAGCCGTCGCCCAAGTCATCTGCAGTCTGACTGGTCGCGCGGTGTTTGCGAATCGCGACTCCGGAATGTGGGGTACGACTTATAGAGCATGTTTAGCTTTCAGACCAGAAATCCACTACTGCCTCGCTGCAAGAGCAGGTGGGAGACAAGTATATTTGCTCCGGTTTTCCTTTCCCTTAAAGGGTCGTCCAGGACTCTCTACGGCAGTCATCGATTTACCCAAAGTTCAGATACTGTCATCGCTATGGAGCAGCTCATCGCCCCGACGCTTATTGCCCTGATCAAGCACTTGCCAAAGCCCTTGAAAATCGGAGGCACCACGCTGCGAAACCGGTTTAGCATGTCCTCGATTTCTCGCAACCGGTAAGGTTAATTACGAGCTGCTTAGTGGTCGGAATTGACGAACGTAGGTCTGACAACACTTACCCTAACGTCCTCAATGGAGAATACTTCTACCAACGGGCTCTTGAAGAGGCGGGCTTCATTTGTGCAGGGGGTGCCTTGATCGAAGCCCAAGGCACATCCATGCGAGAAACGCCACAAATCGACACCTATGAGCACATGCTGGCGTGGAAAAAGGGGGTCGATAAAGTTCACCAAGTCCCTGGGTCAGTCTTCTACTGCCAATTGTGGCACTGTTAGTTTCGCCTGGGACATGGCATCCCTCTTATGTGTCCTCTGCCGCTGACCAGCTCTAGGCGGACGCATGACATATAAAGACGCCAAAATCCAGAAGCAAACCGACCATTGCTTCTAGTGCCATTCAAGCTCGGATGGTGATTGCTCCTGATAGCGACGGCGTATATGATCCAGAACCGGGACTTGCCAAGGCGTATTCCACACCAACAGCAATCGAAAACCCGAAAGATATTGTGGAGCAGTTCCGTAAGTCAGCATTTCTGGCCAAGGAAGCTGGGTTCGATGGCGTCGAACTGCATGGAGCTAATGGCTATCTTGTTGCACAGGTGAGCTGGATAAGTTGAAATGGCAGCTCCACACGAGTTTTCAGGTTTGCTAATCGGCCAAATGGGCAGTTTTTGGATGACACTGTAAATATTCGGACTGACAGCTATGGTGGTTCGGTAGAAAACGTGAGTCGACAAATATTTCCAAGCTCAAGACCGTTAGTGACAGCTCGAAGCGTGCCAGATTCGCTCTAGAATGCATCGATGCCCTCTTAGAGGTTTGGGGCCCGAATAAAGTCGGTATCAAATTATCTCCCGCATTGGGGCGTGGGCATGTTCCTTGTCGAGAGACAGATAGAACAGATCACCTGCCTGATCAAAGAGCTAGATAAGCGCCCATTGGCGTACATCAATCTCGTCAGATATCTTGGTATGGCCACACGCTTTCAGGAGATATGACGGCTGACCAGTCGATAGAGTGGATGGACATGGAAGTCGATGGCAAGATGCGCGGTCCCGTGCACGACGTGTGGGCTACATATTGCCACCTAATCAAAAATGCGAAGTCGTTCTTGAACGGAGCAATCTCACTTGTCGAAGCCGAAGAACTACTCCAGAAGGGACAGGCGACTTGATCGTCTTTGGCTGTCCTTGGCTAGTGAACCCCGACTTCGCGAGTGCCGCCATAGCTGGAAAGGAGAAAGAGCTCCAGTTCGAGTATAATTTTGATGCAAGTGACCCTGAATTCCTTGCTACAAAGGGAGAACTCAAGCTTACGCGTCGATTTAGTACTTTGCCCAACACCCGGTCGGAGATCAAGCGAAGGGTTACATCGACTACCCTTTCATCACGAAACCCGACTATAGGGCACCAAACTTGAAGACCAAGTAGGAAAAGGAATGGCTAAGCTCCAATGCGGCCCCTCGACTGTAGAGATGATCGAATCTCCTGTATGTTCCGATACCCGTCATCGCTTATGGACTTTCTTTTGATTCAAAACCAGTCCACATGGATTAGCTTAATATGATTCAGGTGCAATCCTTGTAATGTATTGTCAAGTCGTTCACGAAGCACAGACCAGCTGTTTGAGTTGTCCCGCTACATGTCTCACCTCGTCGTCGACCGCGTACTTTTCCAGACGGCAGATCGGTGTAACTTGCTTTTGCAAAGCGAGATGTTGCTCAGGTATTGTATACATGAGAGAAAGTCGCCTTCTCAACCTTGAAGGACGCATCTCTGAAGCGCATTTCCATCAGAACCATGCCTGTGATCCTAAGAACCTTCGCCTGAACTATTTGCACTGCACAAGCAGAGATTCCCGCACAAGGCGTAAGCTCTGGCCGGGAAAGGTGAGAGTGTAGCCTTGTCACTGACATCTTCCATCAAAAGAATGAGTTCATCACACAATCCCAAACGCGATGCCGCCGTCGACCAGTCTTCCCGGTGCCGGTTCACTCTATATGTTGTTCTACAATCATTTTATGCAGACTCGCCTCTCAATGTTCCTGGCCTCCCGCGCTGACAACGCTTTGGGTGGTCACGGCCTTCTCAAATTTACTCCATGTCCCGTTGAATCTCCCTGATCATTTTAGTTGTCGGACTTGTTGATATTGTAGAGCCGCGTGTCGGTGATGAACATCTTCATAATGCATACGAGCTGATATCGAGATGCAGGATGACAAAGCTTGATCCGGCCCAGGTTCATGGTGACTCGACGCGGATACAGCGCCCAAATACAGGAGAATAGAGCGCAGGTCATGTGAGGAGAGGTGTATGAGGGAAGTACTGTGCAAGGAGTCAATAAACCTCCCCGACCAGTTCCATCCTAGGACGGTGATTTTCAAATGCGGTGTCTCCACAACAGAACGCGGACCCACCGACACCCGCGCACCGAGGAGGCCGTACTACCGCTGGGATTGACGAGACTTGGCTCGGCATCATTTCTACCACATGTAATCAATTCAATGGTGCGGCCACATGCCCATGCCGCAGGCAGCCCGATTTTAAAGGCTTTGCTGGAGACTTGAGCCTACACGACATCTATTTATATTGCTTGGAGATTCTGCGTGACTGTTGGCAGGACTCTCACTTTCGAAAGTTGCTGCTGATTATCGCTCCCCGTGCGAACCGTCGCTTATTGAGTCAGACTAGATATAAAAGATGTCTATTGACAAATCATGGCCGGGATACAACAAGGGCATTGAGCCTGACGATGGCTTCGAATGGATCTGGCAAGAAGCTATTCCAGCTGATCTGCCGGGTCGAGATCCTTTCGTTGTCTACATCCCCCTGGGGTACGAGAAGAGAGTCTTACCAAAGGGCTGGAAGAAGACACCCGAGAACAAGGCCTTAGAGCTTGATATTATCTTTGAGAAGGACGTTGAGTTCGTGATGCGAGATGGTGTCAAAGTATGTGCTGCTGCAATATTAATTTGCCCTGAGTCCCACCGATGTACCGGTCTAGCACACGTTGTTCCGACAGCCAACCCTTCTGACTTCGATCCGCTTATTGTTTCTCTTTGCAGTTGTACGCCGACATCTATCGGCCAGCGGATACGGCTGGGCAGAAGATTCCGGTCATCATGCCATACTCTCCGTACGGAAAGGGCGGAGGTGGGGCCAATTTGATGGACGTTGTCCCATATCGTGTTGGCGTCCCAAAAAGCCGTCAAAGCGGGCTGGAAAAGTTCGAAGGGTATGGCCACCTTGGCAATTCTATCTCCTAGATTCTTTCCATCAATTTTCACTATCAGTTCTCTCCTCAGTGCTGACTGTCACCCTCAGCCCCGATCCGAATGAATGGTGCAGACGAGGTTACGCCATCCTGGATCCCAATGCCCGAGGTTCTTTCGACAGTGAGGGCAATCTACATTACTTTGGAAGAAAAGAAGGTCAGTTTGTCTCCGCTTTGAAACCATTCAGTCGTCCGGATAGAGCCTCGATTATATGAAATTCCATTTTGTTCTGGTCGCTCACACAACGGTTTGCATGATGATAGGTGAAGACTGCCACGATCTCATCGAAGCCGCAGCAAATTTCGAATGGTGCAACGGCAGCGTTGGGATGGCTGGCAATTCCTGGCTCGGGATTGCACAGTACTGGGCAGCTATGGAGCAGCCGCCTTCGCTAAAGGCCATTGCTCCATGGGAAGGATTCAGCGACGTTTACCGCGAGCAGAGTCGTCGCGGGGGCATCCCGTGGTCGCCATTCTTGCGGTGGGTCCTCATGGGAATTCCAGGTATAGTTCACTTTAACTCTCTCCTATATGTACCGCTTGTACTCAGCGGTCTCTAACATACGGAATTGCTATATAGGCCGCGGTCTCCAAGAAAACGCCGTGGCAATTAGTGAGAGCCGAGAATATTGGGATCCTTACTGGGAATCGAAGAGGGTTGATTTTAGCAAGATCAAAATTCCATCCTATGTGCTCGCGTCTTATTCGTCTATGCTGCACACGATGGGGTCCATCCGAGCCTTTAAAGAGATTAACTGTGATGAGAAGTGGTTGCGGTTCCACCCTCATCAAGAATGGTATGAAGATTACCTGCATACTTCGGTAGACGACTTGGATCGATTTTTCGAGAGATATTTGAAAGGCAAACACAACGGCTGGGAAGCAACTCCGAAAGTTCGCGTTTCCATGTACCGGTACGGCGAGAACGTAGGTATAGCCTTCAACCTCCCTCCAAGCCTCTTTCGATACAATTGCCCTCCTTTCTATCCCGCTGACTTAGAATTGCTGTTGAAAGTATCCTGTCTACGATCAAGTCGAAGAAGATTATCCAATACCGCGAACCCAGTACACCAAGTTGTACCTGAGCTCGGCGAAAACGTTGCAGGATGCGCCCAGCCCCACAGAGGCAGTGCACTCGTATGATTCAACCACCAAGGGCATGATAACGTATGATTTTATTTTCCAAGAGCGGACCGCGCTGGCCGGGTACTCGAAGCTGCGGATTTTCGTATCGTGCAAGGAACACAATGACCTCGACATCTATGTCATGCTGCGTAAAATGTCCGTCGATGGCGAGCTCATGGAACAATCCAACGTGCCCCTCCATGAGTTGCCTCCATCCGTCAGATCGGTTAAAGATGTTGCTAATGTCAACCCGACCAAGTACCTAGGACCGACTGGCATGTTGAGGGCCTCCCATCGCGCAACGGACCCAGCCAAGACCACAGAGTACCTTCCATTCCACCCGCACCTAAAGCCGGATTATGTCACTCCCGGCGACGTGGTGCCACTAGATCTCGGGATATGGCCGATGGGAATCGTCTTTGAAAAGGGTGAAGGACTGCGGTTGCAGATTTCCGGCAAGACGATGGTGTTACCAGAGTGGGACAACCCGCATGTCGCGCATGCGGAACCGAAATTCAACAAAGGTTTCCACAACGTGCATCTGGGGGGGAAATATGCGGACAGCTTTTTGTTGGTTCCGAAATTATAGTTGAGCAGTTAACCTCTCATTCCATCACCATAGGGTGATGATACAGCCTTGCTACAGCGTTTGTGATATACTTTGTTGCGATATGGTGCATCGTTTGTTGAGTGCTGCAATCAGGTGCTGATAGATAATTTTCACGGGCGGTTCGCATGGTAAGTTGTTGAAAGTTAGTTGATCCATTGATTCCTACCCATGTTTGGAACAAGAACTTGCAGAGACTGGCGCCTGTAGCTTTGAGTTGCCTACAAGTAAAGAAAAGCTCTTCCGGAGTCCAGAAAGTTCCGTGTCAGATTTATTCGTGGCCAGATCAGACTCTCTCTCCGAAATCTCAACCAGTCCTAGAAATTACGTCAGCGGGAGAATTCCGATGTCACCTCTTCATAATACAGGATTGTTTTGGAATTTGACTTACTCAGGCCACAGTTTCCGATGTCCCAGTATCTGCCAATACGTCTCAAGATTAGTTTGATGAGCTGGATGTGATGGCCGTGAGACGAAGCCTTGTCGACCATTAAGGCCTTGCTGACCATTTCGAGCGATGGCCCAACTATGGTACAGGTGATGAACGGACAAGCTTGTGCGATAAACTCAGGGGCCCATGCTTGCATCGCTCGGAAGACAAGGTGTGAGTCAAGTGGAGACGGGCCTGGATGTACTGAGTGATTCGCATTCTCTTTATTAGGGGACGGTTGTCGTGTTTCTTTTGCATTTCTCAGCAAGACGCGAACACTGTCAAGTCAGTATTTATGTTTTGTAGTGCGCGATGGTACGGCGAGTCTCGACATACGTATGTAGCATCACGATCATGGAGATAATCCAATTATAAGAGGCAAAGTTTCTCTCGTTGAAGGGAAACCCCGCCGGAGTCAGGTCGTACTCCGGTGGCAGCAAGAGCATGAAAAGTTTGAGAGTTGCTTCGAACGTGTTTATTTCCTCTAACGTTGTATCCGTGTGTAAGAGGAAATCATTTGCTCTGGCCATTAGAAAAGTGGACACGAGAAACCAAGCTCGAGCACCGAGATGCAGATGGTCGTGTAGTGTGTCCCAGATCTGTGCTGTGTTGGTGTTGATCATTGTGGAAGGAACGGGGGTGTCGGCAAACCATTCGGTATCAGGGATCGGTAGCAAGACGGCCATGTGCTCCTTATCGACGCAATAAGGGCGTCTCAAAATTGTGGAAGAGAAGACATCCAGCTCCCAGACAGCCCACCAGGCGCGCCTTTTTTCTTCCGTGACTACCCACTCGTCAGGAGTCCTTTGCGCGACTTGTAACTCGTCCTTTTCAGCGTCAATATTGTTCAAGCCTAGCTCCAACGCGAGCCGGACGGATGAACCGATGAGAAACCAGGAGCTCGTCGAGGGCCGATTTGTTTGTTCATGAAATGACAATAGAATACAGCCCTGAAGTAGTGCTAACGACGGCTGCCAGCGAGAGTCGTGGGAGAAAGCTACATCGTAGAGAGCGCGTGCCTTTGCAGCAAAGATTTGACCCCTTGTGCACGGTGCCATGTTGTCGAAGAACGGTGAGTTAGAGAACCGGGAAGACATCGCCATGACACCATTCAGAATGAAAGCGTCTTCTTTTTTCAGGATCGAATAGCCCGAAGTCTCATCAGTCAGGCTTTTGAATCTATGGAGGAATCTCGGCTGGTGAAAAAGTGGTAGGAAACACTGGATGCGCTCGAAGAACAGATCGATCCTAGGGCTCAGAGTCAATGTTGCGATCACAGGAATGATCCAAAGGCCCTACAGTTCATGAACGACCTCCGTCGGCATTCGTAAATCGTAAACGTCAACAGTTCTGTTATTCAAAGGGGTTGGATTTGGCGCCAGGTGGTAAGGTGGACCTAAATCAAGCCATAAGTTCACTGGGTCTGGCAAACGGCGTTGACTGTATCAAAAAGACAATCAATGCGGCGTACCTGGCTCGAACGGAGGCAATTCCAGTTCTGAGTCATCCCAACCTGCTAAGGATGTCCAGAAAGCTAGGTCTGCGTCCATATCTGTGGACGGTGGAGCCCCACAGTCACTTAGAAGACCAACCGATGCATCTGGCCAATTTCCTACGGTGCTGAAGCCCGTAACCGTAGGTGAAATTGGCATTTCTTTTGAATTGTCATCTGGCTGGCTCGTAACTGGCTGAGGCAGGAGTTGCGAGACCGGCCGTCGCCTTTCCAGAGCTCTCTGCAGTTGGTCCACATCAAATTCATCTAGGAGCGGATCTTCACGCCACATTCAGCAACTGCTTGCTCGCCCTAGCAGGGCTACGGCAGAGCATACCTAGTTCGATGCCGGTCTTTGATTGTCGAAGTTGATTCAGCAGTGTTCGATACCTCGCCCCGGTGGAGGGTCGCCGCCGTTGGGCGGGATAAGTACACGAAGATTTTCCCTTGATGCATCTTGTACAACATGGACGTTTCCGGTCACCTGATTGAGATGAGTTTTCGGTCAACTTTGCAATTGTCAATTGTGCATGTTTGAAGGAGAATCCTCACATTTGCTCTTCTTCCTATTGTCGTGTTAGCAGTGCATACTGCCCTCTGTCCAAGACGAAGTAATACTGGAATCTAGCGTACCTATTGCATTGGTCGCAGGATCTCCTGGAGAGTGTTGTGGGTTCACGAGGTGTGGAGGTCAGCCAGCCGGACCAGTTGGTGTCAACATCGTCTTGGGGAGAAGCCATGTTTATGCAAAAGCTCGACGTGCCGCTTCGTACACGGTGAAGACTACAGCTTGTATGAGAACACAAGATGCCTCCAGGTGTGCAGAAAGATGAACTTGGAGGTTCTCTGGAAGGATTACTACGAGTCTCAGCGATCGCAGTGTCGGGACGAGGGGGACTAGCACCTCCTTGGCACTTCCAGGCGACGAAGGGGGCAAGCTGGGCTTGGAGGAAATGCCCAGGCTTCCCCGCCTTCATCCCCATGGGTAGAAATCCCTAAGCTACTGTATCTTGGGGTGCCTGGGCCTAAATGGTTCTGAGTAATGAGTTCATACACATTTAATTAGCGAGTGCAAGGTCCGAAATTGTCCACATTCAATTGTGGGTCTCTTTATGCTCGTCGCCGGCATTAATGAACACCGCAGCCAGTCCTGGCATAATGATGGCTACTTGCTCGCTGCGAACATCGATGGCAGGTTCACTTGCCAGACTTTTGGATCACCAAACGTCTTGTATTACTGATAGCGCTTGAATCTCTTGAAGGCGGTTTGTGCTGATGGCGCCGCTGCCGCTATGGACCCATGGTTGTGAAGCACCCTCGTCTCTCTTGTTGTATAACTCTTGGAGCATATCGAAACGCCTTCGTCAGGCTCGTCGTGCGTTGCTCTTACCTCGTTTCCCGTTCGACAGTCGCTATGGAGGATCTCTTCATCTTGCTCTAAGGTAGAGGGGATACTCGCTTCGATTCCAACTTAGACATCGGCCAAAGATGCTAGCAATCAACTCGCAGAAGGCGAGCATAGGGCCTAGAAGGCCTACAGAAGTCGATGAGGAAGAGACGAACAAGGCAAGTGATTCTGTGCTTACAACAGAGCACAGGACGATCGGTTTCCATGACGAGTTGACGATGTACAAGCCTTCTGCGAAGGTGAGCGAAGTTCTTGAATTTGCCTCGGTTGTAAGTTGGTTTCACACACATGGCCGGCTTTTGCGAACCCCGGCTTGTGGGGATCGTACTCTGCATGCCTAGCCATGATGTCAAACAGCAAGCAGGTCTAGCACAACCCCCACAACCGCTTAGGCACTCCACATAATGTCTGCTGTCTAGCGCCCCACATGCCTAGAGTGAGTGACGCTCATTCAAGACGTACCCTTTGAGTTATCCTCAGAGCATGGTAGGGCATCAACACTGTCCGAGGAACAACGCGAGGGAGTCGAATACGTGCCTCGTTGTAGCCAAGAGATGTGTTAATAGCATCATCGCGCTCGGGCTCTTTCTTAAATGTGCTACAGGCCCTCGACACAAACAATCCTTATCATCTCTTGCTACGATATAGGATTTCCGTAGTACATTCAATAGAGCATTTTTCGGATCACCCAACATACGGCCGGCCCTCTAAGCAGTGAACCGGTCGGGTCTGAGGATACAACCGTCCTCCTCGATCTCCCTTACGTTCTCCCAATCGAAATACACGTCCTCCCAATCCTGACGGAACCGGATCGAATATGCCATTACGGGGACACTCAGAGCCTCGGAAGCTTGAATCGCTGCCTCTTTCCAAAGCTCGCCTCCGATTCCAGTCAAGATTGTAAAGCCGCCTTTACCGGCCAGGTCGTGAGGAGAGTCACGAAAGAAGCTTTTGCCGCACCCTTGAGAACATAGGCGATTTTCCATGCTAGATTGAAGACATCTTGAACACAGGTATTGGAACCGAGCCCATTGGCGGGAGGATGACGATGCACGGCATCCCCGAGGCAGAAGATATTGCCCTTCGCATACTTCTCGGCCCAAATATTGTTGACCAGCCACCTGCTGACGTTGAGAATCTCGATATCTACCGTCTCATCTCCGATGGTTTGCCAGATGCGTTTCATCCACTGTTCATGAGTCGGCGGTACCTCTGGCTTGTAGCCTGGGATGGGGAACATGACGAACACCCACTCATCCCACGGCTTCAGCATGCGCGGAAAGCCGATCCAGGCAAAGTCTGGATGGTCCACGTCGTGCTGATAGCACCAATACAAATTACCCTGTCTGTGTGTGATGAAGTTGCTCAAATCGGCTTTGACCAGGACGTTCCATGCGAGCCCTCCTCCAGGATTTTCCTTTAACGGCAGGCCAAGTTGTCGAAGAATCCCACTTCGGGCGCCGTCTGCACCAAACAAGTATCGGCATCTAATCCGATGCGTAGTGCCAAAAACGGTGTCTTTGACGATCACATCAACCTTGCCCTTCGATACATCATCCTCAAATCGTAAATATTCCGTATCGAATCGGGTGATGAAGCCGCTAGTGGCAGCTTTGCGGATGAGAATTGGCTCGAGCCGTGTCTGCGGCAGATCGATCGGTTCGCAAGGGCTCGCTTCTTTGTACTTCGCTTCCAAAGCTGGGCCGTACCCCCAGGCATAGTGACGTGCATATTCTTCGCCAGCCATACTATAACCCCAACGGGTATGCACCATGCTTTCTTTTGGGCTGGCCAATTGTCGGCATTCTTCTTCCAGCCCAATATCCCTCAGACATTCTGCACTATACAGTCAACAAAGATGTCCCATAATCATTTAGCATATCACAGGAACTGACCCAAAGCAGCCATGTTGGTTATGTGTGCACGCGGAGTCTCGGCCGTGGTGGAAGTCATTCCAATGACTATTCCTTTGATGCCTATTAACCAATTGTTAAACCATTACCCTTCGAGATATCACAGGTCTGATGGTCTCAGACCGACCATATGAGCCAAGGAATCCAGCCAAGACCCTCCTGCCGGGCCCGCCCCGACGACGACAACTTGAGTAACATAGTCAGGCTCGACAGTACCATCGTCGCCAGGAATAGAACTGCCCATCGTGCGACACAGTCGTGACGTAGGATTTATTCTCCACAGCACGATTGAAAACTAGTAACGGTGGTTTTGCCATTATAGAGGCCAGCGAGGTTTTGATATAGAAAGACTCCTGTCCTCTCCTAAGCGTTGCGATTGGATCCACAACTGCTGTCGCGGTACCACGCGCTGTGACCTTAAACCCATATGCCGCAGAAACTCTAGTCACAGCGAGAGGGCGGAAAGGATATAACCCGGGTCAACCTCCAGTGATTCCGCCAATACATACTTCGCTTCCAGGTAGGAGCCGTCGAGGCTACGGAGAAACCGACCACCGTTGCTCCGTCATCTGCCAAGGCAATTTCAGTCACGGTCTGCGATAACACCGGATGGCGGAATACGATGGCGTGGATTCTGTTCCATTCAAAGACTGCAATCGTGTGTTCTCTCCGGTTTGGCACTATAAGGCATGTTCGAGACTTTCTATTCTTGCTTGGCTATTTCTTTTTCTCCTGATCCTTTTCTCCCTCCCATTTTAGCACACATGAGACTTGGACAGGCAGTCAAGAGAGACACCATGTCGAAAACACTCGGACACGCCTTATTCAACCCCTATGTTCCTTTCGACTTCAAGGCCGCCAATGAGAATTATGTTAAGAATGTGTTCAAGGATCAAAACCCTCCTGTGGGCGCCAGCTCCCGAGTCGGAATCATCACTTGCTGTGACGCCAGAAGTAGCCCCGACCATTTCTTCCAGCTGAGCCATAACCAAACCTTTATCATACGCAACGGCGGGGGGAGAACGAGTCCACCCGATATAATTAGGACTCTCGCAAGTATCGAGATTCTGAGCGACATCAAGGAAATCATGGTCATTCACCATACCGGTAAGAATGATTCCCTCGCACCCCGGGCCTCAAGCTCCCTCAATCGGAGTACTTTCTCTCTGACGATCTGCATCGGCACTATACAGACTGTGGCTCTCTGCACTGCGATGACGACTTTTTCAGAAAGGCGATCGCCGAGAATGACCCGAGCATGAAAGACGGGCCTTTCCTAGAGGGTGCCGAACTGTGGACACAAGGCGTGGCCTGGGTCCCGTTTGACTGGAAGGAGGGCGAGACTGAGAGGCAGGTGCTGGACCGCAGCGTTGTGGACGACGTACAATTCCTTCGGCGCCATCCCCTGATGAAGCCGTCAATCCCCATTACAGGCTGGGTCTATGACGGAAGTACTGGTGCCGTGGAAGAGATTAACTGTGGGCTGGAGAACGGGCGCGATCCCAAGCAACTTGAATTACTTCAGGCACAGCTTGCAAAACGAGGACCAGAGTAACATGTTCTAGGTCAAGGATGCTACTCTCTGAGAGCCGCTGGTATGTTTATAGAGCCAAATATATACTATGTTACATGGTAAAGTTAGTAGTTGGCAACGTCCAGTACCTGATCCAGAGTAGACCAGACTTCGCTGTTTGGGGGTAGCTGTCTCATGCCTTTTGTTCTCAGAAGGCAGACCCAGGCCGTTTAGTTGGCACTCGCTCGAAAGTAGGAACGGCTTTTTTTGGTCTGAGATACCAAATCATTCGCGGGCTAATTATGTTGTGCCTTTTGCCTAGAGACTCCGAACGGTTGGCCCATGCCGATTTCCGGTTACATTCAGGCAGCTGGGCTCCATTTCCACACGCACTGAATCTTAATCACCACCCCACAATTCACGTAAGCCACGACCTAACCACTTTCACAGTAGCCCAAGATAACCTCCGGTGTTCACCAGGCCCGGGCCAGTGATGACACACCTCAGCGAGGCGTATATGATCACAATTCATCGCTGCATCCTGAGATTGTAAACATTCCACATTATTTATTTAGCTTAACTGCCAACTTGAGAAATTGAAGGAGTCTACAGCCACAATCAAGTATGTCGTCGATCACCAAGATACCAGACCGTCACATGATTCATGTGACGCTCTACTTTGCACCTGAGAACGTCCCTATTGCTCTAGAGGCATGCAAAGCTCTATTTGAAGAGGCTTGGAAGGAACCACAGTTGGATTTCTGCCAGGTTGTACAACATGTGGATGAGCCGGGGATCATTCGTATCCAAGAAGCATGGAATGCTTCACGCAAATATCTTGACGAGGTAACAAATCACAAGCCCTTGGAAGCCTTTCGCATTCCCTCCTGAAAAAGATTCAAACAAATACGTGGACTAACCTTTCTATGTTTGCCTTGAAAGGTCCAATTGCACAAGTCCTACTACGCGCCATATCTTGAAGCTACTCAGCATCTCTGGCTGAGACCACGTAAGTACTAGTCTATATACGTTCCAGATGAGCTCTGTAGGGAGCAAGAACAAGCAGAGAGATAGATCATTGCGCTGACTAGCCTCTCTTGACAGGTGAAATCCAAATTTTCGAACGCATCTCTGGCTGGACGTCGATCAAACCATCTTTCGCTCAGGATGAACTCGAGCCTCAGTGAGGAGGCCTGATTGGTTTGGTTAACAGGAACCGACTGCAGGATTGATTATTACCAAAGAATGGGATATATGATAATATGCCATATGACAGCATACCAGGACCCAATCATAATCCCTTCAGTTGACTGCGATGACAGTGCTTGGAGGCTTATTTTCTCCGTCTTCTAACCACATACGAAGCTTACAAGTCACGTTAGAGAACTCCTAGCTGCTATTCATCGATATGACTTATTTCTGTTTCCTTTCCTTATCTGCCTGTTCCACTACCAGGCCACTCCATAGTATAAGCGAAAATTCCGACTTCAACTCTAGGTAGGCCTTCGCCGCACTGCCCAACTGGTAGCGCTGTCAGTAACTTCCCCTGTTCTTTGTTATGGTCGAAAGGCACTTAGATATTCTCGCGTAAGACTATCCCAGATCCATGTTTGTCCTTTTCCGTTTCATGATGGTCCTCACGGGCAACTTGACCATTAACGTCCACAGTGAGCTCGCTCGAATAGAGTTTAACTTCCTCCACATCACCAAAGATTGCCGCAAGCTCCTCCAAAGGTACTGATTTGGTCTCCGGAACCCAGAACCAATATACAAGGGAGCCAACGGACAAGACTGAGATGAAGACCTACGGGATAGAAACAGGAGACTCTGTCAGCCATTTCTTATAACTCTGATAACGTGTCAAGGAGTTTTTCTGGGCAGTACAAACTCACCAGTAGGAATTTCCATCCAATATTTTCTAAAGCAGTCGGTGCGACCTCGAGGTAGAGCAGGTTACTGGCACTATTGACAAAGACACAGAAGCAGACACCTTTTGCGCGAATATGGGTCGGAAAGATTTCGGTGTAGAATGGGGCACCGCAGGACTCGACACCGAGGCAGTAGAAAACGACAATTAGATACAATGCTGCTACTGCCCAACCGAGTCCGACTTTGTTGGTTCCACTGGGGGCATAAACAGCTTGCATGGCGGTCAGAATTGCCAATGCTGCAATACACCCGATGAATCCTGTCATGATGAAAGGCTTGCGTCCGAAGCGATCACACAAGGCAGCACCAGTGATAGCTGCAGGGATAGAACCTAATGACATAGATCAATAAAAGGCTGTGAGTTACCTCGGTTCTTTGGCAGAAGGCGAGCTTACCTGCAATCCAGCCACATTGTAGTATAAGGCTTTGCTTAACGCTGAAACCCAGGGCTGCGTAGAGGGAAGGACCCTTACATAAGGCCCTATCAGCATCTTTTCTGTATGGTCATCGCAAAACTGGTTCAGAAAGGGACACTCACATAGGCAGCTGCAACAAGGACAGCGGTGCTTTGACCAAGGAAGGTAACAAGGCAGGCTATCAGAGCTCGCTTTCTATATGAAGCTTTTCTCAACAAGTGAATCCACGAGGAGTCCAGCGTTCTGTCGAACTCGAGCTGCGTCCGCATCTGGAAGAACTCCTCCATTACATATTCTTGGTTCTCATCTGCCGAATCATGGTGGAGCGTGCTGACTATCTTCCACGCTTCTTCGGATTTTCCATTAAGCAATAAGAAGCGTGGAGACTCTGGGGAGAAGTGTAGAGCGACCAGGAGGGCACTAGATGGCACAAGGCAGAGACCAAGTGGAGTTCTCCATTGTACGCTCGGAATTGTCGTGTAGGAGAAGGCCAGGCCCATGAGAGCAGCAACGGTGTACCCACAAGCGACTGCCACACCAGTCAGACCAGTGAAGAATCCTCGAGTTTCTGCTTGCGAAAGCTCGGCAATATAAATGGACGCTGTAACCATTAGCATTGTTCTCGCACACATAGGAAGGAAATGCATCCTGAATCATGACATACTAGTAGCAATGAAGCTGACCGCTGCAAATCCATGAATGGTCCGCGCAACGATGAACATGCCGATATTCTGCGCTGCCGTAACCAGAATACCACCGAGCGTATAGACACCTACAAGGGCAATCATGGTCGGTTTTCTGCCAAATTTGTCGAGCGCCCAGCTTGAAACCATTACGCCTATACATCCTCCAGTCTATAAGAACGAGCATCAGTGCATGAACATCGGGTAATGACTGGAAATTAAAGCGTGTACGTACGCAGAATAAACCAACAGTGGCACCAGTAAGGGCAGCTTGATTCGGGGATGGGTTGCCCTCAGCATCAAGCAGACGCATATAGATCAAAAATGTTGGTTGCCCGAGCGTTGTGGAGATCTGGATTGTTCGCAGTCAGAGTTTGGGTCTTTGCAATATAATAAAGACGGGACGACGGACAATCGAAGCGGCATAGCCATAGCAGAAACTGCCCAGAGACAAGAAAAAGCAGCACCAGAAAGTGCGCCAATTCAATTTCTTGTTATTTGCTGAGAATGCCATGCTGTGGTATATGGGAAATGCGACAGTCCTTATAACCTCACAAATTGAAGATTTGAGGACGTGATAATTGCTGAACCCCCAGGCCTTATTTGAAGCATACGATCTGCCTAATTGCTCTCACGGTCTTCAGAGGCTCCGGGGCTCCGTAAACAAGGGCCGAGAGCCAATCGAAGATTTCCCGTTATGGCGAGTGCACATGACCACAGCCCGGAGACATTGCCGCGGTGTTCGTGAAACCCGCTTGTGGCATATACGACCTCAGTGTCTTCCAGCTCATTTTCGCAGGAGAGATCATTCGAGACCAGGGATCATACCCAAGGCGATCGGCGCTTCTCTTCCCGGTTGAGGAGCAAGTCCAACTCCTTGTCCCAGCACCGTCGCTAAACCCATGAATTCAATAACATTCGAATTCAACACTGGGTCATCCTTTCCAAAGAAATTCTACTCTCTAAGTTCGAATCTGATAGTGAGCCATGGAGCCAGGAAGCCACAAACTGGGAATTGCCACTGTCTCCTTAGGTTGGCACGCCTCCCACACAATTGAGCGAAAGCTTGACAGCATAGCCAAACAAGGGTATTTGGGCGTCGAGATCTATCATCCAGATTTGGTATCATTCGCAGAGCGAAATGCATTGACACACTTGCAAGGGGCTTCAAAGATCGGAGATCTTTGTAGAGACAGGGGCGTCAAGATCATAGCACTGCAGCCATTGTTCGACTTCGCAGGGGTTCTCACAACACTGGAAACTCGACTCAACTCCGCACGCGAATATGTCCGCCTGGCTCGCGCTATGGGAGCTGATATGATTCAAGTCCCCAGCACCTACGAACCAAGTTCAACTGGTGATGAAAAAGTCATTGTGGAAGAGCTCCGTGCCCTGGCCGATCTAGGCACAGAAGAGTTTCCAGACTCACCAGAGTCCGGAACAATCTCATTTGCCTATGAAGCGTTGGCATGGGGCATCCACCATGCATCGCTGGACGACGCAATTCGGATCGTCAAGCTCGTGGATCGAGCTAATTTTGGACTCTGTCTGGATACATACCACGTTATAGCGAGGGTGTGGGCAGACCCGCACGCATCCAGCACTGGTACGGGTATCATACCAGGAGGGTTTGCTGCCCTCCAAGCTACGCTACAGCGTTTCATGAATCAATGTCCGGTAGAAAAGATCTTTTACCTCCAGCTGAGTGACGCCGAAAGATTAGAACAGCCACTTTCTCCCGGTCATCCAGGATACAAGCCAGAGTGGGCTCATTGGGATGCGACCATGCATTGGTGCGTCTGGGGGAGACTGTTCCCATTTGAGACGGAGTACGGTGCCTACTTCCCATTAGACGAGATCCTTCGACTTTGGCTAAAAGAAAAACAATGGGAAGGGTGGGTGAGCATGGAGATCTTTCATCGAGACATGAACAAGGAGTCGGTTGGGCCAGAAGTGCTTGCGGAGAGAGGCTACAAATCTTGGTTAAAGATCAAAGATCGAGTTGGTCTGGACTAAGGAGATCTCTCGAACAATATGCTAGTGCGTGCTGTCCTTTTTGGTCGACTATTGCGTACATACAACCCTAGGGTCCGATCTTGTTGAGGTCCGGAAAATGAAAAAAACTAGATAATCTAAGGACGACTCTAGGGATAGCTCTATAATTTCAAGATTAAGAGTTTGAAAATATAGAACCACGGTACTTCACGATCAATTATGCAATATTTGGTCTCTCGCATGAAACCGAGAAGCAAGGGAGGCCGTTGGTGGACTGTCGGATTCAGTGGTATTTCATTTGTGAAGACCGTGGTGAAGATCTGGCATGACTCAATTGTATTTATTGATGATCACCATTTTGTCGATCCACCATCAATTAAGAAGTCCTGGCCAGTTACATATCTGCTTGCGCTGCTTGCTAGGTAAACCGCGGCGCCTACATAATCTTCAGGCGTGCCGATTGTCCCTAGCATGGTGTCGTTCTGCCACTGCTTAACAAGATCAGGGTATCCCGCTGTCATATTCGTCAACGTGTACCCTGGACTGATAGAGTTGACCCTGATTCCGTGAGGTCCCAGTTCTTTCGCCAGCTCAGGCACCATTCCCCTCACCGCGGACTTGCTTAGAGCGTACACACTTGAATTGTGGGTTCTTGTTGCAACTTGCGCCGCAGTACTGGCGATCAGGATGATACTTTTGCTTGCCTTCCCGCCTGTTCTTGCCTTGCAATCGGATTCGGGGCCGATCATCGCTTCTGCAGCTTGCTGGCAGGTGAAATAAACCCCTTTGACGTTCACGTTTACCACCTGGTCGAAGTCCCCCTCCTCTATTTTCCGAAAATCTTTGAGCTGGTTGATCCCTGCAGCTGCGATGCATATATCCAGACCACCATCGCCGCAAAATGGCTTGACTGTGTCCTCAAAGCTTTTTCTCAATGCAGACACAGACGAGACATCCACTTTGCGATATGCAGTACGCACGCCGTAGGACTTTGAGATCTGTTCGAATTCCGCTGACGGCGGTGAAATATCGAATATTATCAGATTGGCGCCGAGTCGAGCTAGACCAGCAGCAAGACCGAGTCCGATGCCTTGGTTTCCGCCAGTGATCAGAATATTGCGATCACTGAGAACGAACTTGTCTCAAATGTTACACCTCTGCGACACTGCCAGGATTCGTATACATACCTGGTCCATCTTGTTGACTTTGGTAGGTGCAATTAGGGGGGGGGGGGGTTATCACTTTGCAATCCGTACTATGAATCTTGAAAAGTAAAGCAAAATTCTAAGAATTGTTACAATTAACTCGACTGCAGGAACGGCGTTCGAAGGGCCGAACCTGGAAAGTCGCGCATACCCCGTTAGGTTTACTTGAATCAAAGTGTAATTGCGGCTTTTACGACGTCCGCTACTTGGCACAGGCTGAGCTCTGACTGTGCCAATTGGTGGGAAATGCTGTGGAAGATCATTCCTCTGGTCTTCATTCCGGCCAAATATTTGCACTTTTAGTCAAGTAATTCACACCAGCTGCCACCGCGACCTCGCCGTTACAGGGAGATCTAAGGATCTATTCAGGTGCAAGAATGGCGAATTTGCCATCTTTTACGAAAACATTTCATAGGGATGTCTACCCCGGCATATCACCGACGCGACCAGAGCTGTCCGCGGTGGGAAAAATTGTTGCTGTTACAGGAGCGGGTGGCCAGATTGGAAAGGCTACTTGCAAAGCATTTGCTAGAGCAGGAGCAAAACATATCATTATGCTAGATCTCAACCTGGACAATTTGCAAACTGCCAAAACAGAGATTGAGCAGGACCCAGAGTGCCAAACGTCGATTCTTCATTTGTTCGCCGTCAACATCACAGACCAAGCTGCAATAAAAGAAACATTCTCTAAAATTGAGTCGGCTTTCGGAATTGTGAGCGTCTTAGTCAACAACGCCGGCTATCAACCATCACCTCAACGTTACCGCTATGCCGCAATCGATGAATGGTGGAAGGGCCTCGAAGTCAACGTCAAAGGTAGTTTTATTGTCACACAAGAATTTGTCCAACACGCAGCACTGGACAACTCAAAAACTGCCGCTCCTACACTGATCAACATCTCGAGCGTGCTAGCACACTGGGGCATCAGACAAGGTTATGTAAATGGACATACCTCTTACAGCAGCGCCAAGATCGCAATGACACGAGCCATGGAGATTCTCCAGGAGGAAGAGCCGTGGTTACGGGTATTCAATGTACATCCGGGTCTTGTGGCCACTCCCATGGCAGCGAAGTCAGGGACTTTGTCAGTCTCCATCGACAATGGTAAGTAGCAAATCATTCCATTGAGACATATTGACTTTAAATCTTGACTGATCTTTCCCCGTTCAGTTAACTTACCTGCATTCTTTGCCGTCTGGGTTGCTAGTGATGAGGCTGAGTTTCTTAAGGGAAGGTTCTTATGGGCGAATTGGGACATATCTGAGCTCCAGCAACAGAAAAAAGAAATATTGGACCAGGATCTTTTAAGGCTGAATTTATATGGATTGCAATTGTAATCCACATGTACGTTCACGACGTGGGACATAGCCCAATGCATCAACCATCTCTTGAAAAGTACAATCTTATACTTGGGCAGCCTTTGACTAAAGGCTACGTACTTAGGAATCGGTTGCACCTTAGCTGCCACTGTTTAATGGGGGTGCGAGGTTTCCCCTCTGGAAACGCCCGCCAGATCAAACCCACGTGTCCACACAACCTTGAGATCCAGCTTCTGGATCTTCCAGAGTTGGTCTTCCTTTACCAACATCCATTGATACACCCCTCCCGCGTCAAAATGCTGGTCCAAAACACCTCTGTCGTACAGCCAATGTGTGATACAATTCGACCTCACGACCGAAGTGTTACCTTCTGGACTGAGCGCAATGTCAAAGTTGCTACTTTGCAAGTGGCATTGCGGATATGTTGAAACGGATGGCCCCCAGGCCCAGTGCACCAAACCCTTTCGGCCCTTGTATTTCCCAAATGCGTATGAAACTTCAGCGTCCTCACTGAACAAATTCTCCCACTTTTGGCGCGCGACGGGATTGGTGAAGGCTTGGTCGTGTAGAGCCGTGTACCGATCGAGCAGGGTCCGGATGGCTTCGCGGTCTTCCAGGTTATGCACCGCTTGCTGGAGCTGGACCACGATTCTTTCCAATTCTGTGTAGGTAGTCATTTTGGAAGCCTAATGTACGCGATAATGATGGGATGGGCAGGAGCTACACTTCGACCTTTGCGTGCGTGATCGAAATTACCCTTGTGTGAAGGAAGCAGTTGGGCTCAATTCCGGCCGGCCTACTTCACCATCAGAGACTAATATCCCAGGACGTGTAGTATGATCTCGGCCCCTTGCGCTTGATTGATAGGCCGTCATGTCACATTCTTCACCGCTGACGTGAACGAACGGTCCGAAAAAGACCGTGTCCCGCACCTTGAGACGTCCATATATTGCCCGGTCTGCGAAACGCCGAGTCCAGCCAGGTAGTGCTCTGATAAGCTGTGCATGCTGTTGGTCGCCGTGGGCTTGGCAACGCAAAGTACATGTCTTGACTTTGGGTGCAGTGTGCATGTCCGGCCAACACCAGGACGTGCCCCTAGGATTTGGTTTAGCAATATATCAGTTACGGGTATCATACATGTGAAAGGCTGTAAGGCTGTCCTTCTCCTCAATACTATGTTTCTTAGCACAGTTTGAGACATAATTGCGTGCAATGTTAAGTAATTTTGAGAGGTGCAAGAACTTTAGGCTCCTTTCATGCTCAGTCGCGAATCCAAAATTGTCACAGACAGGGAAGACGGTAAGTTCAGCAAGATGATCGGGTGGTTGGAGACAAGATCGGCGCAGGGGGTGAAGACGCGGGTATACGCATAATATCCGCGACATAAATGGACAAAGAAATGTCCAGAAAGTCGAATGCAATCACTATCAATGTCGTCTATTATCTGGAAGGTTCAAAATGTAAATTCCTAGGAGAACAACCAGGACAAAAGCAGTCCAAGGATTTTTGTCCCGGGCCAGGAAGAAATTCTGGAACGCATCTCTTAGAGATGTAGAGCATCCCTGGACGAACGTCCTAAGCGAGATTCCTATGCGGCCCCAGAGTGGATCCTGCGATTGGGAGGCTCAAACGCGTTCCCACTTAGAGACAGCCGAACACATCAAAGAGTAAGGTCGTATAATGAATGCTCTTCATCGGTTCATTGCGCAGGGGTCATCATTCTTCCCCCGTCGTGCTTAGCCCTGGCTGTGAGATGGCACCCGTGATTCACCATTGGTGAGATTTGAATCTCTCGGTACTTATGCTTGCCTCGGCGAACTGAGAAGGCTGCGATTTGTTCCAGACTGAAACACTTACTTACGGATACAGAGGAGAGCCCTACGCAGTCTTCCTGCTTCAGCAATGCTAGCAGAATTTCTCACTCTTCTACACATGGAAAGTCCTTGCTTTCGCCTATCTTTGACAAAGGGAATGCCCCGGGAGAGTCGGGGGTGCCGATAGGCATTTCCATGCCTTGTGAAGGTGCTCATTGGTGCTCATTGGTGCAGTAGAATCCACCTTTTTAACTTACGTATTTCGCCTTATCTCTGTACTCGATTCCTGGTGCTTATCTTGACCAAGGTTTGTCAAGCTTATTTCGCACCGATTCGATCTAGCATGTAAAAAGCATAGGCTTTCGGGAGAGAAGCAAGTTTACCACTCCACTCTACGCTATTCTCTCTCTTACTGGTCCTTATCTCGGATGACATCTGTTATAGCCTCGCAGTTGTGAGCGAGCTACTACTAGAATGGTTCTTCTTATCAGTGGACATGGCACGCAATGCGAGATGCCCTCACTACTCCGAATCCCGTCCGTCATCCACTCTGCCCTAGTGGATTCTGCAAAAGGGCAGAATGTTATACAAGATCCTACAAATATCGCTCTTTTGTCATCCTCTCTATATCCCATCCACATTGACCCAACACTTGGGTATACCACCATCACCACAACCTACCCATCATGGCATCTTACGATGACAAAACCCCCTATGACGAGAAGAATGCCTCTGAGTCTGCGGCCGAGCCTTTCGAAGTTGGTCGCATGTCCGGCCTCAAGCGACGCCTGCCCGGCTTCAGCCTCAAGGTCCGTCAAGAGGAGAGCAGCTTTGCCGCCACAAAGAACGCCTCCAATGCCGATTTTGACCCAATCCCTCCTTCAAAGCGCACCTGGAATTGGGGCGCGTACGTCGCGTACTGGATGGCCGATGCCTGGGCGGTCTCAAATTGGGAAGTCGGTGAGTTTTCAACGATATGATTCGTCTGCTGAGTAGAGAGCGGCGATTCTGAAGCTTTTGTTGCGTAGCTTCTACCATCATCGCCGTCGGCCTCAGCTGGAAAATGGCAATCGGCGCCTGTGTCCTCGGCAACACTCTGATGGGTATCGTCATTACCGTCAATGGTAGAATGGGTGCCACTGTGGGTTGTGTCCTTCAACGAGCCGAGCCGAGCTTACTTGGTATAGCTCCACACTCCGTTCCCCGTTCTCGCACGCATGCCATTTGGCTATTACTTCAGCTACTTCGTCGTCGTGTCCCGCTGCGTCCTTGCCATCGTCTGGCTCGGGTTAGCTTGTCCGAACAACTACTTCATCGATTCATGAAGCTAACTATATACAGTGTCCAAACCACGACTGGCGGTCAATGCATGTCCGTCTTGCTCACAGCAATCTGGCCAAGCTTTGCCAACATCCCTAATCACATACCCGCCGATCAGGGCATCACCACGTCAGGAATGATTGGCTTTGTGCTCTACTTCCTGCTCCAGCTTCCATTCTTATGCATACCTTACACCAAGGTATGGCCTTGCAGCCAACTCTCCCCCTGATCCTGGACTCGACTAACACCACCAAGGTCCAGTACTTCTTCGCTTTCAAGAGTTTTATTGCACCGATCATTTTCTTCGCAATTTTTGGTTCCACGCTGCACAAGGCCGGCGGCACCATCAGTAACAGTACGGTCATTACCCAGGGCACCACTTTGAGCGGTTCCGCCCTCGCCTGGGCCTTTTTCGGCAGTAAGCGGTACTCTGCACTCGCATCATCCCTCGCTTCCCGCTAACCAGAGTCCCCTCTTGTAGATCTCAATGGAGTCTTGGGCAATTACGCCACCTTGGGCCTGAACATCGCCGACTTTTCGAGATATGCCAATAAACCCAGCGCACAGAACGTCCAAGCCATCGTCATCCCCTTCATCTTTAGTAGGCTCCCCGCGGCACAATCGCATGTCGATCTTGCTAATCAATTGGATTCGCAGCTATTGTTGGCTTGCTTGGCATCTTCACTGCTGCAGCCGCACAGACGGCATATGGCGAAAAGATCTGGAACCCAATTGAAATTGTCGGTCTCTGGTCGAAATCTGGTTCCCACGGTGGACGCGCTGCTTCCGCCTTTGGCGCCATCGGCTTGATCATCGTCACTATCGGTATCAACATCTCGGCCAACTCCATAAGTGCGGCCAACGACCTCATGTCTTTCTGCCCCAAGTACATCAACATCCGCCGTGGTCAACTGCTTGCGGCCGTCATTGGTAGCTGGGGCTTCGTTCCAGTAAGACAACCTACCCTTTTGCAAGCTGCCATTGCCCCGCTGACCACAGCCGCAGTGGAAAATTCTCGCATCAGCCCAAAAGTTCATTGCTTTCCTCGGCGGCTATACCATTTTCCTGGGGCCCATGACATCCATTCTCATGACAGAGTGCGTCCCCTACAAACCCACACAGCCACAACCGACCCCGTCCGTATCCCGCTAATCTTTTTGTATCGTGCCGCAGCTACTACATTGTCCGACGCGGTAATGTGTCCGTACCAGACATGTACAACTTCCACGGCATGTACCGCTACTCGCCGAGATACGGTACCAACTGGCGCGCTGTCGTCGCCTTTTTCATCGGCTGCACACCGCCGCTGCCCGGCTTTGTCAACAACATCGTTGTAGCAGGCTATGGCAAGACCAGCGTCTCTGTGGGCGGTCAACACCTGTGAGCCTCTTCCCTTCCCTCTCCCCGCAAGCAACTTGGTCGCAGCCACGCTAACCACTCAACTTGGGCAGTTTCAACATCGGCTACATCTATTCATTCGTCGCCGCCGGCGTCTTCTACTGGGGCTTCAATCGTTTCTTCCCGCACACAGAGTCCATCATGGACCACCCTGAGACGGGCGAGGATATCATTGCGGCCAACGACGCCAAGAATGTTGAGGAGCGTCGCACCAGTCGGGCTGAGCGAAGGCCGAGTGTGGTTAGCCGAATCTTCGAAGTTTAGGGATCTCGCACAATTTCGCCTCGGCATGAATTTTTAAGCAGCCCTCCAAGGGCTTCTCAAGATCCCGTGCTTGTGTGCCGTGGCTGTGAATGCTAGAAACGAGTATACTAGGTAGGCTGATGGGCTATAAAAGCTTGGCTTCATTTATCGGTCTCGCATTTTAACATTACTCGTATGTCGCTTTGTTGGGCACCTACTGTATACTCTGCAATTTCCCAAAGGTTCTGCGTTGACACCGCATGTCCACCATAGAGAAGAGCAAGGGTTATCAACATTGGATATTCCTTGCTTGATACGCTTTCAGGTTACATCCTAAAGCCTTGAAACACTTAATCCGATCCTATCGTACCTCATTTTCCCGCCAGGAAGCTTAGATTTCATGTCTAGTGTATATTACTCGCGAACAGCCTCCATTATATACTGCTAGAAAGGTACCTTGTGGAGTACTGGAGAAACACGCTAGACTTAGTAGCGGACTACTAGTAATGTCTACCCCCCAGTCCAGAAAGGTCCAATGTGGCGTCGCGTTGAGTGTTCCGACAGGTTGAACGCGCCCCCATAACTGCCACAGCCACATCTTGGTATACGGATCGACTGCCTGAAAAAGGTAAGAGCCCCCCTAATATATCACCAAGTTAGTCCTTACGAGGAATACTAACTACTAAACATTAGTGGGGGCACCTACTCAAGGTATTTCAGGCTAATTTTGTGCTCAATATATACTATATACGGTAGAAATTACGAGTACAAGTTTTCGTGTTATGCGAGGCTTATATAAGCAATGATTTCATAAGCTAAAATATTATGCATAACAGATATTGTGTCGATGTCAGCAAGCAAATAAACACTCACCCTAGAATAGTTTTTCTGTCTACTTGTCATTCATAGAGCTACCCGTGTGTTTCTGGGCACTGCTATCCCAGATGTCCTTCTTATTTATCAATGATGATGCTAGTACTAATCGAAGTACCAGAAGACTAATCCGTAGCCACGTGGCTACAGGCCGGAATCGTGGAAAGACGCTATCGAAGCAGCAACCTAGGCCCCAGGCCACATCAGGTGATAATATATCAGTTGAATCTCGGACTGATTTGGCTACCCGTCCAGGAATACCGACGATGTGTCTTCCAGCGGATGGTAGGCTATCGCTTATATCATTTCCTGCCAGGTGGACCCCTCAGTCTCGCAACTCGTTCAAAAAATGTACGAGTATCCGGTTTATCATCCCTTCGCATTGCACCGACTCTGACGTGGGCACAGTCCTCACAACTATATGCCTGCCTCTTTTTGCAGTCGAATTTCAGAATTCGATCGTTTTTACAGAAGGCCGCGCGACCTGGGTCTGGGTCCAATATCTTCTAGAAGACGAGGCCTGTTGTTCTCCCTTACACTATTTCAAGAGGTAGAAATCTCCTTGCTAACACACCTTTCTAGTTTTCAACTGCAATGTTGCTATTTCACTGGCCATTGAGGGGCTTTCCCAGCCACAATCAGAGATCAGCAAGGAAGCGTTACATCGGATATCGGGTACCTATCACCTAATCACCGACAGACTCTCAAGCAATGAAGCGCTCTCAGATTCAACTTTGGCTGTGGTTTTGGGATTGGTCCATTATGAATGTATAAATGGTCACGTTCAAAGAGGGATCGTTCACTTCAAAGGACTCGAAAAGCTGGTCCAGCTACGAGGTGGGATAAGTCAGCTTCAGAGCAATCCCGCTTTAGCCCATAAGATCTACAAGTGAAACACCATTTTGACCTTCTTCCCAGCTATGCGTTGTTTCCTAACATATTGAGGAGCCGATATCGAGTTCGCTCTTTTACTGGGCTCTGACCCGTGGTATGATTCAAAGGATGTTCCTGGACATGAGATGATCTCCGATTTTCGTCAACAGTATCTGCAGGAGTGCCCAGGTCAAGATCAACTAGCTTTCAGTCAATTAAGTATTCGCTTCGAAAATGTTCTACTAGATGCTTCAGGCCTTGCTTGGCGGCTCAACTCAACAGCATTAAATCCCGGAAAAATCGATGGAAACTATTTTCATCAGGCGATAATACTTCTTGGCTATCGTATTATTCATCTGGGCCCTTTGGTAGGCTCCAAGTTTGCCAGCAAGCTGGAAACCAATTTGCACCTTGGTCTAACTACTTTCATTGCGACGTTTTTTATTGGTGTTACAGGCAGAGACGCAGAATTTAGTTTGCTTGCCGGCCTCCTTGGTCAGGCCGCACACGAAAGTCATACTGAAACTAAAGTGAATCAGGAAATCCTGCTATGGACCTTGTTGATGGCCAAGACTGTCGTATTTGGTGAATCAGATGACCACTGGCTAATACCCCGAATAGTGGGGTTGATATCAGAGCTTGGGCTTCAGGATCTGGAAATGTTCGGCCGAACAATTCACAGGTATCCCTGGGTCGACGCTCTTCATAACAAACCAGTCGAAGCAGTATGGCAAAAATCAGGGCAAATCTAATCTCCAAGGCTTGGATTCGATATACATAGATAGCCACCACTGGTGGAATGGCTCATTCCACCTTATTTGTGGGTCTACGTTACATATTATCCCATAATAGGCAACCACTCTCCTATTGGACAGCATGACCTGGCGAGCTTGAGCTGGCAAAGCGTTCACCACATAAAATCTAGTTCGCCGGAGCAACACATTCGGCCGAAGACGGTGGACGGGAATGTTGCTTTCACAATGTACCCAATTCAGTAACCACTCTTCAATTGGACAAGAACTTTAGTGGCTCCTTGATATGGATCTAGGACTATTGCCAAATCATAGTAAGTCCTACATTGTAAGGTGCACACCTATACCTTGGCTCAAAAGCATTTCCCTATTTGAGTTCGAGGATCCTGCGAGTAGCTTACCTCCGAAGTATAAGACGAAGTGATATCTCGAACTTCCAGCAGAAAGGATTGAATTGAAAAGACACCCCACGGATTCGATTCCAATCTGCGGACCAACAGCAAGTATACTCTATCTTTTACGTTGCGCCATGGCCTCTACCGAAGAGCTAGGTTCATCCATCTTCACACCTCAATTCATCGCCGAGCAAACAAGGGAGCTCCCAATCTTAGCCACGACCAAGACTTGCTCTGGAGCAACCTACATTGTGACAGGGGCTAATGTCGGCCTCGGGTTTGAGACGGCTAAGCATCTAGTCCAGCTTGGGGCTGCTAAAGTCATTCTGGCTGTCCGTGATGTTCAGGCAGGCGAAAATGCCAAAGCAGAGATTGAGAAAGAGACTGGAAAGAACAATGTCTTAGAGGTCTGGGCAATCGACCTGGCAAGCTTCGTCTCCATTAAAGCATTTGCAGCAAAAGCTCAGAGGAGTTTAGAGCGTATTGATGCCCTAGTTTGCAATGCGGCTGTGGCGTTGGAGAAATGGAGCACGGCTGAAGGCCATGAGACGACTATCACCGTCAACGTCCTGGGGACACTGCTCTTGGGCGTTCTCCTCGTCCCCAAGCTGGGGGAAAGTGGCCGATGTTTCAAGTTTCTGGGGCATCTCGTCTTCGTGTCAAGTGAGGCAAGCTGGACGGTGCAGCAACAATTTGACAGAATCAGGGATAGTCCATTGGCTAAACTTAACGATGAGACAATTCAAGGGATGGAACAGAGGTAAGCTGCACATTATTCATTTCCGGAGCACTTTATGCTCATTCTTGAAGATGATTCCTATGCCAATGGATTAACTCTGTCCTCTCTCGTATAGATATCCACTTTCCAAACTCATCCAGGTTTTCACGGTGCGCCATCTGGCAGGCCTGCTCCCCCTTTCAAAGACCGGTGTGGTCATAAATTTCGTCAATCCAGGTTTCTGCAAAACCGATATTGCCCGCAATTATACTGGAGAGTTTCGCTCGTTCGTCGACTCGGCTCAAGAGCAGTACGGTCGGACCGCCGAGATGGGCAGCCGTCCCATCTTGCACGCCATAGTCGCGGGCAAGGAGAGCCACGGCCGATATCTAACTGGATGCGAGATTCGAGAGTATGTTTAATCCTGCTCTAAACCCAGTTTCATTCGAAAGTGATGAATGGTGCCCTTTTTTTTCTAACTTCAAATTTAGTAACGAAGTTCCAGATTGGGTTACAAACGAAGATGGCAAACAAGCAGAGAAGCATGTGTGGGAAGATGTCTTCAAGGTGCTGAACGACGCTACCTCTGGCGCTCTTAGTAGCATCCTCTGAACCTCGCGAACTTTAATCGACAGTCCAAGGAGATTGTAGCCTTCTTTGGTAAAGAGGACTTCAATCCGTATATTTTAGTAGATAGATGCAAGACGCCCGATTAGCGTCACACAGCCCTATTCAATGAGTTGAAATGCATCTTCTCAACCAGTGGTCATACACGGTAAAGAATGGAGTGTGAAGTGTGATCTTATCCCCGCTCACTTCTCCGTGAGTTCAAGATAAATTCATGTCCTCTGTTCCCCGAACCTTTAGCTTACTACCATCTTCGTTCAGGAAAGAGAGATAGGCCGCATTGATCTGGCATATAACAGCGCGTCTACCAGCAGAACGACACCATGGCATGAACTCCTGCATATTTGGCTGTGGGGGTTACTCCGACGAGCCCATCCGCATATCGACTCACAACTCAAAATGTCCCAACGCAAATTGGCCAACCTTGCGCGCCCCACTGCACTCCGATATCTTGATGCCTCAGTTTTTGATTTCCTCAACCAGGAACTCACGTCTCTTCGATTCCTGGCGATGTTCATACTCTTCGTACGCTGAATAACTTCACTGGTTCAAATGGTCTATAGCAAGCGGGATGGTGCATCGAGCGTTTCTCGAATTTATTCTGGAAATTCGCAAAAGCAGTAATTGGCATGATCGTACAGAAATGCTTTAATTTGCTGGACTTCTTCATGTACACGACCTGATCTTCGAGAGAGGTGTTTGTGTAGCGTTGTCGCGCGAGACTTGCTTCAATTGCTCCACATTCTGCTTCTTGTTGATGAGGCATTTAGCGGCGGCTAGCCTGTTAATTTCCAATACTTGTGCCCGTTAAATCTCCTCGGAAGGGGCTGCGCGACTGGGCTATCACGGGTTTTAGGAGAGCTGTTGCGAGTCGATCTTCGCATTCGTCCGGATATGGAGATTAGGATGCTGAGCCTAAATCAGACCCTACCTGCTCGCTTATAACATGAGATCGCCTACGTTTCCTAGGACCCTTATATGTAGTATGCAAGCATTTGTTGTTATTACAGACTTTCGAGCCGGAAGCTGGGTTTGACTCGAGGAGATGTCAGGCTGCTTCTTGAGTAGGGAGTGTCGATTTCATAAGGAGTACCGCCAACGAACTCTAGCCTACAACCAGGCTGACCGACTTGTCTTGTAAAATTATCCCCAGCTCGATGGCAAGGTATTGTCAAGGGTGGTGAGCTGTTTGGAATCGAGATAGGAGTTACGTACCGAATGCTCATGCGTCATTATTTACTACTAGTTAGTATAATGCCTTATAGGGTACATTAGGATCACGCTAGACTCAGTAGCGTGACACCAGTAATGCCTACTCCCAATTCAGAAGGTGCGTCTTGGCACAGCGCTGACAGTTCCGACGGTTGAACGCCACTCCGTAATTGCCACAACACCATTTCGGAATACGGATCGACTGCCTGACACCTGACAAGGCCCCAACACCTCACCTAGTTAGTCCTAATGAGTGATGCCGAGTACTAATATTAGTGGTACCGACCTAGGGTATTTTAGGCTCAAGAGTTAAGGATGAGTGCCCTCGAGTACGCCTATCTTCCGGGGTTCTCAGGCCAGGCAACCCCCTCCCCCGGGGCCCCAAAACGCCACAACCCTACTTGGAACAAAATGAGTATGCTCGGTGCTTCAACACTTGAGATAGCCTACCACTGGGATGCCACTACTCGCAGCCAGTCTCATGCATGCCTCCAGGGAGGTGCCTAACATTTCCGATCAGCCTTGACAGGCTGCCTTAGCCCAGATCGACGACTTCCATCTTCTAGAAGGCGCCACGATCGTCAATCTTCTGCAGCACTAGGATAAAGCGTGGTAGACCTGATGTACATACAGTGGACGTCACTTAGAAGGTCTTCCCACAGCAAATAACCCCACCGGGCCAACTCAGCCCGGAGAATATCAAAACCTAGGCCGTACTACGAGTACCTCCACCACAATCTGGCAAACCCTTCCTTTCTTTTCTCGGTCTCGCCTTTTCTTCATTTCCACACAAAAGTCTGAGGACAAACCGAAATGCGTAGTGACTCCCCTAATTCCACATCCTCAGAGCAGAGAAGCAGTACGGTGTAAGTGAGCATGCATTCTCAGGTCGAAAATATCTGGACCACTAATCTCGATCTGGTGCATTGGCAGCTGCTATCTCTGCCGACAACGCAAGACCAAATGTGATCGTATTTTGCCTCGTTGTGGTTTCTGCATCAAGGCCAAGGTTGAGTGTCAATATGTCTCTAAACCCAAAAAAAGGGGCCTTCGCGCCGGCTACGTATCTCAGCTTGAGAGCCGTATAGGTAGGTAATGATATATCTCATCTAACCAGAGGCTATATTGATTGTTTCGGTAGATAGCCTTGAACATGAACTCTCGAACATGAGGAATGTGTCACTACCACGCACTCCTGGCGTCGAGCCCTCGCCTACCAGGCTAGGTATGCCGCTAGATATCTGCTTCCAGGCCGCCGAAGTGCCAAAAATGCTGATAAGTTCGATAGAACGACTAGAGCAAGAAGTCTTGAGCCTGAAGAACAACGCAGTCATTCAATCTCCTCAGACTGGGACTTCTTCAACGGTGGGAGTCTCAACACCCGTCGCAGCACCAACTCCTCTTGTCGATCAACAAACCCCCAACTCATCCATATCACCTTCTATTCCAGGCAATACACCAGCAACTACCAACCCTGATGTCTCCCATTGGCGACGAACTCGAGTACATATTGAAACAAGTGATGCGGTAGCTGACCTGACGAGTCTGCCACGAGAATTCCTCTTCAGCCTTGCCGACCAATTTTTTAAGGAAACCCAGTTTTGGTTCCCTATTGTCAACCGTCAGCACGTCCAAACCGCCCTCGAAGCACTGCCCATGCCTCTAACCCACATCGATGATATCGTCTTGAGAGCCATGATCGCCTTGCAGATAAGTTATTCCAGCCAGGCTATCTGTCTAGGATATCACGGCAGGAATCGACTGTCTCAACACCTCAGATCTCAAGTGTTGAATGAAGCATTATCCAAGGCCACTTTAAGCTCACTTCAATCACTCCTGATCATAGCTATACTTGACTATGGTGCTGACAACATTCCGAGCACGTTCAGCTTGATGTCTGTCTGCCGGCGCATGTGCGAGAACATCGGGCTGTTCCGAAAACTCCTAAGCCAAATGGAACATCAGAGTCCAACACAAATCGGCCCACCTGCCATGGGGATCAATAATACCGGGGAGGAGCTGGCAATTCCAATCACATGGGCCATACTCGCCCTAGATGCAACGTCTACGCTTGGGGTGTCGTGGCGCGATGTTTCAGCCGCCCTAGTCGACCACTTGTCCAGCGTAGCGTACCTCACCGCGCCAGACCTCAAAGACACGTACCGCACACACGCACACCTGGCAGCGATTGCGCTGCAGCCGCTGCACACTTTCATTCACGAGCACGAGCGCTTTCGATACGAAAATGCAGACGCCGAGGCCCTCGCAACATGCGACGAGATCTACCACAACCTAATCAATTATGTGCGGGCGCAGCCCAAATCGAGCTATACGATGCTAGCGGATGGACTGATTGACTTCGACCCTAACCTGTTGCACACGACGGTCCTGTCGCACGCGAGCGTGATTGTGCTGTACCAACGCCTTCTGCGCTTCGAAAACGGCAGCGTCTCGGCCGCTTTCGGGGAGATCCCATTACAGCGGTGCCTGCAAGCATGCGAGGACCTAGTGCAGGCATTCCGGGGCATCAGCGATGCCGATGCCGAACTGAACACTCCGCTACTAGCACACTTGATCTTCGTCGCCGCGAGACTGAAACTCATCGTCTACCGCAACCTAGGACAGATGCGAGAACCCATGTTCGACACGCTAATGCATGCGCTGAATATGTGCGGACGGAGATGGGTTCTGGCACGCCGACTGGACGTCGTCCTGCGAGCTGCCATCGTCCAACTTGACACCAAGGCCATCGTTGACAATGGTGGCGCTGGGAGTGTAAACATGAGTGGAAGTGGTATGAGCACCGGGGCCTCCGCCGCTCTTCCCCTCGCCTTCTGGGACGCGAGGAAGAGCCACCTCGATCTCAGCGAGGAGCTCAAGGAGTGGTGCTCGAGTTACAAGGACTCCTTGTTCATTGGCGCCTTGAACGGCCCGTACTGTAAATGGGGATGATGCGAGATGTTTCCATGTCAAAAGTATGCATTTCAGCAGAGTCCTAGCGTACTACGTTCAAGCGTATGAGTGCGTCAAATCATCATGGCTGAGACTCTAGAATTACTTATTCCCTACTTTCCTTCTCTTGATGCTGTAGCCAGCCACAGTCCCGACTAAACCTCACTATCTTTCCACCGATCTCAGCCTTCAACATCGCCATCTCTCAACCATCCTACTACTGGTGGCTGGTCAGTCACCTTTGGTAGCTTTGCTCGTAGTGCCAAACCACAGCAACCAACCGAAATCCCTCCAGTTCCATCTCTCGAACCACCAAAACAAAATGGACCCGCACACGATCCATCCGTCGGCGAGACTTGGCCCGGACAGCCAACCCGTCATCCCCATTGGACAAGGTGCCACCCCTCTCTCTTATTTAGACGTGGAGCATCGTGATTTGCATTCGAGGGATGTCACCCTGGTATGCAGAGAATGAATAGATCACAGTAATGGTGTGTTCTCTGTACTAGTTGATTGAAAATCCTCACCGCACGAAAAGTAAGCTCTTGATCACCATCGCTGGGCCGGAGCAGATACGATCTTCTCCAACATTCTTCACGCTGAGGGCAGACAGATATAAAAAAGGGAACGACGCATCATCGTATGCCCGACGACTTTGCTAATACTTGAGTAGCCCTTTGTATTCTTTCCCCCCTTTTGCATCATCCGATTTCGTGGGCGAGGTGTCTCGTCTCGTGTCATTCGATCATCGCCTGGACCAACCACATCCAACGAGCACCACAAAGTGAGGTTGATACATAAATACATACCACGACCAACCAAAAACTCTCAACAAAAAACCCCCCCCAAATCCAACCCCTCTATCGTTACCCTCCAAGATGCCAGGCGCAGAAACCACCAATCCGTCCGTATTCCTGTACGGACCCGGCAATGCAAAGATCGAAGACAGGCCAGAGCCGCGGATCACCGATCCGACAGATGCGATCGTGCGGATAAAGTTTGTGGGCGTTTGTGGTAGTGATGTACGGAAGTATATTTCTCGTCGCCCCTTTGCCCGTGAACTTGATGACCCAAATACTCCTGTGAAGGATCTGCTGTCACCTTCCCCGCAAACAAGAAGAAACAAACAAACCAAACCAAACCAAACCAGCCAGCTGACCATCGTGAACTTTCTTAGGTCCACTTCTGGACCGCGGGCGGCGTGAACGGCAAGAACGTCTCATGCACAAACCCGCTGGTGATGGGCCACGAAGCGTCCGGGACGATCCACGCGGTTGGCTCATCCGTCACGCACCTCTCGCCGGGCGACAACGTGGCCATCGAGCCGGGGCAGCCGTGCCGGTGCTGCGAGCGGTGCAAAGAAGGGCTCTACAATCTATGCCCGCGGATGAGATTCGCGGCCTGTCCAGCGACGTCCGACAGGCCCGGCACGGACGGCACGGACGGCACGCTGACGAAGTACTACAAGATCCCGGCGGACTTCTGCTACAAGCTGCCGCCGGGCGTCTCGCTCCAGGAAGGCGTGCTTGCTGAGCCGCTGGCAGTGGCAGCACACGCGGTGCGGATGGTCGACGTGCGGCCGGGCAAGACGCAGAGCGTCGTGGTCTTCGGGTCCGGCACGATTGGGCTGCTGTGCGGCGCGGTGGCGAGGATGTTTGGCGCGAAGAAGATCGTTGCGGTTGACGTGTTGGACCACAAGCTTGAGTTTGCCCGTGGGTTTATCCAAGGGGCGAGGACGTTCAAGCCTGACCTCGGGGCGTCGCCCCAGGAGAACGCACGCCGGCTGATTGAGGTGCATGAGCTGGGATCAGGCGCGGATGCGGTGATTGAGGCGTCGGGCGCGGAGAGCTCCGTTGTCACGGCGGTGCATGTGCTTCGGCCGGGGGGTTCCTGTGTGCAGACGGGGCTGGGGAAGGCGGTCGTCAATTTTCCAATTCTCGCCATGTCCGAGAAGGAGTTGCATGTTCATGGTGCTTTTCGCTATGGGCCCGGCGATTATAAAGTCGCCATGGATGTGCTTGAGGCGGGGAGTATTCCGATCAAGAGTCTGGTTTCGAGGATATTTGACTTCGAACAGGCCACCGACGCATGGGAAGCGACGAGACGAGGACAGGGGATCAAAAATATGATTCGCGGATTTGGGTACAGAGATCCAGCTAGGACACATTTATGATGTGCGTGTTGAGTGGATAGAGAGTGTGATATCTGGTTGTCCCTGTCCTAGACAATGGGTACAGTCTGTCTGGAACATATATCTTCAGAGCAACATGCCATACCATTCATGATATATTAACGACCCTGCTCCGATATCAGGGCATCCGATGAATATAATGTACAATTTGTGGGTAGATCAAAAACACAGCAGGCGCATTAATGCTGGCTCCACTCAATGGTGTTCAAATCAACACCTTCCTGTACAAGCTCCCAAAGAGGACTGAGCTCTCTCAAGAATGTAACACGTTCCTGAACAGCCTTCAGAACATAGTCAATCTCGCTGGTGGTCGTGAATCGTCCAATACCAAACCGTATGCTGCTATGGGCACTCTCGTCACTGTTTCCTAAAGCTCGTAAAACGTAGCTCGGTTCCAGGGACGCAGATGTACAAGCACTGCCTGAAGACAGAGCAATGTCTTTTAAAGCCATGAGAAGCGATTCACCTTCCACATAGGCGAACGAAACATTCACGCAGCCAGGATATCGCTTTTCAGCATCGCCGTTTTGAGAGGTGTGCTCCAACGACAGGAGGCCATTGAGCAATCGATCCGAGAGTGACTTGATTCTCTTCGAATCATACTGTAAGAGAATGGTCAGGAAAAGATACGAAAAACATTATCAGCGGGAAAGACGCAGGTTGAGGGTCAAGATCATAACCCCTGCTATGCAAATCAAGGTGTCGGTCAAGAGCACTCAGAAAGCAATGGATGAAGATTAAAGCGTAAAATCATAGGCCGAATGACAAAAAGTTTGGGATTGAGCACGGGGGATAAGCTTACCTCCATCTCATTCTTCGCAATACGGCAGGCCTCGCCGAAACCCACCACGAGGTGAGGTGCGAGAGTGCCACTGCGAAGCCCTCTCTCCTGACCTCCTCCGCTGATAATAGGGTCTAACCTGACACGAGGACGTCTCCTCACGTAACAGGCACCAATACCCTTTGGACCATAGATTTTATGGCTGGAAATCGACATCAGGTCAACATTCCATTTGTTGACATCGATAGGGATTTTCCCCACTGCTTGGGCGCCGTCTGTGTGGAAATAGACTTTCTTGGAGCGGCAAAGACGACCGATCTCCTCGACGGGCTGTATGACGCCAATTTCATTATTGACAGTCATGATACTGACCAGCGCGGTCTCAGGCTTGATGGCATCCTCGAGTTGCTTGAGGTCAACCAGTCCATTGTTCTGAACGGGCAGGTATGTGACCTCGAAGCCTTCATCTTGGAGATGTCGGCAGGAGTCTAGGACACATTTATGTTCCGTCTGGGTGGTGATGACATGCTTCTTTTTACCAGCTCTTCCGAAAAACCTGGCCACACCCTTGATACTCATGTTGTTGCTTTCAGTGGCGCCGCTCGTGAAGATGATCTCTTTTGGATCCGCCCCAATCAATTTTGCGATATGTTCACGAGCCTGCTCTGTGGCTTTGTCGCTCTCCCAACCATAGGCGTGTGTGCGCGAGTGAGGATTCCCATATAATCCAGTGAGAAAAGGAAGCATTGCGTCGAGGACACGAGGGTCAACGGGAGTAGTGGCTTGTGCGTCTAAATAGATAGGTCGCGTCCCTTGATCCATGATTGTAGCTTGCTTTAGGATCCCGGCTTGAGGACTCATCATCGCATCGCCAGACAATCCAGTCCCTGGGGACTGCACCTGAGAAGGAAGATTGCCTGTTTCCTTAATGAACTTTTTCTGGTCTGCTTTGATGGCCGATTCGACATCGGTGACCTGAGCCTGGGTGGGCTTTGACTCTGAGACATAGTTACGTCGTTGTGGGAGCCGAGAAGAGGCGACAGCCCCAGCTTGGAGATGTCGTAAGGGAAGAACGGTCTGCGACGAAATTCGACGTGCGCAGGCACGGGATGTATGTCGAATGACAGAGGAAGCAGGGCCAGGCATCTTGGGATATGGCCAGACCAGCTGACGAGTGCTCGCTGTACTTCTACTTGAGATGAACCGACGATAAATGGAGTAGAATTGGGATGAACAGAGACGGAGAGACATGGATCGGGAAAAGCGAAAAGGTGGAGGAGGCAAAGATGCAAATGAGTCAATCTGATAAGATTTGAAGTTCGGCCGAGCACGTGACCTAACTCGGTCGTTCCAATTCTACGCAACAGATATACCCGAGATGGATGTTATTACCATTACAACTCCTACCCCCATGACGGATATCCAAACAACATGTAGAGTCGGTCCTGGCTGTGATAACCAAGGAAGCGCTGACTTATCTGATCGCACTTCTCACAACTTGGACTTGGCTCGTTTCTTGCTGCGGATGTCTTCTCTTCCTCCTTGGAGTCTCGATGCCAGTGATCTTCAGCCAATTGAGCATTGCCTCAAGGGCAACCTGTGGCCTTGCATTCACCCCGCCTGGATGATTATCGCCAGCTGGCCCTCTCAAATTGTTCATGCTGTGCCTTGCGTCTGCTTCTGCATTAGGTGTAAAAGTCTGACCGTTCTGCTCGACAACGATGACATATTGACCCGCAAGAATAACGCGATCGTCTGGTCTCAATTCTTCTTCACTTTCATCCTCTTGCAACTTGCCCAGAGGTGTTAGGAAATACTTTGTTCGCTGCTCATGGGGCGTCGCTGCTCTTCCTTCGTCCTCATGGAACATCACTTCCATCACTGACGCCTCCTTCCAAGTCACAGTCTTGACAACCCTTCGTTGTGATTCAATGTAGAGCACATTGTCCCCTCCAACGAACCAAGCTCTATAATCATTCCAAACACCCAAGGGAGTCTCATCCGACCCGATTGGATAGAGGACCTTGGATATTGGCTCATCACCCAATTGGGTGGAGTATTTTTCCATCTTCTGCTTGTTTTCCTCTGCCAGGCGATAGAGCCGCCATACTGATCCCAGTGCGGCGCGCAGCTTATGAATGGTTAGTCGGGTGCGATCATTCATATTCTTCTCTTCGAAATGCTGTTGGACTGTTGTCTCAATTGCATCCATGGTTGCCATCATTTTGCTCAAATCTGATGCAAGGTGCCGAACCAGTTCCCTGCGTGTGATTTTTCGGCCCTCGACCTTGTAAGATACTGCAAGCATCTGTCCATTCAGCGTGGCAACATGATATGTCAATCGACCAGAACCTTTGACCTCTGGCAGGCTGATGCCTTCAGTATTTTTATTCCCGTCGTTCAAAACATCCCTGAGGATACCCATGATTTTAAATTTGGGTTTTGTTGGAAGGATCCCCTTTACTAGGTTGAGGATGGAGTTAACTTCCCAGATTGCACGATACAAAGGCTCGTTGACATGGACCTCTGTGATAAAAAGGTCAAATGATCGTCCTTCGGGAACGGCTTCCGTCAAGGCAAAGCGGCGAGGAACCATTCGAATAATGTTTTCAAGATCCTCAACCGAAACAATATATCTACAGCCATTTGTAAATATGGCTGTCACCTCGGCTGAGGTGTGTTCAGTGTGAAAGTCAATGGGTGGGATCTCGTTGAATGTCCTTGCTCGACCAGCATATTGCAAGTGGCGGAAAACACTTGAATCCATGTGCCCTTCCTCTGGCCACTTGCTCACCCAGGAAAAGTTATCATTGCCCAGATCTTCAAGAGTGCCCGGCAAAACATAGTCATGCCGCAGCAGCCTCAACAAGAAAAGTCTCCAGATTTCGGGCTGATCAACTATGTGCGGCGAGGGATTGACGAGTGGGCCTTCGAATGCTGTTATGAGTCCGTTCAGGAATATTCTCGAATTTATCGCCATGAGCGGAAGCACTTTAAGGATCAAGAGTTCCAAGTGATGGCGTTCTGCTCGAATTCTATAGGTAACCTCTAGAAATTCTGAAAGCTCTTGCAGATCATCTGGCCGGATGCAGGCAAATTTAGCATAAAGCGGACATTGAGTTCTTTGAGAGGCATAGGAGCACATGTTGTTCTATCATCAATGCAAAACTGGGACTAGCGGGGCTGCTTACCATCATTCAACAGTGACAAGAGGAGCACAAGCATTTGCAGGAACCTCGGGCGGATAAGCTGTTGCTCCTTCTTGTTATAAGATGCGAGCGAGTTGAAATATGCAGCGCTAAGTGAGATGATGTTCTTGATTCCGCTACTAGTTGTCAAGGTTTGGAACATTGTACCATGATCGACACCATATCGAGTATTCTTGGACGAAATTATGTGCCGCCTAGTAGCCATACGGAACAAGATAGGGCTTCTGATGCAAAGCCGCCGGGCATCCTCAATCATCTGGTCGAGCAGTTTGATCTAAGTTCGTCATAAGTCCATACTCTCAAAATCCAAATTGCAAGAAAGAGAGTAGACTCACGGTCTCACCGCAAGGCAAATTTGCACCACCACGTTGAATAATTTGTCGATAATTGAGTATCACGGCCATCAAACTGGACTGGTCGACTTCAATCAGGAGGCCTTCGAGATCCCAATTTTCTCCAGACAGGGCATTCACAATACTAACATTCTCGCTATCGATAGTCACAATTCGGTCTGATGCTGTTCGAACCGCTAAAGCCTTGTGGGAAGTCGGCGAGGTAGATTCAACGAATGGTCCGGTGGCATTGAGGCGTTGACGAGCCGAAGCGACAACTGTGGGGGTGTTATCCGTAAAGATAATGCTCATTGATTTATCAACCTCGAAATTCTTCAGCAGCGCACCGGCAGTGTTGACCCTCCAAGAAGCGTCCTTTTGATCAGGCTCCGATCTTGACATTGAAATTTGTTCCATCTGATTGACTTGAGGAGTGTCAGCGCCAACCAGGAGAGTGATACCGATCTTTGGTCTGATAGCTCCGTCAACCACCTCTGCAAGTCGGATGCCATCTTTGAAGCTTGCACGAAGATTTCCCCTGAACGTCTTTTCAAACGCCTTGACGAGGATGTCATAGCCCTCAAAGGGTGAATAGTGTCCAGATAGCCGCTCCAGAAGATCATCCTGCTGATCCTGGATGCCATTCTGGACCGCATTAAACTCAAGGGATGAGATATCTGTTATCCGATTCCTCGGCTCAACATAGCCATGCCCATGAGTGTCAAGGCCTACTCCCTGGGTGACCAAACTAGCTGGCCTGTCACCTGGTGTTCTGGCCACCGGCATTGGAATATAGTTGGCCCTTTCCATGATGCAGCACAATGGTCGTAAACAGGAAGCCTGATCAACTTCCAACTGGCTCGCCAAAAGTCTGGGGCAATTGATCAAGCGAAACAAGAAAAGGAAATCGAACGCAAGGCAATTGAATTATTTATAGGTAGGAAAGAAGATTGGTAGTCTATACAGAGCAGAGATGCACCTGCGTCACCTGCAGAGCCTACCTGCATGCATCAACCGTAGCCTGAACCAAGGTCCCGCGGCTCGCCACATGTTTGTTCTTTCCACGAGAAAGGAAGGCGAGAAAACAGGAACGAAGAGTGGTGATTCGGACTTGAAGGCGTGCTTTGTGCATCCGACGCCTCGAAAACATATCACAAGGTCTTTATTCGACGGAAATTTCCAATACTTGCCGAGTTGAGAGCGAAATGTAGCGGACATGCAGATTGTGATGGTGCAGGGTTGCCTTGCGCCCGAGTATAGAATATGCCCACAACCGCCTCCTGCTTGGACTCGACGGCCCCCAGGAGGCTAGACGCATGCATCCTCGCAGTGCTAAGCCCGAAGATTAGTGTCACGGCAGTTTCAATAGTGGAAAGAGGCGCCGCAGGCCCCAAACCATGAAGGAACACGTAATATGTATGTATGTCGTCCGTGGTGGAAGTACCCTTGAAAAAAGCGAACCTACATTCGAGAGGGCAAAATACCCTGTCAAAGCGTCTAGCTATTGCATGACGGAAAGGAACACTCGAGGTTTTAGCTGTCCAGGAAGTCACAACGCAAACAGAACTGATGTACGAGAGACACGTGCGAGCAAAGAGCTCGGAGGAGCATGCAGTTGAGGCTGCTTCCCGAACCAGAGCGTTTCAGCCTTGTCAGACTGCAGGGCGCTGTTGGGCAGCAATTCGAGCTTCTGAAAAGTCCAGCCGGAGGAGAAAGCCTGTGTGGCACATCAGGCAAACGAAACGGCCAAGGCACGGGCTCACCAGTTGAAGGCTGCGTGCAAGAGGCTCGGAGGTGGCTGATATTACAACATACAGCTGGGGTTCAAATTCATTTCGGCATACCTTCCCCATGTTGGCCATGTTTCATCTTTTGTACATCCCAAGGTCTTTCTTGATGAAAGAGAGCTGCACATTGACGGATCTTTCCAGATAAAGTGGTGGTATTTGGAAGAATTCAATTATGATAATCTCTTACATCGCTCAACTTATATAGACGACCCATAAATGTTGGCTTCGATCGATGACAGACATTTACAGTCAGAACCACCGCAGATACTGGGCATTTCCAAGTATTTTAAGATCTGCCCAATGGCAAGGATGATTACTTCAGATCAGACCCAGAGAATCGCGCCATTGTAGACAAATCATCGACTTGGGCTCCCAGAGCCATAGGATGGTAGCATCGATCAGCTATCAGGAGAAGGTGGAACAAAGTGGATAGCACCACAGACATTCTCAACGACATCGTTGCCTAAGGGTGCGAGGACGTTGTCGACCCAAGAGGTCGGGCTCGTTACCCAGTTTCCTGGAGGGTAGAAATTGCACACGGTGAAGTAGCCTTGGATACCGTCGTCCGTTAAGCGTCCACTTGTTCCACAGCCCACGGTTGCCGTATCCTGAGGAGATTTCAAAATTCATGTCAGTTCAAGGTCCAATTGTAATCTTCTCTTCCCGATAACAAGCCAGCTCTCCTGTGCCATGTTGTCTGGAAAGAGAGGACATGAACAGGGAGACGAGGCCTTACCTTCCAAATGACCTGTGTCAGATGTCCATAAACACCTCCCGGGATCGCTGGAGGGGGAGAAAATTCACCGTCGGTGAGCAGGCTTGCCTCACCATAAGCATCGTAGTTTCGAAACTCGCCATTGTACCAAGAATCTATAGCAGCCTGGTTCGTAAGACGCGGGTCGGACGGATCGCTAGAGTACCAAGCGTATTGATTTTGGCCCCAGCCGGTACCTGCACTATACTTGTTGATTGCCACGTTAGATTTCAGGAAAATTATCAAAATAGATCATGAACAGAGCTGGATTTTTCGTAATGACAGCGACTCACTTGTCATGGACCAGTACTGGGCCGTTGTCCGTTGTATACTGTGCAGCAGTGGCGAGGGTTTGGTTCCAGGCCAGATCGGCCACAGAGTGATTGGCCCGGTGAACGTTCAACACGCCGAGCATGATGTCTATGTAGTATTGGTAAGGGCAGTTGTCAGCATCTTGACGCTCAGAAATCTTCATGGGTTCCAGAGCAGGTGCAGCTGCGACAAGTGTGATTGCGCCCAACGTCGAAAAGAGATAGGAGGTCTTCATATCTAATACTGATGTCTTTCTGGTGAGGCGAAAAGTCTTGGGGAATTGTTGCGTTGTGAGAGAGAAGTAAGTTATTGTCGTTCTGCTAACGTGTGAAAATTATCGCCTCCCTGAGGCACTCATATAGAAAATCTGCGGAACGAAGTGCTTCTGCTATGTTGCCCAAGTCCGGTTAAACTCGTACCAAATAATTTTCAATGATTCGGTTATTCCGGAGGCATATTTGGGCTGTAAGCGCCTCAATATCCTTTATACGACGTTGTATTCATGGTCGGTGTGAAGCAAGCGCCTTTTACATGCCGCCCGTTCAGCTCTCGTCCATTATCTCAGTCACGCGATTGTCAGTGGCGTACTTCAGAGTTTGGGCTGTACAATTGATCCAGAGTAATAGCAACGGTGCCAGCATCGCTAGTCTTCTGCGCCCACCAAAGCCGTTAGTCATGACAAGGTCGAAAGCGTCAACGGAGTATTGGACTGCATACCCTATGAAGTCAAGACGCTCCTAGCTCGGATTTGTGATGCCACAGGTGCTGAGCCAACGCTTACTTAGCCATAAACATCCGGGCTACACGAGCGCAAGGAACGAGTTTTCCCCAGAGGCTCAGATATCGCTTCTTTCTCGTATCCGACTCCAGTCACCGAGAACCGTGCCATTGGTCTCGTCGTTGTGAGAATGTTCGGTGAACATTAAAGAGTAATATTTGAGTCGATCTGATTGAACAAAAGCAAGTCCATCGAGGACCAGCCACAGCTGAGACGAAAGAGGATGTCAAGAAAGCTTGCTGGGTCGATATCAAAGCTGAATACGATGTTGCTCACTGCCTAACCTCCTTGCACTTCCCAACGACGAGGTGGAAGTTTAATGCGCTGGCTAATGAGTGACGGCAGTTCTTTGCCAAATCCTTCCGATTTATTCCAGCTACCACATCGTCCCGCAACAAGCGTGGATTTGGGGAGAAGTACTCGGTACTTGCAAAGCGCAGTTGGATTTACGAGACAACGAATGACGTCGAAGGGTGGATGGATGTGCACCCAGATTCTCTTGGTCAGTTCCACCTTGGCAGTCCCGGAGAGGCCTCTGTACTTAGCCACTTCTGTCGAGGTTTTTCTCGTGATTCGCTTGCGCTTGTGGTTTATTCGCCAGAGAAGCTCTCACTGATAGCCGTTTGGTCAAAATAACGCCACAACAGAACCTAAGTTTCGGTAGAGTTCCGACACACCGTAAGGGGAATGACTACGCGGGGTACAAACAGCGTCGCCATAGCGCGCCCAAGCTTTGGTCTTCATCGTCCCCATTCGATGTATACCTTTTTGAAATCTCACCTCCACACAAGGTGAGACATGTGTGGGAGAAAAGAATCACTCAGCCCGTACGCAGTTCAGCTGATCGTCTGGTTGCAACACGAGAAGTAGAGGGCCTCCGCTCCGGTCCACAGTCACATATCAAAGACCATCGCATTTCGAGCTAGCAATCAGTGCACTTACCTCGTCGCGGTCACGTTTCCTTCGTTAGAAACACTACTGTAGAATCTGAGGCATTCTGAGAGGAAGTTAGCCGATAGAAAACGAAGGTGTCACGCGACGAGGCTTGATGGTACACCAATTTTCCACGTGATTTGGCGTGATTCACGCGCGTTCGCGTTGCTCGCGATATGACCAATCAGAGCGTAACTCGTCCACTCATCGACGTTTGGATTCAACATATCATGTCAGGCAGTGGCAGTATGATTCATACCCCTAAGAATATAAGAAGTCAGGTCGCCAGTGAAGAAGCTACAGAAAGTCTTCCAAAATCTCAACACCGGCTGGCTAAGGAACGCAGATCTAGCCACCCGCATTCCAGAGGCTTGATCCTCTGCAAAGCCCCTTTCCTCGAAATCAAGCACAGTCGAGTGTGACTGTATCACTGACCCTCAAACTCCGTTCAAAATGCCAGTAACAGAATTCCAAGAGGTTCGTACCTTTCCAGCGACCACATGAATCCGCGAAAGTATGAACCAATACTAATCATATCTTCACAGCGAGTTTACGCTCATTTGTTGACCATACCGGCCGGCAAAGTGACTACATACGGCAAGCTCGCACGAGCATTGAACTCGTCCCCTCGGGCCGTAGGAGGCGCGCTGCGTTGCAATCCATTTGCACCGGAAGTTCCTTGCCACCGAGTCATCGCAACTGATGGCTTTGTGGGCGGTTTCAAGGGGGACTGGGAGAAAGCTCCCTCCGGAGTCAACCAGAGTATGAAACTCGATCTCCTAAGGGAGGAAGGCGTCAATTTCACTCCTGAGGGTAGACTGATCGTCAAGGATGATGTTTGGTTTGATGGTCCGTGGGATGTGAAGAAATCGAAAAATGCGTATAAAATCATCGAGGACAAAGCAAAGATAGCAAAGTGATGCTCAATCGATCTCATTGCCCTAAAAGAGAAAACCGTCTATTGCACCAAAAAAAGAACATTGAACATGCCCCATGTTGTTCGCACGCCACCATTCCAATATCCAGGCCACGACGCAAAGGAAAAATCAATCTCAACCCAGGATGACCTTTCGTTTCGGTCAAATCCTCCACCAATTTGTTCATAAAACCCCTTTGTCAAATGTACAATCACTCAGTGGCTCAACCAAGTTACAACAAGGAGGCTCCAAAGAGCATAGAAAATACCGTGATGGCACCGCAAACCAAAGGAGCGAGCGACCATTCTGGTGCGATCAATGCAGAAGCAGCATTAGAGGTGTTCGAAGATGAACTAGAGTCGCCAGTCCTTGTGGCAGCTCCACTGCCGGCGGTAGCAGTTCCAGTAGATTCACCACCAGCATTTTGAGAACCAGGGCCAGAAAGACCAGGGCCAGCACCAGCACCATCGGCAGATGTCATATACTTCTTCGCGCCATCGGGGATAGCTGGCAGACTGTTTCCCTCGACCTGCCAGTTAGGATCAGAGAAAGTTGGGCAGTCAGATACGGCTTGGGTGCTGCTGTAACCACCGTCACCCTGGGGATTGGGAGTCTTGGCGAACTGATCAGCCAGAGCTTGGAAATCGGGTAGTTCTTCGGGGGTGGAACCGCTGAGATCGACCAGGCCGTAGTTGCTAGGCTCCTGGGAATATTCATAAACCAGGCCACCTGAGTAAACGCCAGTCATGTCGGTGCTGTATAGCGACTCGACCTCACCAAAATCACGCGTGTTGGTGTTGCAACCATACTCGGACAGGAAAATAGGAAGGCCATAGCCGGTGAAGTTCTTGACTTTTTGGTCCCATCCGGAAACTGTGAAACTAGAGGGAGAGCACCAGGAGTAGTCGTTGAATGCAAAGAAATCCGAGCGTTCATCGTCAGTGCCGCAGTTCATGTATTGAGCCATTTCCATGCGGTTCTCGCTGACATCAGCGGCCGAGTACCCGACAGGGATGGTGCGGTATCCACGGTTGCGGATGTACTGGCGGATGTCTCTGGTAACTGCCTTGATATAAGGAGCAGTGATTGAAGTTTCTGGGTCATTAATCACCTCATTACCAGAGAAGAAAGCCAGAGTGTTGGTGTACTTCTGGAACTTATCGATGGTTGCAAAAATGTTCTGCAGATAAACGGCATTGTATGAAGGGCCGGGGTTGGCACGGTTCAATGAGTACAAGGGGGTATTGACATCGAGGACGAGGTAGATGCCAGCATCTGCCAAGGCGGTCATGCACTCATCGTGGTCTGCAGAGTTGTCGACGGTGTAGACACGGATCGTGTTGATTCCCAGCTTCTTGAAGTATTCAATGTCTCTGGCACATCCTGCTGTATCGGCAATGGGATCCGCAACATCGGAAGAACCACCAGGCTGATAGTCGACACCGCGGATATAGAAGCGGTCGTCTCCGGCGAAGAAGGCTGTTGATCAAGTCAGAACTAGCATCTTGAGATGGGGAACACGGAATGACATACCGTTGCCTTTGACTGAGACGGCGGGCAAATCAGCTCGAGGCTTCAGGGCAGTGGCAGCAACAGAGCCCGCGCCGAGAGCGGCAGCAGTCAAAATTGAGGTACGCATGATGAAGATACACGGGTGCTAAAAGGTTGGCGAGTAATAGGACTCCTCTCGTGAAATGTACGTCAAGGCGGCCAAGTAGAGCCTAGAAATGGTAAGGAACTTGGTACCAGGGGCACCAGGGAAAATCTTTGTATAATCGGGATCTGAAAGAGTGAGAATTCCCAACAGAAGAGAGCAACTGTATTAGAAGTCGAGTAGTGAAAACGAAGGGAGGAGCGACACCGTAAAGCACGAAAGAACGGTGAAAACGCTCAGAGATGAGAAATGGCAGGGAGAAGGGTTGTCAATTGAGAAAGGCAGGAAGTTTTAGAGAGAGTCGCGAATCGTGATAAATGAAGGCAAGATTTGACCTGGTCTGGTCCGTCTGGAAGCCACCGTCCGCGACACAGAAGTAAGTGCACGACCACCCCCAGCACCAGCACCCCCTGCGCCTGAACTGGTGCTGGAATTCAACGCAGGCAGGGGTTGGACCACAAGTTGCGTGGGATCCATTGGTCTCCCCCTGTCGATTTCTCCAGTTCAGCACTTTTGGCGCAAGCCTCGCCCGCTGTCGGCCAGTCCCAACCCCTGGAACGGCGAACACCATCCCTATCCATCCCTGACTCTTGGCTAGAAGGGTGCGGATGGCGTGCATTTGCCACTCCACAGATCTCCTCGATTGGCACAAGTTTCGAATTGCACTCAAGGGTCTTTCAACCTTTTGTGGCACATCACCAATTCCGCTTGGAGCTCAAGCACTTTTTAGCAGATCTTGCAACAACGCTTGACACCACCGTGTACATTCGCATGGCATGTTTGGCACCTTGAGAACTTAGCCTGTTAAACAGGCCGAAATCTCGTCAACACTGCACTGCCACGATCATCAGTGACCTGCTGTTTCAAATTGCCCCTGCTTCACGACTCGTGTCAGGGTCATCGCCTGTTTGAGGGACCACACAGAGCCACACCAGCTGCTGTGATCATCCGATGGCAGTTGCTTGCTGGCTTTGGGATCTGCCTTAATCAAAGGGCACAGCACTCCATATGCTTGCATGGTCCACAACTTGAGATTAAGCAGGAAATCAATGATGGATAAGAGTGTATATATATCGGATGTAGAACCAACTGTGAAGCTGTTTTTGAAGCTGCTGAAACATTCGGTAATTCTGATTTTTTATACTCGATATGTACTCATTCTATCGCATTGAGACATGGGAGTAATAGCCAACGCAGATGCTGCATTAGTGAATTTATTAACAGCTTAGTGCATACGGATGAAGAGGAACAATCCTCAACCGGCGTCGCGGGCCACGTCGGTGGCAAAGGAAGTGATGATGAAGCACACAAACACCCTCAACGATGATGTCTCTTGAGATGTCATTCAATTCAAGGTATTTGAGCACATTCATCCTCTCTTGTACCCCGAGACGTCTCCCACGTTGGTCTGTTATTTTACTATGCTGTCTCAGCCATAGCCATATATTGCTTCGTCCAAGCACTGGCTTCTATATTCGTTACCCCTGAAAGAGTTGGACTTCCTGTCATATACATAAGGCCTCCGACCTTTCCCCCCAGAAAAAACTCCCTCACAAAAATCAACAGATCAGAATCACTGAGATTTGAAAACGCCAGAAGCTATGCCCATCGCAGATTGCCTTAAAGAGAGAAATGCTGGGAGCCGTAAAAATCGTCATGTGCTAGAAAAAAGCATCACGGTACGCCGCTGAGGTTATATCCAACTAGCGCGTCAATTATGGACCGTTGCCCACCTGTGTCATACTGGATCACTGAACAAATAGGAATGCTCCGAATGCAGCACATGCCATTAGGAGACCGGAGATCTTTATCGAGGTGGCAGCGTCTTGAAGTCCGGGATTGCCACCAGTCGTGGCTGCAGCCCCGGCGGCGCCTGTTGCGTCAGGGCTGTCGGTGAGGGGTGCATTGACCACGACCACAGATGTTGAAGTGGAAATGGAACCATCTGCGGCTGTTTCATAAAAAAGGTGAGTCGATGTGCTGGGTGAGAAGCTGACCCCAACAGCCGAGGAGGTGAGCGTGACCAAGCCGCCTCCCACTGTACTAAAGACGACTGCACCATCTGTTGTTGCGACAGCTGTAGCAGAGGCTGGGGCGGCTGGAGCCACAGTCACCGTGGTAGCGCCAGGGACGGTCGAGGCGAGGATGGCAGACGAGAGCACGGAAGAGACACTGGCTGCCCTTGAGCTGGATTGCTCGTCTGAAGTGCTTTGAGCAGGTGTAGAAGTGGTGGTGGAGGAGGCAGTTGTGGTCGAGTTGCTCTCTTGTCTCTTTTTCGCGATATGTACAAGCTTGCTTGCGACAACTGGGTTCTCGGAATGAACGTGCTCAATAGCGGAGCGGTCTTTGCTGAACACGCCGTCTTGGAACTTGGGCGATAGCGAATGTAGGACCGAATGCAATGCAGCAGGTTCGATACTGTCAAGCAGGGCCTGGAATGAGTCCCAGTTCACTATTGAGTTGTCATCCTCGTGCGTGTGTCGTGGCGAGCTCAATGCACCCAACAGGAATGTGCTGACGACGAGGAATTTTCGAAGGCCGAGCATTATGGGCAACGCGACTGACGATCGACCGAATAGCAAATGGACGAAGCGAAGGTGGTGTGTGTGGTGACAGTGCAGGTGATGAGTGACGAAGAAGGGAGGCAGGAAGCAGAGGGAAGGGCGAAAAAGACCAGTTTAACCGTGTGGTTGGGAACTTGAGACTGAGGTTTTTCGGACAGAAACCAAGTTTCTCAAGAACCGAGTTAGGGCTGGTTGCAACACGAATGGGGTGGAGTGGAGAGATGATGATGATGGCTTGGGTGCTCCGTGCAGGGGCAGGCGCAGGTGCAGGTGCAGATGCAGGTGGAGGTGGGCAGCTGCCAGCAGCCAGCAGGACGAGAGGGTGGAATAATAAAGAGCAGCAACACGGGCGAAGTGGCGCTGATCGTTGGCTATGTCTCATCCATCACACTTTTTGGCCTACCGTCTGAACCAAGCGATGCCTAGCTAATGCTGAATCCTCCTGTATCAGCGAAAGCACATTTCAAACACAGAACACCAAGCGAGAGCAGCCCACTTGGACGCGAAGCACTTCTAAACCGGACGAGAGTCCCGGGCAGGAGAAACCAGCCACTCCGAACTCGTTCTTCAGGTGCCCGTTCGGAGGACCTGCCCAGATATCCACGGAGTTGCAGGGGGAACGGGCAAGCCTAGCAATATGCCGACTTTTCCGCTCTAGGTGGCGTCACACGGGGTTGCTTGTGCTTCCCGGTAGGATTCATTGGGCGGTCATGGGGAACGGGTACCGAGCATTGAGGGCCTGGGGGTCGCACTCCCACACGCTCCAGCTTATGAGGTACCCAATAACTCGTTCCAGTACCAGCTCGGATGCAAAGGTGACCTGAGAGGCAGCGGACACATGCATGTAGTCATCCCTTCCCGCCCTCAAATTTCTACTATTAGTTAATGCATGTCACCAGCCGTCTTGTCCGGCGTATTCTTAATCCCTAGCCTGTAGCATAAACGTTGTTTCCTCGGCGTGGTATCAAGAAGCGACCATGTGAGAACTCCGTAGTGCCATGTGAGAAAATCATATCATGAAGCTGTCTAGCTGGAACAGATATCCAGGTGGCGAGCCGAGTCCTAAGTCTAAGCCTGTTACAGGGGGTGATTGCCAACGCCTCAAACTCGACCAATCACCATTCGATTATGATGCTATTTCTGGCATGTGCCGTGTCCATGCATCTCCCGCCCAAGCAGCCCGCCAACCCAACACGTAGGGTCACGTGAATCTTTGCATGATTCAAGGGTCAAGAATCCTCAACGTAATCTGAGTCGTCGTCCTCGTCACTCTCACCATACTCCTCTCCTGCGTCTGCCAACTCAGCCTTGAGCCGTCTGACTTCTTGCATGAGAGTCTTGTTGAAATCCCGGAGTATGCCAACTTCTTTTGACAGAGCCTTGAGTTCAGCCTCGAGCTTAGCCTTGTCAGCCTTCTCATGGACATCTGGGACTGCAGTGGCCCCCCTTGCATCCCGCACCTGCTCCTGCATCTTCGCATAATTTCGGCAGCCAGTCTCCATATCCCCTTCCGAAATGTCCCACTCCGACTTCTTCAGCATGCTTCCATCCTCTAGAATGACTGCGATTTTCAAATGGTCTCCGTCGACCCGTGCGACTCGATTGACCCCAAGCCACCACTTCTTGTAGGTATGATCGTCGACAAAGAGACCGCGCGTGTGGTGAATGAGATCTTTCGAGAAGTCGTTCGTGGGCCCATATGTCATGATACCAGCGAATTTGGCCTTTGAAACATCAATGCCTGCCCTTTTGATCTCGAAAGGCAGAGAGTTCTTGACAATGTCGGTTACGAGCTCTATGTTGCGAATTTCGCCGATTGTGGTTTCCACTTCGCGGGTGAAACGACCTTGCTCCGGCACCGCGACATTGATTCGGACGGGTAGGTTCTGCGTGAAGTAGGTGGAATTGGCAATTTTGGCTTTGTGTTCTTTGGCAGTGGCAGCGAGCTCTTCTTCTTCGATCGCATCGTATTTCTTGAGGGCCGCGACGTCTTCGGGGTTCTGGGTCGTCTCAGATGGGAAGGGACTGGTTGCTTGCTTTGTGGTTTGGATGGCATATTCGTCGATGGTGATCTCGTCGATCTCCTTGCGGATCTTTCGCGAGGCCTCTTTGAGAGCTTGACATTTGCCGCGCTTTGTGCCTTTACGAGGGGCCATGGTGGTTGGTAGTTGAAGACAAAGTATGGTGATCGTACCAGCGGGGATGGGATGGGATGGAATGTGAAAGTGGAAGTGTCAAGAGCATGTAAAGCAGCCATCTGAGGGTGAGGCAGTGCTGATTTGAATCCATAGGTGAAGCTGAGAGAGTGAATCTCTGATGATCAAGCGCACTGAGAGTGAGATGAAAATAAAGAGAGAATAGTGAGTCTTAGGTTGGCTACGAACGAATTGGACGTAGTCGTAGGCGTTAAAGAAGCTCTTACCCACGCAAGAGTTATAACTTATCCTTTTCGTGCTTGAATCTGTAGAGATATATGTCTTATGGTCCAGGTACTCACCGTGTAAATCATTCGGTTCCTGGCCAAAAGAAAACATGCTATCACTTCGACTATCATTTCATGACGAGTGAGATATCATAGCCGAGAAGATGTCGGACCAATCCGGTTTCTAGACCCGCTAATCTGGTCGAACCGCTACGAAAACCGGTTTATCAGCAATTTCTCCCAACGACAAAAAACCATCCTCAGCCATGGCCCCAGATCCTCGTGTCGCAGACGTTGATCGCTTTACCAAAGTAACTCGCAGTTCGATTCCATTGGCCCTGAATCCAGAGGCCGTAACGCTACCAAGGCCATTTACAGTTGCCATCATTGGTGCTAGTGCTGGTATAGGAGAGTACGTTGCCTATGCATATGCGCACGCCGGTGCTTCCCGCATCGTGATATCTTCACGAACGTTGATAGACTTGCAGGCTGTGGAGATCAAACTGAAAGAGATCGACTCCACGATCGAAGTTGATGTTGTGGAGTGCGACGTCTCCAAAGCCAAGTCTGTGGAAGCGTTGGCTCAGCATGTACGGGTTGCTTGTGCACGACTTGATGTTTTGGTGCTGAACGCCGGCTATGCTGGACCAATAACCCTGAAGATGGAGGAAGGAAATCCCGACTGGGTCCAGAAAGCTTTTGACATCAACGCCATGGGCACCTACCATGCAGCGCATTATTTTGTACCGCTTCTACTTAGATCTAAGGATGCGCCAGGCGCTTTCATTGTGGTCGGCTCCATTGCAGGCTGCATAAGAAGGGGGATCATTGCAAACACTGGCTACACGGTCAGCAAGATGGCCCAAATTCGGTTGGTTGAGTATTTGGCGGAGCAACATTCGAATGACGGCTTGTTGAGCATTGTTATACACCCTGGCGCTGTCAAGACGAGAATGGCAGAAGGCAATACTCCAGAAGCCTTTCTCCCATGTGAGTTCGCAGCGTTTGACCATGGTACATCTGAAACTAATTCGCAAGAACAGATCTGACTGACGATGTTGGTCTTTGTGGAGCTGTGTGCGTTTGGCTTACGTCGAGGCGTCGGGATCTCCAATGGCTGTCTGGGAGGTTAATATCAGCAACCTGGGATATGGATGAGCTGCTTTCGAAGAAAGATCAGGTGGTCCAGAAAGACTTGTTGAAATTTGCCCTCGTAACGGAATGAATATGTGAGTCAGTGCAGGAGCTCCGACAGGTTGAACGGCTTGGCAGTCAACTAAGTCAATAACAGCGTTGCAACTTCCGTAAAGGCGGCTTACACCGTTCTAAACGGTCCACACCCTCGGATTGCTAGATAATTACTCAGCTGGTGCAAGGTCGGCAGGGTGCCTGCCGTGATATTGGTTCGCGTTGAACACTGAAAACCGGACAGGCTATGCAACTCAGGACCCCCAGTGAGATGGTCAGCTGGTGAAAAGGTTCAAAGCAATCACACAGTAGCTCTACTCTTCAACGCCGGAACCACCAATCCGAACTGTCATCGGGATAAATACCACTCGGGCTCTTTCCCAAGGGCATGTTACTACTAGCCAGTAGTCGCTTTTGCTGCCAGGAACTTTGGAGCAGGCTTTCGACGTTATTAGAATATCATACCTTAGGTAGGCCCCAGGGAGCATAAGATGTGCCACTACTTCCAAGCATGCACAGCGGATAAATCAAAGGACAGCATTTACATGAAGATCACCTGGCATTTAATTGAAGGCCAAATAAGGTCCAGCTCTGGGATGCTTGGCGTGCGCCCAGCTCGGAGTACATACGGTTGTCGAGGCAGTGCGATCCCCCCAAGCCAAGGGAGAAATAGTGAAAGCCCCTTTTCGACAGCCTCGCCAAGACATCGTGAACATTGCCCACGTTCGACCAGCAGTATCAGAACAGTAGCGAAAAAAATAGACAGAAAAACGCCAAAAAAAAAAAGGGTTTTGTCTGGTTTCACCACCCACAACTCAAGGTCAAGCCGAATTGCCAGATGGCTAGTTCCCAGGGAACACCTACACCTACCTAGTCACACAAGGTAGAGCAGCGAATGCTCTGAATTACTACCACGGCACGAGGAAGATATAATCGATCCTCTATGTGGCACCCCTGTGCTTGGGTTATAACTAAAGTTATACCACTAGACTAGATGAACAACCTCACCAGGTACGCTTAGGTTAGGAGAATTTCCACAACAACAAGATATAAACCCAACACTTTCCCACCTGCTATCAGGTGACTTAACCCCCCCCCCCCCCCCCGCGTCTCTCCCAGGCATAGGCCCCAGGGCCCCTTGCACCCTCTGCCACTTCTGTTGTATGTAGTACCGCAGGTGAGAGCTGGTATCCATTCTTCTCTCGCAGCTTTGACTGTTGAGCCCAGAACAGCTGCTCGATCAATACGAGGCATGAACCAAGGCGACCAACAACTTCCTGTACCCAGCTAGCATTCCAACATCTTGATTAGCTCATTCATGATCCCCAGCACATCCAATCTATCCAACCTCCGAGCCTTAGCCTTTCCAAATGAGCAGCGCACCTTGACCAGCCTCTGGAGCCAAATGCCGAAAATCGTCGTTCATTTCTGCCCCATACATCATTCAGACCGCACCCAATGCTGCGAGGAACAAGACGCTTGACCCGCTCTGGCACCAGTTGATGCCTCCCGAGCGGTAGACCCTTCCTCCCTCCCATCATTTGGCATTCTTGCCCTGATACAGCAAGCGGGCCCAATGGAATAATTGCATCGAGACTGCAGTGCAAATTATGATGCGAAAACTGGGAGCTGGATCCAATCCATTGTCTAATGTTGTCAAAAAGAAAAGAGATCTATCTATGCTTGGCCTTCCTCAGGCCACGTTCATGTCCATCGCAATGCTAGCTCACATACATTGTACAATTATAATGATGCCCTCGGAGAAAGAAGGAATGCTTGATCAGACCTTTGTCATTAGGCCTGTCCCTCCAACGTTGATCCTCGCAAGCATCAAAATGAAACAGCCAAGAAGACAAGTGCAGCCACTGAATAGCTGAAGGTAGAGAAAGCCGCCATTGTCACGAGCTATCAGTGCGCCGCCGATCGGAGCACCAGTCAGTGCTGCAATCGAGCCTGCAGCAAATGCGGTCCCTGTCCGGATGCCGATCTCTCTGATAGGTGAAATCTGTGCCAGCAGAGCCGGTGTCAGGCCGATGGCAGCGCCGGAGCTGAAGCCGAACAGGGGAGCAAACACCAACTGGCCTGCATTCGAGTCGGCAGGGATCCAAAGGCCCAAAATGAGAATGGCAGTGAGGAGGCAGAACATATTCATGACGTTGAACCGACCAATCTTGTCGCCAAGTATTCCAGGCAATGTTCGACCAAACACAGATCCCGCGTTGAGGACTGAAACGAGGTATTGAGACAGTCCGAGCGACATGCCGCGTCCGTTAGCCACCACCGTTATAAAGCTGAAGATTGGAAACATTCCCCAGTAGAAGACGAATGTGGCCAGTACGGTGAGCAGCATCGGCATTTCGCCTAGTGGACGGATGAAGGCCATCACAGTGACTGGGCGTTTGGTAGGTGGGATTCGGCTGCGGACTGTGAGGATGCCGAAAGAACATAGAGCCAGGACGAGGAAGGCACAGGTGCGCATTGTCCAGCCAAAGCTTGTTTGACGGATCATACGACTGACGATGATAGGAAACAGGACTCCACCCAGCGAACTTCCTGAGGCAGCGAGACCAATGGCCATGCCTCGCTTCTTGAAGAACCACGTTGGGACGGAAGAGACTCCTGCGGTAAAGACAAATGACGAGCCGATCGCAGAGCAGACAGATTGACTGAGCATGAATTGATAGTACTCCTTCGAGATGGAGGCCATCATGAGGCCGAAGACGTGCAGGAAGGTCCCGATGATCAATAGGGATTTGGGGCCATAATCATCGAATATCTTGCCTGCGAATACCCCAGAGAAAAGCATGAAGAAAGTCTGCACCGACGGGATCCATGCAATGGTGCTAGCGGAGTATGCTGACAGTTGATTCCGCATGTAATACTCCTGAAAAATCCCCACGCAGTTGATCCATCTGTGGGAGAAGAAGAAAGGTCAGTCAAAACATAAAACAAATCAGTTGATCTTTATGAGCGATGACTTACCCCCAGGAGACAAAGAAACATGCTGCAGCACCGGCTACAGTGAGCCAGGCACGCCCTCCACCATCGGGAAACGAAGCTGGATCCGCCCAGGGATTGTACGGCGCTTTGGCGGGCTCGGGCTGAGGGCTGTGGTCGCGGGAAGTCTTCCCTGAAGGACTCTGGTCGTTGAGATCGTGTTCTTCTTGTTTCTCAAGCTCGGGATTCAGCATGCTGTTGCTGATAGGGACTTCTGCCGATTTCTCTGGCTCGCGCGACATCTTTACAAGGAAATGCGGTGATATTGCTCCTTTTCAGCGACGTAGGGGCCACCGGTGTTGAGGTGCAACCCTTGCTGCTTCTATTCTTTCTTCGCTCAACTCAGAAGAGATGAAATAATCGGTCTTGGGAGTCAAATGAAATGAAATCGTATTTACTTAAATGATAAAGATACGCAACTACAGCTACATCCTCCACTTCCCCCAAGTAGCAGAACTCCTAGTTGATTTTATCCCGTAGTCGCAGCTACGGGAAAATTGTCAATTAAGGACCGAAACCGTAGAAAATGCCATGTACATTCGGCGTTAAGAGTGACGCGAAGACCGTTCCTCCACCGATGTGGGCCCTGTACATTTGCAGTTGCCCTCTAGAAGATTACCGCCTTTCGCCCTGTCAGGACTACTGCTTGTTCGGCCGAAGATTTTGCTTCTTTGAAGCGATTGCCCCATTAGGGGATAGACAGAACTACATCATGTGTCAGTGTCTACGAGTATGTTGCCTCCTCAGGCCTGACTCCCTCCTATCGAGTCCACAATTTATATGGGCGGAGCTATCCTCTCCCGTATTCCGGACCAACCCAACCCACCCCTATCCCCTACGAGTACTGTACTCGCTTCGCTCCAAGCTTTCTCGGGATAACAGCCTCTGCGCCCGACCATCTCTCGATTGCAATGCCCAACACCTCTAAGCATCGGCATCCCTCTCAACAAGCAAAAAGCTTGGTTGCTCGCCCCGATTATCAGAAGTCGGCCTTATGTACATACGAGTACACACGCTACCATCCAGGGCAATGGGTCGATGTGGCATCAACTCTCAGGCACCCCGCAGAAACGAATATCACGATCAGCAGGCCCAACATTGATGAGTAATGTTCCTCTGCATGTGCGAGTTAACGGCCGACGCGGCCGAGCGCGTCTTGCGTTATTTTGGTAAAGGGTCACTGAAGCTGTTTCCTGTTTTCAAGCCCGTCTGCCAGCAGGTTTGATCAATTGCTTCGTCATTTGGCCCGGCGTTCTTCACAGATTATGCCCGTAGTCGATGCATATCAGATTGTGCCCTGATGAAAAAACATAGTGACTGGTCGGAGGCTTCTGGATATACCGGTCTAGGTATTAAATATCACCGGTGCATGGGCATTCTTGGATGGAAGGCCCAAAAAGACGACTTTGAAAACAACAATTTTCCCCTTTGTCTTGCGATCGGTCTGCGCAGTGCTAATCAAGATCAATCAGGCTGACATGTCAACTTCTTCATATCTTCACCGACGCAAGTGGACACCGACATTGCTTCAACTCTCGCTTTGATCGACCCTGTCTAATGATCCATAGACTGCATTCAGAGGCCGGCAATACCCGACCTTCGACTTTGTTCCCAGTCTACCAACGACCATTGAATCACATTCAGGCTACTAAACTTATACCTAGAAATTCGCACTCAAGCTGTGTCCGGTTGAAGGGAAGAAAGGCAGCCGGATGCTGGCAACGGAAAAGAACAATGCGGAGTCCACTTTCGCCAATATTATTTTAGTCATGGGCGCCGTTGTCTATACTTGACCCCCTCTTCAACATATACGAAAATGGGCCTCTCTCTCTCTCTCTACGAACAAGGAAACCATCGCCTCAGAGCATTCATCAAGGTAGATTACAACACTCTAAGGTAAAATCAAACCTCAACGCCAGCGATGATATGAACAATCCTGTATGTCTCATCTCTTTCATCGAATCGTCTCCTCCTGCTATGCTCTGAAACAAGCATGCAATGATGCAATGAAACGAAACCTTTGCTTCGGCTTTGCGTTCCACGCATCAATATTATATTCCCTATCCTTGCCATGGGTCATCCAGAACAACCATAAGTCTATTTTGTGGCGAAGTAGGAATAGGTTGCTTCCCTGCGAATGGCCTTGCCCTGCTCAGACTCGCCAGGGCGGGGTGACTTTGGCTTCTTGTCGGACTTCTTCGGCAGCAATGCCTTCAGACTTGACATGGTGGACGTGCTTCGGATGGAGGCAACGTCGGTCTGGGTATTGTTCTTGTCGTTGTGTGGGGGCGACATGTTTCTTCCTTGTTCAGTTGTTCAAGGTCAAGGTCAACGTTATGGCCCAAGGGAAACGTTACGCTGAGGTATGTGACTGTTAATGAGGATGTGCTGACACCAGACGCCCGAGATATCGACGATATATATCCCGATGAGTGGGGATCGGTTCCTAAAGAGACTCGGTGGGTATAGATCCGGTCTGCACCGAGTGGTAAGACGATAGTGAGATGGGTTGGATATCAGATGGGCCGTGTTTCACGCCTTACTGTCCGAAGTAGGTATCGAGAGAACGAGGTTTGTGATTTTCGAGAGAGAAATGTAGGGCAAGATATACTGCTCAGTGCTCGGTTTTGTTTTCAATGCTCGATGAAATCATATACCTCGGGTTTATGCTTTCTTCCACAACGGGAATGGTGGCTCGGTCGTAACTGGATGGAGATGTAGGCACGCCCTTCAAAAGGATCCTCTGACGAATGACAGGCGATGATGTGCCTGGGTGCCTGTTTCTTAGATTCTAGCCTCGGGCTTCTTGTTGACCGATGACAAAGCTGATACATGAACTGGTGGTCTAGGATCCTGAGGTGAACGAAAAACAGCCTCAGGCAGATATATATTCATGCTTATATACTGTACCTCGTTCGCCTCGAAAGGGGAACTGTATGAGTATGACTCGAAACCTGCGCACCACAACTGTCAAGCTTTGCAGGGCGCGCCATCCTATTCGTTCAGAATGTGACTATACGCACGCCTGGTACGCGAAGGGCACAACTCCTGGACGGAGTCGCAGTGTGGTATAGTCGCTAGGGCACGGACCCGCCAGCCTTCTCCTAAGCCTTCCTAAAATGGGACCATGACTCAACAGCCTGGGCCAGGCCTGACTGGCAGCGCAGTCTCAGAGATCAGTACTAAGTACCGCTATGCAGGGCCCGCTACAAGTTCTTGCTCAGAGCCATTCATTCCCAGCATATTTCCGAGGTACATGAAACGGTCAGTGATGGATCGTATGTAGACCACCGTCCTTCTGGATGGAATTGGGATCGCTACCTATGTAGAGCTTCGCATTTCACTGCCTTCCACACCAATGCTAAAGCTTGTCGTCAATAATATTCGAGACCTCCCCGCTGATAACCCCGAAGCTTCGTCCCGCCCCACTGCACCTGACCTGAGCACAACCCCGTTTGGGAAATGCGAACGGCAGCCTCGATTCACCTGTCACATACGACGGGCCTTGGGCATTTGGCAAATGCAACATTCAACAATGATAGACCCTCAAATCTGAGAAACGGTTATGGAAACTCGTTGGATCTCGGTTACTGAGGACCTTCCTAGTGCGGAAATGCGCAGAGCAAAATACTTGGTGAACCGGCAACGGTAATTAGCTCAGGACGAGGGACTTATTAAAATGGAGTATAGTACGGGTGAAACCCAGGCAGCAATGCGGGTGGTATGCCACGTGGAGACGTGAAGCCGCAAGGGCATGTACGACAATAAGGCGCTCTACATGCTTCGAATATGTTGTCTTTCAATGCAGATCGACAAGTTCAATGGGAGTGTCAGTAGTTAGTCGCAGGCTTGTAGCCTACCTACACGCCCTATAACATACACGATTGGCTGCCGCGTACAACAAGTGGCAGCCTGAGGCGTAATTATGAAGTACCAACTCAACCTGGAGTTGGACACGGGTAATACATAGTCGGAAGCAATCCATGAGAATCGAACATAGACCCGTTGGGGAATAGTCTCGGCCTTTACGACTCGAGGGGTTTGCCTGTTGGCAGGGTCGTCCTCATATCACCTTGTAGTTTCTGATACGTGACCACGGGCTGGTGTCTAGGAACAATCTAGATGGCTTTGTCTTGACATCCGTATTCGGGTCGAGTGTTGGGTGAATTGTCCCAGTCAATTATGATTATTGGTGGCCAAATGCTGAGAGTTTTACTTGAGACTTCCCCGAGAAACTCCACCAGGAACATTCCATAGCCTCGTGGGGCTGAACTTTGCCATCATTATCATCAGATGACTCGGTCACTTACTTCAGGGATGCACAACTATGTGGTATTAAAGGCAGCAAAATCAGCCAGGTTCGGTAGCAAGCCGTACCATATCGCATGACTCTTAGATATGCACCCATGTGCAGCGGTGGCTGTGGGGTTGCATGGGTATTGGCCGTTGACTCATATTTTCAAAATTGCTTCCCGTCTGCATGGGTACATAACGCCTGTAGTACTTACCAAGTCGCTAGTCAGTTTTTGGATTATCGTACTGGGGAGACCGCATTGGACTTCAAGAATAGATCAGTCTGGTTCGTCGATGGCGTTATTGTTGCGACTCCGTGGCTGCCTAGGGACTTTAAGGGATGGCAAGGCAGGTCGAAGCGGATGTTAGGACATTATAGCTCCTCTGTCGATCAGCGGTTTCAGTATGGTGCATACCTATTCAGGTACGTAATGACTCGAATGCCTCAGGCTAGGCGGAAAGTCATGGTCGACCGGGCCTGAAAGGTGAGTCGTGCAGAGTCAATCGAGAACAGCCATTGCAAGACTTCTCGAACAATGCTCGACGCAACTGATCACACGCTCCCATAACCACCCAGCTAATGTCAGGGAAAGGCAAGACAAGCACGCAATGCAAGAATGCGAATGGTTCCACGCCGTCCAACCTTCGTACCATTTTTGCTATACCCAGTACTCTAGTTCACACCTGCAGGGTGAGGGCAGAAGAAATATTTTCGCTCCCAGTCCATATGTATATACATCACCCATGACTCGGGGAAAGTCGATTGCTAACAGTAAAAACAAGGTGAAATCCGTGCTTTTTACTGAGACTTCAACTTCTCAGTCAACTCAGGGACCTTCTCGAACAAATCGCCAACCAAGCCGACGTCAGCGACTTGGAAAATAGGGGCGTCGGGATCCTTATTAATCGCCGCGATGACCTTGCTGTCCTTCATGCCCGCAAGATGCTGAATGGCCCCTGAAATGCCGGCGGCGAGGTATAACTGCGGGGCAACATTCTTGCCTGTCTGGCCCACTTGTAGACTGTTATCGGCGAAGCCGCTGTCGACGGCGGCTCGAGATGCACCAATGGCGGCACCCAGGGCGTCTGCCAATGGTGGCATCAGCCGGTCGAATTCTTCCTTGGATTTCAAGCCCCGGCCTCCTGATACGACTTTCTTTGCAGATGCGAGTTCTGGGCGGTCGGATTTCGCCAGATTCTCCGATACCCATTCGGTGGGGGACTCGACTTTCGTGTCGATCCCGTCCTCGACTGAGGCGGAACCGCCATCCGTTTCGGCGGGTGCGAAGGATGTCTGTCGTACTGTAAGTAGCTTGATGGGATCTGTACTCTGTACAGTTAGGATGGCGTTGCCGGCGTAGATTGGTCGAACGAATGCTGGGATCCTTGTCAGCTTCTGGAGCTCGGCTTTGAAACAACCAGCACAAGGTATGCAGGACATGGAAAGAGACACTTACTGTCCTCGCTTTCAATTGACATGATGTCTGAAATCTGCTGAACATCTAACAGCGCAGCGACGCGGGGCAGCAAACCCTTGCCGAACGCTGAATGTGCCGCAATAACATGTGTGTATCCGCCCTTCTTGATATTCTCGACCAGCAGCGGAGCCCAGTTCTCAGGTAATCCGCGGTCGTAAGCCTCATTGTCCACGGCGATCACCTTTTCCAAACCCTTGACCTTCGCAATGTCCCCGGCAATAGATTTGGCTCCTTTCCCTGCGACGAAACCATGCACCGAGCCACCGAGTTTCTGACCGGCCGTGACGGCACCTAGGGAGCCGGAGTTGAGCTTTCCATCTCGTTGCTCGAGGATTGCAAGGGTGGAGAGTAGCCGTGCGAGAGAGATGGACTGGGATCTGGATAAGAGTGTGCTGTTCGCGGGACCTGGTTGGGTGCGCAGTGTGCGCAGAGCCGACTGCTTTGCTAGTGACAGCATGGTCATGCACACCCGTGGGAAAGGAAAGGAAAATGTAATGGAGAAGAGACGAGGACGTCGCAACTCGAACAGTTTAGAAAACGAGGACTCCGAGCAACTCGTAGTTTGAGTGTGGACGGATCGCCTTGATTTCTCCGGGCGGCGGGACAGAAGCCTCAGAGGGTCGAGTGCAAACGACCACCAGCTACAAGCGTACGGGCAAGCTCAACCTCGGAACAACGAAGCACATCTATTGGGCAACCTGCCCCGGGAATCGCTCGGTGCTCCTCGGGTTGTTGGCACCGATGTCGCTCGCTTTCCGCTGTTAAGCGCGCCACCACATCCCAATCCTATGTAACTACGAGTAGGTACAGCAGATAGTCGTTATGTATGATTTGACGCAAATTGATTTGCTCAGTGATGATGACAGTACCAACAAGTCTGGGTTGCAGGCCTAGAATTCTCCGACTCATTGGAGCATGGCTGTCTTGCATGCCCCTCCTCCTTTGCGAGCAAACGATCCTCCGTCCAGCTCTCTCTCGCCCACAAAGATAATCAATATCTCACTATCATTTTCAGGTTTCAAACACCGAAGGTGCTAACAGTACCTTCGCTATGCCATGCCATGCTATGCTTCGACGCTGAACGCTAGACACACAATCCTCCATACCCATCTGGAGTGACAAAAGTTGGAACAATCAATGGACGACAGGAAATACACAGTTGTTGGCAGCTCCCCTGACAACAAAGCTGCAGATGATGTTTAGCGGGCGACCTATTTTCCATTCTTGATCGAGAGCAGTTCTTTATTTTGGTTTGCGCCAGTAGTATTGCTGTATCATGTTAATAATTGCCAGGTTAATCAGAGAAAAGAACAAACCTTGTGCTGTTTCCGGCATGCCCTCAAACCTGGCTTTCGAAGGTCCATAACGACAGCCTCCTTTCTCTTGTCGTCTTCGTCAAGGTCAGGGAGATAGTAGAATTCACTCTCGAGAGGTTTGCCTGCTGCGTCTTTACCTTCTCTGCGGACTTCACCAATACAAGGGGTGGCAGATACAACTCTCCGAACATCACCCAGGGACAAGACCCCTGCTTCCTGTGGGAGATGGCTCAAGATAGTCGACAAGGGGGTGGATGAGAGTCTGGAAAATGCAAGTTGATTGATGATATGGCCTTGAATGTCAAAGTCAGTAGCAGTGATTGGGTTATTAGCAGGGGCTTGCTGTGGTTGTAACGGTTCGGTATGCGACGATCGTGAGCTTTTGATGGAATTAGCATGGCCGGGGTTGGGCGACTCTCCGGCAGTGAACGACGCCATTCGAGGTAGTAAGTTGGCACCGAATGGTCCGAAGGAGTGAATGATGGGATCATTCTCCTCGTCATTATCGGAGAAGTCTTCGGTAGAATCGGACAGTGTATGTTGGGAGATTGTAGAATTCTGGATATTTTGTGACGACGTTTGTGTCATTTGAGATACTTTGGTGAATTCAGATACTTCAGGGGCTTCCTGTGCTGGTTCAGGATCTTCGTATATCTCAACAGTCTCGATCTGGGTCCGACACGGCTGCAAGGGGGGGGAGGACGGCAACAATGCTTGCACAGCAGGTGAAGGTGATATTGGAGATGCAGGGTGTCGTCTAGATTGTAACGGACTCGGGCTTGGGGGTGTCGAATGACGCAGCATAACACGCTGTCGCTTGGAGGGAGACATTTCTTCCTCCTCGTCCGACGAGATGGCACCTAGCCGAGGTTTGGGTGGCCATTCCAGAACTACCCGACTGTCGTGCACATCCAGCATGATTTCGGCATCTCGGACGTCAGTTTGGAAGGTTTCACCCTTCTTCAACTCATAAACCTGGCCCTTGCAATGTATTTTGACACCATTCCAGCCCGTGCACGTTATCTCAACAAATTCTCGACCCAGACGTGACCCAGTCGACTTGTAGCATGCCTCAACATGCACCCGGGATATCAGTCGATTGGCAGACAGTTGGTAGTCGCAAGACGCACTGGATCTCCCCATACGCGTGGCTTTGCCGTCAGCATGGAGTTGGATGGATGGAAGAGAACCCAAAGGAGTACGTTCAGAAAGAGTGGATGAACTAGTCCGGAGAGTTGGTTTCGACTGGGCAACGCGTGAGGGTGACGAGGTTAGTATGGCTGTGGAAGATGTGGGCACTGGTGTGGGATACGTCGTGTGCTCGTCATAGGCATCTCTGTTCCTCTTCAAAGGCCTTGGGAGAGCTGGCGAGGAGGAGAACGGTTCAAATGCAGGAAGTAGAGATGTGGCAGGTCTCTTTGGAGCCGGGGCCCGGGAGGCTGTAGTCTCTGAGAGAGTGGTAGAGGAAGCCATAGTGGACTTGTCCTCAGCTATCTGAGAATGATAGCCGGGGATTGCTGTGATCCAGCGGGAAGCGCGTTTTGAGACGGGCAATTCTAGAGAACAAACTGCTGAGACTGCTGGGAGTTAATTCAGATATGACAGCAATCGACCAGATAGTTAGACATGCTCGAAGAGCCAAGTGGAGGACTGGTGAGGATGGTCAAGAAGAAGGTCGGTGGTGAGTGAAAGGTCGAGTGTGTGGGAAGCTTGGAGGTGATGGAGGAACCACACGCCGCACGCGAGAGAGAGAGGGCGCGCCAATGCTGCACGCGTTTTGAGCACCGACCCGCCCGACCAAATACTTAGTACTAATTAGCAGTTGCCAGTAACCCGTCCGTACGTCAAGGATAATTTCGCGATCGGACTGGCAATGACGGTGACCACACGAGTAATCAATTCCAGTCCATCAGCGCGGGCATTCGAGGATATGGGTTATTCACAGCTCAGAATTATATCGAAGTTGCCAGCCGAGGAAGAAGGGCTTCATACTGCTCAGGCGGACGGAAGCACGTGTGAATGAGAGGTACGAGCAGAATGGCGGTCACCAGAGGTGGCAGTCGACTTGTACTTATTACTTATTATCTACGAACAGTAGGTGGTGAAATGCGAGCTTATGCACGGTACAACATGGCCACTCCAAATCGGCTTGACTCTGCATCTGCCAAAACGAAGAGCCGTGGGTATTCTGATTGAAAAGCATGCATATGAGGAGATGCATCTGAGTGGAAGATGGGCCTTGATTGCTTGGAAAGTTGGAGATACAGTTACAGTGGCAGTACCGAGTGGGAGAGAAAAGATGTCATGGGGGCAGCTGTAGCAGTTAGTGGCAGTGGGCAGTGGCAATGGGCAGTGGGCATACCACCCAATGGCACCCACATCCCCCCATTACTCGTACACCCAACCCCAAAGCCAAAAGCTAAAAAGCCAGCCAAAGCCAAACACCGAATGCACTGCACGTAATTGCCTCCCAGGCCTGTTCCTTCCCATTTCGGAATTTTGCCTGTCTTTCTTTTTTAGCGTGCCTCTTTAGCGTGTCCCAGCCGTGGTTAAATCCGAAAGGCGGTGAGCTTCTTTTTTTTGCCAAACCATTCGCAGTCGAACTTGTTGAAATTTACTGCATCCCAGTTCGAGAGCAACAACAGCCTCACTGAAGACATTCCGCCTTCTTACAATCGCAACCATGGCTATCGCCGTCAAGCCCTCGTCCACAATTCCCAGAAAGCGACCAGCCGAAACCCCATATCAGCTAGATCCTGATCAAGTCGGTATCCCAATCTCCCAAGCCGTGGATTTTCGCTAACCGTTTTTCCATTGTGTATAGACCCTGAAAGCATCACAAGCTCTACTGCAGCATGTGAAAACTGAGACCAAGCGCTTACAAGAGGCATCTTCCAAGAAGAACCTGCTCGCCACCGGCGCCTCAGATTCAGACTCGGAGCAGGGTGATAGTCCCGACAGCGACAAGCCCATCTGGCTAACTCTCACCACCAAACAACACATCGTTGATGATCATCGCCTAAAACCAAGCAAAATTGCCGTCCCACATTCTCTTAACACCTCAACTAATTTGCGAATTTGTCTAATCACGGCGGAGCCTCAAAGAGCAGTCAAAAATCTGGTTGCTGATCCTACTTTCCCCGAACATCTCAAATCTCGAATCGCTCAGATTATTGGCCTGACTAAGCTCAAGGAAAGATACAAGACTTTCGAGACAAGAAGACAACTTGTGTCCGAACATGACATATTTCTTGCGGACGACCGCATCATCAATCGCCTGCCAGCTGTTCTAGGGAAAGTCTTTTACAAGGGCACATCGAAGCGTCCTGTACCCATCATTGTCGCACAATCAGATCGAAAACAAGTACGATCTCAACAAGATAAAAAGGCCAAGAAAGAGACCTCTGCCAACTTGAAGACTCCATTGGCACTCGCAAAAGAGATTGAGAAAGCGATTGACTGTGTACCAGTCAGCTTACGACCAGGCACCTCACTTGCTGTCCGTGCTGGTCTTGCCAGTTTTGAACCACACCAGCTTGTTGACAATATCTCTGCTGTTGTCACGAGCGTGATCGAAAAACATGTTGCGAAGGGCTGGCGCAATGTGAAGTCTATTCACATCAAAAGCAACCTCTCTATTGCTGTACCCCTCTGGTTGGCAGACGACTTATGGACCGAACCCGCCGATATTACTGCGATAGAGGCGGCAACAGAAGGAGATGATGAGCAGGGTCAGAAACGGAAGAGGAACCCGGCAACTACTAAGGGACCACAAGCAGGAGTTCGGAAGAAGACAAAGTTGGAGGAGACCAAAGAAGCCAGATCAGAAACAGACCGCGCCATGGGAACAGCAAGGAAAAGCAAACTAGCAGCTCAGAAGGCTAAAATTTTTGCAGAGCCTTTGTAACTAGAGTCATACTAGTACCGCTGTGACGGATGTCTTTCTCCACCGATCTAACGAGGTAGTGTACGTGCCTTTGCTGGCCAAAACCCATTATTAGACAACAGCAACGGTAATAAATCCACATGTAGGACAACTTACTCCAAACCGGTTCATACTCCTTCCAAAAGAAAAGGACACCCATCACATGCTGGCCACATACCTGTCAGGTACTTGTCACCTCAGGAGTATACTCGTAGTATCCATCTGTGCAATGAAGTTCAGCGTGGATAATGTCAGTGCGGGGCACGGATCTGTCGCTCGCCTAACCTCCTCTATCTGTGCCTTGTCCAACGCTAGCGGGATGCCTGTTGAGGGCAGGTACGAACATGTTATGCGTCTTGGCACCATCATCGGCGAGTTCATGCCGCTTGTTGAAAACGCGGGAGTGATGATTCCCGTACTTTGGTACTGCTTCTACAAGCTTTTTGATGATATGCCGATTGTCCTGCAGTGACATCTGCCGTCCAAATTAGACGCAGGTATATCTGCTCTTCCCATCTGCACATGATCTTCGACATGCGAGTGCAAGCAATCCCTCGTCAACATCGCGGCCCCCAATGGACCGCAAGCGCAAGAGTACGCCCACTCCCTGTTCTCCAACGCACCCAGGACTGACGAGTAGATACAGGAGAGCTACGTGACTTGAATCTGCGCGTCTGGACAGGCGCAAAGGGTATTGGAAGTCAATACCTTGCGCAAGCAAAATGAACTAATCAAGTGCACAGATGTCTACAATGTCGCAGATTCGCTCGATTCCTCCTTGAAGAAAAATACTGCTTTTATCAAACGCCTTCGCACTGGCCTTTCAGCTTCCGCCCAGGATACCTTTCTTACCGAGACTCGCACACTCTCCCTTCAGAAGTATCTCTCCGAAATCATTTCTGCCACTGCAGAAGGTCTTGGTAGGCTAAAGACTTCCAGCGAGATTGCCACTGCGGTCGAGGTTGTCAGTGCCCTACATCAAAGATTTGGACCTGCTGAGTTCACTCGACAGCTAGCCTGGCTACTTGGTAGAGGTCTGTCGCCCCCAGACAAAGCTCAGGTCAAACTCTGGACTGCTGAAGTACGCGAGCGAGAAGAGAAGGAACGCTTAGTTCGACAACGGGTTCTCCTTCGAGTAGTGAGCGAATTCTGGTTGTGTGGCATTTTGAGGAGTTTGGATGATGTTGACCGGCCAGATGACGCTTTGACACGCACTAAGGAAAGCCAGATTCAACCTGAGTCCAAGCCACGCCCAATACCAAATGGTCTGAAATCCGGCTCGCAGATCGACCACGAACCTTTTCCACTAGAAGTTCTGAAAGAATTGCTTGGGCACGACCCTGAGCACGTCAATCTGAGTCTGGCCGTCTTGTTTGTCAAGAATTTCTCTTGGGACATTCTAGGATTGAAACCACCCTCTGATGACAGCAGAAAAGTTCCTGACAGCGAGAGCGCAGCCGCAGACCCAGCCAAATCCGGAACCGACTCCGATCCACTACCAGAGGAGGATGCACCCATTATCCCACAACCGATTCGAGAACGCTTTGTCAATGTTTTTGAACGCTACCTAGGAAGTGTGAAGAATCATGTCGTGCGAGACCAAAAATCGCTGAACAACCAGAGTCGACGAAATGCCGAAGCTTACGTCAAGAGCGGTGAAATATTTGAGGATAGACAAGCCAATTTCGAGAAGCAATCCAAGGCGCAAGAGAAGCTGGTCGCAAATGCCCAGGTATTATGTGATGTCCTCGGTCAAGAGATGCCTGAATTGGACGAAAAGGATGGTCCAGAATCAGCTGCCACCGGTACAGTTGGTATGATCAAGACTGGTGACTACCTCAAAGGCCAACGTGATGGCGCTGGCATCTGGGAGGACGAGGAAGAACGGAGGTTCTATGAAAACTTGGTCGATCTCAAAGGCCGCGTTCCTGGGATCCTTCTGGATGATGCGAAGAAGACCAAAAATGACTCGGAGGAGCGAAGCGAAGCTACAATGTCTTCAACTGAAATTGCACCGACCAAGCCGATCTCCGAGGCTGATGATCAATCTACCGCCATCGCAAACAAGACTGTGGGAGCTCAAGTCGACGCCATTCTCTTACGCCTACCTGATTTGCAGACAAAAGAAATGGTCGATCAGGTTGCGCTCGACTTCTGTTTCCTAAACTCTAAAGCTTCAAGAAACCGTCTAATCAAAGCCATCCAGGACGTCCCAAAAGGACGGACAGATTTGCTTCCCTTGTACGCCCGGTTAACAGCCACGCTCGGTCAATACATGCCGGATGTCGTCCAGGGATTGATCGCGCATCTTAATGAGGAGTTTCGGAGCTTGCAGCGACGGAAGACCAAGGACTTTCTTGGACAGATACGAATGTCCAACATTCGCTATCTGGCAGAACTCACAAAATTTGGCATTGTCCCTGAGCACGTGATCTTCCATTGTTTCAAGGTCAGCTTGGACGACTTCTCGAGGATGAATATTGAAATTATCGCTCATTTGCTGGAAAACTGCGGTCGATACCTTCTGCGGAACCCAGACGCGTCAGCACGCATGGTATCTTTCCTCGAGACACTCAACCGAAAGAAGTCCGCCCACCATCTTGGCACTCAGGAGCGCATGCTCATCGAGAACGCCATGTACTACGTCGATCCACCCCAGCGAGCTGCAATTCAACAAAAAGAACGTACGCCCATGGAGCTATTTGTTCGCCAGTTAGTCTATATGGACATGACGAAGAGAAACTATATGAAAGTCCTCAAGACGATTCGAAAGCTACACTGGGAAGAAACAGAGGTCGTTCAAATCTTGGAGAAAATCTTCAGCAAACCTGGTAAGGTAAAATTTAGCAACATTCACCTGCTAGCAGTACTGCTCCAAGCACTCTTCAGGTATCATCAAAACTTTGCGATCACCGTTATCGACAACGTCCTGGAGAACATCACTCTTGGATTGGAACAGAACGATTTCAAATTTAATCAGCGTAGAGTGGCTGAGGTCAAGTATCTGGGCGAGTTGTACAACTATAAGATGGTCGACTCGACAGTGATATTTGATACCCTATATCGACTTGTGACTTTTGGACATGAGGGCGGAACACCACAACCCGACGCGTACACACAGTTCGATCCCCCAGACGATTTCTTCCGGATTCGACTAGTGTGTACGATCCTGGATACATGCGGAATTTGCTTTGATCGAGGCAGTTCACGGAAAAAGCTTGACTTTTTCCTAACGTTCTTCCAGTACTACATGCTCACCAAGGATACTTTGCCCATGGAGATCGACTTTATGGCACAGGACACCTTCGGTCTGGTTAGACCAAACTGGAAACTCGTGACTGACCTACCGGAGGCAGCCAAGCTTTTCGCGGAGGCAGTCAGTGCCAATTACAAATCTCAAGGCGCTGAGAAAACTTCTGAGCAGGTAGAAGAAAATGAGGAGTCTGGCTCTGATGACGGTGACGGAGATGGAGATGCAGATCTTGATCCCGTGATAGTTCAGTCTTCAGACGAGGAAGGCGAGGTGAGCACTCAACTAGCCATAACATGACTTCTTATTGACCCTGTCTAGCTCGAAGGAGGGGAAGAAACTGCGGAAGAAAGAGAAGACGTTGATTCAGACGAAGATGAACGAATTGTTGTTCTTCGCCAGGCAGAGGAATTGGATCCTGAAGCCGAAGCAGACTTCGAGCGAGCGTTTGAAAAAATGATGGCTGAAAGTTTAGACTCCCGCAAATTTGAGCGTCGGGCGCAATTTGACGTCCCGCTTCCGATTCGCAAAATTCAGCGGATGCCCGTTGAATCGACAGAGGAGGAACCTAGTGTCATGCCGGAGCCCGAGGCCAACACAATGGCTTTCTCCTTGATGACCAAGAAAGGAAACCGTCAGCAGGTGAGTTCATCCTTGCAAATCAAATATTAACTTGGTGTCAGCTGCAGGCCACTAATACTCATGTAGACGAGGACAATCGAACTGCCCTCAGATTCAAGCTTTGCCCTTTCGATGAAATCGCAACAGGCTGCAGAACGGGAGGAACAACAGCGGATCAAGAATCTAGTCTTGAATTATGATCTTCGCGAAGATGAGCAACACGATGGTACACCCGATGGATTTCTTTGTGGCCCTATTGTTCAACCCCCTCTGGAGAATAACCCCAATACTAAAGGACTCAAACTAGGACCTGACCATTATAATCCTTCTCTCAGCCGAGCAGAGAAGTCCGGCCGGCATGCCCCTCGTGCACGGAGACTCAACCTTAGTGATGTTGATTGGTATGATCCCCAAACGTCTTCCCCGACCTTGGCAACGAGAAGCAAGGAGAACCATGGAAAAGGGTTCCCTGTATCGAAGTCTAAAAAGAAGCCAGGCTGATGGGCCAATTTGGTTTTACTAGGACATGAATATTCAGTTTCACCAGGCGCATTATGTCGAATTGAATATTCCAAAGCCTCTACGGAGCCAGCATGCAGTATTGCTCGACCCGGTCTCGCAAAGCAGAATCCTTCGGGAGAAAAAACTTTCGGTCAAGGTGTTCTCAAGTGACAAGCCGCCTGATCCCTAGGAATTGTGGGAATCTCGACCGTGTGAGAGGCGAATGCACGAACATCGAATGCCGAGATCTGTGCCGGTTATGGGATCCCATCACCAGGCTTGAGGTAGGTGTTGCACGAAGCCCCTTTCCGAGACGAAGCCCAGGACAACGGTTGGTGGTGTTGGTTGGGAGGAAGTGACAATGATGGCATCACCATCATTTTTCGGACGTGGCTGAGAGCTTGCTCTCCAATTCGAGGGTGAACAAAGGTTGGGGGCCTTCAAACGTGATCTGAATCAGATCTGATCGTATGTGGTTGCTGGTGCTCACTTGTCCGCCGAATTCAGTGGGCCAGTCCTCCACATCCCACTCAAGGCCCTTGGTAGTGATCAGCGCTCTCCCAAGCACGGGAATTATACCAACATTCTCCCCAAAATAGCCAGGCTCCAAGTGTATTACATTTTGCCCGTTGGCGAGAACAAATGACAAGCTCTGTTCCGACAACAAGTAGATCCGACCTTTCAAAAGCTGTGGGTCCTTGTCCGCCATGTAAAGATGATGAATCTGTGAAAACCCCTGGTCGACGCGACCTCCCAGGCCGCCCAATACCACCACGTCCATCGAGTCCTCCTCGTCTGATGATCCGCGCTGTCCCTGCCTCCGCCGTCCCACCTCACCACGAATCCACCCCAGACATTTAGTGAAATCCGTCGAGTACTGGTCCGGGTCCTTAGCCACCTGGACGCCACGCTCGCGATAGTGCTTCTCTGTCCCTGCAGACAGAGAATCCAGATCGCCTACGATCGCGTCTGGCAGCCGATACCGAAACTCGCTCTCTGCGTGATGATTCGGCTCTTTAAGGGTTGTTGCTGTTGCTGTCATCTGCTCGTAATGAAGCAGTCTATCCGCGCCCCCGTCGGCACATACCAGCAGCGATGCCCCCGATATCACCGCGTTCAGAGCGTTGCGGTTAACTGGCTGGTTCAGAATCACCACCGAGTAGGCGGCGCTGGGCTGGTTGTTGAGCAAGCCGCATGGGTGCCAGTGTGCTGTTGTGGTGGTGGGGTTGGTGGCACTGGCCATGGCAGGCGATTTCTCTGGATCTTGAATATTCCTTCTGTCGTAATATCGATATTAATGTTAGGGCTTGTTGGAAGATAAAGGTTTGTGTGGGGGTGAGATTTCCTTCTTCCTTTTTCTCTCTCTTCGGAAAGACTCAGGAAGCGGACGAATGGTATATAGTTAGAAAATCTAGGATTGTTCCTTCTTCGCAGGCAGGTGTGGTTCGCCTCAATAATCACCGCATCTGTGTCACGGAAAGAAAGACAGATCATCTCCCTGCCAGCCAGAAATAATCGGTCACTGACGTCGTTCAGTTGACTCCATCAGGCGGGTCGGTCATCCAAATGATTGGCTTAGTCATGAAATTCCGCCCCACCTTTGGGGTTTTCCTGAGGTCTATCAATGATGCCCGCCGTTTGAGGATCCCTTCAACTTCGAATCACTCCACGGGACAAAAACGCATCATGCTTTCACCACCTTGTCAAACGCCATCACAACAGCGAGCAGCTGCTCCTCTTGCATGCTGCGCCCAACCAGCTGCACCCCCACAGGCGCATCCTCGAACACACTTGGTTCGTACATGTCATGATTTTCCCGATCTAGTCCGTTGATGGGCTCGTACAAAGTATCCAGCACATCGATGCCGTCTGGACGCTCGTGACGGGTAGTACGATTGCCTGGTAGTCCAGCAGATTCCACTGCGCGATATAGCACCACCAACTGAGAGTAGTTGTCTGTTTCAGCTGCTGCGCATCGACCCATGGAGAATGCGCTTGTGGGTGAGATTAGAGACGAGATGGAGGAGACTCACAGGAGGTGGTCATGGGGAAATGAGGCGGATGCCATGGCTGGGGTAAGAAGGACGTCTATCGGCTTTCCTGTCGATGTCTGGCTCGCAGTAGCGTTCCAGTGGGCGAGGTAGTCGATCTGGTATTGTCGTTGGTTTCTGCACGTGTGTAAGTGGGCGAGAAGCTTTGCTGCATTGAGAGACGCCAGTTCTACTCGACTTACTTGTATAGCTGAGTCAGCTCGGGGGCACTGAGCTCAGTGGCTCGATCAAGGATTTTGGCGACGGATGGGATCGCAGGTTCGCCGCTTTCAGTCAGAAAGTCCTTGAACATCTTGCCACCAGTGGGATAGTAGTGCTTAAACTGTAGAGATTCAGTCACGCCGGCACTTAATGAATATGGGTGGGCGACCACATCCCGTGAGGGTCCATGCCCCTTCGTGCTTGTATGGCTTGAACTCGATAATTTTGTGCTTTTTGTAAGTCAGTCCATCTCTCTTGCAAGCGAGGATATCCAACTAACTTTCGTGGCCAGCTGTTTTAAGCTTCTCAACCACCGTTCTTAGTGCCCTTCGCATTGGTGGATGAGGCTTCACGACTTCATCCCAGTACATCACGCCAACAACTATCTTCCACGGAATAGGTACTGGATCCCAACGCTTTGCCACGACCACTGGGTCATATAGCCACGGCTCAAAGTCATTCCAGACACGCAATATCAGTTCAATATCCCAGAGACTTCGTCCAACGGGACCTATGCTTGAAAATATCCCCGCTTGGCCGGTAAAGCCCAGTACATTGTCTTGATAGCTGAACCGTAGCGATGTAGGACGAATCCCATATAGGCCGTGTAATGACGCCAGCGAGCGAATCGATCCTCCAATATCGGTCGCAATGCCAATGGGGCGCCGTGAAAACCATTCAGTGGGATGGCACGACTAATATCATTCCAGTCTGAGGCATGGTGGTTTTACAGTACACCACAGCGCCAGCTTCGCGAAGACTCTGAACAACGACAGCATCGGTATCAGATGTTCTGTTGGCCAGGCTGACGAATCCAGTGGCTATCTTCATGCCTTCGACGTCTGTAAGGTCCTAATAAGAGCTTCAGAAACTTGATTTCGCCCTTTCACGGGGATTTCGTACTTTGAAGCTTATCAACAAACCATGAAGGGGCCCTACCACTTCCCCACTAGACTGGAGACAGTCATCCAGCTCTTTGGCTCGTTGAATCCCTTCATCAAAGGTGATATCCACCAGGGGATTGACCAGCTGCTGTGCACTGGCTGCTCGCTTGCAAAAGGACGTCACAACTTCGACAGCAGACCATTCCTTAGAATGAATCGTGCTCAGCAGTGCAGTAGAGTCTTCGACTTCCGTAACTTCCAGCTCTCGCGCGCTCAGAATGCCGCATGTTCGAAAGATGGATGTTATATTACGTGGTGTCGTTGCAAGCGTCGTCTCTGTCAACCTCCATTGCTGGGTAATCTTGGATTTCAGCTCGGTCTGAACGGCCTGAGCAGACATTGTGATAGAAGCACATTCAAAGACCGGCATCGGGAGTGCTAAAACGTACAGCCACTGTTTCCTCCCGTCCAGCCATCGAAGGGGTGGGTGGTGGCGGCTCTGGTAATGTTTTTGACTTGATCAGTTTCGAGAATACGAAATCTGCACGATTGTGTGTTTCTTGGATTTTAGTGTCCAAAGGGATCTCACTTCTAGTGAGAACAGAACATATATGAATAGTAAAGTTGCCGAAGGAGTGTCTGAAGTCCGGCGTCCTGCGCCCGTTGTGGACTTCCTATCTGAAAACTGGGTTCTTCGTGCGGAGAAGGGCTGTCGCACTGTTGCTCGGCCACGGGTCTGTTGATTCTACATGGAATTTGCTATCATAGTGGATACAATATTCGTGTTCCGCGTTTCCTTTCTTTTTGGCTAGAAAGGGAGTACTGAAATAAAGGTGCATGGCAGGTTAGGGGTCGGTCGGGTTTAGATTCTACTAATCAGTGACTCATGTTTCTAGGCAGTAACGTGCCTTGTACAATCATTAAATTGTTGAGTGTATCTCAAAGGTGCATTCCAAGAAGGGCACGTTTCTCATAAATACTACCGCTTTTTGTGGTTGACGGTGGAGATACCATCATGGTTGATGCTCTGCGGCAGTTGATCTGACCAAGCTTGAAATGATATCAAAGAAGCAGAACGGAACCGTTGAGTCTTTTCATTATTTTGCGCCAGTTTACGAAGACAGTCCCGGGGTTCGCAATGCAGCTCCTGGGCAATAGTCTCACGCTCAAGCCATATTTGGCGGACCACACGATGCACCTCTCGACCATTACCGGAACCCATCGTCTCATCCACATCCAGACACCGTGTCGCCGATGCTTACAATTCGGGGGAATAAGCTTGCGTGGCGGCAATGAAGACGGGCCAAATTGAAAATGCGCCACTATGCTCTAATTCAATGTAGGCGTTAGTTGCTGTGAGGACCGAGGTGGTTTTCTCATGGACAGCACGTGGTGGGTAGCGGAGAACTGTGCTGAACAGATAGATCATCACCGCGTCCGTGAATAACTGCAGATGGCGAGTGATCAGTTCCCGCATATAACTTGAGACATAGACACCACGTCGCAGTCGGTGTCATCGTCACGAGATCCTTCTGTGGGTTCATGTTGGCGAAAGACAAGGAATGGGCTTACGACATTGTGCAAGCTGCATCGACAGCCTTGCTCCTCGCACCCCTGGACAAGGTGAGCGACCTGTCTCAATGTCAATGTGGGTAACCATGCCATGTCAGATGGCACGGATAAGTACGACGTCGTTGGGGAATGTAGTCGCCAGTTGAAGAGTCGACCCAGACTAGACGAATCTGGTAGCCTTCGCCTTGTATACGCGACCGGATACACTGCGAGCAGGACGGAGCGGCCGTGTCACGGCTGATACCTCGCCGACGGCATGTCCAGCATGCTGTAAACGTCCTTTTCGAGGTAATCTTAGGCAGGTCTCAAATGCGTTGAGGATTCAAGCTTAAAGATCTCACTCTCCCATGAGCGAGACTGTTCTGGAGTCACAAAAGTGGGCTTATCCTTGCAGCGAATCTAGGAGACAGTGATCTGTGTAATGCAGAAAGCTCAAGTCTTGCGCGTTCCATCAACGGTCAACCAAACATAGCCCGCACTGATGAGCCAATTGTCACGAAGGTCCAGATCCTTGCTGGCTAACAGTACCCTTGCTGATCAAATGAGGGCTGACAATCGGGACAGAGGCCTGGGGAAATCGCGGGGGCTTCCGCCACCTTGGCGAGATAACCCGGCTAACCACGGTGGCGACGTATTGACCAAAACATGCTGCATGGTTGGGGGTTTGTTTGAGGGAGTGGAACTGGGCAGAGCGGAGTGTCACAAAGGTGGTGTTACTGGAAAGCTACAATAGCATAGCCAACCATGGAATGACACCAGTGTCGTTGTGGGCTGCCATTTTGAAAGGGATGTCGATCTATCAGACAGCCCCTCAGCCGGCCTGAATCCCAAAGTTAAGGGTAGCTTCATTGGGAACGCTCGCCAGCTGTACAACGGACGATCTCGCCAAGCGGTTGCGGTTTGATAACTCTGGGGTTTATTCATTGATCTCCTTAGCCCAAAATTCTCGCCAATAGCCCGTGTTACGTCTAGGTTGACTGTGGCTATTCCTTGATCCTGAAAATAACACGCTGCTAGGTTCAGCATCTGCTCGGATGAAATCTATACCTATTAAGATACGTGGGATATTCGAGAGGAATTTAAATTTGAAAGCAGACATATCACCTCAGATGGGCTACATGTAGTAATGAACACGGCCACGTTTTTGAGTCGTATGGTTCAACGCCTTTGAAGTGGTTCTCCTCTGAGGTCTACAAGATCATCGCGGGCCGACGACTCCTTGGCTCAAGCCTCGACCAGCGTGAGGTCATGAGCCTTCCCTCTTTGAAGACTGCCAACAAATGTCTATCAGGCCTGTCCAACACTGTGATGTCTTCCAGTGGATTGGCATTGAGTATAAGAAGATCGGCAATGAATCCGGGGGCAACTCGACCCAACGAGTCCTGGTGCCTCATCATGCGAGCTGCGTTCACAGTGGCGCTCTGCAGGATTTCGAGTGGTGTCTGCACAGCGCTTCTTATGACAAACTCTTTCGTTTGTGCAAAATGCAGTGGCCCGAGAAGATCAGTGCCAAAGCAAATGGTGACGCCGGCTTCTTTCGCGATCTTTATAGAGTCAAGGCCTCTTTCCACAGTGGCCTGAAGCTTCTTTCTTGAATTTTCGCCAACAAACGCATGAAACTCCGGCATAGCTGCTGCAGCGTAGGCCGCCAGGGTCGGAGTCAGAAATGCTCCTTTCTGGGCCATAAGGTCGGCGGTGGCTTTGTCCAGATAGTTGCCATGCTCGATGCCCAAAACGCCATTGTGGATTGCGTGCTGAATAACTCGAGGTGTGTATGCATGTGCGGTTGTGAACGTTCCCGCATTTGAAGTGACGGTTGTGATCGCTCTGATCTCCTCGTCAGTAAAATCGATGTCTTCTAGCGTCGCTCTCGGGCTTGCAACAGCGCCTCCCCCCATGATTTTGATGAAGTCTGCCCCAAGTCGCAACTCCTCTCGGGCGAACTTTAGGCACTCCGGCACACCGTCTACGGTTCGACAACCCAGTTGCCTGGCGCCTCCACAGCAATCACTGTCGTCTCTCCGAGGCCGATGATCACCAGAGCCTCCGGACTGAGTAAGTTGACGGCCAGCGATGAACATACGCGGCCCGGGGTGTATGCCTGCCTCGAACGCTTCCTTGACTGGCAGCAAAGCTCCACCGCAGTCTCTGACTGTCGTAAACCCTCGGTCAATCATTGCTTGCCCGACTTCTGGCTGTCGAAGAAGAAGATCAGGCGCCGGAGACTGAAGAAGCTCCTCAAAATTCATGCTTCCGGGTACGGCCCCCAAATGCACGTGGCAGTCCCAGAGGCCTGGCAAGATGTACTTGCCATCCAGATCGATTTCTTCTACTCCCTCTTGATCGCCCTGCGCCTCAGATACTCGTTCTCCAACAGACACGACCAGGCCACCGCTAAGTTTGACAGCTGCATTGTGTTTAACGCTTCCGTCTAACGGATCGATGACACTTGCGTTGGTGAAGACGTACGTGGTCTGGGAGGGTAGCTTCCAAGGTGTCACGATACTTTCCAAGTCTAGTGGGGCATCATATTCGAGTGCCAACGGGGGCATCTTGCCGTTGAATGAATGCAAATGTCTTGACGAAGAGAAGATGAATAATGATGCGTAGCAATTTATTCAACGCCAGTTCTCCTCGGCAAGTGGCTAGAAGTAGAGATGGCCAAACGTCATAGATGTTAAATCTAGTTGAAGTAGGAACAGACGCAGAAAATATTCCACGATTTTGATCGTGAATTGCAAACCTTCCTGGAGGTTGGTTTTATGACGATCTAGGCTCCCATGAAGTACTCGTTGTGGAGAAGCGTACCTATAGAGAGAACCGTTAGGCAAAGTGGGTCTATTTGAAGCCAAGTGGGGGTTCGTTGTGGACTGCTATTTTGATTTGAGGTCATCTCGGGGGCAGATAACCTCCACTTGCCTGCATTTCCACTTGAGGTTCTGAACAACAGGCTAGATGCCGGCTGACCAGCAAGGATAGTCTGTCAAAGCCATACATGATACATTGTCATTACATGACCAGGTTCAACACCAAAACCTTATCGATGCACTGTCTCTCGATTGTAGCAATGCATATAAAGCACGCCAGCTACCTGCCTCCTGGCCATTTTCCAAAATCATCCCAACCAAGAGAGCAAAAATGTCTTCCGAGATTTGAAATAGAGCAGCACCACAGAAAGATGGTCCATGGAAAGCCATTGAGGTCACATCTGAGGCCGACGTAGTCTCAGATGGCAAATATACTACCGTCGCTGATGCTGACCACGCTGACGTGGGTCTTGACGCATATATGCAAGCATTGGGGCCCGATCCCGAAGATCTCCAGCGCCTGGCAAACAAAGTCTTGTGGAAACTATGCCAATGCATATAACATGCAGAAAGACCTAGGGTTTGTCGGACGGGACTATGCGTGGACAGCCTCTATTGCCGCTCTGGATATGGTCATCGGATCGTACCCCGCCAGTCTCGCAGTCAAAAAGCTCCCAGTTAGGCATACTGGTATCTGGTCTTATCGTGACATGGGGCGCACTGTTCCTGTGTTTGGCTGCTGCGAAGAACTTTGCCACAATATTTGCAATCAAGTTCATCCTCGGGCTCCCGGAAGCTGGTATTGGTCCGGCCTGGGTCATCCTCACTAACATGTTTTGGACTCGCGATGAGCAACCTCTCTGGATGTGCTTTTGGATGGGTAGCGACGGTCTCGCGCAGCTGATCGGCGCAGGCATATCTACAGGTCTCGATCGCGTTGAGAAGGCCACGATCCGACCCTGACAGCTCATCTTTTTGATGAGTTGCATTCCTCTTCTACTTTTTTGTGCTTTACTTGCTAACGCAATTATAGGTCCTTGGAATCATGGCTATCGTCCTGGGTGTTGCGTGCTTTTTCCTGTTGCCGTCCAGTCCAAGCAATGACGCGAGATTTCTCACGAAAGAGGAGTAGATAGTCTGCGTCTGGCGCATCGCTGAAAACCAAACAGGCATCAAGAACGAAAAGTCCCTCAAGTATCAGGCATACAAGGCGTTGTGCGACTTCCGAGTCTGGTGTGTCTCCTTGTTGAACAGTTCTGTATTGGTCCTTGGACTCGCCAATAGATCTCTAACCAGTCACTTTATTGATCTTTGACAAGGCTATGACGTCGCGGCTCTCATAGGGCCGCTTGCAGGTTGAGCTCGGCATCCGGTTCGACCTAACAACCGTCGGGAAGTGACTTGGAGCCTGGAGGCGGCATGAGAATCGGTGCTTTTGGTGGCCGCCGAGCTATAATGGACATTTTCGATCCTCGCACGGGCAGGCTCAGCCATTCGGGGACATTCAACAACAATGTCGTAACAATGGCAGCAGGCGTCACCGGCTGCCGGCTCATGATCAAGGCGAGGATTGAAGGTTTAAATGCCCTGGGCGATCGCCGGGGGGGCAGGATCGCTGAAACTCTCAAGGCTCAGATTGACATTGCAGACGTGCGGTCTCCTAAGGTATTCGTGATTGGCTCTGGGAGTCTCTTTGCTGTTCGATTTTCAGGGCCCGATCACAAGATTCTCTCAAAGTTGCTGTACCATCACCTGCTTGAGAACGGGGTTTACATTGCTTCGAAGGGTTTCCTGGCTCTAACAATTGAGATCACAGAAGAGCACTTCTGGCCTCTATTGGTTGCTGTGGACAGTTTCATAGACAAGTATCATACCTCGGTGGCTTAGCCGAGCGCAATGTTAGCCGATGGCAGCTCAACAGATCAAGCCTGCGCCCGGATGTGCTTGCAAGATTGTACAATCCCCTATGTTCCCATGTAGTTGATCACCATAGATCTTATGTGGAATTGAACTGTATTGAAGATTAAGCTGAGAGACCCACATCACGGGAACTCAAGACACAACGTGCTCTCAAGTGCCGACTCTTGCCAAGTCTAGCTTCCTCTGTTGATTCCCCACATACTTTGTCAAAGAACAAGATGTTGGATATCTCCATGATGAGGCAGTACAAGAGGTAAGGAGAGACTCAAAAGCAAGCGAGAGGTTCTTGGGTAGGTTTAATGCAATAAACACCGCACCTGTATCATATTGCACTTTCATATATTGCTTGCACTGGCTTGTCGTGCAAGATATCTATCCAAGGGAAAGTTTTCAGCTGTCCACGCACTTCAGTCCAGGTACTTGCTTCGCACAACTCGATATTGGCTCGCACCCAAGGCGCCAGCCAAGCAGCGTCAGATGAGGTGAAGACCGAGAAAGAGCCAACGATAAGTAGCCAGAGCAAAATCTGCGGAGGGAACGTGCCCGGCAACTTGAGGTTCAAAAGACAAGTCCGGTATGTGTTGGGGAGGTATGGATGCGGGAGCCTGATGCCTTGCCACGTGAGGAAGATATGTGACGAGAAGGCAAGCAGGCCGAGCCGGATAGCTTCGTCGATAGAGGTCGGGTCGAAGTACTTCATATGGAGGAGGCGATACATTGACGATGCCATAGCGTTTAGCAGGGTTTCCTTGCCTAGTTGGCGCTTGTTTTCGGCAGCCGCGTTGATAATTGAGCAGAATCTTGTCAGGAAGTCCCATGCTTCCGCCAGCTCTGAGTTGATACCTAGCCGAGTCGGGTTCCAATAGTTCGCTGCTGAAGTGTCTGGGGCTTCTACCGTCAGTGGTGCGAGATCATATGGCATTGGTGGCTCAGAGAACGGGTCGTTGAAAAAATAAGGCTCGGTGCCACTATGAAGTGCTATACCTAAATCACATCTGGTGAAGAAGTCAAAATCGGGCCTAACAACAAGAACCAGGAACTTAGCCAAGAGATGTTTAGGAACGCTTACTTCAACAGCTCCATAACTAGCTTGGTGTTGTAGCCAAAAGCCACCAGGCCACCTCTCATATCGGCGATCTTGCGTAGACCCTCCATGTGGTGTTTTGCAGTGTCGTAGTCGTTTGTAAAATGCGCATGCAGGGCTAGATACAACACCACTAGAATTGTTGCATCAGAGACCTTGTCCCCACTATTCGGAACCGAGAGCCTCTCCCTGAGCAAACGGAGCGCCGCAGAATGATGTTCCATTGCCCTTCTCGCGGCGACTGGGGTTTTTTGCGCAGATGAAATGAGAATATAGGCCTGGGATGCGAAGACTGCGGCGTGCACGTAGGCTGCGTCGGAGGTCAAGAGCTCAAACCACGCCGTGTCGATCTTGGTCTTCCTGTGGAAGACGATGCAGCTCTCTAGTGGGTACATGATTTTCTTTGCTGTGAAAGCGACTAAAGTTGTTCGAGCTGGATGTGAGCAATAGGATACTCTGTGTGGGGCAGTGTAAACATGATAGTGGTTGTGAGGGTGAACAGGGCAAAACTTACATTTCAAAATGTCATGAATCAACACTGGCTCCACCGTAGCCGCGAACTGTGTGAAGGAGAGATCGGATCCAACTTTATCGGGGATCATGAAGTGGTGCATTCTGATCACCAGCCCTGGAACTCCGTCTTCATGCTGGCTAGAGTCCTTAGGGTTGCGTAAGGCTGGCCTTTCGAGGGCCTTGACGCTCCGGGGTTTGCCTCGGTTCCTGCCCATCATAACATGCCGCCTGATGAGTTTTCGCTTTGCTGGCTCGACCTTGCCATTGCCGTCGGTAAAGATGAATGCAATCCCTGCTGCTAGTAGTTCCCTGTTAGATGCATGCGCGCTTCTGTCCACTTTGCGTGGGATTGCTTTGGCCTTGGCTAAAGACTTACGAGTTTCCTCAAGAATAGCCATATTTGATGGGTGATCTCAAGCCCAGTCGGTCTAGAGAGTTGGTACTTTGGATATTGCGAAAGTCAATCCACTTCGCCTCCGCTGTAACAGTGTCGGTATGCAGACAGCTCTGCCTGGCGGATAGTCTAGCAAGCTGAGTCCCTATCCTCCATGTCGAGTCTGCAGGCTTCGCATACGAGATGTTTCATCACAAACAGCAGAGCTTCTGCCGGTAAATCTCATCGATTATATTCCTTTTAGGGCTAAAGTATGGGAAACCCCTAGGCTCTAGGACGAGGGTGATGGAAGATGTCGATATTGCTTGAAGCCTGTGACAAGTTGGTCACCCGGTTTCATAATGGCGGAGGCGGACTAGGCTCAAAATGGGATGGCGCTCATGCAAGGACATTGACTGCCAAATTCGGCTAGGTTGTTTTCTAAACGCCTGGATATTTGCGCCCGTAAACCAATTAATGCTGGCAACATGCCTCTCCAAGAGAGCAATAGTATGGCTGTGTATCCCTTGATCTCGACATGAAGATATGGTCAAGGCATGTGCTGCAGGACCAAAATCGCTCTTGTGGATCAAATTTAAAAGATGAGTGCTTGCCAACCATTATAACTTTTCCTTCCTTCCTATTTTTGCTATGATTGCGATACCATCGAATTGAAACGTAGCAGCCATCACATCTCACCATTTGTTCTCCAGACTGACCTCAAATTGCTCATGGCGAGCTCCAAGGAACTCCCTCCCTCCACCGCTTCGTTCCTCAACTTTTTCGTGAAAAACCAGTTCCGTACCAAATATCAATGCACACCTTCTAATACTGATCTTTCTGGCAAGGTCGTCGTCGTGACGGGATCGAACAGTGGTCTGGGTCTGGAATGTGCCAGCCAAATGCTCTCCTTCAAGCCAGCTCGTCTCATCATGGCCGTTCGTTCTCCAACCAAGGGCGAGAGGGCAGCGGCAGATTTGCGACAGCAGGATCCAAACGCTGTCATTAGCGTATGGGAGTTGGACATGACATCGTACGATTCGATTCGAGCGTTTGCAGCACGTGCTGACCATGAGCTGTCTCGCCTCGACATCGCCATCTTGAATGCAGGAATGGGCTTCGGAGGCTTCAAAATCGTCCCTACCACCGGCCATGAAGAGACTTTTCAGGTGAACTACCTTTCAACAATGCTCCTGACCATTCTCTTGCTGCCCGTCTTGAAGAGGAAGACTCCGGCTGGTTCGCCTGGGCGGTTGTCCATTTCTACCGCCATGCTCTCGATCCATGCCAAGTTCGTCAACAAAACCGAGGTCCCTCTCTTACCCTCATTTGACGACAAGAAGTACTTCGACGTCAGAGACATTTACTCAACTTCAAAGTTGCTGGGCCAGTTATTTGTGTGGAAACTCACCGATTTAGTGTCTGCCGACGACGTTGTGGTGAATCTCGTTGAGCCCGGGTTTGTCAAGGGTACAAACCTGCACAGGGACGCATCTGTTGCTGGGCAAGTTTTGATGGGCGCTTTCAAAGCAGCTACTGCTCGTACAGTCGAGGTCGGCGCGTCGACGTATCTCGATGCTTCAATAGTAAAAGGAAAGGAATCACATGGATGTATCCTAATGAACTGGGAGGTTGCACCGTGAGTTTCTTGGCTCTCCGTTCTTGGTCTCTTTGCTGACTGATGCAATCTCACAGATACGCCCCCTTCCAGTACACACCAGAAGGCAAGGTTGTCATGGAGAGACTTTGGGAAGAGACACTGAATGAGTTCAACTTCCTCGATGTTAAAGGTGTCCTCAAATCCCTTTCTTCATGAGAGAACTTTGACGAGAAACCCCAAGCACATGTGAGTTGGTGGGCCGCGACCAAAGGGAAAGTTCTTGTTACTTGAAAGTGGACGGATAGGTGTACAAGACGAAAATGCAGTGTCTAATCAGACAATATATGTATGTATGTACCTAGTTTGGAGCGCTGATTAGACGTCTTTCCACAATATGCCAGTGTCTCCCTTGGTGCCAAGTCGAAGTTACATACGGGCTTCAAAAGGAGCCCTGTACTGGACGCCGACGGGCCGAGCAGTGGCTTCAAAGGCACTCGGAGCCATAGTTAATCATCGACTTACTACATCCTGATTCCTCGTGAGTCTATCTGGCTAAGATTCTTACCTTTGTAGTCGGCTATCCCTGGGAGTGTGCATAGGATAGAGAAGGAGCAAATATTATCCTCCAGTTTCAATGCCCTTCTTTCATGAACCGTATGATATTAAGCCAAGAAAGCTGTCCCTGACCAGTATTTACCAAAGACAGGCATTTTACCCCAGTAAGTATTAGTTCTAGATACTAGATACTAGGTAGCTCCATCCCGCACTGAAATCAAGAAGGCGGGGCATGTATGTGCTCCATCGTATCTTGCATCTCTCAACTCTCATCTCATTTTTCCGTCCCCGACACCCGACCAACTCATGCACACCGTGGTCGGGCCGCATCGGGCATGTCTCTTCTTCGGGATTCTGTCTGCAAGTTTGCCTAAGCAAGGCTGGACCATTTCCGGGCGACGCTTCACAAACACCAGGTGTGATGGACGTCACGGTGCCTCTCAGACAGATTGAATCAAAACATTTTTACGAACACCCGATTTATTATTCCTGGCAGATCTAGATTTATGTGCCCAGGCATTGGTGTTCAGCTTCGCCTCGACGTAAGCGGTGTCTGCTTGAGGCTGGACTTCAGATCAAGGTAGAGCATGGAAACCTCGATTGAAAATCCAGAGGGTATTGAAGATACAGACTTGTTCCCAGTGTGGAACTTCTTAACCCAGAGCGACTACAATGTATCATCTTCGGATCCGACACAAACATCTATTGATCCTATGGAATTGGAGACATTCCCTACCAGTCGAGACAGCAGCTTTTCACCCATTTTCCACGAACTCACTGACCATGACCAATTCTTTTCTGTCTATGCAGGTGGCGACGGCAAGGGTCCGGTAGCTGCTCCACTGCCTAATTTGGATTACCACACTCCTGAGGGCCCTGTTGATGAAATACAGGAGATTTTACTTCATTCAGGTGTGTGTGGGCTTTCCCCCATTCCTTCGATCGATGTTCTCTTTGTGTGGCATGGCTAATGGCCCGAAAGCCGGACTTTCAGCCCTTCGACCAACTTATGAAATGCTGGGGATTGAAGCTGATGTGCCAGCTCATTCTGTGCCTAAGCATGTAAGTCAGTCAGACCGACCTTCTGCAACACGCTGACATGTAAGAGGGACCATGGAAATCTCTGCCAGCAAACCTAGAATTGCAACTTGTCCAGATTTACTTCGAGACCATGCACACCCTTTGCCCGGTTCTGGAAGAACTGCCATTCTATCAGTGGTATCAAGTCCGGGATCGGAAGAAGAATAATAATATTAACCCCTTGAGTAATCTCATATTACGCGTCGTGCTGTTTTCGGCATTTGCACATATCGATCTCGATCAACTGGAGAAGAGCCCTTATTCATCGGTCCCGGAGGGTCAGAAGGCTCTCTTTGAGCAGGTCCACGAACTCTACAACTCATTGCGTGATTCAAGACAAGGCTCTGTTGAACTTGCCCAATGTGCATGTATTCTGAGCCACTGGAGTCCATATGACTCCTCGAGGGAAGTTAACTATTTTTGGGCGGATGAGGCGCTACGACATGCGCTACTCGGGGGCCTGCATCTGTCCATGCGGCCGTACGATCGCATCATTTGGTGGTGCTCTCTTCAAAGGAATCGAACGCTGACATTGGCACTTCGCCGTCCCCACAAGCTGAAACAGTACCGACCCGGTCGACTGCCCACCGTTGGCGACTTCGGAAATCTTTCGGCTCTCAATCCAGATGTGAAGCATGCTCGATTGTACGCTGCGCATCTGGCCATTTCTCTGTGCAACTTGTCCGTCATCATGAATGAAATCGTGCTGCTGAGGCATAACAGTTCGAGATGGGACGACTGGAGAGATCGCGGCGATGATACAGGCTCAATGGAGCCGATTATTGACCGTATTGTTGGGATTGATCGATCGTTAAACGAATGGACGGCCGCATTTGAACGGACTGTCAGCAAGTTCGATGAGACGAGAATTCACAGGAGGACTCGTGTCTCTAGCCATCTGCTCCGCATGATGGTTCAGTAAGTATCCTTTTCCGCCACCAGGTTGCGACTCTCAGAACTCTTGGTAACGAGTGATGTCTAGTGGAACAAGAGCGTCGATGTACGAACAGTACATCGAGAAGATGAAAGGAGGCAGTTCCTTGCAGTGGCTTTTGAATAATGTGGCTGTCAACAAACTCAAAGACACCTCATCAGCGGTCGTGTGTGAGATGAGGAAGCTGTTAGACAATTCCCAGCCTCAGGACGTTCCGTTGAACCTGTGAGGATGATCCTTGGAGCTCCCTCGGCGGAGGTATCAATGCTAATTACCACCTCGTCACAGGGCGGCATGGAGCATGACACCGATCTACGTATTCCTGGCGCAAGTCAAAAGCCCAAACAGAATCCATTCTTCCGGGGCGGCGGCCTCGTTGGAGATTATGTTGCGGCCATTCTCGCCCATGGTTGAACGTTTCGTCGGCGTCAGACATACAACGGGCGTCATTGCTAGTATAGGAAAAGCATACGACAAGGTCATCCAGGGGTGGGATGGAACAGAGTAAGTCTAACGTCATTTTCTTCCCCATTCCTTCGCCTCGTGACTTCCACTTACCGTTTGGCCTGAACAGTCATGAAGCTCTGGAAGTGGAACTTCTCATTCTTGGGCGACGAATTCTGCGAGAAGGACTTGCTTTTGGTGTAACGGTGCAAAGCTGAAATCATTTTCAGCTGCTTTGTTTCTTGGTTTATTCCATATATGTGCAGTGCAAGGATGAAATGTATAGCGATAATGTGTGGCTACGTCCACGGGCATTGACGGCCTCAAGCAGCTTGCAGCCTCGCGCTCCGTAAGTGAGACGATATGATTGGCTGGAGGGGGTAACGAGCTAGCCTCGCCAAAATCTGCGACTGGAATCCAATTAATAATTACATCAATACTTTTTGCCCGGAGACTCGGACGAACCAACTCCCTCCGGTTACAACTTCAAGAAATTCATTCTCCGCCCAAACCCTGACTTCCATTTTATGCTTGCGCTAGCCTACCATGCTTTTATGAATCTTCCTTCTTCCTCCAACTAGTCTCCTGATATTTTTAGCTTTCAAGCTTCGATCGTTGAAAAAGAATGTACCGACCAGCTGCCAGAACGCTGCTGCGGAGCGCAGCTCAGAGCTCCCTTGCACCTGCCCGGACACATGCAGGACGGCGGTTCGCGAGCACAACGCCAGCCGATGGCCGACGGAGTTGGAAGAGCAGTGCTTTGAGATGGGGTATCGCGGTTGCTGGCATCTATTACTACAACACCAGCCCGGTCTTTGCGGAGCAGCCACAGCACAGTGCGTTTGAATGAAAACTGGTCCTGCCATGTCACAGTGCAAGGAAACTGACCCATGCTGTGCTAGATCTCCTTAATCCCAACCTCGAATCTCTCGAAGACTCGGAAGACCAGCAGCTATCGTTAGAATCACTGACCAGCCGGCGCGCACGGGAAGCCGAGAAGAACAAGAACGCCGCTGCCCTGCACTCCGCCGCCGATGTCCTTTCCTCGGAGAATGCCTCGACTACGGTCGTCGGTGAACATGAAGCACCGCTCAGCACGGGCGAACTAGACGGCGCAGCGGGACTCGAGGAAGAGGCGGGGCAACAGGGCGCGTTCAATCCGGAGACGGGCGAGATCAACTGGGACTGTCCGTGCCTGGGTGGCATGGCAGACGGTCCTTGCGGGCCGGAGTTCAAGGAAGCGTTCTCGTGCTTCGTGTTCTCGAACGAAGAGCCCAAGGGCATGGACTGCATCGACAAGTTCCAAAACATGCAGCAGTGCTTCCAGCGACATCCCGAGGTCTACAAGGGCGAGCTGGAGGATGAAGAGCTTGATGCCGAGTTGGAGGGCGAGAGGCAGGAGCTGGTCAAGGAGATTGCCGAGAGGAAGGCGCAGCAGGAGCAGCGAGAGGCTTCTGCAGATGGAATTGGTCAGCGCAGGCTTTTGGAAGAGCCTGCTCCAGCAGTCGCTCAGCCCGCGGCTAAGTCTACGAAGAAGTCGAAGGAGAAGGAGAAGAAGGAGAGTCATGGTGCAAAGCAGGCTGCTGCGCCTGAAGCTCAAACAGCGACAACAGCGCCATCCGAACTTTTGTCAGACAACGAGGTAGCCCATGATGCTCCCTCGGCTACACTCAAGAAAGCAGCGCCGTCATCACAGCCGGCGGCCGACGAGTCGGTTATCTCAGAAGGAGACCTTGTCCCAAAAGCAGCTCATGACGCCAGAGAACAAGTGGGGGTTCCCGAGCACAAGGCCGAGAACTAAGAGGGGGACGATTTCCTTGGTTGTGCATGTAAAGACCACATTTTTGCACTGGGCAATTGCATTTCTCTGGCGGGGGTTTTACCATTGTTGAAGGAGCACGAGAAATATTATTGTATGTACTAACATAGCCCCCAAAAAGAAAAAAAGAGAAGATTCCTTGTAGATTATGACTGGGAAGGGAAGCATTGGCATGAGAAATGCATGGAGCTTTCCAAGAAGAGGGCAAATGTCACTCTGGGACTTGGGAGAGAGAGACAACAAACAACAGGAGAATAAATAAGATCGCTACTACCTACCCACCTACGTTCCATTACTCTTCTCATCGTCCTCGTTCCCAACCCAAATTGCAACGGTCAAGAAGACCGACCTTGGCAATATCATGGGATATAGACAGGACGCGTGACGCGTGACGCGATATTCTCTCGTTCCTGGGCGCGCTGGGGAGTCAGGACAAAACCGTTAGAATCGGGCGCTCGCCGAGTTTGGTGCCACCCGTTTGCCACATTGCACATAGCTCAAAGCCATGCAATTACTCGAACCTACATACCAATTCCACAGGGATGCCGGGTTTGGTTGCTCATCCCCGCTTATCGCACCGGCATCGCGATAGGTTTGGTGCGAACGTACGGAGTACCTTGTATGGAGCATTCGAGTGTTGTGGAAAGCGGGCACGAAAAAGGAATGGATCCGAATTCTTCAGTCCATGATTCTTATGGTTGATTGAAAATTAGATGAGGCCATGTGGTGGATAGGGATATGAAAACAAGCGAACCGACCGGTGGGTGAAGAGGAGCGATGCAGTCTCGGGGCATATCCGATCGGCAAACCGAATGCATGATAGGTGGGCGCCGGGCGCCCAGAGCCCCAGCACTGCAGCATGCATTTAGTGGGGAGGACCGAGGACCCTGGAGGGGTTCTATCGAGCAATCTCCTGGCGACATTGCTTAGCGTTTCTTGGTATTGGCACCAAGTGTCAGCACCAAAATGGTTCAGGGAGAAGAATTTCCCACGCCCCAGCAGATGAGAAGTTGGAGGTTGACGACGGTTGTCATTGACGATTCTGCTCGTGTGAGGAATACCCTGGTACCTAGTAAGGCGTACTGGTAGATTATTATTGTAAGGCTGGCTGAGATTTTGCTGCTGATCTGATCATGAGCATGAGCATGAGCATGAGCATCAATCAGGACCTAGGTATGGAACTCATACACAGAATGCAGACAGGATGTTCATAGTCCTGCATAATGATAGTCACTATGATCGTCCATGGTGATGGAATAATAACGGAATGCGTTTGCATCTTACCAAGCAAAGGTGTGTTTGTCTGAATTCAGCTTAGTAGGGAGACAGGGAGGGGCAAAGGAAGGGCAATTCAGAAAATGAGGCCTCGTTGCCAGTTGGAGACGAGGTTGAAACACTTGGTGAGGTGCTACTAAAACTTAGGGGCGAGCATCCGGGTGAATCAGGGGTGGTTGTCTACGACAGGACGAACTTGAGAAGGGGAGGGGGAAGGGGGAGGGGGAGCGGGGAAGAGGACAGAAGCATGACATATTATTAGTTAGGGAGTGGTGGTTTGGTTTGTGCTGTCAGTAGGATTACAATTGAAGCGAAGATTCAAGAGAGGCGACATAGACGTTGCACAGAGGCACGAGGGCAACCCGACCTTCTGTAGCGGCACGCAGCACCAACAATACTCGTACTCGTAGTGCTAGTAGCCCTATGGTGCATGGCTATGGCGCATGGCGGATTGCTAATGGCCAATGGCTTCTGGCGCGCAAGACGATGAAAATATCCCAGAGCTAACCCGAAGCACTCCAAGCGTGGCAGACGGCCTGCCCCATGGCTCCCGTGCCAGTGGCTGTTTGGTGCCAGTGGCCCAAGCCAGGGGCGCCTCCTTAGTGCCTGCAGGGCCCCTCGGCCACTTGTAGCCACTCCCAGTGCCGCACATCCCAGGTTCCACGTCCAAGGCCTCGGTCGGTGAGTGTGTTTGATCTGCAGCCTACGCCTAACACTGCTAGTCTCCAGACTACCTAGTACCATGTGCAGCCACCACCACCACCCATCATGGCCTGCAGGTTCCAGGTCGAGTGAGTGCCTGTGGTCTGCAGAGTGTCTCTCTCACCTGGTCCACTCATCATCACTCGCCCATCCTCGACTCTCTTTCGCGTCCGGGCTTCTCAGGCCTCTCACTCACTTTCACACCCTCCCTCCCACTCTGCTTCTCTCCACTCACTTCAGGTGAACTGGCGACCCCATACAATTCCGTTACCATTCCTTCCATTCATTTTCATTTCCTCCCTCCGTCCTCTCCCATTATTTCACTCTATCGCCACTATTTCCCTTCGCCTCCTCGTCGTCTTCGTGTCCTCACCTTCGTCTTACGTCGTCGACCTTCCGACGCTCTCGACTTTCCTTACTCCTCGAGCCTCTGGCCCTAATCTCTATACCGCCCAGAGCCACGTCGACGCTCCTCGCCCTATCTCGGTCCGCACCACTTGACTGCTCGATCCGGCCCCTTCCACTTAGCTTTCAGCGCCCAAAAACATAGCTCATAATCGTCTATACTTTTTCATCACTGCAAAAAAGCTCGATCCGATCATTGCCGCGCAATATCTCACCGCTACTACAACTAGAGCAATCACTCACCTTTCTTTGTCTGGCCCTCCCTGTGTTTTCTCCACCCCCGAGCGTTGCAGACCACAGAACGACCACTTTGTACATTCAATCTTGCACCTCTTACGGCTTCATCAGCATCTGCTAGTCCACGCGTCCTTCTCAACTGCCACAGCTGGCTGAATCTTTTGGTACGTTGGGACCTTCACTTCTTCGTTCCGTGTTACCATCGTATGACTTGCAACACTAACGCTGTGGCCAGGCAGACAACAGTCTCGTCGAACCTCGTCTCTTTGAGATCCTTCCTTTTTGCCCTGCAACTCCGTTGATTCCTCCTACATACCACGACACGACTGCGATACTATACGACTTCCCTAATTTTCCTAATCTTCCAGATCATCCTGGTCCCTTCGATTCACGCGTCATCTCCAGGTTAGACGCATTGTTATCAGCTCGCTTGGTCCAAGCGTTCCTTCGCCTTCAACCCACCTTTGGCCCCAAGCCTGCACACTCAGTTCCTTATTTTAGCATCTAGACTACAATGAGCATCGACGCTGGCGGTGTTGCTCAAATGACTTACCAGTCTCCTTTCAACAACTCTATTGGCGTTTCGGGCCCTGGTTTTGCTTCTCGTGGAAAAGGCTCTCATATCAAGCGTCTGAGCGTTGCCCCCCCCCCAAAAATCTCGACCATCGATGAAACCCAACAGGCCAACATCAGCTCCACCCCTCGGACCAGCCGTGGTCATCTTTTGGCTGGCTTGAGGACCGCTCCAAAGTCAGCCACCGTCCCTCCTGCCAATCAGGCTCAGGGTCTCGAAGGCAGCAGGTACGCTGCTGCTCAGGCTGGCCGTCGTGCCCCCCAAACCTCCACTGGCATGTACTTTCCCGGAAATCGGCATTCCATGAGCAGCTTCCAGGGCTACTCTCTTCCTGAAGTTCTTGCACCTCCTGCCATTGATTTCAATAATGGAGTCGACACCATGGATCAACATCTTTATGACGAATTGGTCGCCACCAACAACTATCTTGCCCATCAACAACGTGCCCTGCAACAGCAGCTTCTGAGTGTCACTGCTGCTGCTCAGCAATTCAATGGTCTCAACCTCAACACTGGCATGTTAGGTACTTCCAGCCAACAATTTCAGTCTCCTTCGCCAATCACTTCTCCCATGAGCCTTTACAATCAACAGTTCCAACACGGCCTGCAACCAATCGTCCAACCTGTCCCTGGCAGCCCAGGTGTCTTCTCTGTCTATAATCCCATGACTGGGCAATCGAGCTTTGTCGCTGATCCTGCCCTCCAACAACAGCAAGAGGTCTCCCCTCAAGGACGCAACAAATCTGTTTCTCCTCCTCCAGTCAATCCGACATATCAACGTCAATACTCGGATGCCTCCAACCCTTTGACAGAGTCACGCTCAAGGACTCCCCCAAAGTCAACACCCTCTCCTCAACAGGAAGTTGTGCCTTTGCCACCCCCATCGGCCAACGCTTTTCGTCGAGGCCACAGGAAGAATATGTCCTCTGCCAACATCAAGACTACAGGCGAATGGACCAAAGGCTCAGCACTGAGGTCTGGAAACGTTCCTCCAACTCCAATGACGGGAACATTTGGACCAGGACAAGCTCGAGCAGGAGAACATCCAGTTAGACAGCCCAAAGGACCTCCACTTTTGCAAGAGCTGGAAGAAAAGCCCACCTCCAAACACGAGGGCAGCAAGAATTTCGCTACTCGTCAGCGACGTCGTGCTGTTCATGACTTGGTTCGTGCTGGCCGTGACCGTCGCAGCGATGGTCGTCAATCTGGCTCTGGAGCCGGTACTCCCGGAAGTGAGAACGACTTTAACTTTTCCGTCTCATCCGACAATGATTCCAGCTTGGCCGGTAGCACCAGTTTGTCTAGCAGACCCAGTCTCGGTAGTCTACGGGCTGTTGCCAGTGGTGCCATCGGCTCTGAGATCAAGGAGAAGTCTCGAGAACGGTCGTCTATCGACAGCGTTGGAGCCAAAAGCCTCAGCGGCGATGAAGCTAACGCTATTGGTGGACCATTTGTTGAGGTTGAGCCTGCGAGACGCAACACCCCTCTTCTCGTTCTCAGTAGCGCCGAGAAACGCAAGAGCTTTGTTATGTGAAGGAGATATCACGCATCGGGCAGTGCCCATTTATTGAGTTCTCTTGGAAGACTCAGCCATTCATTTCATCACGATTTGATGACCCCCCCAAAAGACTGGATTGCATGGTATGCTCCAGTCCAGCCCTGACGAAAAACAAACTCGATGGGAACCACGGGAATATTCTTTAATGGATCATTCCATCGATTACTATTGCACTGTTTCCTTAACTTTTACTTCCTTCTTGCTTTTAGACATACAACACTCCTTTCATGTACAGACTCGGCACATCTGGATTCATGGGCAGAAATGCCAGTATTTCTGGAGTGTTGGTCTTGTACATGGTTATGCTTTTTGCTATTACCTGTGCTTGAGATGGAATATGATGCCTTGATGGATGGAACGGTCGGCAATCAATTAATCAATCAATGAATGTTGGATTCTTGTTCCATGTGCTGAACTGGCAAGCAGCTGGTACTTTCATTGGTGATGAAGAATCGACCGATGGAGGCAGCACAAGGGAATGGTGTGGCATCATGAGGATGTGTGTCGACTCAATTACTAGTTTATAGCACAATCGATATGGAGTGAAATTCATTGAAAGTACGAAAACTCTAGTGACATCCTAAATGTAGTTCGGTCAACGGCATTGACTTATACAACCGAGTGCTTGTAGTGTTGCTTGGTAGTCGATTTTCTCCGTTCAACTATCTGCGTAAGGACTGCATACAGGGCGAGGTTAGTCCGACATAGGTGAGATTAGCTTAAGTATCACCGCTTGGGTGGCAAGTACTCGCACTACACCTAGATATTGTACACATACATGTACTTCTCATGGCATGAAGGCACTCCGTGAAGGATCGGGGGACGAGCTAACTAATTACACAACAGATCTTGAGTGTCTGACGGTTTTTGGTGGATTGACTTCATTCTTTACTACTTCTGGTAATGGATAATAGTAAATTCTTTCCTTTCGTTCGACATTCAACAACATGCATGCAGGCATAATCCCAAAATACGATCCTTTGCTGGCACACGAGCGTCCCTCCGTTCCCGCTCGCACACACATACACACAGCGCACCGGGTATTTCGCACCCACCGCCCCAGTAGAGCCAACATCCACATTGGACGGCCGATGATGACACCAACCCCGTCTAACTGTTCAAATACCTCGCAACGGCACCGCGTAACTTCCTGCCTCCCTCGCCAGCAACGTTGATGAGATTCTCCAGATCGTCGCCCGCCGTCAAGCCCATGCGACGCACAAAATCCTTCGCGGCCGTCTCGATGTCGCCGTAGTCGCCGCCCTCGAGGCCCGTCATGTCGTCCTCCGGCCGCCCGAAGTATGCGTTGGATGAGATCGACGTCGCGCCGTCGAAGCCCTGCAGGCGCGTCTTGGCTTCTGCTTGTGCGTTCGGGTCGAATGCGTTACGCCCGAAGAATTCGTCCGATGAGATGCCTTTCTGTGTGCCGAACTTTTCTCGTGCATATTTCTCGTCGTCGTCTGAAACGTGAAAGGGGGGGGGGTTAATGTCAAATGGGCCTTTTCAGGAGAAAGAGAGGACACAATTGCTTACCTTCCACCGCAGCCTTGCTGGCGCCGACGCTTCCAAACCCGAGTTTCCTGGGGGCTGGGGCAGTCGAAGCCGCAGCCTTGTTTGCCCCAATTTGCCCAAATCCTAATCTCGCAACTCCCATTCCCAGTCGCTCGACTTCACTTGGACTTCGAGTATGCGTGGGGTTGGACCCAACGCCAGCTTTAGGAGGAGCAATGGGAGACGGGGCTTCCTTGGTGACCAGGTTTGTAGAGCGAGTCTTTGCTAGCTCCTCTGCCTTCTCGGCCTCTGGATCATACCCTAGTTTGGCTATCCGCTCGGCTTCTGCTTTGGCGGCTTTCTCCGCGGCTTCGAAGTCGATCTCGTCACCGACGACTTTCTTTGCCCCCAGTTTTTGGTTTTTCTTCGCGCCTAGCACATTGGTGCGTTTAGCGGTTGCAGCAGATGGTCCTTTGCGGATGGCAGAAGCGGATGTGGAACGGATTGCGGTGGGCGCCGGGAGAGATTTCTCAGCATCGTCGGCAGCCGCGGCGAGGGGCGAAGGAGATTTGGGTCTTGCAGCGCCATTGGCATTGCCGGCAGATAGGAATGGAGAGGCAGTTCGGGAGACGACCGGAGGAGTGCCGGAGCGAGATGGAGGATTACTAGGCCTTTTGATGGTCGGTTTGTCCCAAGAGGAGAAGAAGTCGTCACCAGGTTCGCCAGCAGGGGTCGACGTTCCTTCTCCTAGGGTAGGGAGGGCTTCGTCAGTGATGACCACTTGCTCAGGGTATCTAGTTTATCGGGTGAGCAATTGTACGGAGAATTGGGTTGCAGTATGGACTTACTCCTCGGCATCTCTTGCGGCCCTGCGCTTGAGCTCCTCCTTGTATTTATTCGCGGCGTTGGAGGTATATTTCACCTTGGCATCTTTACTGGCAAGGGCAGCACTGCCACCGTTGGATTGGAAGAACTTGGTCGCAGACTCATTGCCTCCGACCTTCATCGTGCGTAGTTGGGTCCATTGCCAGACTGAACCTGTCAGCAGTGAACAGATTCAAGGAAATAGGTTATTGCCGCATACCATCGAGATTGGTGGATCTCACAAAGGAGATGTGGACACCGAGATTTCTGTGGTTGGAGGAGCAATCAAGACAGAGATAAACACCGAAGGGGACAGAAGACCAAGTTGGGTTCTTCTGGCCGCAGTCAAAACATATCTGTGGAACACAAGTGTCAGTGAAAGTGGGAGTCTTCAAGGCAGCGAAGACGAGGCTACCTTATTGGCAGGTTTGGATTTCAGCTTCTCGAAGATCTTCTGCGACTGCGCTTTCGTGGCAGCCATCGTGGCGATGGTGGTGGTGGGTGAGTGGCAGTGGAGGGATGGCGGAGGAAGAAGGGGAGGACAAGAAGAAAGACCAGAACGCGGATTTCCACAACAATTGAAGGCCAGCGGGTGGGTAGATGTGGGTGTGAGCATGTGCCAAAAGTGGTCCAGTCCCTCCTTGTAACTTGTTAACGAGATGGGATTCCCTTGTCTGTCCTCTGACACAGACGCTATTCCCGATACGATCTCAGCCTTGCACAGCCTCGTCATTTTACGCGATACCACGTGATTGGTACCAAATAGCTGGCTCGGACGCGTTCCTCGTCTCCCATCGTAACTAAAACTATGCCATATGCAGCGTTCTATCTTAATTGTACTGTCCGCCGTCTCAATGCTATTGACGCCTCTCGAGGTTTGGTCTTTGTGATGAACGCACAGAGCCTGTTCAGATGAAGGTCGATTTGTACCATGCATGCTCACTGTCTCGAATCTGGATCAACGCGTCACCCATGTAGGTCTTCACACAAAAAGTATGCCCAATGCCGAGTGTCACTGATTCATGTGACTGTCTTCACTCTCGCACCATCTCTCTACATTCTACTAATACTTGCCGATCTATTTTCCTTTACACCTACAACCAACACACTCGGTAATTTGGCCGTGACTTTCAGATCAGACACTTCCATGTCAATCTCTTTCTAGACGCATCATCTCGCCAATATGCCTTCACTCAAGGACCTCGTCTGTGTGGTCCAGTGGGCTAACACTCGCTCTCCTTTCCCTGAATACGGCACTCGGTACGGCGATGGCGTCGTGGAGACCTACATTGCCATTCCTAGTCACCCCCAAGCTTTCACCATCAGGCTCACCTCTAGGAAGTTTATATCTGAGGGCCTATCTATGGTCGTCTTCATCGACGGGAATTACCAGTGCAACCGCAACAGAGTCAATCTGCGACCAACCAAGAAAAACAACCACTCAGATCGATCTGAGGTCGACTTCATCGTGAGACAGAAAGAAAAACCTATGGGAGACGGCGCATACCTCGGTCGCGAATGGCGTTTTGACGATCACAACATTGGTTTGCTGACTCTTGATTCATGAGTTCACCCTTAAGCTAACATTCGCTCAATAGTTCCCGACCTCCCACGCGGTGTCAATCAGAGTCACTTTGACGAACTCGGCACTATTGAAGTTCTAGTCCTGAGATGCCATACCCACAACCCCACTGAGAGCCAGATGTCAGCCTCTTCATCCGGCGAAGACAGTCTCATCTATTCTGGTGACGTAAACACTTTCAACGAGGAGGAAAATGACTTTGATCCGAATCATGAGTATTCCAAAGTCAACCAGGAATTTGAGCCCGAAGAAGGCGGCCTCGGGGCGATGTTCGGGCTTTTTGATGGACCGTCTGACTATCCTCCTGGTTACTATGGCCATCATGTCACTCCCCCCTCCAATGGATACCACCAGTCTTGTGATTGGCAACCTCCAAGCGGTGAGTATGAGCGTCGGCGACCGCAAAGACCACTTGGACCACCCTATCCACCTGAACAAGGCTCCTCTCATCCCCATTACTACCGATCGGATCCGCAGCCTCTCAACCAGCACCACCAGCACTTCTTTATCCGTGAACGTCCTCCATCCCACACATATCCCACCTATGGACAGAGTAAGCCAGAGCGAAGGGTTCACTTTGATTATGGAGATATCGAAACCCAAAATGGGCATCACCGTGAAAGACATGATCATATTGCACTACATTCTGATCGGCCGGCATGGAGAGGTAACCCAGATTATTTCCATAATCGAGCGGGCCCCGGGTACCAAGATCCAGAGCCACATCCTCGAGGGCCGCATCCATATGAGGACTATGCACCTCCTCCCCCCAGCAGCCATTATGCCTACGATGCAGACAATCGTGTCTACCTCCCATACGCTGATCAAAGCCACGCGTATGGCAACCATCACCAGGCAGGCCACCACTCTATTCAACCGTTTGGCCAGCAGTCTACAGTTGGTCATCAATGCCCGGGCCCTGCTAATTTCCCAATCACGCCAGTTCCTTGGGTAGCTGGTCAGCCACAATTCTCTACTCAATCTGTCCCTGTAGTGCTTCCTCCAAATTTAGTTCCAGTTCCACGTCCAGTGACAGGAATGCCAATCTACTCAGCACCAGGCGCGGCCGCCTTCTTTCATTTACAACCTCCTGCCAACGTATCAAACATGATACCGCAACCCGTACCGGCCCCTTTCGCTGCCCCGCAAATCGGCCGGGAAAATGCTATGCAACAAACCACGAATGGTCGCACCTCTTTTAGTGGCGCAAACAATAATCCATCAGCGGGAGGTGGGGACTTTGCTACTGGAAATAACACTACTTCAAATGCCAACAATGGCGCGGGTGGTACTCATGATTGGAACATTAATACTGATAATGTGGCCGGATGCGACACTTGGGACAGGAACACCGGCAACACCACCACTGATTCAGGGGCTAATTGGAACAACAATACCGGAAATACTGCTACTAATGAAAACGGTGATTGGAATAATAATAACGACACACAGAATAACAATTCAAGTGGCTGGGATAATAGCAACGACGTGATGCAAAACAACAATGATTCCAATGGCGATGGCTGGGGCGATACCAATCAAAGCAATGATAAAGTTCAACCCGACAACTGGAACACCGATCAAACCAACAACACAAATGGCGACTGGAATAGTGACCGGAACAACAACGCAAATGGTGATTGGAATAATGATCAGACCAACAACGCAAACGACAACACGGACAATACCCCAACACCAGCGACTTCTGGTAAACGATCTTTGTATGGGCCACATGGTGCTTACTACACTTCCAAAGTGTTTGCAGACACGGAAGCTCCGGCCGATGCCGAAGAGGAACCACGATATGATGTACCACAGGCCATTGCGCAGGGCCGGGGAACGTCAAAACAGGTCCAACCGGGGAAGGGGTACCTTTACAACAAGAAAAGATGTGCCCCAAGATACATCGACACCATGGATGAGCCTTATGCGAGATTTGTTTTCAAATACCGTACGAAGGAGCAAATCAAGAACGAAACTGGTATTGAGGTTGCTGCTGAACCAACCGACAATGCAGATGTCAATGCATTGGAGCAGCTAGACAAAAACGAATTAATTCAAATGGTGATCCGAGCTAAAGGTGCCCTGGGTGGAGAGATACCAGCTCCATTGCCAAAAGATGCGGCAGCAAAGACCCCGACGCCTTCTTTTGAGCAAGTTCCTGTTGAACCTCCAGAGACTGCGTTTCTCAAGTACAGCCTGCCACCGGCTCGAGTGGTCTCATTTCAGGGTTTGGGCATCAAAAATTCCCCGAACGACAATTCGAACAGTCAACAAAAGAATTCGTGGGACAATACACAACAGGCCTCTGGTGATCAAAACTGGGGTTCTAGTGGGAATAACAACAACACAGGCGGAGACGACTGGAACAATGGCAATAGTGGTGGTGCACCAGGGTGGAGCGATAACGTCCAGCAAAATAACAATGCGCCGTCTGGAGTTGGCGCGGGTTGGGATGGTCAACAAGAAAAGAATACCAGCAATACCAATAAAGGCAAGAGGGGCAGTGTAGACACCCAGAACCAGGGCTCGGGAACGATGGGAAGTTCTCAGCAGCAGCAGAATAACTCACGACGTAGCTCCGCCATCAGCCCGAAAAACAACATCAGTGCCAACAACAACACAGCGGCAGGTGACCCTGAACTCACCAAATACCTAGCAGAAGCCACCAGAATTGGAGGCCCATCTGGTCCGAACCCGAACTGGGCCACTCCAGCAGGACCTCAGCAATCCCGGCAGAACCAAACCCCGCAGCCGCAGCCGCAACCCTCCAGCGGCGGAATACAAACGATCGGGACGGGATTCGTGGGCGGTGGAGGAGCAACAACGACGTCTCTCAACTACCACAAGAAGCCACCGACTCCAGAACTCAAACCGTGCAGTCCCGCCACGGTCGACAACGGCGAATGGCCCGTGGGACCGCCTGCGCCGGACCAGACAGCGTTTGGAGCTGGAGCTGGAGCTGGAGCTGGCGTCGCAGGGTTCATGCCTTCAGCGCAAGCTGCCGCACCAAGTGGAGGCTGGTGAGAAAAAGGAATAGGTCGGACGGACGAGAAGAAGATCTGTGTGAGGGGAACCGGTGGAAATGGAAAACCGTGGCCCATGGCTCCTTGTCACTAACTAGAGCCTGGTCCTTCCGATGTCTCTTGGGAAGGCGTGCTCTCACATGTATCCCAATGATTAAGATTGGCGGCAGAGTTGCATTCCTGCTCAAAAGGAAAGGGGACTATAATTTAGATCCACTGCTTTTTCTCGAGCCCGGGTTGAGCTGTGTGTTTGGGCTTGCATCTGTGCTACGCCTAGAGGGCAGCTGGCGATCGATATCCAGAATGCTCCTTCATAGAGTGGAATGGAATGGATGCTAGTGAAACGCAAAATTCGGGCTTGAAGAGGTGAAACAAGTAAGAATGTGATAATATGATCCACAAGACCATATGACGGTTTCCCTGAGAGGTAATTATCTTATCTATCCCCCTTTCCCATGACTCTCCCAAGCCATATGAGACATCGACTTCTTCCACTTGCAAATCCCAACATCATTTTGGTCCCTTTCCGTTCTCTCCCCCAGCGTCCCCTCTAATCACCAACGACAAAGCCACTACCCAGCAGGATCGCCGGCTCCTCGATATTATGGTGCTCGTAACTCAACGTCCCAACACCCCCCGCATCCATAATCAACGCCGTCTCCGTAAGCGGCTTGCCAACCCAACGCATTGCAAACGCCCTCAGAATATGGCCATGGCCGACGACCATGACGTCGCCCGTGACGCCCGGCTGCTTCGGCTTGCCGATGACAGGGCCGTGGTATTTCTCACGGATCTCGGCGATCAGCTTGTCCACGCGCGAGATGATATCCTCGGGGCTCTCGCCGCCGGGACACCCGTCGCGCCAGATGTCCCAGGGACCGAGACCCTGAGATTTGCGGAGCGCGCGGATCTCGGCGGATGTGATGCCCTCGTAGTCGCCATAGTCCCATTCAGCGATGTGGGGTGTGATGGTTACGGGGGCGCTTGTGTGGTATGGTGAGGGTTCTTCTGCGGTGGATTTGTCCTTGTCGGCGACGGTTTGCCATGGGTAGGGCTCATGGCAGCCTAGGTTGAGCAGCTCGAGGGTTCTTTGTGCGCGCTGGCGTGGGGATACGTAGCTGTTGGATGTCCCATTAGGTTCTGGTCAACTCGGAGTGCTCCCTTTGTTTTTGGGCTTGCCTTTGCGTGGGGGAGGGGGTGGACGCGAGGGCTAGGAAATAAAGGCAGAAAGTCAAGGTGAATTGCATCCCTTCACCTCGTGGATGGAACAGTCATCTCGCCTCATGCTTCCTCCAATTATACATTGACATCATCCTCAGTCATCGTCCCGGAGATCTCAATTCCAGAAAGCGAAGATGAAAGCAGGAAGGAGGCAAGAACACCTACATGTGAACCAACTGGCTAGGTACGATCAATCTGTCTGGGCCAACAAGGGCACGCCCAGTGGCTCGGACTCGCTTCTCGCCATTCTTCGTCAACGGGATGTCGCTCGTGCCTGTGTGTCGTCCGTTCAGCGACCACTCAGTCTCGCCGTGCCGAACGATGAAGCATCGTGGTGTCGTCATTGTCGATGCCCTTTTCCGCAGGTTACTGCTAGGGATTCAATCGTTCGTATGTCAATGCCCCACGTGTTTGGGAGTTGGATGCTCGGTGTGTCGAGTTTGAAAGGATACTTGTGACTAGGAAGGCAGGGGTGGGCAGATGGGCGAGAACGATGAAGGGAGGCGCGAAGATAGATGGGATCAATATGAGTATATAATGAAAATGTAGGAGACAAGCAGGCAACAACGTGTCTTTTGGATGGAGATTTCTGGAATGGAGAAGGTCAAAATCGAACGGCGTTATTCTCCAACATCGGTTGATGATATGTTACGTTAGATGACCTTGTCTGAAATCCCTTAAAGTTGTTGGGTAGTCATCAAAATAATGTTTACTGGAGCAAGCTATTTTCCGCTTTTAGACAAGTGTACTTCGAACACATTGACGTATAACCGGCTGGGTTGGGGCCCATACACGTTGATGACAGAGCCGGGAGGGGCAAAGCCAGAGAGAGGGGCCGAAGCATGGCGTATTTGGATGAGGTGATTGAGTGATGGGGACCTGTGAGAAACGATGCTAAGGCGTCAATAATGGTATGATTACGAAAGTGGGTGGGAACCTAATAATCAATGGTCCATTGCATCAGGATGAGCAAATTAAATCTTGTACGTACAGCTGTAGCCTTGGTTACCGAGCGCTCAATGCCAGGCCCTGACTACTCGATACTGAAGACCTCCGCCCAATACTACATTTATCGCCAGGATCATCCCCTTGTGGCGGCTCAACAATGTCCTATCTGACAGCAGGACGCTTCACCAATTCAAGGCACTTGAACACTAGGGAAAATACGCCCAACACCTTTCGTGATGCATCATAGAGTAGCTCTCTCCTATACGACAGCTAGTCGACATTTGACGTCCTCAGACATGCTACTCTCTCTCCTCCTGCCCAGTCTGTTCCAAAAGAAAGAAAGCGAGGGTGGTGATTATCTACAAAGACCGAACTCGGAGTCCCATGAAACCATTTCGTTTCTGTTCATCCCCTTCCCGATACCAACCATCGCCAGGAAAACTCCTTTTCGCTAATGCATCAATGCAGCCCAGGGAAAGAAAAATCGTCGGCTCTGAGCGTCCATCCAGTCTCTGCGTCATTACCCAAAAATGGCTGAGTTTTGTCCTTTGATTGTCTCTCCATCTCACTCTTGAATCAACATCGGGATCATGCCCGTCTCCATGCTCTCCAACGTCTCATCTCCCGAAGAGCCTAGCTCTTCTAGATCCTCGACTCCCACGGTGATTTCCGCACGCATGTTTTTCGTACCTTTCTCCGGCTTGGGTTTTCGAGCCCAGCCCACCAGCATTTTCCACCCGGATCCATGCTCTCTCCCTTCCTCGATCACTTCGTCCACACCTTCGAGCCAGCGGGATTGTTCTCGTCCCGATTCTGATCGAACTTTGACCAGCCACTCTTCCCACAGCCATGCACCTAGTAATCCTGTCAGGTCAGCTACATCCTCTGTGGTCCCCACAGGACCCTGCACTGCTTCGACGTCCATGTACTGTTTGACAATCTTGCTGATGGTCGAAACCTCGCTTATTGGTCGAGGTGCTGGGACGAACGGCTTCGCCCCTTGCCGCCAGGTCTGCCAACCGCCAGTGTAGCCATGGACATGTTCTTCAGCCTCGGCGACTGGCTTCCTGCCCATAGGCATGAACATCCATGCTCGTTTGACTCCGATGAAGCCTTCTTTCTTCAGCCTTCGCAGCCAGCTTCGAGCTGCTTCCCTCTCGTAGCCGCGGCGGTGGAGTTCAAACCCGAATTCAACGCTCATGGCTTCTCCCCTCGGACCGGCATGTGCAATGGTAGAGTCCATGATCATATAGTCTATGTAACCACCTGGTTTGAGCACTCTCATGCATTCACGAAGTGTCATCTCCCACTCGTCGATCTCAGGCACTCCGGGAACGGGATTGTTCTTCAAGAGCACGTGTAGCGAGCGAGCAGAGATGACATCAAAGTGTCCGCTGCGGAATGGTAACTGCCATAGATGAGGAACAGAAACAGTTCGATGATTGGGTGGGGCTTCAGGCTTCGGATACCCAGCTGGACGTTGAGACTGTGCCTGCTGTTTGGTAACCACAGTGTAGACTTTGACATTGGGCCATTCGCACGCGGCATTCCATGCCCATGACGCAGAAGATGTTCCCCCAATGTCCAGGATACGTATCCGTTTGCTTCCCACGCAACTAGGGTCATTTAGTGGGATCGTGGCCTTGCTCTTCAGTCGCTGGCACGCCGCCTGTGATGCCAAAAGGCGACCATGGTACAATGCTCTCAACGCATCGACCTGCCAATTGCATGCCTCAAGAGACTTCAATGCTGCTTGTTGACGCTCAAGTGTCTTGAAGGCAATCTGCTCGGCAGTACGCTCGAATACACCAGTTTGTCGTGGGTTCTGACTAAAAGGGCCGGCATACTTGGGTCGTTTAGGCTCGATCATCGCATGCTGCCCGAGGAGATTTGTCATATGTTGCTCTGGTAATGCGATACGGGCGAGATGGATAGCCTCTAGCCGAGGTGTTGCATGCATAAATGCATCTCTCCGTTTGCGATTTGCCATTAGATGTTCGAAAGCTTCAAGGAAGATAGGTTCCTTGGCCTCCGGCTCACTTTCTGGGCTATCCTTGTTGTCTCCGTCGATGACAACCGCTACATCAAGCTTGGGATTGTTGAGAAATTGCACCGTTCGGCGAGCGACAATGCCTGCGTCATCTTTGGTCGATAAATGAGCCTCGTTTTGAGCTTCCAAGTCCGATTCTTCACCGAGTAGGGCTGATATATAACCTGTCTGAGCTGCCAGCCAAGATCCAGTTCGGTCCAAGTACAGACCTGCCGATTGCTTAAGATCAGCGCCATAATTTTCATCGTACTCGAAGCTCTTGCAGAGGTCTTCTTTGGCGGTCATGTCAACTATTCCTGAGCCGTATAGGTCGTCATCTTCTGATTGTAAGCTGCGTCGTCTGCTAGATGTAGTCCCGTCTGACAAATTGAAGTTGGCTTGGCGAGCGGTGGGAGGTCCTTCTGTTATGTTGGTGTCCGCCACTGTAAGAACAGTTTCGACCACGTTACTTGAGCTTGAACTCTCCCAGGGACGATTGTAAAATAGTTCGGCGGTGGCTGTACTTGGAACACTAGGTCCCTTTGGCTTACTGAGACACCAGGTATGACGCGAGCCATTCTGTAGAGAGGAAAAGAAGCCTCCCGGAGAGGGTATACTAAGCTGAGAAAAGCTGTAGTCTGACACTGGTGTTACACCGTCTGCACTACGGGGTCGGCTGATAGTCCCAGGCTCGGATAGTTCTCGCATCTCCTGTCCTCTTCCTGATCTCTTGGAAGGACGGGAGCCTCCCGAGGAAGGATTGGAAACTTCGTCAGGGCTTCTTTGTCTTGATATTTGATGTAGAGTCTGCAAAGCTTCTGGTGGCAGCCTTACACCTAGATCGGAACCATTAGAAGCCGGCTTCTCTTCGAATGTCTTCAATTCTTCAATGGTGGGCATCAGTGGTGACATGTCCTGCGGGGTTGCTCCGGGGACTTGTGGGAAGCTCACAACCATATCTGTCCAGTCGACTGGAGATCGAAACATGGACAATCCGCCAGCAGAATGAGCATCGGCTGGTGACAGGAGCACGCTTTGTCCATCACCGAGTGCAATTTCTAGGGGTTGCCGTTCAATTGCTCTAGCTGCGACGTGGCCCCAGCTTTGTCCTTCCGCCGAATGCAAGTTCCTCATGTCTGGTGTTACAGGACCGCTCTGGCCAGATATGCAAGGAGATTCCGAGGTTGTACTGTTGCTGTCACCCAAAGAAGGTGGTGCGTTGAACTCCGGGACAGCTCTTGACAGGGCGGACAAGACTGTCGGTGAGAGTCGGATTTTGGTGGCGGGTGACATGCCCATAGTGATCTCTTTTATAGGACTGTCCATGGAGGAATCCCATGAGCCAGAAGGAATCAATAATGCTGGATAGCGGTTGCGGCTGGATCTATTGCTAACCAAACTATTCCTGCTTGATTCGGTTGCGAAGCTTGTCGGATCGCTTGCGAGAGAAGGACAGTCATCACTGAACACGGTTCCAGATTCACTACCACTATATGAGCTCCTGATAGATTGCCGTTGGATGCCCTCGCCAGCACTGCTGGATGGAGAAGGATCGCATGAAGAGATTGGGGAAGGAGGATAGGTCGTTGTTGCTAATGAGCTTTTGCGAGGAGCAGCCGTGAATAGCTTTGGGTCCCACTCCGCCGGACGACCGATGATGGTCGTATCGCTTCCGTCACCCTCGCTGTCACTCTTGACTGATTGATGCGGGTCCTCCTTCTCTTCCAGAATAGTATTAAGGTGCCGACCGCGGCCCAGCCGGGGTGGTTGTTGATAAACAGTTGGCAGTAGTGTACTCATGCCTGCAAGGTCCAGCCTTTGCTAGATATTAGATATGGTCGACAGGCTCGGTTTTAGGCTCTCTGCTCATCAATTGCCGGCTCAGCCGAATGTGAGGAAGGATCTAGGGAATCAGTATTAATAGTGATATACGTTGCTGGTCAACAGCCAACGTCAGAGGGCAGAGACAAGAATCAATGAACGAGGGAAAGCTGAAAGCGGCCAGCAGCTACAGCGGCGATGATCTGAAGATGGAAGGATGGGAAAGATGGGATGGAGTGACATGGAAGAGGCTAAAGGTAATGAGACTGGGTGTAGGAAGACAGAGACATCGAAGCGAAGCGCCGTGAGGACAAACATTGGCGCTCATTAAGAGCCGGTGCTTAATTGAGCGTTTCTGGAATGTCACGCACTCTCTGACCATTTCAGAAAGATACAGGCCAGCGCAACCTCGATTGGCCGGTAGAATGGTGAAGAAGTCTTAGCATGTAAGATATTCGCGACCTACTGGTCGGCGATGCAAAGTAAACCAATACGGTGAGCTATCGAAATGCGACCAGCGAGACGCGCAGCAGAAAGTGGAATGGAATGGCTCCGGATTTCGATAGCGGCATGAGGGCATCGACGTGTTGGCAGGACGTTAGAGGGAGATAGAAGGAACAAGGAAAATGAGTGGTAGAAGAAGATGTGGGAATGGTGGGGACGTTGGGATATGATTGGCACGTGTTTGCCCTAGTGGGTCTTGGCGGGCGCTTACACACAGACATCCCCCAGAAGCGTTGATCCAGACACCAATCCCGTACGCTTCTATTTCTGGCAACATTCCCTTCATCCAATCTTTGCCCTGCATTGGCTGTTCTTCCTGAACTGGTCAACTCATTAAACTAGATCCCAACGGAGCACGAAGGGCCGATTACTAGCTACAGCCTACGGAGTACAGAATGCCCGTTAAATTTATCATTCGATCTGTCCGGCTTTCTCAAGATGTAGGATTACGTCGTTGCCTGAGGCCGAACAACCCAAAGATCAATAAGACAATTCTAGGATGAGGCTGGCTGGAATTGGGCTACAGTTGGCACTTTACGATGTTCAGGTTAACCTAGACTGGACGATCATTCCTCATCGTTTGATGATCCTGTGATCGGTAACGTCTGTCTCCCTATCAGTTATGGCGTTACGCCTCACGGGAATTGCTCTTGCGCAAGGGTAAAGATGGAGACTATGCAATGTTTGATCACGCTCGTAGACTCGCCTCGAATGTAATCCGTTTCCACTGCTCCGTAGTGGCTTTTCTTTAAGCATTCATATATTAGTTTCGGTCATCATAGATGGTGATCAGTCGTTCAATCATCTCATCACCCAGTTTATCACCGAATACCAAAGGGAGGGGAGCCCACAGTGTTCACTCCTTACAACTGCCCGCCAATGTTAAGGAGGCGGCCGATCCAGCGGTATTCGCGTCCTAATCCTACCCGGGCCTCAATCGATGTCGATCCTGCCCAATTAACTTGCTGGCAAGTTAATATACCAAGATAAGGAAAGAGTAAAATTCGTGCTCGCTGGCCAGGTATTCAGTTCGCAGGCTCGTTGGACAGTCGCACGTGAGGCACAACTCAAAGACAAATGGTACAACTGACTCCGCTGGACTGGGCAAGACCAGAATCTAGTACGGTGGCTCATCCCACTCTCCAGCTATCCGATAATCCAATGCCTCTTTAAGGGAAATTTCAGCATCAGACCATCCTGCAGTTCTGAGGATCTTCCGTATAATTGGATTCTTTCTCTGCCCATAATCAACCCCATCAAGGGCCGAATGGGCCAGTTGTAGCTTGACTTGACCATATTCTTCTTTCAAAGCTTCATGCTCAGGCAAGCGAAGTGTATCCCGAAGAGAGAGATGACAGCGCACAACGAGTTGTCCGTCAGGGTCATCCTCCCGGATGATGTAGATGCTCTGGTCCTGCAAAGGATGGCGCACGTGAGGCTTCAGGCTGATGCGACCCCTAATTCCTCCATCTCCATAGCACTTGTAATGCCCTTCTGGGCTTGGTTCGTGGATGAGTGCCTCCTTGGCCTTGTCTGCATTTTCAGCATCCGGAACAGTGATGATAATATCGATATTTGGTTTCGCTGGAAGGCCCGGTACAGCAGTGCTCCCAACATGTTCGAGCAGCTCGTAGGTGACTGCACATTTCTCGAGATACTGTTTCAGCTTTTCCGAAATTCCTTCGAACAGAAGTGGCCAAGCAGGATCATAAGCAACAACGGTTACTGTAGAGAGCGATGGTGTAGCCATTTGACCTGCTATTGACACGTGATAGAAGAAGCCGTGAGGAGAAGATCTGGTGCGATAGCGTACTAGTTCTTGAGAGACAAATGTGGAGTCAAACATTCTTAGTGGAAAAGCAGTCTAAGGACACGGTAAAGCGAAGTGAAGCAGTTCAGTATGAGACAAACAATCCAAAGAACATCAATGTCGCCATCTGCGGTCGAGGCGTCTGCACTCGGAATCATTCACAAAAGCATAGCAATCATGTGCCGATAGTGTTCATGCTTGTCCAACTTCTACCAGGATTCGAACCAAAATTAGGGGGTCCCGCTGTCTCAATGCGCGTCTTCTTACTGTGGCATTGATGTCCATCTATCTTAATAGCAACATGAGGGATGTAAGCCCTTTTCGTAGGTGCCAATTGGAAATCTTTGGGAGTTGGACGTACACAATTCTCCACTTGCGCGGAGTGAAAGATGTTAGATGTTCAACGGACACTGTGTTCGGAAGGGATAGTCTGGGGCCATCCCGTGAATCCACAAAGCTTGCCCAACTCACAGTGCACCCAGGCAAGTCGCTTCAGTGTCATAGCCTTCCAGAGTGTTATTGTGAATCTGGTCCTGCTTGTCGACCCAAAAAACTTGACTTAGAAAACTCCTTGCCAATGGCCGGAATTTGAGATATTCCGCTCCGATATCATGGCTGCCAGCCTTGTCCAGCAGTCTACGTTACAGTCCCTGTCCTGCCTGTGTGTAGGTTGGCTCTCTCTCATCATTGCATTCATGTACACATTACGAGACATAGTATTGTTACCTGAGGAATTCCTTGAGCATTTCTACCCTCTCAGAGCTTCACGAGCAATCCCCCAGCAAGGGTGGGGCGCCGGTACTACTCTTCCTCGTCTCGTTGTTCTCCGAGTCCCAAATGCCAACCCTTGTTGAGGTCAGCAATTGTACATGTGGTCGCAGGCGCTCAATCTATAATAATATATGAAACAATTCAGTTTCGACCATCGTGAAAGGCGGGATTGTGGTGAGAGAGACACAGGCAAGTCTCGTGAGGATAACAATTGGCTAGTCCTACCATCGTACAACAACTATGATAGTTTCGTCTGAAAGGTCTCCTTTATGGAGCAGCTAAACTCAAGTCTTCAGTCTCGATATAGCCAGCGGAATTTGAGGTACTGCTGCGAACCCAGTACCAGGAGAAAACCCTGGATTGCTGGTGCCGTTGAATCCACAATGTATCCAACGGCAGTGAGTATATCGCACTTGTCTTTGAGCGGTCCCCTTAAGACCCATACATGGGAGCATGTCCAGTTCCACTTCGTCTTATGTGGTTGGTTCCCCTTGAATAGCGTATGATGACGCTGGGCGGTGACCGATTAGCGTCCTAGCAAGCTGCTGGATGCATAGGTTAGTCTGCATAGTCTGCACGCACTGATCTGTCGTTATCCTTGATGTGACTGCAAGATACTAGGTTGGGCAAGCTTTCCCTGTAGACGGGCATCACTACGGCCAGCATGATGCTTCGGTATACACCCCACTCTTTTAGAGGCCATAAATGAGACAAGCCGTCGCAATTTAGGCTCAAATCCAATGTTTCGGCAGTAAAGCTTCTACTTACTACCTAATCAGCAATCCGGGACACTGACGGGAATATTCAACGGCACGCTAGTGGCTAGTCCGCTTAGACTGGTCTCCTTGAACTCATCTTTCATACCCTTCGCAGTGAGACGCATTGCGCGGATCGCATCATCCAGCGTAACCTTCTGCAAACCAGGGACACTGTTCAGAGCCAAATTGGCGCTCGAGACAGCCTTAATGGCACCCAGTGCGTTACGCTCAATACACGGTGCCTGGACCAGGCCGGCGACAGGATCGCACGTCAGGCCAAGATTGTGCTCGATGCCGATCTCGGCAGCCTGCTCAATCGTCTCAGGCCCGGCTCCCATGCAAGCTGCATACGCGCCGGCGGCCATGGAACACGCGACTCCTACCTCAGCCATGCAGCCACCTTCCGCGGCGGAGATGGTCGCGCCACGTTTGAAGAGTGAGGCGATGGAAGCGGCGGTGAGTAGGAAAATGGGGATGTCTCGTTCCGGGTCATCGCTGACGAAGTCCACAACATATTTGAGCACCGCTGGGATGATGCCTGCCGCTCCATTGGTTGGGGCTGTGACGACGCGACCGCCAGCTGCGTTGGTCTCGTTCACTGCTATGGCATAGACCGTGAGGTAGTCCATTGCCGGAAGCGAGACACTACGGACTGGGGAGATTGATATGGGGTGAACGAGTGAGCCAGTCAACCTCGGTGGCGGCCGTCGCTGTCGCATAGCTGCTGCACGCCTCAGAGATGGAGCTCGATTATTCGACTCAGTGTTCCCTGTAATGGTCAACGGACCCTTGTCTTGGGGCGACGAAGGGGCCTGGAGTTGTGGTGAAGAAGCTGTCGGCTGTACTTGAGTGTGTTCTGGATACAGGCCTCGCGTGAGTTGTTGGTACAGAGCTGGCGCACGTCTTCGCAGTTTCAGTGATCCAGGCAGAGCAGCGTGTGAGGGTGCTTGCACACCTTCTCGGATGCAGTTGTCCATAACATCCCAGAGGTGATAGAGCTGATCAAAGATTTCGTGCTCCTCCCGACCAAGACCTTTTTCATTCTCGAACATCAACTGTGCAATGGTCAGATTATGCCGCTTGCATAACGCTAGAAGCTCGGTGGCATTGCGAAACCGGTAAGGGGCATGGCGGGCCCCGCTCGTGACTGGATTTGCATGCTCAATCTCTAGGTTTTTCGACCCAGCCTCTGGTAAGAGTGGTTGCTGTGCTTGCTCGAATGAGGTGCCTTTAGACCTAAAGTCGTAGTCGGAGCCTGTTCTGCGCTCCTCCGCTGCATCGGACCGTTTGATTTCCTTGTAGAAAAGATTCTCTGCCAGGTCAACAGGGTGATGATCCGAGACCGCGTCATTAACCAGTTGTGCGGGTTCGTCTTCTGGTCTTGTATGTTCTTGCTGCAAGTGGGTTTCTGGGGGAGTTTGAGGCGGAGCTAAAGACATCTTTCCGTTCACAACAAAACCACCACCGACACTGAAAAGGTCGTTGGTTGCTAGCATGTCTCCATTCTCATCGAACACTCTGAAGCGCATGCCGTTGCTATGCAACGGGAGCTTGCGGCTCCACTCCCAGATAAAGTCGCGGCCGTAATCAAAGTCGATCTCGCGGGCGTCGACTGATCCCCGACCCGCTAGAAGTAATCTCTTGCTTTGCTTGATTTCCGCAAAGCGCTTGGGAACGTATGCTGTATCGACCGATTCCACATCTGCTCCCTCGAGGCCAAGAAGCAGGGCGCTGGGCGTCATGTGACCCTCCCCAGTGAGAGCGAGGCTTCCATAAATAGATACGCGGATTCGAGTAACCTTGTGCAGTAAACCGGCATCTATCAAATCTGTGACAAAGATTTTTCCGGCACGCATTGGGCCAACAGTATGTGACGAAGATGGGCCAATCCCAACAGAGAAAAGGTCGAAAGCAGATATAATGGCATGTTCTTGATCTCCTTCTGAGGGATCATCCGGCTTATCATCTTCGCCTTCAGTACTTGAGGATGAAGACTTCGCAGTAGTACTCAAATCTCGGAGCCCACGGCTACAACATAGTCCCGCAATGAAGGGAGCTGTTTGAGGACGGACGTGTCGTCCAATTCCCCTGGCGCAACTAACATATTGGGACGCTGCGAAACGTGCTGAGTTGTGGGCAGGGCGACGAGCAGATCTTGTAAGTCTCCCCAACAGCGCAGCGGTATGTAATCGTTGAGCCATTAAAGTGAACTACAAATAAAATTTGACACAGATCAGCTTGTTTATCAAATATTTTGTTGTCCAAATAGCACTCATGTTTCCCTATAATTTGCACTAGTCTCAAGTGGGAAATGTAATCCTTTAGCCTTGCCGTGATTGGCTTAATTAGTCAAGCATTGCAAAACACATGCTGAGCGCACGGGATCGACGGAATAATTTGAAGACGTCGTGCATGAGCTCTACATTGGGAGGGTAGTAATATCTGTGGTTTCGTTTGCTACTACCGCTAAATTGGCAGAGATATTTGAGAAAAGTCCCGCCGTGAGGCCTCCATTCTTGACTTACAGCTACATGTGAAGAATAAAATCATCACAATGGACAAGATTTCTAGTGGACTTGGCGGAAATGCAGGCTTTGGGACACGAAGACCTCTGTGAGGTTTCCCGTACCTAAGGTGGGGATTGCGGCGTGATATGATGAAGGGCACAGGGGCCGTCAAATATCCGAAGTGCTTAATACTTTTACCTTCAGTGAGAGCCCCAGCGTAACCAAGACTATCAGAGGCTCAATACACCGAGGTTCGACGTAAAGACCCAAAATGCTTCTCTCGTATAGTGGGCAGAGGATTCCCGATGAGACACGCTAATGATCGGCAAGGTAGAGAAGTGAATGATGGAGAGACGGAGTAAGAGGCAGAGCCATGTCGAGGGACCAAAAAGCAATCGAAATGCTAGGACCGTTCGTGAACGTTCAATAGCTCGTTGGTGACAACGGATCAATCAAGCTTGGCCAGCGCGTGGTTCCATGAAACCCGGCGTTTCATCTCCAATCTAAATGATTGGCCATGGTAGGTAGGTGTTTGTTCAAATATTATATCCCATGATCACCTTCGGTGCATTGATTGGAGGAGTGAGAGAGCACACTTGGAACGGTGAAACCACAGGAACAACTCGATCTGTGCGACATGAGCACGTCTCTCTTCTGATCAATCAATTATAGCTGAGGCTAGAAAGGACAGACACCAGCAATCAATAACGGAGGCCATTTCATCACCGCGCGTAGATGTTGAACATGGTGGGTAGAGTGCAAAGCGCATGCAAGGTCGAGAATCATAGCCACCTCTCACTTTGCATGCAAGGACTTGAACTCCTCCTCCTCCGACCCAGTACAGTGTACAATTCGTGAACGACTGCTCGCGGAGGATCAGCCTGTCCATGGAATGCCACACCTGTGTGGCGTGAGAAATGTTGAGATCCACGGTGATAACGAATCTCAAGAGGAAATGTTCTAGAATATCGGATGGCTGCGAAGGAAATTAATTCTGGAGACTCGCTGATGAGGAACAGGTTGGGACAGTGTTGGCGATGAAAGGAAGATTCCTGATTAGTGGGATGAATTAGGGTGTTTCTATGTCGGTGAATAATTAATCCGGGCCGCCTACAATTTCCCCAAATTCTCCCAATCCTTCGCTTTCTCGATTTTGTCTGCCCCGTCCTCTCCATGAACCTTACCCGCCATGTCACCTCAACAGGGATCAAGTAGGCGATGAGAGGCTTTTTGCTGCTCAAACGCCCCTCACTCCACTACTGTTGGAGGCTTCAACCCTGCAATGATTTTGGGAGGGAGCCACCAACCGAATGATGGATATCAATACCCTGAAATCCAGGTGGTCCCATGAGGGTTCAAGAGCGACACGAGCCAAGAGCAGCACTGCATTGCTTGAAGCAAAATTAGCGGCGCTGGGCCACCGCTAGCCAGAGGCAAATGAAGCTTGGTGAAAGCTCGGCTTCCATGACGATATTGCTGTTGGCCGTCCCGCAACTTTCTTCGAATGTGATCGCCCAGATTTGATCGCTTGTCCTGACTCGCATTGGACTTTGTTGGTCGTACGAGTAAGACTGCGGAGTGACTTTCTAATAGGTGGACTGTCAATGAAGAGCAAGCCACATTACTGACTAGATGCCTGCCGTTGTCCCTTACCCATGAGTGCCAGAGGTAGGATGACGTTTTCGTCCATTGCAGCCGAGTCCTCCTGTCCCTCAATCAGGCATTGTTGGCATGGACTTGTGCCTGCAATCAGCAATGCCTGCATGAGCATCATCCAAGTCGTCATGCAGTCAGGCTTTTCCCCTTTTGGAACCTACAGTTGAGAGCCACTTGCCGCGTTCCATTTGTTTGGTGCTACGAGTACTCCGTACAAGAACCTGACAAGCACTTCTAAGCTCATGCAAGGGTTTTGGTGTGGCAACATGGTTTGATTGGACTCATGCTGCTCCAAACTCAATCATATGGCTTTGCAAGAAACACTGAGACCCACGAGCTCGCAAAGGAGGGGGCATGCAGCTGTCGGTCCTGTCTTTCCCACTTAGCCCTGCGACTGCAATAGGCTCGACGACTCACCTCAAGGTCAAGGAAAATGGGTATATATGTACCTCTCCTCCTGTGGTCGACAATTGTAGAATTCTCGCCAGGATCGAGAATACAATTCTATGCCCTGTTCCATCGACCTGTCACCTTGCTCACCGGATAGTTCGAGATACATAGTCTAAGCAAAATGGTGGGATTCTTCAAAAAGCCTGCTGATGTCCCAGGCTCAGCAGCCCCAGCCATTATCATTGGTGAGTATGTCTATTCTTCACATCAGGTGCACTGCTAACTATGCCAAAGGCGCATTTGTTGCCTTTGGTGGTGTGCTTTTTGGGTATGATACTGGCACAATCGGAGGTATCTTGGCCATGAAGTTAGTAATTCAAGACATCCATCGGCTGTTGGCTGACAGATCCCACCGTGAAGATACTGGCGTAACTTGTTCTCGACTGGCTACATTAATCCAAAAGATGGTCTGAAAGATGTGGACGCAAATCAAACCTCCGAAATCGTCTCAATTCTCTCTGCTGGCACCTTCTTTGGTGCATTATTGAGTGCTCCAGTTGCCGATATGATTGGCCGTCGTTGGGCTATGATTTTTCACACCGTGGTATTCACTTTTGGTGTTATTCTCCAAACCATCGCCACCGCGATCCCTCTTTTCGTTGCTGGCAGATTCTTTGCTGGGCTGGGTGTCGGTCTCCTGAGTGCAAATATACCTCTATATCAATCGGAGACTGCTCCAAAGTGGATTCGAGGTGCTATTGTTGGCTGCTACCAATGGGCCATTACAATTGGCTTGCTAATCGCGGCCATCGTGCTAAACGCCACGAAGGATCGAAATGACACTGGAAGCTACCGTATTCCGGTTGCTGTACAATTCGCGTGGGCAATCATCCTTGTCGTGGGAATGCTCATCCTTCCTGAGTGAGTTCTTCTTTGTGTAGCCCAGCGAGCGAAATACATTATTCAGATATGAGAAAGCGGGAAGCGAGCATTGAAACATCCCAATTTTGGTACTGGTACTAATTTATTAACCAATACAGAACGCCCCGTTACCTCATCAAAAAGGACCGTCATGCGGATGCAGCCAAGTCATTGTCCCGTCTTCGACGACTCCCTATCGACCATCCTGCTCTGGTGGAAGAACTTGCGGAAATTCAAGCGAACCATCAATATGAAATGGCACTAGGTACAGCATCGTATTTTACTCTCCTCAAGTCTCCAATTCGGAAGAGACTCTTTACTGGAATGGCGCTGCAAGCTCTTCAGCAATTAACAGGTGTCAATTTCATCTTTTATTATGGAACAGTATGCGTAATACTTTCATTTGGGGCCAAACCGGACTAACTTTGCACTTCAGACTTACTTTAAAAGTGCAGGGATCAACAACCCTTTTACGACGAGCGTCATCACTTGTGTTGTCAATATTTGCAGTACCGTCCCTGGCTTGTTTCTCGTGGAGCGATGGGGCCGACGTCCTCTTTTGATGTTTGGTGCTATCGGTATGAGTATTTCCCAACTCATTGTTGCAAGTGTTGGCACGGCCCGACCGGGCGAGCCGGCTGCTAGTAACGCACTGATCGCATTTGTTTGTATTTACATCTTCTTCTTTGCATGCAGCTGGGTAGGTTGTCCTCGTCTTCTCATAGTACTTACTGACCATGACCAGGGACCATGTGCTTGGGTTGTTACTGGTATGCATTAAGTCTTGACACCTATCACCAAGACTTATAACTGATTTTCTGAAGGCGAGATCTTCCCGCTCAAGGCAAGAGCTAAGGGATTGTCGATCACCACGGCTTCCAACTGGTTGCTCAACTGGGCTATCGCTTATGCCACCCCATATATGGTAGGCTTCCTCTCCTTTCTCAGATGGGCACAGTGTAGCCTTCCACTATGCCTAGTTCCATTTTTACTGACTCCAAGCAGGTCAATCCAGGCCCTGGCAATGCGTAAGCAAACCTCCATGCCTCAATGTAGTTTCCAATACTCACCTGACGATAGCAATCTTGGTTCCAAGGTCTTCTTCCTCTGGGGAGGGTACGTGAAACAATTTGAAAAATCTTTTACTGCCAGGCTGACGATGAATAGATTCTGTTGCGTATGCGTCGCTTTTGTCTACTTCTACATCTATGAGACCAAAGGTCTCTCTCTTGAGCAAGTTGATGAGCTGTATGCCAAGGTATCGCACGCTCGTAATTCACCAGGTTTCGTACCTACCGTCAACTTCGTGGATGTGAAGACGGAAGTCAGTTCTGGAGGGGCTCGAAGAGCTACCCTGGCCGAGCTGGAACAATCTGCCGTCCGCCGCAAGAGCTCTGCTGGTGTTCATCACGAATACTCCGAGAAGTTGTGAGCAATTCACCCAAGCCTCGAAGGTTCGGCTTTCTGAGGAAGGGATCGACAATGCCAAATGCGGGCTTCGTCGGAGTCGTAGAGATCCCCGTGATCAGGTGAAGATGGCCTTGCAGAGGCCAGCGGGGTCAATCATTTGGATGGGGAAGTCTTTCGGGATATCGCCCATCTTTTGGAAGTGGGAGAGAATATGTTGATGAGTGGTGGGTTGTTACAAGAAATGGAAGCCGTCTTCCATCTTGCTTCCAACACCACTTTGCGATTGTCACTCGTTTACCTTGTACTATATGCATTGTTGCTCAGTCATTCCATACTATGAAAGCTCGTCTGGTTGCATGTTCCGACCTGGTGTTGCAATGGACACAGCAGCCTCAGGATGCCAAATGCTTGATCCTATGTGCTTGAGTTGTTGTGAACGCTCCTGGGTCCGATACATATGTATCGATGGCTAGGAGTGAAGAACCCGGAGATGAATAAAACTCGATTCAGCTGCCCTCGATTTGTATTACACCCACTCACGTTTGCCACGAGGGCAGGTAATCGAGCGATGCTGGACAGGTGAAAGTTGGGGTGCGGGGCACTTGAGCCTGGACGAGGCTGAGTTTCAATATGTATCATGTTGCCAAGCCGACATCCACGTTGCACCTGCAGTGAAGCCTTCAACCCCGGCGTACTTGAGTTTCTACCTGCACTCCGTGCATGGCAAGGACCCTACGAAGGTACGGACAACAGAGTGAAGTGAATCCCCCTTGACAGTTCATAGCCGAGCTCGCAATGACATCTCTTCCTCCTTTTATTTAGAACAGCGTCCAACAAATTCCTTTGCGGCCTTGGAATTTCCGGAGTACAGCCTTAGGCTTGCCACTTCCCCAGACCAGGTTTGCTTTCTTTCCAAATCGACCACCGCGTTCCTTTCTCGATGATATTTGAGACACATTATGTCTTCCAGCTCCGATGAGAACGAAAGCTGGTCGGACACTTCCTCTGAGGATGAGGATGCTGGATTCTCGCCCTTCCAGTCACGTGCCTATCAGATTGAGATGTTTGAGAAGAGCATGCGAGGCAATATCATAGCAGTGGTAAGAGGAGTACAATCATGCCTCTATGCAGTGAGACTAACCCGATTTCAGATGGCTACTGGTAGTGGCAAGACTCAAATGCGAGTTCCAGCCTTCCCCATTTCCTGATATCGAGCCTCCAAAAGCCGATGAAAGAGACTGACCACTTTTTCGACTACCAGTGCAAAACTCCGCATAGAAGCAGAGCTACAGCGCACTGTTGGAAAAGTCAGTGCCGGCATATTGAGAAATGGAAAGGAATTGGACTGACTAAGGGAAAATTTAGCGAATTTGGTTCATGGCTCCCAGCGTTGTCCTTGCCTACCAGCAACATTTGTTCTTGTCACAGCAATTACCTGCAGCACAAATCAAACTGATTACCGGTATGAACAGCCCAGAGTACTGGAAAAGCCAACAAATTTGGGACAAGGCACTCCTCAATATCGACGTTGTCGTCTGCACTCCTCAGATACTCTTGGACGCGCTTGACTATGGATTTGTCTCTTTTCGAGAGACTTCTCTCATCGTCGTTGATGAAGCCCACCACTGCTTTGGAGATCATTCCCTAAATCTGATCATGAAGAATCATTATCATACATTGCCAGACGGTGACTCTTTCTGGTCGAGACCGGCAATCCTGGGACTATCCGCCAGCCCAGTGACCAGAAAGAGCGTGGCCGAACTTCAGAGACTTGAGGAAAATCTTGGAGCCAGATGCGTGGCTCCAACCAAACAGTTGGGAGAATATACAGCATTCGCGAACGCCCCGAAATTGCAGGTTGTAACTTATTCGGACAGTCCATGTCGTTCCTTCCCAATTCTTTCCGCACTCACAAGCATCGTGAATCAGCTGGAGATCGATGATGACCCCTTTGTGCAAAAGCTACGCTCTAAAAGTGGTTTACAGAGTCAAGAGAAATTGAAAAAGATCATTACAAAGAACAAAACTCCCGCCATGGAAGAGCTGTTTAGATTTCAGAGATCAGCTGTCGATCTCAACGATAGTCTGGGCCCATGGGCAGCCAGAGCCTACATTACCACCTGTCTTCAAAAAGTCCAAACGACGTATTCGGAAGCTCTGCAATCACCCACTAGCTCCGATGGCGACTCTATTCCATATCTTCGCCGCACTCTTGAGCCACTGTTCGGAATGATGGTACAGACCTTCTCAGACCCTCCTGGTGCTGGTGACTGCTCAGCGAAGGTTGATGCGTTGATCAGCCTCTTAATTGACGAACACCAGCCAGCGACACGGGCCTTGATTTTCACTAAAACGAAATATGCAGCATGGGCTCTTACGAAGCTTCTTCACACTCATATTCAGATACAGGACTATCGTCCATTCTCTTTCGTCGGCTGTTCTAATCCCTCCCATCAAAGTATCTTCGATTTTTCACAACCCGTTGTTCAAATCCAAGCTCTTGACGCCTTTCGCCGTGGTGAACTCAATCTTTGTATTGCAACTTCGGTTATGGAGGAAGGAATTGATGTTCCCGCAATGAATCTAGTCATATGCTTTGACGAACCCTCTAACCTTCGAAGCTTTGTTCAGAGCAGAGGCAGGGCACGGCACCAAGAATCCAAGTTTATCATGTTTCGTCATATGCAGGACGCTGATACTAAACTTGTAAAATGGCACACGGTAGAAGAAGAAATGAATCTTGCTTGTGCTGAGGAACGGCATGAACTGGAAGAGCGAAGAGCTAGAGAGAATCACGAAGAAGTTGGAGGTGAGGTATTCCGTGTCCATTCCACGGGGTGAGTATCACCTCTCGAGAGCCTCCAGCAAACGAACTTACAAGGACCAGTGCCACCTTGACTTACGAAAACTCCCAACAACGGCTCCAACGCTTTTCCGCCATTATCTCCCGGCGCATCGAGCCTGGAATGGCAACTCCGCTATACGTATTGAGTGAATCATCAAATACTGATGTGCGTGCTACAGTGCACCTGCCAAATACGCTTGGCCCAGCCTTGCGGGTCTTCCAGTCAAAATTTGCCTGGAGAACCGAGAGAATGGCAAAACGAGACGCAGCATTTCAAGCATACAAATTTCTCTACGAGTCAGGGCTCGTTACGGACAACCTTATCCCCGCGGATCTTTCTGAAAAGGATTGTCTCCTGCAACACGAAGACCGAAACATCGAGAAACGAGATAGCGTGTATTCAATTCCACCACAGTACGACCCATGGCCAGAGGTGACGGAGCTTCTGGCAACGAATGAGACTTTATATTCCCATGCAATTCAAACAACATCTCCCAGCAACGATTTTCCTGCCATGTCATTACTCCTTCCAATGAAGCTTGATCGATGCTCCTTCTTGTTACATGAATCGTTCTCAGAACAGATCAACATATCTATCAGTTCGGGTGTGGAAGTTTCCAAATCTTCGCTTGAGATATCACGAAAAATCAGCTTCCACTTGCTGAGCACTATTCTTGGTAGACGAATGCGAGGAGCAAAGATAGACCAGGTCCCATTGGTTGTAATTCCAAATATCCCTCCTGAAATGCTCCAAACCTGGTATGAACAGTATTCTGGAAGTCGTCCATTCGTCGAGCGCATGTCGAACGGCGATGAGCATACGCGAGAGCTCTTACTGAAAGTTGCTACCAGGAACATCCCTTACGTCTTTCGTCCCCATGTATTTGAGGAAGCCACGGGAGATGACGACAGGCCAACGGTCCGTGCAACAAAGCTGTCCAGAAGACTTGACTACTTGTCACCACAAAATGCCGTTCATGGAACTGGGGTGGCAGCTCAAGAATCATTTCTACCTGCCGACTGCCACGTGCTAAGCCTTCCCGCATCATACGGTCAATTCATGCTGCTTGTACCCTCGATGACCCATATATTTGAGATCTTCCTTCGCGCTGCGGAAGCATCTAAAGGGCCATTGTCGCCGTTGGCATTAAAGAGCACGAATCTCGTTTCCGAAGCACTGACCATGTCTGCAGTTAGCACTGTGAACTATCAGCGCCTAGAGTTTCTCGGAGATGAATTACTCAAGTTTTACGTTTCAACCCAGGTATTTGTGGACTATCCCAATCATCCCGAAGGCCTCCTCACCCTGCACACTGGCCGTATCGTGGCAAATTCTCGCCTACAACGAGCGGCAAGAACACTTGGCCTAGACAGATTCCTCACAAGGGTGAAATTCTCCGGACAAGACTGGACGGCAGGAGCACGTCCTGACCAGATCCAACAGGACAGGCCGGCACCGAAGCAGTACCTCTCGTCAAAAGTACTTGCTGATGTGATCGAGGCTCTCATTGGAGCAGCATATATTGACTCCGAAACGCAGGCCAAGGCTCAAGAAAAGGTGATCAACGCGATGAAACTGTTCGTTGGCGAGGTTAACTGGAGAACCCCGGCGGAAAACATTGCGAATTTGCCAGTAGTCAAACCCTCCGACGCAATCGCTGGGCAGAAATTGCAACCTGTCGAAGGCATGATCGGTTACAGTTTCAAGCAGCCTCACCTGCTAACCGAAGCGCTTACTCACTCCAGTTACGACCGTGGCATCTCGTCATACGATCGACTTGAATTCCTAGGGGATGCAGTGCTGGACCACATCGTGAAGATCAGACTATATCACAATTCTGAACTACTTAGTCCAGATGAGATGACTCTGCGACGTCATGCCCTAGTCAGCCATGCCGCATTATCGTTCTTCGTGCTCCAGGCTTCACATTCCTCAACTACTACCACTGTCGAGACAGACCTCAAGACTAAACATGTTACAGAAGGGGAATCAAAGCGCACAATTTACCTATCAGACTACATCCATCTAATCGACAATCGAGACTTGTACCAAGCTCGAGAGAAAACCCTCACCAAGTGGAAAGAGGTGCAACCCAGCATATTGGAAGCATTCTTATGCGGAAAGGAGTTCCCATGGGCGAAATTACTGAGTTTGGATGCGCCAAAGTGCTATTCAGACATCATCGAGTCTATTGTCGGCGCGGTCTTTGTTGATTCCGGAGCAAGCCTCGAAGCTTGCGAGCAGGTACTGGAGAAGCTTGGATACATGAAACTAGTAAATCGGATCACAAGCGCCAGACTGGGTGAGGTCTATGCAATACATCCTGAGGCGGCTTTGAGCAAGATGGCAACCAATATTCAGTACGTCTCTGAGAAAAGAGCAAATTCAGGCTGGAGGTGTAAAATCATGATCGATGACAAGCGCATCGCCTACGCCACCCAAGCAACGTGCAAGGACGAAGCTCACTGCAGAGCCGCCCGGCGTGCAGTGAGAGCTTTGGAGGCAAACAAGAAGAGGAAGACAGGCGCTGTTGAGTCTCCAACCGGTGGCGGCGAGATGGCTCTTGAGCGTAAGATGCTCGACTAGGATGGAATCGTTGTGTCGTAAAAGTGCCTTGCTCCTGATGAGATTCTTTCGGAGTTGGGGCTGGGTCATATTGGATATGAGATCACGAATTCCGGGTTACGTGCCACGAAATTAATGCAGATTTTTCCATGGGAGGAAAAAATCCGTGGAACAATATATGCCTCACTTGGTAGTCCGAAGACGACTCCTATGTAGAAAGATCATGACCATCTCTCATAGATCGATTTCCCTGCGGAGGTCAGCGGCAGCGGGCTGATTATTGAGTTTTGACTCCTTTTTTTCATATCATTCTTGCTTAGGAACTTCGATTCACGAAGTGTGCTCTGCAACAATATCTTTTACGGGATTTTCCTTCCCACGTCTCACATCAATCAACAGACACCCCCGAGTGAAACGCCTGGCTTTGCAATAATGACAACATCCGTGTCCCCATGCGCTGAAGGAGGCTGCATCACGCTCCCAACGCCTTGATTCATTCAACCTCCTCCCCTCCCCCGGGGTAACCCCTTCTCATTTTGCACCATGATTTCCTGATAGCGATGAATTCAACGACTAGTCGCACCGTACCGAGAACTCAAGAGGACAAGGACAATGCAATACATTCATCCCCTGAATGCTCCTCCGATCTCTGTGTCTGGATCTTCTGATTCGGCTTCATGACGCATGCCTCACTCAAAAGTCCATGCCCACAAGAAACCCCTCAAAGATGCGCATGAATTTCGCAACGAACGCCTCAAGATGGAAGATGACCTTACTGCCCAAACGGATACGATGCTCGTAGAAGCTGGCCCAGCGGACGATCTCCGGCTTGAGGGTGTCGTCCACCTCGGGCCTGTCAACAAGTTTCCAGCACAGCGTCTTGAGCACCATCGTGGCGGGGATGCAGTGAGTGAGGAGGTCGTAGAGCTTCGCGCGCGTCTGCAAGATCATCTCCGGGTTGCGCTGCCGCACGATGTCGGCGGCGATCTGCTCAATCAGCGTTTCCCAGTCGGGCGGCGGGATGGGCGTTTTCTCGCTGGGCTCTGGGTGCTGAGCGTAGACGGCCTCGAACATGAGCAGAGCCTTGCGCAGATTCCGGCCGGATTCGCGCGCGATGCGTTCGTTGAGCGCCGGGATGGCCTTCCAGTTTTCCTTTTTCGCGGCTTTGGCCAGTGCGTCGCTGATCTCGGCTTCCGAGGGCGCGGCCACGCGCATGAGCAGTGTTCTCGAGCGGATCGGCGCGATGATCCCTGCCGTGCTGTTGGCCACGAGGATCAGGCGGACGTTGTTGCTGTATTTCTCCATGGTGCGCCGGAGCGCCGCCTGCGCGTCGCGGGACAGGCTGTCTGCTTCGTTGATCACCACAACCTTGAAGCGTTGCTTTGCCGTCAGGTCGACCTGCTGTGTCTGCGCCACCTCCTTGAGAAGATCTTGGATCACGACCCGGTCGTAGTTGCCGACGTCACTTGGTGTGATTTCGAGGTGGTAGACTGAAGACACGATGTTGAATTCGACTTTGCGGTTTGAGGAGGTCGTGAACATGCGGGCGTCGATTTTGATTTTCTCGGCTCCACTGCCATACAGGGCGCGGAGCGTGGCGAGGATGCGCGTCTTTTTGCCTGCGCCGGATGGCCCGTAGAAGAGTAGATGTGGGAAGTCGGGAGAGGAAGCCTGTTGGCATGAGCTGGGAGTTAAGGGTTTCGGCGGGTTTAGGGTGGACGTACGAGAGCAGAAAGTCGATCAGAGAGATCTTTATGGTATGTGAGAGCATCTAAAGACCGAGGCCGCAGCTTATCGACTAGGAGTGCCATGACGGGTGTATCAAACTCAGGACAATTGAAAGTTGAATCCTATCTGACTGTCACAATTGGGATTAACAAATTATTCAGACGCGTCAGGAAGCGCGTAAAGTGGTGGAGGTCGAAATGACGTCGCGATTCGGTGAATCCCACCACGTGCCTCACGTGCCAATAGTCCCCCTGAGCCTGACAACACGAACTACTATTACTAGTACCGACAACGCAAAGAGCAAGTCTATTTCAAAAGGAGGAATAATCATTGAACACCATGGTGTCTAGCGCGGATATCTTTGTCCTTCCTGGTACCACCTTTAGTGCCAAACACTCCTACAGAAGCTCGAGAATCATCACCTGAAAGGCGAAGTAGCATGCTCAAGGGACTGCCCGATCATGAGCAGATCTTGCGATGTAAGTTCTGCATCCTAGCGTGTTTCCCTCCTTTTGTGTCATACAGTTCGTTCTGTCTGAGTTTGTCTTTATTCCTCGGTGGAAGTCGCGGTGGTCTGGTCGCCTGCTCAAAAAGACGCAGCAATGTCGGATCCACGGGTTTAGTTCCAGGGGCGTTATCATATCTCATTGCAGCATTTGCCGCATCTTGCAGTGCCTCAGAGTCTTTGATCAATTGCAATATCTCCGGAGAGTTCTGAATGTTTCGCAATACAGGTAAAATGTGGTTCTGCTTGATATCCTTCATTGCCTTGCACCACCGTTTGTATGAGTGAAGAAGGCTCATGATACCATCATATGCCATGTTCAGTGCATTTTCGACTTTGCTTGGCCATTGTCTCAGTCTAGGGCTCTGTAGGAAAGGGTGATACACATGGGCATCAAAGACGTGGGTCAAATGTTCCAGCAACACGAGTTCCGTTCGACAAGGTAAGGTTGTATACCTGGAGAGGGTATCAGTACAAAGTTTAATGAAATAGTTGGCGTGACTTGCTTGACGATAAGTTGAACCATTTGCCGATAATTACACCAAAGGTCGATGGTGGTAGGATGGACCTCAAATGGTGCCAGTGTCTTGATATATGCTATGTTGTGGATCTGTCCCAGTACCTGTCTGGCTGATTGTTGTACCTGTGCAATAATGATATTGGAATGCTCAATCAGTGTTCCAATAGAATCTTCATGAAGACGAGTATTGGGCATGAGCAACGAAGTGATCTCGCAGATATGATCTGCTAGCATGGCGAACAGGTCTTTGGAGGCATGTGGCATATCTGAGTATTGGAGGTGTAGCAAGAAACTCGGTAGACTACTGAAGTCTGGTTCTTCCACCAGGTGAGGGCTTGGTCGTAAAGGGGTTGTATGGGCAGTGGATGCTGAGTGTTTCGAGTGACGGGTTCCATCCTGGTCCGTGTCGTTGGAACAAGGAGACGAAAACTGATCATGATTATGATCATGGCCAGGCTCCGGTTGATCTTGGGTCAAGTCAAACTTGAGGTCAAGATACTGAGCGCAAAGCGCAATGAATTCCGAGTCTTCAATCTCGGGAGGTTCAGCCATCGTGCAGCGCTTGCTTCGCTATGACCAGTCTGAACTGAGGTTGAATCGCTTGGAAACAATGTAACAAAGCAGAGAAAATTCAGATAGCTTTGTAGTCAAGGAAAGAGCGATCATAAACGAGCATCGGAACTTCACCAACCCTCATGTCTGATATCACAACAATGCGTGTGAGAATATTCACTGCATGACTTACAAGGCAGGGATCCAATTTGGTTGCACGCTGAGCGCAATCATCAATCCTCGGTACAACAAGCGCTCATACACAAAGAGGCTTGAGCGACCCAATATGCAAAGACTGCGACAGAGAAACTCATGGTTTAGAGAAGTGCTTCTGGTACCAGTGACCTCGGTGTACGTTTATTCGAACAGAAGGTTGGCAATGCAAGAATTTGCCAAATGCAGTCCAACACAGGATATATGGAAAGACGACCTGCCTTCGTGGAGCAATTTTGGCTCTGCAAGCTACCGTCCGAATTGAGAGCATGACGCCGACATATCCTTCTGGTAGAAAGCTTTTGCTCTCCGCGCACTGACTAATTGGCACCTCATTGAAAGGGATGTGACAATTTAAAGTAGGGCGGTTGTTTTGCAGCATTCGATCCGGACATTTGAAATTATACACGCATGATACAGTAACAGACTACAAATGGTATATCATTGTAGCCCCCGGAACGACCAGCCTTGAGTATGCGCATTACCAAGAGCAGAGCTATAGGCAGCAGATTCCCAATTTCCAGGGACACTTCTCTGCTCCAGTGTTTCCTCGGGTGTTTCTGGCTTTGCCGAGGATGGCTCCCTTGGTTGTGAAGAAGATCGGGCAGTAGGTCGAACTTCAACGTCGGGTTCTGAGTGATAACGACCCTGCGTCCGATGAGATTCAAAAAGGCGATTCTCAGAGGTAGTAGCGGATGGTGGAAATGTCCCTTCATCTCCGATTTCGCCTGGTTGCGCAGCTTTGGGACGGACGAGATCAGGATAGCTCTCCTCAAACTTAAAATTTGGAGGAGGCTTTAGATCATCGTCATCACCGGGTAACTGTGTATCGACAATGTTGTTTCCAATCCTCTGCAGGTAGCGAGATATTATGGCTTGAACCCACTTGTAGAAGAGATAGAAAGCTGTGATAACGCCGAACGCAACCATCACCCAGCTCACATTAAGCGCTCGGTCTCTACCAGTCGTCGACCTTCCAGAGGACCTTCCACCGAAAAACCCGGTGTTTCTCAAGTTGATCCAATGGAAAGGATTAAGCACCATGGACCTTAAGAAACTCAACACCCCCATAGAAACCAGACCTTTCACGAAATGCTGACCCCAGCCACTACCAGTGACCTTGGCCTGGTTAACTTCGACACGCTCCCACATGTCTTCGTGTCTCATAAGAGTATCATAAGGATCTGTGTAAATATTGAGGATTGGATCCGCGATGAAGCCCAACAGAAACATGACGAGAATCATGACAAGCACTGTCAGAGCCCCAGACACCGGTTTGCTGCCAAGATACTTCTGCAGGGTGAGCCTGTTGAAACTGAATTGATAGCCACACTGATGGCATTTCCATAGTGAACCCTCACGTTGACTTTCGGTCCTTGCACGTCGTAGACAAAGCTCGTGCACATATCGCATTCCTCCTTTGCATAAGCAGGGTTTTATGAGCCGGCCATATTCATCATCGTTCTTGTACTCAACTACTGGACGTTGAAAGGATACAGGGAGGCCTGGAGGATAGAGAGTGACAGTGGCGGGCACATCTTCCAGGCAATAGCGGCAGGTTCTGGTAGGATAAGTCCAGGAGGAACTTGCGGCGTGTAGAGGAGGATCCATGACAAGGTTGGTTGCTAAAGGTACTCGCCCGGTTTCAACCAATATCTATCGATGGCATTGCCTATCTAGTGGAAAGCAGAAGGGAACTCGCATGCTCTTATTGTGCGGGAGAGATGCCCATCCGTCCCGAGACTCGGACGAAAGAAAGCGTTTAGATCTGGTAGGGATGGTATTGGAAAAGCAACAAACCGCTGTAACATGGGATTGGCAAGTAGATAGGATTGGTGAGAAAGTGAGTACCGGGACTATCTACCAGACGCAGTCAAAGGTCACGGTGGCATGATTGTGAATGGGAGAAGTAGAAGCGGGTGGAATGTGAGGGAGGCCAGGGCAGAAATAAAAGAATAGTAAAGTACGGAGTACGAGTCCTTGCCTGCAGGCACACCCGCACCTGCACTTTCCTTCAGTTGAAGTCGGAGTCGGAGGGCCAGCCTTGGCAACGAGCCAAAAGTGGAGGCGTATCAATTCATCGCGAGTTGGGCGCAGGTGAACGCGGCATCTTGGAGCCTCGTGGAGAAAGCTACAATTCTACGATCACAGCAACCTCGCCATCCCATTCGCCTTGTTGATCCCAACCATCATACCTGGTCTATTCGATAGCCAAATACAATTCTCTGACGCCTTGTCCAGTGTCCACAACCTGTGACATTCTCTCTTCTCTACACCACCCAGAGCTCACCGCCGACATGGCGGACAGATATTCTTTCTCTCTCACAACATTCTCGCCGAGGTAGGCTTACCCGTCAAACTGTGTATGAATCTGCTAATCTTCGATAGTGGCAAGCTCGTCCAAATAGGTATGGAGTGCTTCAGATGTTCCGCCCGCCCAAAGCTAATCTCGCAATCCAGAATATGCCCTCAATGCGGTCAATCAAGGTGTCACCTCATTAGGCATAAAAGGTTGAACCAACCTTCTCGATATATGAATGGAGTCTAAGAGTCTAACCGTGTCTTTGCAGCGACGAATGGCATAGTGCTAGCTACAGAGAAGAAATCATCATCGCCTCTCATCGATCCTCCTTCCTTGTCCAAAGTTTCCCTCATCACACCCAATATAGGTATGGTTTACAGTGGCATGGGACCAGACTATCGGGTACTTGTCGACAAGGCAAGAAAGGTCTCACACACGAATTACAAGCGCATCTACAACGAATACCCTCCCACCCGCATACTGGTCCAGGATGTGGCCCGCGTGATGCAAGAAGCTACACAATCAGGTGGTGTCCGGCCGTACGGCGTGAGCTTGCTCATTGCAGGCTGGGATGATGGCATCGAGCCAGAGACTGCAGAGGCCAAAGAAGGCGAATCAGAAGCTGAGGCGAAACTGGCAAGTCGGAAAACAGGTGGAATTCTAAAGGGTGGCCCAAGTTTGTACCAGGTCGACCCCAGTGGCAGCTATTTCCCTTGGAAAGCTACTGCCATTGGAAAGAGTGCGACCAGTGCGAAGACCTTCCTGGAAAAGAGATACAACGACGAGCTCGAGCTCGAGGTAAGCTTCGGGTTGTTTCGCGCCCCTCCGTGCTCTGTACTAACACTTCCGTAGGATGCCATCCACATTGCTTTGTTGACACTGAAGGAAACCATCGAGGGTGAGATGAATGGCGATACTGTCGAAATTGGCATCGTTGGCGAGCCGGCAGATCACTTACTAGGTTATGAGGGTGTCGAAGGATCAGTTGGACCTCGATTCCGCAAATTGACAAAAGAGGAGATTGAGGACTACCTGACGAATCTATAAGTGGACTGGCGAATTTTCCAAGACCAAAAAAGGGTGATGGAGGACGATGTACCAATTCCCTTCTCGAAGTCTTGCCACAATCGAGATAATATTGTATTCTCGGAAATGTACTTCTAGACGGAAGAGCTCGTCTCCCTAAACAGGAATCTGCATAGCTACGGCGCCGTGGATTTGACAAGGGAATAACCATTGGTTGCACAAAACTAGACTCCACGGATATCTTATGGACGAGCATCCAGTTGCTCTACATCATCCGCCCGATATCATGCTGCTTCTAGAAGCTCCTTGGCCAACGTCCACAACGAGCTAATAATCATTTTCCCATCATCTGACGACTAGTACTACACGACGACTTTATCAACTGTGACAGTGTACATGAAAAACCACAACAGCTCATCCCACAAACCATGCAAATTGGTTGTAATGCATTATGTTTTCATGGTTGTACGCAAAAGCACACTACTCATGCGATTCGACCAGCCAGACTATCGAGCAATAGTATGAAATTCGGAACCAAGAAACGGCGCGTCACATATTATCAATCGATTGCTCCCTACCTAGGTAGGCCATTCCATGACCTCCCCTGAGCGGTCTAGACAGGGGAAACCCCAGAGAGTGCCAATAACATGTATATCCATATCTCGGCCTCGCAATTCCGGTCTGCGTAAGCTGTCCCATTTATTCTCCCAAAAGGCCCCACATCTGTATTGCGGCCTGTATGATATGTATGATCAAATAGGCCATCACTTACTCGTATAAGCCAGACACGTGATCATTGTTTCTGGTAATGCCCATCCCCCCCGAGCGTTTCTGCACCCTTACTCACCGGCTCTGACGTGACCGCCAGCACATGGGCCAAGTGAGCCATCGACATGAATTTTTTCTTTCTTGAAAGCTCGACACTCTCGGTCAATCCAGAATTCTGGGAGGATCAACACGTTGTCATTCCAGGTCAACATACAAGAAAACCTGACAACAATACCATGTCAACTATCAGGCAATTGATAGCTTAGAGGCCTATCTTGTAGGGGATACCCTACCGCATCGTCCCTACGAGTACATCACTTGTGGCTGAAAAAGACAGGAGAGAGAGAGAGAGTTAAAAAAGCGACGGATCCACAGGTCTCTTTTCCCAAGCCCACCAAGACGAAAAGACGAAAAACACATCGGAAAGAAAACAGCCCAGACCTGAGGGGACGCAGCCAAGGTGTTTCAGCATTCCGTCATACCCGGTACCAGGTCATGGTGCCCGCATCCTTCTGGCAATATCGTTCTCGTTCTTCGAGTGCGGTTGCCTAATAATGGCTCCTCAAAAGGACAAATTGGACTTACCCGTGCTACAATAGTCAGGGCAGATCGCGCCTGTGTATGTGACGGAATCTGCTTCGGGAGCCCGGTAAGGCACAGAAATAGTAGGTGAAAACAGCTTCCAGGTACAGATCATGCCAACGCCTAGGCGTGCTAATCTGGCGCGTGGATGCATACCCGTCCGCCCAGCACTCAATTGCTGGCTCTCTTGGATAGGTCCATTCCAAGACCTACCGGTAATGGAGGCATGTGTGGTATCCTTGTGTGAAGTCGGTACTCTGTGCTTACGCATATCTTGAGAGAGACCGAGCCTCGTTAAGAGGAAAGTTCGGAGTTCGGTGTATTTGGACGTACCTCTAGCGGTGTCGCCCAGAGGGCACCCGAGGTTTGGGAGGTGAAGATTCTTCAATAGCGGGTGAAACGGATTTCCTTGTCTGCTTACGAGTAGACCCTCACCAAGAATGGCTTCTTCAAGATGCCAAAACTGGCGCTACCCTTGTGAAGTATGTACTATACAAGGTAAAGAGCGGGTGGAACATACCTAGTATGTATGTACGAAGGCGTCTGTCTTTTTGGGTTGTAAGACTGTTGCCCTCAAACCTCGAAACGCTGTAAATGGCCATGTGCGGAGCGACTGCGCCATTCAATCATATTCAAAAGGCTCATCGCGTAGCCAAGGAGTATGAAAGGGTCTTGTGGCTCGATATGCTTCATTGCTTGATTTACATCTAGAGATGATGAAGTCTGATGTTCGCGAAACTTAAAAGAATAGCAAACTTTATAGCCTCCAAGTGGAGTAGTGATCGCCCAGGTAAAGGTATCAAAGCCAGGTCCATTTTCATGGTTTTCCTTGTGATGCAGAAAAGTCAACCCTGCTCATTCCAGTCAGGGAGATATACGCCGCCGCAATGCAAGTCTGTTTTTAGAAGCAAGAGAAAGACCCCGCGAAAAATCAAGTAGCCCAAGCCAAGCGTATCGTGAGAGGTAAAGTAAACAAGTCTTCCGCTCAATTGAAGACATCCAAATCATAACCATCGTAAAAATGAGGTCAACCCTAGCCGTACACATTACTTTCTTATGGCATATAGCAGACATTTCTCCCACCAATCTCGCAATCCTAAGACTGTTGCTCGGCCGTCATCTCGCTTTTCCGTGCCGTCTGGGTTACCCATGATGATGGCGAACACCCAAAAGACTGCCGACACCCATGCAGCAACAGCGTTGCCGATGCTGATTATGGGCGATACAACATGTATGAAGATGAGACAAGCAGGGCTGAACTCGAAGGTGTGAGCACTGGTCAACGATCTGGCACAGATCATCTGAAGATGATTCCGGAAAACCGGGCCGACCATTCGTATTAAGACAGTGCTCGAGGAAGATTCCCGTCTGCATATCCGTAGAGGAAGTAATATGATGATAACTAAAACAGCGAATATTGAGAAGATGGCACTGAATAAGCAGTGCAAAGGATCTAGAAAGGACATCCATAACTTTCACCGTCAGCACCTGCGGAAGCCAGGGATTGACTGGAGTCCACTTACCAATATCCATATCGCATGGTCAGCCTCTTTGTCAGCCTCGTCCTCGGCTTGGTGTTGTTGTATGTAACGAAGAACAGCCGACTGGTCTTCTATCATCTCAGATTGCGCATGACTGCCGATGGGCGCCTCTCTATGTGCTTGTGAACTGATGTATGACTCTCTGACATCCTCCTCGCCCACTAGGCCCCTCTCTGCCTGGGAAGCATATTGAAATGATTGTTTGTTCGGAAAGGACTTGAAATCCGAAGCAACCGTTGACCCGGATTCGCCACTAGAAACAGAACTCTGTGCTCGATTGGGGTCTGTCCGTCGCGAAGCAACAGGGGCTTTGTTGCCGGGAATGAAGTATGTTGGCGAAGGTCGGGATAGTGAGGAATTCGGAGAATATTGACAGTATTGGTGAGGAGATCTGGGACTGCTTCTCCGGTCATAGTAGGCAGCGGAATGGCTCATAGGCGGGGGTTCTGATCCCGAACTCATGGTTACAGATCTGGTGACGTCGGGCGTCTCGCAAAGGATGTCTCATAATCGGGTGAGGAAGCAACGAGGTCTGCTTGGGAGATGGAAGACCTGGTTGAGGAGCTCTAGTAGGATACACAAGAGATGACACGGGCAGCAAAGACATGATATACCTTATGGATTGCAAGAAGGAGACACCACCTCTTGCTCGTCCTTGCCTGCCATGGCCATGGCAAGGCTTGGCCGCCTGGGCTATTCTTCTGGGCACCCTTGGCATATTTCCTTTGAACGCTGCGAAAAGCCGCTACAGGGCATACAATGCATGCTGGTGATTGCTCCAACTCTTCATGGCCGCAGGTACTAAATGGCCACGTCGCCCACGGCCAAAGGAATGCTGTTGCTGTAAGTATGATTGCAAAGGGTGAGTATTGATCAATCTTGGCGAGTTGCTCGGAGGGCTGCAGCGGTTGCAATATTGACACTCACGATACTTGGCATTTGACAGAAATACCACTGTTTTCGAGACGGTACGCGGATTTTTCACATAATCATGACGTCCGACGTTGAATTTATCTCCGGTTCCAATCACCTAGAATTGTTACTTTGATTGTGGGCACATCCAGGGTATGGTAGGAAATGGTACTAAACACAGTTTTGATAATGAAGGATCGTACTTAACGGATTGTTTTGCTTCTACCGAAAGATAACTGTTGAGAGCTCATCGTGGAGACATGAGCACCTCAAGTTGAGTGGAATGGATGAAATGACAAGAGGTGGAAGAGGATATGCAACCACGATGTATGTCAGAGCCGTGTCTGAACGAGCTGTATCAAATACGGACTCAGCATTTTTGGGGCGTCTTGGCAGTGACCTGTGAGCCTTCTCCTCGTCCCTCCTCGTCCGTTCGCACTCCCTGATGATCTCCGCTTTGAGCCCTCAGGACGTGTATAAGGCTCGGCGGGGGCGTTGGCAAAATATCTTTGCATGCCCGAATAGCCTTACGACTCAGAAAATCTGCTTTTCTTAGCGGTGAACCGGTTCGCTCAAACTGCTGATTGGTGAGGATTTGTTTGCCAGATCTTAGCCCTCCGCTTTGTCTTGTCGCAATGCCCTTCTGGTAACATTTGCCCAAAAACAAACGGCTTGTGCAGCCCACTACTGACGGAATTCTGCGACGCGTCAACAGCCAATAAGTCATTGCGCAGTTCCTTGAGTTCAGGCTGTACCCGAAGAAAATCTTCATTTTGATGGGAGCCTGACATGCGCTGTTTCCGAGTGATCATGCACGCCTTTTAGGTCTACTCTGAACAACGTCACACGTTCCGCATATGATTATGAGGATTCCTGATCCATGCAATTCTATGCTATCCTCAAAAGGTGCAACCAATCCAACATAGGTGTGTCATTTCTCCGACATGTGGAAACTTCACGGCCTGATCGGATCGGATTGGAACACTTGATATCATTGTCTTCATCAGGATTGAAAGTTTGTGATATCTCACCAATGTTCACATGCACCCAGCCACCGTTCTTGTCCAGCGCAAATCGTGAGCCAGGAGAACTCGACAGAGACCGCATATGATTTCTAATGAGCTTATTCTCAGGGACCTGGTGCTCATGATAAGGGGTCAGTATCCCAGGAATGAACATGTAAGTATGCCTGTGAAGACTCACATCATCGCTCCCCTCATCGCCGGAATACCCCGGCATGTCCTTTATTCCATCGTCCGGGATCATGCGGCAGACCAAAACTTGTCGCCAAGCTGGTTATGCTTTCTTGCGTTCTCCGTAAAATACGCACCGCCGAGGCTCAGCTAATGAAACCCAATGCTGTCAACACTATGGGACGACATGGGTGATATAGTTCACGATGGGCCTTAGTCACCTGCCGGCTGCCCGGCAGGTGAAGCAAGTTGGTATGCTCGCCCAAGACGAGTTGTTGTAGTATGTGACTGTCGTGTGCCGAAGATAATCGGCCGATATATCCATTTAAATCTCCTCTTGACACGTGGCTGTCCAAGAGTAATGCTCCGTCTTCTATCATGGAGTGGCAGCTTTGAGATCAAGAGTTGGAGACATAATTGATCGTTCCTGCTCCTCAGCCTGACTGATTTCAGGTCCCGTGATCCATGAAGCCTTCAAGTGGGATCTTGACAAGCATGAGTCAACCGCTTAGGATGATGCCTCTGGCGGATCTCAACCTCCAAGCGTTGGGCTCCCAATTACAGTGTTCATCGAGGGGCTTGACCACATTGTCGCCGTAATAACACCCCTCTACGGCTATCTAATTCGGGGTGCTTCCTAGGAATCCTCACAGCGGGACTGTTTCATAACTGCTGTTGGCTACTTTGGTGCTCTGCACCCGAGAGAAAGAACCTATTGAATGTGCGCCTCCGACGCTTGTTGTTTAGACATACCACTGTAGCAGTTTGTGTAGGAGCAAGGACATTTAAGCATGTACAAAAATTTCATTCACTATTAGGTCCCATGCTGTCTTATAAATGCGTCACCTTCTCTGAATAAACATGCCACTCTCAGGCCCGGGCTCATTGCAGAAAAGAGTAGCAATGTCCATGGAATCGTACAACGACCCAAATTTACCACAACCGGACTTTGACCTGGGATCGTAGCATCTGATCCATCTCTTTGTGTTCAACAGATGTTGTGGCGTCGGTACAACAGATGTTTGTCAAGGTGAAGGACGGAGAGACCAAGGAACTTGTTCGGATGGTTGAAGTGTCCAATTCACCCAACCCTAAAAGAGGGCCTCGTTTCAAAATCTCCCTGTTGTACCACGGGCCTGGATTGAGGGTATGTTTGGTTGTGGGCAACGCGGCTGGCCGACGGAAGTCACTGTGCAACTCAAGAACTCTGAAAACCCCGGGTCTTGATAACATGCGGCATTCCGGATCTCGTCTCCAAAGCACAATCGATGTTGGTTACACGACAGACTGGTGTCAGGTCACGACGTATCTTTCGAAAGAGAGCACAGTGCCACATACCTTGTGCAATGCATTTGGAGACTGGAAAGGGGAGTCCCTGGTCTGGGAGGGGAGAGTCATTATTTTGACCTCCTCGAAATGCTTCTTGGAACAATCTCGGGCATGACTTTGCATCTATATTTTATGGTGCAAACTCCGGGTGGGAGACGTCCAGCCAGGGAAAGAACCAATCAATACCCGGTCGACAGTCTTCTGACGCTTGTTTGACATAGAGATCAGGCTGACGGATTTTGTCTGTGCGACCCTCCGCGTGGGTTGAACAGGGTTGGATGCTGTGTCATCTGTTTTCCGAAATGTGCGGGCCTGCAAGCTACCATGCTGCTTGGTGTTGCATATCAACTTGGTGCTCAAGAAGGGTAACCAATCAAATTGATCTTGTACTTGACATTTCCTGTGCCGGAAGAGGTCAAACCCCTTTACGTTTGGGCTCGAGCTAAGAACATCGTGCCCAATGGAAAGGTCGAAATATATCAATCATCTTTCGTCGACTTGATAGACATATGACGGCAACTGAGTGCTAGGACGCTGAACGGAGTGTAATGCCCTCAGAATATTTGAGCGACAGGCAGATTGCATCCATGGGCCTGTCAGGATTCTGATGCTGATGCCAAAGCGCGATGACAGCTGCCCCAGGTAGCCTTTGTATGCCATGACTTGAGGGTGACATGCACATCGTATCGTTTTAGGTTGGCTGGGATAGTGTGGAACCTGTCGGGATTTAAGCTGATATCGGCACCTAGACCCCGTTTGCTCTGGGTGCTCAGCGTCCATTCCTACAGGGTGCCGTGGCACCCCCAAGCCACATTCCTCGACATGCGAAGTCTAACGAAGCCGTAACCTTAGCGGCAAGTCCACGCCTTGAATGACTGGGTCAAGTGGGTTTGCTCCCCAGCCGCACTGAATTAGCCACGGCAGATGGAGGCCTGGAACTGACTCTCGGTTCCTGGATTTCTTCCCCTTTGGTCGATTCCTACGCGAGCTACGTACCGGAATGCTGGAGGAGTCTGACACACCCCAGCTGCACTTGCAGTCGCGATGTATCGTGCTCCATAAACGATGGACCGATGGCAAGGCCTTCAATCCTTCAGGCGGCATGTCAGGGGGCTGATTGCGGTCGTGGGATGGGATGGAGTTTGTGACCAACATGATCAGGGTTGATGAGGAGGCGGCTGGCGACGGTTGGTCACGATTAGATTGTCTTGCCGGAAGGTGGTTGCGGTGGTGGCTTGCTCATCACGACCAGGTTTCTCGAAACGGGGGAAGATTGGCAGGTAGCTCGTGGAGGAGAAAGTAAGCTAAGATGAGAGGGCGAGGGGCTAAGCTGGGTGTGGAGAAAGAAGCTCCATGGAGGGCCGAGGGGGCCTCGTTTTCATCCCAACCTAACTGGCAGCAAGCGGGTCCTCCCCTCGCTTCGCCATCCGCCGGTCATTCCCAGGAGTCCCAAGTGTCCCAAGCGTCCAAAACAGAGAGGCCCACTGTTCGTCTGAAGGCTGCTCGTCATGAAGGTGGAGCCGCTCAGGGCACCCTAGCCATGCTTGGTTTCGTTAGCAGGTAAGCCTCCGGTCAAGCCAAGGCCCATTCTTTTTCCGTTAGGCTTTGCCTGAACAACCATGCAGTAACTCCTTGGGGTCCTGCAGGTTGCAAAGGATACTAATAGTATCCGGCTCTGCGCCTACACATCACTGCTGAATAAGTCGGGAACACCCCGATTTTGCCTTCGAACCGCCTGCAGATTGTATGACTGTCTGCCGAGTCACTGTTGTGTGATTTGAGGGTCACTCTTCCGGACCACTTAAATCTGTGAGTATCATGATCATGATGAATTGCTGAGGAGCTCGATGTGATCTACAATGGCGGAGTTTGAAGTTGAGATTTTGGGCTTGGTATGGAGAACTTGAGTACCTGGGATACTTACGTGTAAGAGCCTAAGAGGAGGCGCTCGGTACTCGGTACGAAGTACGAACGACTATACCTGAGGTACACCCAGAAAGGCAGACAGTAGGCGACAAAGTTATAAGTCGCCACACCCTTACCAGTTATTTGGGTGGTTTTCTAGGTGTCACTCCCCGCCTATAAGCCTAGTCGACAAGGACCCCGGGTCAAGCGACGACGCCCCCCTAACTAGTTGCGAGAGTGCCCGTCTTCTGCCTGTGTCATCTTGGAGACTGGGACTGATCTCCCTGCGGCCCCTCCCAGTCTCGAGCCTTCTTCCCAGATCCTCCAAGCGCCTTCGCACTTCGTGCTTCAACGCCGACCACTGGCGCAGGACCATGGTTTGCCGGACCACGGAGGGCCCAAGCGTCCGCCCCACTGCAGTGCCCTGCCAGTCAAGTTGCGCCTCACGCAACCTTCCAGACCAAGACTCCACAACCGAGCCAGCCCATTTAGAGCCAACGTCCACGACCACCCGCTACCACCGCTAGCCCGCACTGCCTAAAATGCCTGTCGATAGTACCGACCAGGTGTCAGAGCCCCCGACTGTGAACTTGATCCAAGCATGGCGATCTCAAACCCTACCCTTAGCGTCCTCCTGCTTTTCATCGTGTGAAGCCCAATCTCGCAGAGGTCTCTCTCATCTCCTGTCACCGTCATCTTCCGCTCAGTGTTGCCTACCATTTTTCTGCTTCTTGCCATCCTTTTCTTCATCCCCTCGTGCACCCAGAAGGCTGTTGACTTGAGCACAACCAATTGCCTGCACCTTATTCTTGAACTATTTATTCTCCATTCTATGTCGTCGTTGTCGCTGCACAGCCTGATAGCACTTTAATGCCCACCGGCGCGGCTTTGAACCAAGAATAACACGCCCGACACGGCCGCGTGCTTGTTTGCGTCCGTATACGCCAGCGAGCTCTTCGTCGGCCAGGAGCGCAGAAAGCATCTAAGAGGAGGATCCAAGTCGTCAGCACATACTCGAATTTACACCCTCTTTCCACCCATCCGTAGTGCCACAACTTCGAGCCGGCTACTCTACGCCCCTACCAGCTATGGCGTTGGTTCCTCATCCATCGCCTCCTGGTGTGCTGGGACTGCAGCACGGAGCTCACTTCGGCCAAATTAATGGTGCCGCCCCTGTCGACGCGCATACCCAAAGACAGCGCCTTCTAGGGCAATTGAACGAATCCACCTGGCAAAGAATTGGTGCGTGTTATAGCTTCTAGTCCATACTGCAGATCTAATCAATGCCCACAGGCTCTCTCAATGAATTGCTTGGTGACCATGAAGGTGCGCTCTTTGCATACGAGCAGGCCCTCAGACACAACCAATGGTCAACGCAAACATTAAACGCTATCTCTTGTATCCTTCGGACAAAAGAGAAGTATCCAGAAGCCATGGAGTATCTCAAGAATATCTTGAAAGTGGAGCCTGCCAATGGTGAAGCTTGGGGGAACCTGGGTATGCTTTCTGCCCTCGTTGATGCTTACCTTGTCTCACATTCATAGGCCACTGCTACTTGATGATGGATAATCTCCAGGAGGCATACACTGCTTACCAACAAGCATTATACTATCTTCCAGATCCCAAGGTGTGTAACACAGTGTATTTTCTGGAGTATACTGTCTTACTAAGCTTTGACAGGAACCCAAATTGTGGTACGGCATTGGCATCCTCTATGACCGATATGGATCACTTGAGCACGCCGAAGAGGCATTTTCTCAGGTCATGCGTATGCAACCAGACTTTGAGAAAGCCAACGAAATCTATTTCAGACTTGGCATAATCTACAAGCAACAACAAAAGTTCCAGCAAAGTCTCGAGGTCAGTCTCCACAAATGAGGGAGGTTGTCTGCCATGCTAACCTTACATAGTGCTTTAAATATATTGTCAATGATCCTCCTCGACCTTTGAATGAAGAGGACATCTGGTTCCAGATTGGTCATGTTTACGAACAACAGAAAGATGTATGCCATACACCTCCCAGCCGAGTTCCATTACTGACCTCTTCGCAGTTCGAATCAGCAAAATCGGCATATCGCCGCGTTTTGGAGAGAGATCCGAAGCATGCTAAAGTTCTTCAACAGCTAGGGTGGCTGCACCACCAACAGAGCAATAGCTATGCAAGCCAGGACCAAGCCATTGAATATCTTGAGCAGTCGGTCAGCTCAGGTGAGTGATACCGTGACAAGCTGGGCCTTCCTCTATTCCTAACATCTATATCAGACAACCAAGATGCTCAGAGTTGGTATCTCCTCGGCAGGTGCTATATGGCACAACAAAAGTTCCCTAAGGCCTATGAAGCGTACCAACAGGCAGTGTACCGTGATGGACGCAATCCCACATTCTGGTGCTCCATCGGTGTCCTCTATTATCAAATCAACCAGTATCGTGATGCGCTCGATGCTTATTCTCGTGCAATCCGATTGAATCCCTACATCTCAGAGGTCTGGTACGACCTTGGGACTTTGGTAATTTCCTTGTCATAATTGGACCTAACCTTGTGCTGACCTCAATTAGTATGAATCTTGTAATAATCAAACCTCTGATGCTCTTGATGCATATGCAAGAGCCGCTGAGCTTGATCCGACGAATTCTCATATTAAAGCACGCCTTGCGTTGCTAAGGAGCGGAGCCGCTACGGGGCCCAATCAGCACAATGCCCCAGTACCGCAAGATGTTCATCCACAAGCTTATCAAAATGGCGTCGGAGTACCTCCTGGCCCTCAATGGGGCGCTCCATCAGCTTCTAGTCAGCAATCACAACCACCACCAGTTGATCCTGCAAGAGTATCAGACTGGACTCGAGGCATTGCAGGGATACAACAGCCACCACATCAAGTCAATGGCTTCGATGGACGAGATGGTATGAGGGCTCCACCACTACGGGCGCCGTCTCCGCGACAAGATGGCCCGCGCCTGTACGGTGAATCTTCTCGCCAAACTCCAGTGCGAAAGATGCAATCCCCTTCGCCTAAGATGCAATCTGCAGTTCCAGGAATGTACCCTCCCGGGCCTCCAACGCTTCCTCAGATATCGATGCAGGAGCGGGGGCCTACCTTTAATGCAGGAGTAAGGCCATCACCCACCATGAATGGGGCTCCTCCTCCTCACACGAACGGTACCGGCAATACACTCCCACCGTATGGGCGGCCTTTCAGCCCACCGAGCGAGCTAAGACCCTTGCGTGACGAAAGACCGCCATCACCAGGGTCAACTTTCCGTCCACAGCCGTATCAGTCTGGCCAAACATTCCCCAGCATTGCCAACGGTGCTCCACCTCCGCCTCCACTTCCATCCGTCGACGTCCCTCGAGAAGACCGCCCTCTCTCGGCCATGAAAAGAAATCGTGAATGGGAGGCAGAGCCTGGACCGTCCAAGAAGATTGCGAATGATGAAACTCGAGCACGATTAGAAGATCCAAGCCGCCGTAACAGCCCACCAGGTCGGCTTCCCACTCCAAAAGATCACTTCCGCCGTAGCTCTTCTGAAATCCGTCGGGAGAACGAGCGTCGAGCCAATGAGAATTATCATCCATCTGAAGCTGCCCACCATCCATACAGTTTGCCGCCCCAACAGATACCTTCAATGCAATCCATATTGGATGGACCGAAAGAAGACCGCAAAGAGCATTTGGAGCAAGCCGCTCGCAAAGTTGATGTCGACGAGGACTACGATAATAATAGTGAAGATGACAAACGTGCAGCTGCAGCTGCAATCAACAGTCCGCAGGGACCGGGGCCACAGCCAACAGCGACCCCAAAACCAGAAAACACGGCATAGTCACGGGCGTCTTGTTGCTTGTTATGTATTTTGCCAAGGATGACGCGATACAGCAGCGACTTGATGAAGCTGTGGATATTGGGAAAGCCATTCTTGATCTATCATGTCACTCTGCTTCCTTTGTAAATGACTCTTGTGTATTTCAGAAATCCATGATTAACGAGCAAAAGAACCACTTGATTTGGACTGCGCAGTTCCGCTAGTGTATAACAAATAGGCCTTTTAAAAAAAGGAACACTATAGTCTGAAACGTCGGGAGAGCCCCTGCTCCGACGAAATTCCTACTTTGAATATACCCGGTGATTTAGAATGGAGACCGACAAAGGATTCACTGGAGTCACGTGGCGAGGCATCTTGGGGAAATTCAAATTGTCCTCTCCGAAATGCCAAGATATCTTGGCGCACTCACAGGAAAGTTTGCTCCATGCAATTTCATCACATCGACTTGAAAACAGCTTGAATTATTGTTACTCTCGTCGACTGTATCTGACGCTTTGTTCAACAAGCAACGAAGATGTAAGTTCACTTCAAAAGCATCATCCTTTGCTTCATGCTAATATTTCAATTAGGTCTCACCGAAAGTTCGAAGCACCGCGACACGGTAAAACCATATTATTTCTCCCCGTTGAAAAATAGCCCGTGCTAATGATTTTGCACAGGTTCGCTTGCTTTCCTTCCCCGAAAGAGAGCAGCAAGACACCGAGGAAAGGTCAAGAGGTTGGTTATCTAGAAGTCATGACTCGTTCTGAGAGTCGAAGCTGAAACATTCCACAGCTTTCCTAAGGATGACCCAAAGAAACCTGTCCATCTTACCGCAACCATGGGCTACAAGGCCGGTATGACCACCATCGTCCGAGACCTCGATAGACCAGGTGCGAAGATGCACAAGAAGGAGGTCGTTGAAGCTGTCACTGTCGTCGAGACTCCTCCAGTAAGAGATACTCCATGCTCACAAAGGTTTTCCGCACACTCATCCCCCATCCTAGTTAATCGTCGTCGGTCTTGTCGGTTACATTGAGACACCCCGTGGCCTTCGATCTCTTACCACTGTCTGGGCCGAACATCTCAGCGACGAAGTGAAGCGCAGATTCTACAAGAACTGGTACCGATCGAAGAAGAAGGCATTCACCAAGTACGCCAAGAAGCACTCCGAGAACAAGGGCTCGTCCGTCACCCGCGAACTCGAGCGCATAAAGAAGTACGCCACTGTTGTCCGTGTTCTCGCCCACACCCAGATTCGCCAGACCCCTCTCAAGCAGAAGAAGGCACACCTGATGGAGATCCAGGTTAACGGTGGTAACGTCGCAGACAAGGTCGCTTTCGGCCACGGTCTGTTCGAGAAGCCCGTTGAGATCGACACCATCTTCGAGCAAGACGAGGTTATTGATGCCATTGCCGTGACCAAGGGTCATGGTTTCCAGGGCGTCACCAGCAGATGGGGAACCAAGAAGCTGCCGAGAAAGACACACAAGGGTCTCCGAAAGGTCGCCTGTATCGGTGCCTGGCATCCTTCCCACGTCCAATGGACCGTCGCCCGTGCCGGTCAAGACGGTTACCACCATCGTACCTCAGTCAACCACAAGATCTACCGCATCGGCAAGGGCAGCGACGAGAAAAACGCCGCCACCGAGTTCGACGTTGTCAACAAGCAAATCACACCGTAAGTTTCCTTTTATCCTTCTCTTCGCCTGTCATCACATACAGAAAGAGATATGCTGACAATCGATTTCCAGTATGGGCGGCTTCGTGCACTATGGTGAGGTCAAGAACGACTTCGTACTCCTCAAGGGCTCCATCCCCGGTGTCAAGAAGCGTGTCATCACCCTCCGCAAATCCCTCTACACCCACACCTCTCGCAAGGCCCTCGAAAAGGTCGACCTCAAGTGGATCGACACCTCGTCCAAATTCGGCCACGGTGCTTACCAAACTGCCCAGGAGAAGAGACAGTTCTTGGGTACGCTCAAGAAGGATCTCGCTCCTGCTTCATAGAGTTGGTTGGTTTCGCATTACTGCATGCTTTTCTTGCGAGTCGCGGCTTGTGGTGGGGTAGAGATACCACAAAGTCGATATGATTAGATAGCTAGGATGATGATTGATTGTCCTTTTCCACGTGAGAAAGTGGGTGGACACACCGAATCGTGAATTAGCATTGACAACACAACAAAAAGCGAGGGGCAGAGAGAGATACCACTGGTGTTTCGACTGTGTCGCTTTCAAAAGGGACTTTAACGCCTTGTGAGCGGGACTGCTACTACTTCTAGCATAGCAATGGTAGCCATAGGGAAACGAATTCACACGAAAGTCAAACTGTTGAACATACTTTCCAGTTTTATCTGATCTTTGGTTCTTACTCTTTGTGAAGCTGGCAACGACACGAAAGTATCGACGCCCTCAGACGTAGCATAAATACTCTCCACCAAGGGTGGCCCTATGCGAGAGTTCCAACTGGTGTAGTATATCTCCTAGCCTGTCGTGTCATAGCCCAGGTGTATTTTCCATAACTTTAACTCTCCACGGCCTTGGTATACACACCCACCAGCTTCCTATCCCCAAGCGTGACGATATAATATTCCACTCTCGTCGCGCCAACTTCAACTCTGAAGACCTTGACTGCCTTCCCGTCACCAGCGTCCTTAACGCGATCGATGATCTCAGTATACTGGCCCCTGGGATCGAAGTCCTGCACGGTCAACTCCTCGACCTCACCCTGGTCCGCCTTCGCACCCAAGGCTTTCTTGAACTCTGCGCTACTGGGCAGCGCATCGCCTGAGTAGTTCAGGACCACAGCTTGAAATTCCGAGTCTGTATCCGAGGTGTATGTCAGCGTGTCCGGGATGGATTGCAGGGAAGATGGGAGCGAGGAGTTGCTGGTGGTCGTCGGGTCGAATTTGCTCTTTGTCTGAGATGTCGATTGCGAGGCGCCAGATTTCGGGTCTTCGTTCGCTTTGTTCAGGAATGCCGTGTATGATGCGTCGTCGGACATGGTGGAGAGCTGTCCGGTGGTGTGGTACAGTGCCAGAGAGAGGGGTGTATGAACTGCGTAGCAGGTTGTGCAGTTGAGACTTTTCGAGCCTTTTGCCAGGTTCCTGGTGTGAGGGATTCTTGCTCTGTCGCTTGACAGGTTGCCCTGGAGTGGCCGGCCTGTTATAGTGGTGCGGATTGTTCGCCCTTGAATCGTGGGACGGCCGAAACTGCGACAGTGAAGGAGAGAGGGCAGTCTGCGACTGGACCTGATCAGTCTAGAAACAGATGGTTGAAGAAGCTGGGTTGATATTAATTTCGGACCGGATCTGAGCATTCGTCAAACGTACTGCTATGAAGAGAAGGAGGCTGTGTGGTGAGGGTTTATGTTTCTTGACTGGGCCACAAATGTGGCAGTTGCCAGTTGCCGGCTGCCAGTGAAGGAGAGGAATTGAAGATGATGTCACCGGCAGGTCAATAGGCATGCCCTGGGTGACTGGAACTAAGCCCTACCAGCTTGGCTCCTGGCGGGCAACCTGTATATATCATTTACTTTGCTAAACAATTGGCTCAAAAGAGTGACTATTGGGAATTTGATATGTTGCCTCCGACGCCCAGAGTGCTAGGGGAGGGACGTGGTTGGCACTGAAAGACGCTTCGAGGCTTCTAGCGTTCTACTTGGAACACCTTCATATACTCCGGAATAACCACCAAGCTTTACGGATGGCTAGCACTAATATGTACCAGAATCGTGACGTTACTCCGTCTGCTCCTTGCGTTTGTTCGCATCCAAGGACTTCCCTGGTTGAATTGCGTATCATGCAGTGCAGGAGTTTTGCGGGCAAGCCATAGACCGTAGATAATAATATACTTTCCAACAATTGACAATCCAGAAAAGATACTTCGGCTACATACAGGTCGTGGTGGTGAAGGCCTGCATCATAAGCAGGAACAATTTACTGACACTTCTACGTGCTTTAGAGTGGATTGAGGAGCCAGCCGGCGCGTCTGGACATGTGCAATTGGGCACACTTAACTGAACAACTTGAAGTGTACGGAGCAGACACAGGGTGTGGTCGGCATTTGTTTGTAGTCGTTATAGGAGGCATACGCAACAAGAGAGACAGATGGACGAGCAAGCAAAATTTCCGCGTGGACACCAGCAAGGCTTTGATCATCAGTGTCACATGGCACCAAGGTGGTCGTCAGTCTGAGAGATTGTCTGGTGTCAAGGTGGGCACGTATCAGACATGGATCTGACAGCAGGGGGTAGCCCGGAAATGATTGCAATATCGTATCACTGGGGACGCTGTGGTGGCTTATGATATGTACACGAGTACATACTCCTTTGGGATAATCCGTAAGGATGATTCGGCACTCCGTATGATTGCGACTCAGCATAAGTCCGAATCAAGAACCCATTTGGGCATTCCGGACACTACTACGGAGTATGTATCTAGGTGGCAGTAAACCATCTTCGCAAAAGACTCGGCATCAGCACAATGCCATCTTATCCTACGGGTAGATTGGGGGAGAAATTGGACGAATTAGGCGAGGATGCAGAAGGAATGATTGCCGAAATCGAAACAACAGCCGCATGGTCTTGTCTCTTCCCCAAACAGCTACGCGCAAGGGGCAACTTGCGGCTCCAAGGACTTTGGTTGCGAGGCATCCTGTTAGGCTGTTACTAGTCCCCGTTAGTCCCACCGCCCTCGGAGGAGCCTTATGCAAAGATTGTGTTGCAACTTGCAAGACATCGAGTCTTGGAGGTTATTTGGTGGTAGGCTAGTGAAGAGTACCGAGTACAGAGCACCAAAGGAAAGGTACGGAACATTCTGTACCCTACGTCCGGAGTACGTGGAGATACATACGAAAGGTGGTTCTTATCAGTTTGCATCTTCGTCGCTAGGGCTTCATAGGGCATGATGGCCTCACATTTCGACCGGGATCAATCCTCGTTCTCTGCCAAGGCCTAACCCTATCCCTTTCGCCATCACCGCAAGCAGGTTGGAGGGCCCCCGGTAAATGGACAGCGATGGTGATTCCTTCTAGGGGATTTCAAGGTTCTAGCCCCTGAAGGACAAAGTGGATTGGCGGTCAGCCCGTGGGGCCCTAGCTTTACGCCACCTCCTGGTCTTGGTAATCTGTCTGGCTGACGCGCCCACGACTGTGCCACGCTCCATGCGCGGCCAGTGCACGATTATTCTGGAGTTGGTTGTTTGTCTCCTGGAGTCCTGGGTCTGGGTCCAAGGTCCTGGTTGAATCGTCAGCTGTTACAAAGAGCGCACTGAATTGCCCATGGGTTAAACATGTAGATCTCCTTGAAAGAGTGTGCAACAATCATAATACCACAGTACTCTGTACTCGTACTTCGGATTTCATCACCTGCCGGGATTCTGTCATCTGGAGACTGATCTGGCTCAAGGATGTCAGATCCTGCGTCGGAAGTACTATGTTTGGAGAGGATGCACATTGAACCACAATTGTCCACGCACGCAAAGCTCGTACTGGTCTCCATCTCTTCGGAGTCCTGTGAATGACTGTGTATCTATTTATTGCTACCTGGGCATTGTTGACTTCCAGACACGAGAGAGGAAGCGAGCCTGCAGTTGTCACCTGCAGATTACGCCGATGGGGAGTCCTCACTTACTGTTATGACGATCTCTGGCGCTGGTCTTTGTCTCTTGTCATTATCAATATTGTCTATAACCACTCCAAACAGCTGGGAAGTTGGGATCAGTGTGTACTCGTACTCCTAAGAAAATCCAAGAGGTTAATCTTGAATTGCTTCTCCACCAGCACTACCATAGGCCAGGCACGAGCACTCAAGAGCGGCGCTGGAAAGGCAGGGCCCCTAAGTTAAGCCTTAGGCGGCTTACGAGGAGGCTTCCTAGTGGTACTTCGTAGCTTCCAGGCCCTTTGTGCCCAGGAACCGCAAACAGAGCCCCACTATTCTCTGGCCATGTCGTTTTAGGCAAAGCCAAGGCACCCCTAATCGTGCGCTTCGGGGACCACCCTACCTTAGCGACTGCTCTCACGACCATTTGCACCTGCACCTACACCCTACCACCACTATCCGTATCTTGACTCAACTCAGCCTCCAAACCAACTTTCCTACTGCTATGTACAGCTTCACCATCTCTTGATTTGAGAGACCTTCCATTCGTTTGAACACCACTTGTCACTATCCCGTATTCATTCCTCACTCAGCCTCTTCCATCCCCTATCGACAACCCTTCCTCCACCGCGGAGCTCTTTCTTCTTTCCTGCAGGCCAGAAAGGAGAATCTCGCTCGGTCTCAACAATCACCGCGATTCTCCAAACAACTGCAACCTCACCCTCTATTTGTTGCCTGTCGTACCCGTCTTACGCCTCAAGGCCACCTATACTTCTGCCCTGCGTTCCTCCGCCTAATATACACATCTTACGCTGACTCCGCGTCGGTCGAACCACGACCAAAGTCCCGATCAATCTATCAGCCTGAGCCCACTTGTCTGTCAAGATACTTTTCCAGCCTGACTCAGTTCCCACCACTACACCGACTACATTATTTTGTAAAAGATTTACGTCTACAAACCAAGATTATCAACCTTCACTCGATCAATCCTGCGGCGATCGATCTCTTTGACGACGAGTCGGTCGCCACAATATAATGTCGTCCCACAGCAATTCTCCACCACCACCTCGAGTCCCTCCCCACATACGGTTGAACTCGGGCCAGGAGGACATTGTCACCAATGATGCTAATAGTTCGTCCAGGACGCTTGTTCCTACCTCCTCGAGGCCAGGCACAGGCTCGCGGTTACAAAATGTCTATAGTTCAGAGCAAATGCAAGACTCAGCAGAAAGGCTGTTACCACCGTCAAGGACAAACCGGTTTCGAGACGACGGCTCTCCTTTAAGATCTCCCGCACGCTCAAGCTACTCCTCACGGCGCTCTAGTTGGGAATCAGACAGAAGTAGAGATAGCAGAGGTTTCGAGAATCCTTTCCGAGATTCAAGTCAATCGAGACCAGGCTCACGAGCTGGAAGCGACGAGAACGATGTCAACACACAAACTGTTTCCGAAAAGTATAACATTCTCCCCTCAGCTGGTCTCCTATTATTCCCTGAAGACGTCGAAAAGGACGACTATTTACATAATCCAGACCCGGCGGGAGAACAACGCGACTGTGATATTTTTACCAAGCGAGGTTTTGTCAATATCGGTGGCTTAGGTTTAATTGTATTAGGGATCCTCACCTTATTCGTTGGGTACCCTGTCATGTATGGAAGCCTCCCCCATCTCGCATTTTGTTTGCTAACAAGCTACACAGAAGTTTCGTCCAAAAATATACAGCAACCACAGATCCTTGTGCAGTCAACAATGACTGTATCAATACCGGGAAAGTACCTCTCTTGAAGAATATGAGATCAACTCTCATCGACCCTCACACACCCGAATCCGCCAAAACCAAAAAGGACTTCCATGGCAATACATGGAATCTGGTGTTTTCCGATGAATTCTCCGAACCAGGCCGTACCTTCTATGATGGCGATGATCCATACTGGACTGCGGTGGATATCTGGTATGGCGTGACAAGAGATCTGGAATGGTACGACCCCGACGCTGCGACAACGAACGATGGTGTCTTGGAGTTGCGTTTTGATGCTTTCCAGAACCATGGTTTAAATTATCGATCTGGTATGGTCCAATCATGGAATCAGATGTGTTTCAAAGGAGGTAGACTTGAAGCCTCGATTTCTCTCCCTGGAAGAGGCGACACCGTTGGGTTCTGGCCTGGGTTTTGGTCAATGGGCAATCTGGGCAGAGCGGGCTATGCAGCCACTACAGACGGTCTGTGGCCATATTCTTACGACCACGTCTGTGACGCCGGAATCACGGCCAACCAAAGTTCCCCCGATGGCATTAACTACCTTCCGGGAATGAGACTTCCAGCCTGCACTTGCTCAGGTGAAGATCATCCCACTCCTGGGAAATCGCGATCTGCTCCTGAAATCGATGCCTTGGAAGCAAGTAACGCCGCATTCGATGATACCGGTTACGTTATCGGCCACGTCTCACAGAGTTTCCAGGTGGCACCTTTCGACATCTGGTACCAGCCAAACTACGACTTTGTTGAAGTGTTTGATTTCTCCATCACACAAATGAACACCTACAAAGGTGGGCCGTTCCAGCAAGCTGTTTCCGGCCTTTCCAATCTGAACAACGACTGGTACGACGGAAATGCATATCAGGTCTATGCCTTTGAATATACTCCTGGAGCCGATGGTGATATTATTTGGTATGTCGGTGACAAAACCCCCGTCTGGCGAATGCAGGCGCAGGCTCTAGCGCCAAACGGCAACGTCGCTCAGCGTACTGTAGCCGAGGAACCTATGTCTGTGATTGTCAATTTCGGCATGTCTCCTGGATTCTCGCCTCTCAACATGACTGGCCTTGCACCGCTTATGCCTGCCACAATGCGGATCGACTACATTCGTATCTATCAAGATGGCGATATGGAGTTGACGTGTGACCCTGAAGGCTTCGAGACCACTGGATATATCAAAGACCACTACGACATATACCACAATCCGAACATTACCAATTGGTGAGTTTTCTGAGTAAACGACGCTTAACTTTCGCAAGCTAATCAAATACACAGGCCGGACACTGGCTATCCATGGCCGAAGAATTCCCTTGTTGACGGTTGTTAGTTCTAATTTATAATTTCACGACCGAACTTGCCAACCAGGAGTATCTGGTCTGTACAGATTTGTTTGAAAATTTCTCGAATTAGCGGCATGTCAAACAAGCACAGTGGCGTTCAGGCTATGCTTTACAGGCAGGAATCGGACGGATTACGGAGTATCCCATTGGATTATGGGCAGCATCACTTTTGTCTAAAATTACGAACAAGAAGGGAATGATGATCCTTCCCGGTACAAATCAGTCGATTGAACATTTGTCAAAAATGGTCGAGGCAAAGGAACTAAGTGAAGAACGCCGGGCACCAGAGCGTGCTTGGTTCAGGAGTTGAGACATCTCAATAGACCTCTCCAAGAAGACATGAGTCTCGAGCACAGCGTAATAGGAGACATTGGTCTACAGAGCATTCAAATGGAAAAAAATTGTAAATTCCACCACGCTCCTCAGGATCCCTTCCCTAACAGTATATATAGTCCGAGTACTCTATAGGCTACCTCTATTACTCGAGAACGAAAAACCTAGTTACTATTTACGGTTTGATCATAGAGGGTGAGCGAAGGCCGCTTTAACCTGAGCTTCAACTGAGCCTTTGGCTGAGCAGCTGCTGCCCCTTCCTTGCACATAAGACCACTGACTGGTACTTCCATACAACCAAGGACCAACCAGAATATGGTCATACGTGCCTTCGTATCTCCTGCCGCCTCGGTCAACTAAAATAGTCCTTGCACGTGATTATTTCGTCGTTTCAGATCAGGCGCTATTAATAAAGGTTGGATGATGTTTTCATCGAATTTGCCCAAGAGTTTTCGTATCGACTTCGACGAGTTTGAATGCGAAGTGGAAGCGTGCGGTGTCCTTGAAAGAGATTCGACTGAGAAACTGAGAAATTTACACGTCGGGTTGCTTGTCATCTTGCGAAAGTACCCGAAATGGGGAAATTGAACGAGGTAGGTCAACAGATCGCAACACTTAGTAGGCACTGTAATTGAAGAAATTCTATATAAGGAATTCTAGCTTTAGGCTGCAACTCGAAATGCGCAAAGGTTCATGCACTTACCCTATGCCACGTGTTTGGTACAGCCGTGTGCCCTGCATCGAATACAACCGTGATGGCGCCCCTCTTCAAATGATTACATGCGACCGGCAGGCACGGCTGTCAGAGTTTGTAAACGAAGCAAGCCAATCTTCAACCTTCGCTGACTGTTGATTAGGAAGAAATGAACACTGACATAGCTGACCACTGAGACAATCAGAAATCTTAGAGGCTTGTCCGATGTCAAGGCTTCGAAACAGCATCAATAGGCTACTTAGAGGCCAATGATTCGCCATGCTCAATGTAGGGAAGACATTTCTGAAAAATTGATTTCCAAAATCTCAAAAGAGGTCTCCCGCATCGGTTGCTACGCGAGAGCTCAAATGGACACTAAATGTAGCGCCTGGATCGTCCTGAGACGACGGTAAAGCTCTTCAGGGTTCCTAGATGCTGTTGGGACCCTTTTCAAGCCGTTTGAACGATGGCTTGCGTACGATCGCAAAAGCCCTTTCGCAACCGTTTCGAAATCTGCCGACTCGGCCGCTTCAGAAAAATACCTCATCGACGGCATTGCCAAAAGACCCAGTCGAAGAATGCTCCGTAATCGACTCTTGTCGCAAGCTTGGCTCAGGCTGTAAATATTGTGCTGGTCCTCTTCACGGATGGCATGCCGCAAGGACTCAGCCAGATGTATATCATCGCTCAGTAACTCTAGAGAGGTGGCCAAGTCCTCATAATCTCCTTCCCCGAAACCTACCAAGTTCCTGTCCTTGAGAGCCTGCATGCGAAGGAGAGGGAACTCACCGTCCTGATCGTATGAAGCCAATAAATCCGTGAGTGACAAGTTTCGATCTAGAAAGCGGAAGCTAACGTCTCGTGACACGGCACATTCCTGAACAGTCCATAGACGTTTGGCCCAGAGTGAATACCGAATTCTAGTGAGGTTCTCCTGGGGCAAACCCACAGGCGTATGGCGGAGACCCGAGTCTAACACCAAGACTTTCCGAGCGAATTTGAAGACATATTGAAGATTCCTGAGAGCAGAACGCTTTGCACTTCCACCAAGAGGAACACAGAGGGTGTCGACATAGAACGGTACTGGCTGCGGAGCCGTCGGGAAGAGTTGATTGCTCATCTGTTGCAGGAGCGAAATTTGACACGTAGGAAGACTGTTCGATTCGCTTGAGCCGAGCCCATCGGCACGGACATGAGAGAAGGCAACGAAGGGGATGTTGTCCTCTCTCAACAAGACAGAGGCCTGGTGCACCTGCAGTGTCTCACTTCCAGTCAGGCCAGTTAGCGAGACTAGGAAGAAGGAGTCCTTGAGGTCTTGTGTTGCGGGTAGCTTGGACGAGAGTAATTTGCATTGACAATGTAGCCCTACATGGATGGCAGAATAGTGGTCTTTCCCGGCTTTGTTCTTGTCAGAAAGGGTCGACAATTTGCGCGAGCTAGGATGTAAAACTTGGTTTCGCGAAAACAGACTCAAGTAGTAACGGAAACGAATGTCTTTGGGCATGTGACAAATCTCGTCAGGAAGCCAGCCTGCATCGCTAAGCAGTCGATCAATAAAGGGGCTCTCGATCCAGTAGAAGCTCGGATTTTCTACTACTTGTTGAAAAGGCCACTGGTCTTGCAAGATCCGAGTGTCCCATATTGTCTCGATCAGTGCTTGGATCGAGAGAATGACAAGTGGTAGTGGCGCAGGTAAGCCGTCTTGGAAGGCATGCAAACACTCGTGTGGCAACCTAGCCATGGCGCTCTTCAGGGTCACTACTGTAGCTGAAAGTTGTGCCTCCATCTCTGCACCTGAAGGCAACTGTCGATCAGACTGCCGCTTTGCTCGGATGTTTCTCCACCGTTTCAAGACAGAAGGAAGCCGGCTAGCCGACACAACTAGCTGTCCTGAGCTTGAACTGGTCAGGAAGTCTTCTCGTTCAAGATCGATGTCAGGCTTTGTGGCTGCTTCCAGAAGCCCAAAGTATAGGCTATGTTGTAGAGCTGCCGCTTCGTCTTGCGTGGGCAGCCTCGTTACGCAGCCATTTTCTTTGTGCTTTCCGTCTCCTGGTTTCGTGACTTCGGTGGGCTTGGAGTCGACTATTGGTGGGCATAGGTAGGGGATGTGCAATTGTCCATGGGCCGGCTCGACTGTCACTCGCGGCAGGAAGTCCATGAGGAGAACAGTGAACGTTCGAATCGGTGCAGGTCAAAAGTGAAGAGGGTGTGACGAACTGGCTGTATCAGTGAGTGGAAGCGCAACACGATATAGTAAGCGGCACCGGCACACGCATAGAACATACATGATTCTGCTTGGAGCCATATATGAGGTGTGACCCGGCAGTCCCAACGTTGGTTGACCTTTGAAAGTCAGTCCATTTCGACTGAGAACGCTAGGAATGCTCTGCTTGTTGGGGCAAGACAGGCTACCGCTAGCTGACTCCCATTTGGAAGCCTGTTAATGCGAGCCCCGGGGCGTGTTAGTGGGAGGTGGCAGCAGCTCAAGAGCTCAAGGTTTCAGACAAGTCAAGATCCAAATTGATTCATTTGTTCGATCCTGGAGCCTAGATAAGCCTTCTAATTTCTCGAAATTCTAGTTATCCCGAAGTTTGGTAGTCTCCCACACTCTAATTATGACGCACTGCCCCATCCTTCCGCGCGGGGGACTTGACAACTCTGCCTGTGATCGCCAGAATTCATTTCCGGGCAATCCCCCACCAAAGTTTAGATGCCACGCGACCAGCCTCGTGTACAGAGGACGGAGTACGGAGTCCTTGCACAAGGTACTCGTAGACGAAGCAAACCTTGGGCTTCCGCGATGCGTCCACTCCACCTGTGCCTGTATCAATAGCGAGGTGTCTGAGCCAATCTCCACTGCCTCTACGGCCTCCTCTTGTCGAATCTATCTCGGGACGAGGTACGAGTTATGGAGGACTGGTCTCCAAACTTCGACTACACTGACCAGGAGCTTGAACTACTCCGTATTGCTGAGAGATGGATTGAGCATAATCCGTATGGATTATTGCCCGGCCCCGAGACTGTGGCGCTTGAGTCATTCGATCAAGGTTTTACCCACAACCCGATACCCTACATCCCTGACAACGCAGATTCTGGCTGTGCTCCGGCGTATTGACCTCAAGATACAGAGTGCCTCATCAGACGCCTCTGAAGTCGTCGCCACAAACTCGAATAAGATACATAGGATCACTAGCTATGAATCTAGATCGATATGTCCTTCTCCACGGTTATAATACATATCTCAGAGCCCGATCAGGCAGATCTTTGTGTCCCGGTATTCCCTGCAACAGTCCGGACTACTGTACTCGGGGAATAAAGACCATTACAGGAGTTTGGTTCATCCGGCCCGGCCCAGTGCTGACCAGCTTCCTTGTCGTCCTCTTCGATGGCCAGTGCCACAATGACAATTCTCATCACCTTGAAGGCCAGCTCGCCGTGCAAATATCATGCCAAAGCCGGGGTCATAAGTTGTCAATCAATTGATGCGAAGATGCATTCCAACCTTTCTCGGCTGCATAGCGCCCTTCAGCTGTATCGCGTACGCAAGACGGAGTACCCACCTCGAACTAATTACTGAGCCCCGCGTGAGCAGCAGGGCCGAAGCGAAGAACCTTAGCGAGAACCCTTGAAGTGCGTTTCGGCTCGTTCAGTCCACCATTGAGAGCCTGCACATCCTTTCAGCTCACACAAACTTCGTTTGTGGCTTAGCCCCCACCGGCACCAAGTTCACCGGTTGCTGCTTCTTTCTCAATAGCTTCAGTTCGAACTGCGCAGCCTGATGGGGCCGATGAAAAGCAAGCTGGTGCAGTTAAAGATGCTCTGCTGCTGGGACACTCCTCCTTCCACTAAAACTTCTTATCATGTTTCAGAATAGTTGTTGCCATCATGACGAGCGCAACTACGTTTGTAGCCCTTGATGTCTTGTTCCTATTTACTGTAATCTACTTTGCTGGTAAGATTGAAAATGTTGTCTACTTCGAATTCGTGCTTACGTGGAGATTAGGACCAACGGACGCGTCACCGCTAGTCCGTCGGTTCAATTCGATCCATTTGATACCAAGATGGACGCGGCCATGGCAGAATGAAACAGGTTCAGACATTTTCCGTAGCCAGATGGAAAACCCTTCCGAAGTCTTCTCCGTCCTGCTCATCATCGGCGGCGACATTGTCCAAAAGGCAGTGGCTCAGATGAGCGGACATCGGATCACTTTCGTCGCTTTCTCTTTCGGATGGGTCGCGTATGCATTCAACAGTCTCATGTCTGCATTTGGCGATGGGAGTCTCATGCCAGATCCAGAATTCTCTTCAGAAGTAATTAACGTGAAGTCGGGCATCAAGAAGCAGAACAATTCTTGGCTTCTATGTCGCTTGATTCGCGATCTAGAGCGGGAAGTAACGAAGAACTGGACGACCTGGTATGAGGTGGATGACCAGGCAACAACTGATGATTGGATTGAGACCCAGGACCCCAGTGTTAAATGTAATCGCGCTGGTGAAGGGATTAGCTCTCTTCTTGTTACCATTTGTGAGGTGAGTCTTGTCCTAGAATCAGACGCTATAGAATCACATCCCCCACCCAGTACTCTTGAAATCAAAGTAAAAAAAGCTGAAGAACAGAATATGCATACACTCTTACCTCGATACGCTCCTGAGCCTCCTATGCCATTGCTCGACACGCGGGATCTTGACTGACGTCCAAAGGCATTACCAGGGGCGGCAAACCCACATCGGGGCTGGCATTTTGTGATCTATGTCGCCATAATAATAATTCAACATGCCGTCGCCATGATTCCCATTATCCTGTACGGGAACTGGTCCGTTTTATTCATCACCGGCATTGGTACCATCCTCGCCGTCTGCACAACTTCCTTGAGCGAATGGCGCCTCGAGAAGTACCAAGCAAGACGGCATTCCAAGAACTCATATGCTATCACTCGCGGAAACGGCCACCGTCATGTCTTTGTGATCAAGGCCGGCACGAAGGCAGATGGCAAATTCCCTGGTCTCTTCTTGGATGATCTCGCTGGTGCTGTTCGCAAAGCAGGTGACGGAACACGGCTCAAAACGGTGGGCCTCGCTATCGCGTGGGTCTCGTTCCTCATCGCCGCTGGTGGTCTCAAGGATCACACATGGTACGTGCTGATCGTCGGCATCATTGGCATGGCACAAAACATCTGGGTAGCTGGCCACCACCAAACTTCAAAAGCTCACGGGATCCCAGTCCACATCGTACACACGCACGGGCTCAACCCTGTTCCCCTTGGTAAACATCCCACCACCTACACAAAACGAGGAGCTAAACCGGTGTACGAGGCCAGCCGCGGAATGAAAGTCATGGAGGTCCTCATGGAAGTTGAGAAGGACCATCCAACCATCGGAGCTGCATTGCAGCCTGAGTTCTTCCCTCCCGGTTCGCTGCGAAAGTATGAGGCCGATTGGTGGGCTGAAGCAAAGGCCCATCGTAAAGATCCGACCAAACCTTTCCCTGCAATTCTTCCTGCGCCGGTGCCGGCGCCTCCGCCTTGACGAGCGTAATAATGACCATAGTTCTTGATTTAGATTGATCAAAAGTAAGCGTCCACCTACAATTGCACCTTAGACATTTTGGCAAACTGAAAGGCTTTTTCGTCTGCTAGGAGGGAAATTGCCTGACAGAAAGGCAGGGCAGATTTTTGGATGCGACTGATCCATACGCTTTGGTAGCAATTAAGACAGATTCTGAAAGGACCGCGAGTGCGCGTGGAAAACTGTCGAAGAGACTTCATAGAGATTGAGACAATGAAATCCTCTAGTACTATGCAACCCTCCATCTAACACACTACTAGTGACATCCCTAGCGGTATATTGACTGATTAGTTGACTGATTAATTGAAGAAAGGAAGGTCAAGAATAGAAAACGAGGTCCAAGGTTTTAGAAGTTTGGATTTTTGGCAAACTGATCCAATATTAGGGATCAATATAGATTCACGCCTATTTATGAGGCGGTATGAATGGTAGGGCAAGCTAAGATTGCTTTCTGTGGTGTGAAGTACTGAAAAGTGTAGTTCCTCCATGTCAAGAAACAGTGCCTGCTCTTTTGCTCGTTTCCTGTCCCAAGATATTCGCTCGTCAGATAGAGGTATGGTGAACCTTTTGTAGGTTCAGCGTAGGGATCGCAACTTGCACTCAAAAATGTTGGGTTTGAACCTCTTGCTTTTCTATATGAGAGAGGTGCCAGCCTCTAGTTTTATATGTAAATGGAAAACAAGGAGAGTTGAGTAATAGGGATTTTGCACTGAAGTTGCCTCCCTCCGTGATTTCCTTGCATTGCCAATCAGCTTCTTCCAACACCGAGTTGCACTTGCTCCTGAGGCAAGTGCCCTTTGCGAGAGAGGCTTTCTGTGCTTATATCGATGCTAATGAGGCCTTGCCTGAGACCAAAACCTTCTTTGGATCCTGATTGGCTGTGCCATCGTCGAGGCTGAGATTTGTACGGCGCGGCGGAGAGATCCCAGTTGACAGATATAAATTCAAGCCAAAAATTGCATCCATGGTATCATATCAAAGAGCTTGAGCGCTATAAACAAGAACACCTTCGCTGAGATCAAATGCTGTGGAAACGGTGCAGGGATTGAAGTCTGAAATGAAGGAATATAATTGATAATCAATACAGTAGTATCATTCAACGAGCGGGTAGGTATTATTAGGTCCCTTACTTAGTTTGATAGCATCTTACGTGGCATCTGCACCACCTTCTCGTGACCACGAGCTGATGCTGCTTGTAGTGCATTGCCATACTCTTCTCCTTGGGTATTGACATCTGCACCCCTGTCGAGGGATATGGCTACGGCCCAGGCGGCTCTCTCATGTTGCTTTGTGGCTGATGTGATGAGAGTGGCTGACTGGTGGTGAAGCTGTGGCTGTGATGTTACTTGTCATTTACAATCCACCATAAATGAAGTGGGAGAGGAGAGGCCAACAAGCTCAGGCAAAACTCCGGGAGCGCTCAGGGATGGCTCAGGAAGCAGAAGATGAGCCGAGGGTGAGCGGAGCGGCGAGCGACTAATTAGAAGGGGACGACGCAAGGATAGGTTTTTCATCTCAGACTACTATAATTAGTAGGTAGTACGGAGGTGTTCACCAAAAGTTGTGTACGCGCTAGTAGAGAATAACGTAGCTTTCTAATGACACTGTCATAATTTTGAAAGACATGTTCAATTTTAATTGCGTTTCTACAGCAACACTCCCTAGAGATTCTCTTCAGCCCTAATAGATGTCTAATAGTACTCAAAGTTAGCTTCAGTTAGTGGGACATCTTAGGGGGGATTAGGTATCCTATTCCCTAACGAGGCCTAACTAGCCTAGAATAAATAATCTGTCAGACTAGATTATATTGTAAAATATTACGATGGCCCGGTATTTCAAAAAGCCTCTTGCACAACTTTTGATGCACACCTCCATAGTACGTAGTACTCTAAGTCAGTGCAGGAACCCCAACTGTGGGTTCAGTCGCAAGGGGTTGATCCCACGTGACCGCATATATGTAGAGCCTCGTTACTACCGTCGAGGGCCTGGTGGTTAGTGGGTTCACTGCACAGGATGTCCCTGCCTCGTAGGATTGTTTTCTTACAAGTAGGAATATAATATTCTTCCTGTCTTCGATAACTCAACACAATCAATATTTCCTTCAGAAGTTTTTCCCTGTCCGCGACTCCAAATTCGTTAGTCAGCACTCAGCACAGGCTCAAATTGACCATTCGGCTAGTCCTTACTCCTCACTCTATTCCTGCAACACCTCCTCCGTCCATGTCTGAAACATCCAGCTCAGGACAATTTGACTCACAGAAGTCGGCCCCTGCACCTACGTCTGCTCCGTCCGCAACGCTGGGAACCCTCCCACGGCATACGGTAAATCATCGAGCTTGCAAAGAGTGCCGCCAGCAGAAGCTCCGGTGCGACCTAGTCAATGCGGAGGATGCTGAGTCAAGCAACTGCTCACGATGCCGAAAATTAGGATTAGATTGCAGAATTGAGGAAACGTTCAAGAGAACCAGAAAGAGAAAGAGATCGCGTGACTATGAGCAAGAGATCGAACAGCTAAAGCAGCAACTTTCTGTACAGACAGCCAGCCCGCCATTGTTATGGAGTACCTCTGCGCCGGCCGCAGCTGCGGCTTCGTTGACCGGCCCAATCGAGGGCATTTCTCAAGAGGAAAGGAGCGGCGCAGACGTGCCATTGTTTAAGGCCATGACTCTATCCACGACTGTACCAGAGGGCGTCTCGCCCGGAGCTCCTGATCCCTCCATCATTCCAGGAGTAACCACCGTCCCCCTAGATACAAGTCTGGTATCGCGAAGACTAACGGCGACATTGAACACTGGCCGAGTAGTTCTCGGCCATATCGAGCTGAGTGCGCAAGACGTCAACGAGCTTTTCGACCTTTACTTCCTAACATATCATCCTTATCTGCCGTTCCTTGACAGTGCAACCACTCCACAGCAATACCTTGAGGCCTCTCCCCCGCTTTTCTGGATGATTATCTCAATTGCAGCGCGACGTCTATCCACAAATCCAACGCTGCTGACAGGACTAGCCAGATCAGTCCCGGATCTTGTTTGGAAAGCACTCCAGGGTTTGCCACACACCCTGGGCTTGATACAATGCCTGATCTTGAGTTGTACGTGGCCGTTTCCTGTGAGCAGCACCACCATCGATCCGTCGTACATGCATGTCGGTATAATGATGCAAGCTGCTATGCAAATGGGCTTGCACAGACCAGCAAATCCGGAGGACTTCACAAAATACCACTTGAAGCTGAGCAATGGCCAAATTGCCGAACGACGACGCACATGGATTGCATGCAACATCGTTGCACGCTTAGTGAGCATGGGCGTTGGCCTACCAACTCCTTCCCCATTGACCAACCCATCCTTAATGTCTCTTTCCAATCTGGATGCGATGCAAGACCACCAGTTGGATTTTGTTCTCAGGTGCACTGAGAGACTCCACGTTCCAGACTTAAGTTCTTCACGCGATCGCCCTACTCTATATGCTATCCTAGAACACGAAATCTCCCAGCTGGAAGCTAACATGGATGCAGCATCAAAGTATCAAGTCCTCTACCTGCTCAGCACTAAACTTAATCTTCAGACCTGGTTTTTGTTCGACGAACCAGCGGTACCAGGTTACGCCCACCGAATTGGTATGCTGTATTCCACTGCTTGTGCTATGGTTCAGCATATTCAACCATTTCAAGAGGGCCAATTCCCAAACGACCTCCCGAGTTCCCTGCCCTTCTTTTGCTACCAGAGCTTTGTTTGTGCTGCGTTTGTGCTGCTCAAGATCTTAAAGAATGCTTATTTCGCGTCGATTCTAGATGCTGCTTCTGGAACCAAGCTTTTAAACTGTGCTATCATGTCGCTACGACGGATTTCGGTCACCAATAACGATTTGCCAGGCAGATTGAGCGACGTCCTTGCTTATCTTTGGACCTATCCCGAACGAACTCTTGTCAGTGGACAGGATATTCGAGGACTCAAGTTGAAGGTTCAAAGTCGAATGAGCATGAGCATCGTCTACGACTCTCTCTGGCGATGGCGAGAACAATTTCAACGCGACCAAGCTTCGGGGGTGACCATTGAGCAGAATAATGGTAAGAATTGCTCCATTTCTATGTCTTTGCCTAGAATCCTGTACTGATATTGAGGGAGAAATCAACATGGATGGTGATGGTGCATTCATTCTCAACCAGCCGTTTCATCCCAGTGATTTGGCTGATTTTGTCACCGACAGTCTGGATTTCAACTGGATCGCTGATTTTGGTTGAATAGCCAGGTTCAAGCCCAGGCTTTTGCTGGTCGGAGCTTAGAAGATTTGTGCCTCATGCTCTCTTGTTATTCAGAGAGCTTGGGCTCGACTCGGTGTTTCTCGGATTCAACGAGCATTCTGCACACGCCCCCGTGCATGCAATGGCCATTGGTGATATAGCTCTAGCTTGAAGCAAACCGTGAATATCGTACATGAATGGTAGTTGCCTGAAAAGCGACGAGATACTAAGCAGCGTACACTGTGCGCATTCTTTCAGAACGCATATTGATTACTCAGGTAAGCATCTATCTAATTTATTCAGACTTTTGTGTACATTTGACCTCCAGCCGCAAGATCTATGGCCGTGGCCTCTTTTAACCCGACGACTGTGAACAGCTTCTTTGGTGTAAAATCACTAGCAAGCCCAGTTCGGCCACTTGTCTTTATCATCTCAAGTGTGTGCTTGATCGCCTCATATGCTGGGCCAATCGCCGCAAAGGGAAAGATGATTATTTTGAAACCAAGGTCCTCAGCCTCTTGTGGAGTTATCGAAGGAGTTGCACCGTGCTCCACCATGTTCAAGAGCACTGGCCGAGGTGCAAGAATCCTGCAAACTTCCTTCGCCTCTTCGCGGGAGGTTATGCCTTCAAGGAAAGCAACATCTGCACCTGCCTCAAAGGCGGCTTGAAGCCGTTTTATGGCTTCCTCGAAACCATGCGTCTGCAAAGCATCAGTCCGAGCGATTATCACGATGTCCGAAGACAGCCTTTCGCGTGCCTGCACTGCCGCTGTGATGCGTTGTGTGAATATTTCGGTACTGACGACCTCCTTTCCACCCAAATGTCCGCATCTCTTGGTTGTAATTTGGTCTTCAATGTGCAGACCTGCCACTCCACTCCGATGGTATTGGGCAACCGTTCTTGCCACCATGTTAGGTCCCCCATACCCTGTATCGGCATCTGCGATCAGCGGAATGGAGGGGTTCAGGTTTGCGATCATTTCAGCATGTTCACGCATGTCATTTAGGCTCGCAAGCCCCAAGTCAGGCTGTCCAAGCTTCGAAGCACAAGTTCCAGCGCCCGTCTGTAAGCGTCAGCTGGCAGGAAAGGTATGTTTGAGAAGCGTGGTTTACCATGTAAATGCAGTCAAACCCCACTTCATGTGCAATTCTTGCACTGAATCCATCGTATACCCCGGGTGCCACGATGATCCCTTCTTGATCCAGCATCCTTCGAAGCCTTTTTGCGGCTAGGAGTGTCGATGGAAGCTTTCCATCTGCTGTGTTTGTTCCATCAGCTGAAGACATGGTGAAATGGCTGTGTTGAACTTCTCAAGCACTGAATATACTTCTAGATTTGGTCGGTTGAGGTACTAGCTACCTAGAGAGGGGCATAGCCTTTGCCTTTTATCGTCTCATCACATAACTGACTCCGCCGAACCGGTCTCTCCTCAGGTCCATCCAGTTGTTGGTTCGTGCCGATCGGCCTCCGGTTCGGGTTGCCGATCGGCCTCGCCAAGTCTCTCCGCTGCCATCAACATCTGCTTCCAAAAGCTGTGGTGCAGCACACCCACTCCTCGACCCTGTACGGGGTACAGAGTATAATGCTGGAGGTAAGACCGCCGATGCGGAGGTCAAGCTTCGTAAGAGGTCGGGCTGTTTGGCCCACTCAGGACAGATCTAGCGTAAGACAACAAATTCCCTGATGGTTATAAAACGGCTCCTTCATTCTTTGCCGGACAACTTTTTCACCATGTTGATTCGGATATATCTAAATTCTCACTCGAGGTTAACCTGAAGAAAAACTCTCCTATCATATCTCGTTCGACACGCAACAATGGCAGAGAAAATGATTACTGGATCTGCGGAGCGTGTCTCGACGCAAGACAAGACCGATATCCTACAAAATGAGCATATTAAATTCAACCAGAACATTGATGATGACTGGAGAGTCAAGGAGAAGAAGCTCGTGAGAAAGTTGGATATGACGCTGATGCCCGTGGTTTGGGTCCTATACTTGTTCAACTATCTCGATCGCAATAATATTGCGTATGTGGAGAACGCTTCTTTCCACAAAAACAGCGGCTAACTGTTCGCAGGCAAGCGAGATTGAACAGCTTTGAAGGCGACTTGGGTTTAGTTGGCAACCAGTTCAACGTTGCAGTGTCCATCCTCAACGTTGGGTATAGCTGCCTTACCCCTCGAAGACCTGGATGCTAACGATGATCAGTTATATGCTTGCACAGCTGCCCTCGAACATGATATTGACACGAGTTCGACCCAGTATATACCTCCCATTGTGCGCGGCCATTTGGTCTTGCGTCTCGGGATCGACTGCGGGGGCACATAATTTCAGTGGCTTGATCGCAACTCGATTCTTTTTGGGTATCGTCGAGGCTCCCTTTTTTCCAGGAGTAAGGTGGGTGACGAAATGCTGCGCTCACTGTTACTGATGAGTGACCGATAGGCATTCTTCGTCCTTTAATGCTGGTATACGCGCCGAGAACTGGCTCTGCGCACGGCCATCCTTTATTCCGGGCTAGTTCTCGCAACTGCTTTCTCGGGGCTTGTAGCCGCAGGGATCTTCGCGGGTCTTGATGGCACCGCCGGCCTTGCTGGCTGGCGGTGGCTGTTCATCATCGAGTCGGCTGCTAGCTTTGTTGCCGCCATCGCTGCAATGTTCATTCTGCCTGACTACCCTGAATCGAAGACTGGTAGTGGTCGCTGGCTGTTCACCGAGAGCGAGCGCCAATTCGCCGTCGAAAGAATTGCTCGCGACCGTGTCTCTACACCGGAAAATGATAGATCGGTGTTTCATGGCCTCAAGCTTGCCGTGGTGGACTACAGGACCTGGATCTTTGTCCTTCTGCTCTGTGCCAATCATACCGCGTACGGGTTCAACAACTGTAAGCCCCACAATAACATCCTCCGATCTTCCTACTAACTTATGTTGAAGACTTCCCAACCATCATGAAGGCCTTCAACCTCGGCAATACCACTCTCACTCTTATCCTTACCTCCCCGCCATACCTTGTCGGCGCGATCATATCTTTCCTTGTCGCCTTTTCCAGTGACCGCAATAATGAGCGTGGTTTCCACATTGCGGTGCCAATAGCAGTCGCAGTCGTCGGGTTTGTCATCAGCGTTAGTACCCTCAACGTACCAGCTCGATACTTCGGCTCCTTCCTCTACACATCCGGCTGTTTCTCCGCAAACGCCATGGTCTATAGCTGGGCGGCCAGCACGTTGAACCAGACATCAGAGAAGCGTGCGTGTGCGACGTCCATTGTCAATCTACTGAGCCAGTTCGGGAACGTTTGGAGTCCATATTTCTTTCCGAAAGCTGATGGGCCACGATATTTGATGGCTATGTTGTTGATGATGGGCTTTTCCTTCTTGAGTATTGTTTGTTGTATGGTCATGAAGTGTGATCTGAAGAGGGCTAATCACAGGTTGAAAGCGAAAGGGGAAGAGGAGGGTAAGGATGTCGTGCTGTTCGCCTTGTGAAAACATCAGGTTGGTTTTGAGCCGGATGATCAGTTGCTGTGATCTCAAATGTCTGAGTGTGCAACAAAATCGGATTGGTTGGGGTTTGGTTTATTCAAGTCTGTGCTAGGAATGCCATAATTCTTTACTTTTATTCACTATCTGCATGTTTCCTTCTATTCTGCTCGCAAAATATCAGTTGCTACTGCAATGTCTCACGCAAATAATCGCTACACGATAGTCTCTGCACAATATAGAAGTGTTCGATCAACTGCGAGCCCTTTCCTTGTCGTGTGCCGCTTCCCGTCAGTGTTCTGTCTTCATTGAGCACAGAAAGATGGAGTGAGTGGTGGTATGGAACTTGCCGTCAAAGCGTGCAGGGGTGAAGGGGTTTCAAAAAGCGGCTTCTAAGCTTTTCTTAACCTCGTCATCAAAGCGGGAGTCTTCTCCCTCTCGTGACAGTGCCTCAATTGTGGTTTAGTGAATCTTGAGGATAGAATCCCACTTTAGTGGCGTTGGTTTTACCTTCCACTCTCAGATTCTCACTTTCAATGACCCCAAGACCAACTCGCAAAGCTTTTCATTTCGTCGTCCGCCACCTGAACTCTGAATTCTGACCATCTTCGAAGAGATAAGGTCGTCAATATCGAGTTCTGCAAGCGTACGCTTCTACGAACAATGACCGAGTCGGACCCTGAGTTGCCCGAAGAGGTAACCAAAGACTTCAGAAAGGACTGGGACCCCAAATGGGACTGGGGAAGGGCCAAGAGCACGGAAGACGCCGTGGAACAAAAGAAGAAGCGCGCGACCATCATCCTGGACAATTACCAATTGTTGATGAAGTATGCTGTTGCGAACAACCAGGTGAGTTTCTCTAATGCATTGTCTTGGACGGGGAAGAGAGCACTTCTCACAGGGTTTCTTGATAGTCGATTCCAGCAACGCGAGTCTACTTCACAAAAGTTGCAGCGGGAGCTTCGCCAGATCCGATCATCAAGGATTGGTTTCATCTCAAGACCTAGAATCCTCGTCGACGGGTCAGAACTAAGTCCCTTGGTGAGACCTGATGGAAAATGAGGGTGCGCGTGGGATGGTACAACGTGGCCTTGAGCCCTCGACTTGCAGTGATCGTGTAACCCGAATGTGGTGCTAAGGTCCTGAAGACGTCCAAGGAGGGCGAGTGAGTCGTTGTACTTTGTACGAACTGGTGGTTAGTACCCCACAAGCATGGATGAACCATCAAGGCGAAGGAGCTTCCCTGCTCTAGCTGAGCTGCTACCAATGCCATTCTCCCACAACCACGCGTTTTGCTGCGAGTTATACTCAGCCTTGTCGCGGGTGGCGTACCGTTTCGGAGCCTTGCGAGGCTGAAGTGCTAGTGCCTGGGTTGGGTGGGGGAAAGGCGGTGAAGGGAATGATTATTTCTGCCGGAGAATCCTAGAAACAGAAACAAATTTATGCACACTCACTTCTAGACCAGAACTCGCAATCTCAGCTAGGACGGACCTCCCCCAGCGAAACTGCGTCGATCAGCCAACATGTCGCTGGAGGAGAAGTTGTCTAAGATCAAGTCTCCCAATCTACAGAGTCAACAACATGTATGCCGCCCTGTTGTTCCGTCCTTATGGACCCCACTAATGCCCGCAGACTGCTGTTGTGCTCACTTCCATCGAAGAGACTCTGCGAGATCAAAAAACGAAATTCACGACGACCGCTTACTTTGCCGCCCTTCTTGCCCTCCTGAAACAGTCCGCTCCAGATTCACAGCAAGCAAACGACAACGAGATCGTCACCTCCACCATATATCTTCTCGACCTGGTCACTTCCCACGTTTCTTCGAGTCTGCTTCGCACACAATTCGGTACCATCCTCACTCTTCTCGCACCCTACCTAAGCTCTTCTACAACCAACGCCCCTCTGTTGCGATCAACGATAGGATGCCTGGAGTCACTTCTAAAAGCGCAGGATAATGCAGCATGGAGCCTCCCACAGAGCCAGACAAGCCCACGCCAGGCAATTCCCGTCCTTCTGACTCTGGCGATCGACCCCCGGCCGAAAATCAGAAAAAGAGCGCTGGAAGCCTTGACCGAACTCTTGAAGAACCCTCCTCCAGGCCCAGCAATCGACCATCCAGCCGCGGAGCTGTGTGCAGTCGCTGCCCAAAATAACCTTCGCAATGCCGTTGATTTGGTCCAGCAGGCCAGGCGACAAAAAGGTAGACCCGATGACAGCCACGAGCCTGCCGTGATTCATGCCCTCCAGCTCACTAAGACAATTGCTTCTGCCTCTGGCGGTTGGCCGAGCAAGAAGATCGAGCCACTCTGTGAGCTCTTACTCTCCATTTCACGCTCGAGAAATGATTTCTTGGTCATGAGTGCTTTCGAGGTGTTTGAGGTCATTTTCCAAGGAATGCAGGACGAGGTCTCGTCGTCAAAATTGCCACGCCTACTCGAAGCGATTGTGGAATTGAAGCCTCTACAGAATGACTCGCAATTACTGCCACCGTGGATCGCCATTTTGTCTCGTGGTTATGGAACATCCGCTCTGGTCGAGCCAGGAGATACCTTTGCGAAGCTACCTGAGCTTTTCGATCTGATCTCGTCTTTCCTGACCAGTTCATCTCACAATATTCGGGTCTCGGCGTCTGAGTGTTTGATTTCGTTCTTTGCAAACTGCATTCCGGACAGCGTCATATCCGACCCATCGGTCTATGATGAGAAGCTGCTCGAGCAGATAAGCAGTCGAGCACTTGGACTACTAGCGGTCAAATTTCAAACAGCTTGGATGGAAGTGTTTCAGTCACTGGCGGCTCTCTTCGATGCTCTACGTTGGCGAGGTGATCCGTACCTCCTGCCCATTGTGAAAGCCATCGGCGAGTTGAGAACCAACCCAGGATTCCAAGGCAAGAAGGAGGCAGACGAGGTTCTCGGTCGTGCGATTCGCAACCTTGGGCCGGGAGCGGTTTTAGGTGTCTTGCCTCTTAACCTTGTCGAACCTGTGCCTGGCCAACTTGGTAGAGCGTGGCTCCTCCCGCTCCTGAGAGACCACGTATCTAACACAAGCCTAAATCATTTCAAGGCCGACCTAATTCCACTCAGCGAGGCAATGTACCAGCGGATTATTGACCATGGGTCAGCAGAGAAAACCACAGATATCAAAGTCTTTGAGACGGTGGTCCAGCAGGTTTGGGCAACCTTTCCAGGATACTGCGACTTGCCACTTGACTTGCAAGGTGCGCTGGACCAATCTTTTGCAGAGCTTGTCTCCAACCTTCTCTATAAACAGACAGAACTGCGCGTCGATCTCTGTAGAGGTCTGCAAAATCTTGTTGAATCTAACCAAGCCCTCATTGCGTCAGACCTTGACGATGATGTTCTCCTCCTCGAAAGACGAATTCAGAGATCCGAAGCTGAGAGGAACCTTCAGCATTTAGCCCTGTTCGCAAGCAATTTGCTTGCGGTCCTATTCAATGTTTACAGCCAAACATTACCTCAATCACGAGCCTACATTCTGCAATGCATCAACAGCTATCTCAGCATCACACCCGAGAAGGACTTAGTTGAAACCTTTGAGCGTGTCTCGGCCATGCTTGCGAATGAGCTACCAAAGCCAGATGCTCCCCTACCAAAGAAACAACCGAGCCAAACTCCTGGAAACAAACTCCCCCCCACATCCCACACTCTTCTTGATCTGGTCATTGCACTTTCCGTACATCTACCTAGGTCAACCTTTGCATCTCTTTTCGCAATCTCCTCCAACATACTCACCAATACGGCGGTCCTCAAATCAGATCCGCAGCTCATTAAGAAGTCTTACAAACTCATTCCTCGGCTGGCTACTTCCGACACTGGTGCAGAGGCGCTCAAGGTTCGCAACTCAGAATTGCAGCAACTCATCATTCGCACTTCTGAGACGACTCCGGTACCTGCTCGAAGGGATCGTATACTTGCCATTGAGACTCTTGTCACCTTCCTGCCCTTGAGTGACCTGCACTTTATTCCCAGCATTCTGAGTGAGGTCGTCATTGCATGCAAAGATAGCAATGAGAGAGCACGAACTGCAGGATTCGATCTGCTCATTACTCTGACACACAAAATCTCAGACCCATCCAACCCGGAGGGAACAGTCATCCGCAACAGACTTGTGTCACACATGCCTGATGACTCGCTCGATGCCCCGGCTAATCTTGAAGAAGTCTTCACGATGGTTAGTGCTGGTCTGGCTGGTGTAGCACCCCACATGGTTGCGGCAAGTGTTACAGCGCTGGGCCGACTCCTGTTCGAGTATCACTCACAACTGGCCATAAAGACAACAGAAGAACTCATCGACACGGTGACAATGTTCCTACAGTCAAACAATCGCGAGATTGTACGTGCTGTACTTGGATTTGTGAAAGTCATGATTGTAGTATTGCCCAACGAGATGCTCGAGCCGAGGATGCCCGCAATTGTCCCCGGCTTGATGGTATGGAGCAAGGAAAACAAAGGGCGACTCAGGGCCAAAGTCAAGGGGATCCTTGATCGATGCCTCCGACGATTTGACCCCAACAAAGTTGAAAGTTGGGTCGGTGGTGATGACCGCAAAATGGTGGTCAACATTCGTAAGCGGAGAGAACGAGCAAGGCGCAAGAAGAAGGGCGACGACGCAGATGACGTCGAGGAAGAAAATGAAGACTCGCTGGGCAAGAAGAGATACGACAACGAATTTGACGAGGCCGTCTACGGCTCTGAGGACAATGACTCAGAGATTGACGGCGATAGTGACGCCGACGAAGAAATGGGCGGTGTATCCCACAAGAGACCCACTGCTAGCGGTGGTGGCCGAAGACGCAACGAGCAATTCATCCGGCAAGACGACGAAGATGACGAGCCACTCGATCTCCTAGACCCTAAAAGTATGGGTAGCATCTCTTCGCGGAAACTCGGTAGACTACGAGACGCCAACGAACCGCGGAAGAGAACAAAAGCCAAAGTCAACGAGGACGGCAAGCTCGTCTTCGGCGGTGCAGAGGACACTGAAGAAAATGACGACGGCGCCGCCATCTCTATGGCGGGGCAGTCAGCAGCAGAGGGTGGCTCGTCAATCAATGCGTACCTCGACGCCGTTTCCGGCGCAGACGCCGTCCGCCGCGGCCAAAAGGGACGTCTGAAGGTCAAATCCGGCATGCAGAAGAAAACCAAGCTGGACACACGCGAGCGCGAGCGTTCGGAGATGGACTTGGATGTCGACGAGGCGCGCGAGATCGCTAGGAAAATCATGGCCGGCGGTTCTGGTATCAGGGGCAGCGCGAGTCCCAGATCGCCGAATGCTGCGACTGCGACTGCGACCTCGACCGGCAAGAACCAACGCAGAGCTCTGGGAGCTGAGAAGGAGAAAGGTGCGCCTCAGCGGCAGAAGTTTCGAGGTGGGAATGGTGTGGGCAAGCGTCGTGGTGGTGGGAACGTGAGGTTTTCTAGGGGCCGGGGAGGCGGTGGAAGGGGTGGGAGAGCAGATTCCAGGAGGTGAAGATGTGAAGATGTGAAAAGGGAGAACTTTCGGGGAGGAGGATGATCAGGGCCGCGGCAATCGAGGGATGAGCCCGCCGTACCAATCAATGCTGAGAAAGACTGGATTTCCTATCCAGGACCCAGGAGTTGTTCTAGATAGATTATAACGGAGATGATGATAAGAGGCTCCGGGAAAGCCAAGTTTTGGGAATTTATGATGATAAGTATGTGAAGTAGTAACGTCGCGAGAGACTCTCCTCACATGAGCCACTTGGTCTACACAACTGCCGACGGGAAGGTTTATTGTTGGAATTGGCGCGAATGAAAAGGACGGCGGGAGAGCAGGCACGGCAAGGGGAGGGAGGCAACGAGGGCTATTTTATCAAGGCAGTATGAATGGCCCACGCCGGGAACACCGCCCCATAGTTGCGCGATGATGAAAACAGGTATCGTACTCGTTGACGACAGATCAATTGTTGTGGATCGTTACGACACTTGATGCAACACACGGCACTTCGCACCTTGGCACTCGGCCGTCTTGTCGGCAGGTTGCAATGAAAGACTGTTTGATGATCTACAGTTCTCCAAGATTTACTGATGCCTTATGACAGAGAGAGCTGGCTGCCGTTCTGGTCGTGTCTTTTTTTGTCGACGTTAGGGTCATTTTGGGTTAGATAGACATTATTATCATTAGATTAGTTTGTATACAGTGTACTCCCACGGTCTTTGGTATGACAAACGAGTCCGATATTATCGAGCGGTATCGTTCTTGCTCGACCAGCGATTCCTATCCTGAAATCTGACGCGTTGCAAGTTCGGTCCGATGCGATCTGATGCGATTCGTCACGAGTCTCGCTCTTCGTTTCAGCTGTATCTTCCGATGTCCTGCGCTTAAATAGCTGAGATGGAATTTATTTCGGATTTACGTCGTAAGGAAGCCGGCAGGCAGTCCCGAAATGCACCAGCTTAATGCACCGAAGGTTTCTCTATGGTCTTGATTTTCGGACGAGAGTCGGATACCATGTGGCCCCAGCAGGAAGGCAATTGAAAGACCCGGCCAGTATTTATTCCGTGTTAAGATTGAAAGTGAGCTCTTGTATTACCTACACAGGCATCACATAGACATTCTCTTCTGCGCCTGGCCATCTACTGTCACCACCAGCGCAAAAAGCTCGGCGCTTGACTTATGCCTTGACTATCGAGGTACTCAAATACGGTCTACCTAGCTATTCGACAGCGGTGGCACAGTCCCGGTCTATCGACAGGAAATAACCTTTTGAGATTGGCCTCAACTACCTGAAGTGGACGAACAAACAACCAAAACAGGACCAAGGCTGCAGCCGGCCCTGAATCTAGATTGGAAGACGTACAAGAACAAAATCAGAGGCATGCCAGGGAGGTATGTACGTATTCATTACAGCATCCGCATTCTTATTCCATCCCGTCCAGTGCTATAGCATCCCATGCATGCTACAAGGACAAAATACTCAATACTTAAGACACATCATTTTCATCCGTCCATCACCGATCCAATTCGAGTCCTTCCATTCCACGGCGAAGCTTGCGTGTCGCCGTTGAGTCTCTCTCGCAAAACAGTAACACGGTATTATGTCCATTGGAGATCTAACTGCGTACCTCACTCCCTAGGTAGATGGCCAAAGCAGTGACCCATCGACGAACGAATCGTCCATCCAAGAGCCCTCAAGCGTCGCAGCGCCGCCACCGCAAACGACTATTACCTAGGAGCCTTCGCTAGCGAGCAGTTTCTAGTTCGGGTCACAGCCTTGTCTCCTGCTCACCACGAAAAAGCAAGAACATCCAACTCCCACCGTGTCCCGCTTGCACCCGCCCTGCCCAGACCTGCAACCCGCGCCCTCACATCGTCACACATCGCCGGCGGCCCACAAACAACCACCCCGACACTCGCATACCCGGCATTGGTCTCACGACGCAATATCCCCTCGATATCGAGCCGCTCGCCAACGGCGACTACTCTATCTGCGAGCGCGGCGTCACGAAGCGCCACGGCCTCGATCTCGCGCACGAGGGCCGCGGCGCTGGATTTCACGCTCCATGCCAGCTTGACGTTGCGGTGGGATGCGTGCGTGAACGCCAGAAGGCCCGTGATGCCGATGCCGCCGCCGATGAGGACCAGGCGGTCAGTTTGGAGGATCGAGGTGCTGGCGTGTTGGGGGTAGGGCCCGTCGAGCAGGGTCATGAGACGGGAGTGGGACTGGAGGAGGCGGGTGAGGCCATGGTTCTTTTTGATAATTAGGGTTACGCCGTCGGTGCCGGGGGGTGAAAAGGAATGCGTGGTGTTTCGTTCGTCTGAGTTTGTTGCTTGTAATGGGGATGATGAAGAGGTTGTGGCGACTTTGCCTGGGAGTTTCTCTATGTCCTGATGTCCGTTATCGTCCAATGACGAGGAATGGCCCCCTTCAAGTGATGCCGGCACGGAAGGTGTTCTCTTTCCTGCAAGTGTGGATCTGGGGTATTCACGGAACAAAGCCGTTGAGTTTATAGAAAACGGATGGTTCTCCCACGGCCTCAAGGGGTTGAGCGTGGGGAAATAGGCATACGCAACGGTGCCAGGTTTTGCGGGCCAGCGCACACCAGGGATGTCGACGCGGACATGTTCTGAGCCAATCTCGGTGACGACGGCATCTCGGAACCCGTTCTTCAATACACGGAGCACCCGCACCAGCCTGTCGAAGAACCAGACAGCACAGGCGGCGAAGAGCCAGTCATCGTAGAAATTGTGGCCCCATTTGAGGATGACGTGGTACCAACATCCGACAATGACGAACACGGCCATGAGGATGTGCAGGATCAGGAAGAACTCGTAGGATAGTCGACGGAAGTACAGGTGGCTGAGCACCAGCATGGCACATGTGAGTACTGTAGCTACAATGCCCCAGAGCCAGTACGGCATCTTCGACTGAACTGAGTAGCTGCCCGAGCCTTGATAGCATAGCAGCAGGGTGATGCTGTGGACAATGACATGTAAGGCAAAGATGCGAGCGATCCAGCGGTGGAGGAGGAGATAGGTGGAGTACGACCAATTTGTGATCCAGAGGAGGAAATTGTTGCGGCCGGAGAATAGGATGACGAGAGGCAAAAGAGCGTAGCCAATGTGTCCCGTACGATAGCCTACGTATGCCAATGTTTCTTCTCTTGGGCCGAAGTACCACGGGTGAGGCTGTGACCGCGAGTAGTTGACGGAGCTGAGGACTAGATTGAGGATGAAGAACATGGCGATGTACAGTGCTTGTCCCACGGTAGGTGCATTGCCTAGCAGCCAGGGAAGCGGGCGAACATGGTATGTCCCGATGCTGGACGGATAGACTAGATACGGTCGTACTCTGCCGAGGACGCCGCTCATGAATGGTAGATAGGCAAGCAGGGTGAAGAGGATCGGGACACCCAGAGCAACTGATAGGAGAATAAAACTAGAAGAAGAGGAGGGGTTAGCGTTGCTGGACAATTGTAACTAGAATCGTTCAAGGATCGCAGCCTCATTCTTACATATATCTCGATTGAAGCCCCTCGATACGGTCAAACATGACCATAAAATTGCTTTGCATCTCGTAGCTTGCCTGACTGACGAGAACGGTCTGATTCAATACATCTAGAGAGCTAGCATTATACACAGTCGTTGGTGGCGCAGTGATCTCAGCGAGCGCCGTCGTATAGTCCCATTTAGGAAGCACCGACTCGTCACCCGTGATTCTGGTGGACCAGAATTTCTCTCTGCGCCAGGTGGGATCGTTGAGCGGGTCACAGTGTGTACTCATGCAGTGGGCCAAAGTTGTCAAATATGCTGTGTCACCAGCATAGCAGTCTGGAGACGTCGGGCCCGACCCATGCGAATGCCCATTCGAGTGTTCTGTCGCTGTACAGGCGAGCGTTGCGCCGGAAATGATGTTGTTACATGCGAATCCGCAGACCAAATCATACCAGCTGAAGCCATAGCCTGGGAGTTGGTACGACTCCAGGTGCGCGGCCCGGCAGTGGTAGACCAAGAAAGAAAAGACAACGATCTCTGTCAGCCTCATTTTTTGGGGCTGCTGTCCTCACTGCGATACTGATGATGTTCTTGTCTTCATCGATGTTACCATCTGAGGAAGACCGAAAAAACAATGATAAATGTGGGACTTCGCTCAGCCTTTGAAGCACAGAAACTTCGGCCACATGCAAGATCTCCATTATATCGACCATAATGCCTTTGGTCAGCAAAATTCGGCAGGAAAGGATCTAGACCTTTGCGATTGATCATATTCCTGTGTGGTGCGCTCGAAGGCGTGGTACGAAACTTGCTCATGTTGGCACAGTCGGTTCGCTTCACGCTCTTGGCATTGAGATATGAGGACTACTAGTAACGAGGACGGGTTGGGCTTGGATGCATTTTGGTGAGTGAAACTTGCTCAAGCCAAGATACCTGGTATGTGAGAACGCCTCTGAGGGCAAGGCTCGTAAAGGGCCACCCATAACTTACTAGTTGGTCGTGGGTGGGAAACCCTAGCGTAGGGTTCATCCAATTAATATTCAGACCTTTGAAATCACAATATAATATCCACATCCGCCATGCTGAGTGGCGTTCAGGACGTCTGGCGATAGTATGACGAGAGGTCCCCAGGAGGCTCGTAGATTTCGTGGGCACTGGGCAGACATTGAGAGACGGTGTCACATGATGAAGCCATAGCTCCTCCTGCTCTTTCCACCGCGTGCGCTTCATGCCCTTCAACGTCACTCTACCCGGCATCTAGAGAACCCACGTAGTCGGCCACAGCTGCAATGATGGAAATCGGAAGGTGCCGTCCTGATGCCGGCCAAATAAGGTTAGTGTCTTGGCTCACCGGTGGAAGCACTAAACTGAAGTGGGCAAGTGGATCGAAGCAAAGATTTTTCAACGAGGCTCTGAAGATTGTAAACGCATTGTATATTATCTAGGTCATGGAAGGCAGAAGAAGAGGTCTATACGTCTAAAGTATACGTGCCTCACAGGCAATTCCTTCTTCGTACTCCGAAAGATGGGATGTGTGTGATCAAGCGCAGCGAAGCGTAATGACCATGCTGGGGTCTTCTCAGCCTTGTCTCAAAACCCCAACTTATTGCCAGCATGCTCGCTGAGGGCCTCGTCCAGCTGTACAGGAAACTTCTGGGGTGAATTGGAGATATTCTCTTTTAATAATGAGGCATTTGGGACAGTTAATTAACCTTTCATCGAGACGGAGCAATTCTTCTCATTGTGGACTCGTGTCTCGGGCCAGTCTCAGAGGAGACATGAAGTGGAAGAGGCGGCCGTCCCATTCCTCGCCGCATTGGCCGGTCCCTTGGCGCTGCAGCAATACTCAATATCAATCTTGTATCGCAAAGTGTCCTTCGCTCTATAGTCTATTATGCCACAATCGCGCTAATCCTCGATTCCGATAAATCAGGCGGATTGGTGTGGACGCCAGTTTGCCAAATTTTGAACGGGCATCGCAGTCCTCCAGGGATCCGCCAGGCTCGAGAGCCCCTATTTGGATTCATTCATTTCCTTCACCACTCGAGCTCATCATTAAAGCTGATCTCTGGTAGTACTCGTAGGCAGTCATCTTACCACTAAATATCACGCCATTCCATCAACACCACAAGTATCATAACTGTTCGGATTGTTTGAAAGCGGACATCACTTGGTATGTCTGCCTTTGACCTACCTCATCTTCGTCACTAGTTTGTCCTTTGGTTGCGCTCGTGGTTGCGGGCTCCTCTGAAGTGAGTTGGTATCATTGAAGTTCCTGACATGCATTTGTTAGATGTTGGGAACTTAACGTGATCTGACCGAGGAGTGCAATCAATCAAATTACTTCTCAGAGAGTGCAAAACGGGCCGTGAGATATGCGCATTAAGGTAGTGGTGTCAAAGTGGTTTCCAAAGTGGTTTCCCGAGCTCTGAGTAGCTGTAACATAGCAAAGGTATTAAGTGGACTCGACGCAATTATTTGCCTATCGTCTTGCTGTAATCACGTCCGGACTGCTGCAGCATCACGTTGGGTCATTCTGCCCTTCCAGTTACTTGCTCGCCGAATGTGGCATTCACCATATGCCTCTGCCCTTTTCAGTTCTGGCAATATCATCATAAGTCGCTTAATGTAGTGCTCGCTTTTTCTTCCAACTCATTCTTCTTTACAAACTGCACCGCCGTCTCCGGGTACTTGATTCTGAAGAGGATCGAGAAGAAGGTGACGATTAACCATATCCAGAAGGTGTACAGCCACTGCGACCAACTGACCCTGGCCACAGGTTCCTTATTGTCATCCCAATCGTCACATATCTGCTTGAAGGTTTTTGGGTCATCTGTGACGACGCCATCCACTTGTTTTTGGATGCTCCACTTCATCAAATTGAGCTCGTTCACGGTCCAGACAAATAAAGGCCGTTTTGCCTTCTTCACATCCCGAATGAAGCGGGCTCCGATTGGACCAAACAGTGCTCTCTGCAGGATGTTGAAAGACACATTGGGGACTTGAAGGAATTGCCTTGCATAACAGGTGGAAAAGCCAATGTGCGAGATGGGGTATCCTGGTAGGTATTTGATGCATAATGACAGGAATTTAGCGGTCCAAATCCCTAGGACAATACGCTCGTTCCACGGCCGTTGTCCAGGGTTGACAGACGCCAGCGTCTTTGCAATCAGTCTCATTACGTCGTCATTATTGTTGTCAAGTTTGATGTCAAGGAGCAACCAAATATGCTCCCGCCCGGGTTGAGCGATATATTCTAGGAGGTCTAGAAGTCGTGGCATGGGCTCATGAGGTGCTTTGAGAGTGCGGATTGTGCTCAAGTACTCCCAGTCGCAATCTATTACTTTTTGTTTCTTGCCGAAGCATCGTTTGAGATCTGGATCCTATTGGTGACATTAGCAGCGCCGATACATGTCGGTGCCCTTGAAGACTTACATGAGACAGTACAACAACACCATCCTTCGACAGATGGATATCAGTTTCAATGGCGTGGGTTCCAACCTCTACAGCACCCTGAAATGCCTTTAGCGTATTCTCCGGATGCTCGGCTTTGTAACCTCGATGAGCTATCGTCTGGGGCATTATTCGTCCTTTGAGATTAGGTTTTGCCCAGGTCCAGCTTGCTAGTAGACCATCAGTGATTGCAAGCATTCAGACACGAGGTTTGCGCACGCATCGAGAAGCATTCCACCGAACTCGGCGGCTTCCATTCGTTCTGGCGAGGTATTTGTCCCTTCCATGTGCGCTTCTCACCGGTCAACAATGGTTCTCTTGCCTCCACATCGGAGAATTGTTGATGCATGCTATCAATACACTGGCTGTGGAGAAGGTTCGAGCAAATCTTGAGTACAGGCCGCTTTATTGAGTGTTTCACGCGAATTAATGGTGAGATCGATCAAAGCGAAATTTCTATTGACGACATAAACTGTGAGCGAGTACTCCGTACTGGGTATGGCTGCAAGTATTGGTAAAACTAATGAAAGAATGCCACAAAGGTATGAGTTAGCTTAAACGAAAAGAGTGGAAAGCCAAGGGTGTCTTCTAGAAGGAAGGGATTATTTCATTAGAAGTCAAGTGAAAGATGACCAAGTTCTGACATTGCTCGAAGCGAAGAACAGAGATTGTGGAGGCGGGACACCAGACACATCTCTTGCTCGCTCGCTCCGGACATACAGGAGCTGCTCACAGGCGACACTGACGGAAGTAAGGTATGGTGCATCGACCCTTGTGAAAGCGAGTGGGAACAGCGAAGACAGGATTGGATGCTTGGGAGCAAAGAAGCATGTCTCCGGTGCGCCTAGGGAGGCTTATCGAGATCCAACGAGCGGCCCCATTGAGTCAGGTGTTGATGAATGCGGACCTAGACAGCCGCCACACTACCAATGTTGGGTGTTTGAGGGCGTCCTGTGGCCGCAATTGGAAACGCTTCTACAGCGCCTAGTGCCACGTACAGACCGCCTGGTGGACACTTAATCCGGAACGCCAGACATCCGTGCTTGTCTCGCCTTCGTTTCGAGCAATCCCTTCCCTCCTCCTGTGGCTGAACCAATTTAGACCACGTGGTATGATGAATCAGGTAGTCGCTGGTCAAACGTAAAATCATGGTTCTGATGCAGTGCTCATCGCGTATCGAGTCACTGGCCAAACAGGAGTCTAGCAAATTGGACACTCGACCGAGTGGTGCAGGAATCCAGGCTCCTTACCGTTGGATTTAAAATCCGAGAGTCTCACCGCCGTTTACTAAGTTTTGGTTCTGGAACGGGCGCGATCTGTTTGTGGTAAAGGCTATCCGTAACTACTATTTGATGATGGAGTCGCCTGTTCTGTGGTTGGGTCAAATATATCTACAGTATGCAAAAGTACATAGCGAGGATGCCGCTCCTAAGTCGAAAAGTATGCAGTTAGGAGAAATATCGTCACGTGCAAGAGGCACACCTCCCTTCTGATCGCCGCACGAGGAAGTCACACAGCAGGATAGGTCGTCGCTCCTTCCCTGTTGATTCCCCCCATGGCGTGGCCACGGATCTCTTGTGTTCCTATGATCTAATCTTGGGACTCCTTGGTCGGGAACCTGATCGCGTTCACTCGCATTGTTCATGGCCAGATCCAGCTGATGCAGATGTTGTCTACCCTCCTTTCAGCACACGGAGACATCGAATTGGTGGCACTTACGAGCTTCGACGTTGCTCCCAATTGTCAAGGCTCAAGAGATGCGAAGCAGTACAGCAATGTTGACGTATTTCATGGCATGTGGGTTTGGAAACCATTCATATTGATTTTATCGCTGGTATGTACTTTTCTCCTGTAGCCATCCCTGTGAAAATGCCTTCCAAGCAAATTTGACATTAGACCATAGCACTATTGTGCATACCTCAAACGGTGGCCATTGACAAACGCCAATTACAATATCGGTGATTGTGACTTTTCACAACTTTGAAGACGACTGGGGGCCCGAGTGTAGCTATTTGTGGCCTAGGTCCACCACACAGCGAATGCAGTCTCCTGCGTGCATATCGTGGAAGGCTTCGTTGATCTTGTCCAGAGGCTGTCGGTGGGTAATGAACTCATCAACTGAGACGCTGTTAGTACCCGCACCAGTACAGACGAGAGGAGGAGTCAAACCTTTGAGTTGGCCATCCAGATAGTCCTGGACAAGACCAGGCAACTGACTGCGGCCCTTTACACCGCCAAAGGCACAACCTCTCCATACGCGGCCGGTGACGAGCTGGAAGGGTCGGGTTGAAATTTCCGCACCAGCAGGGGCTGTTGATCGAGTTAGTCTGCTAATATAGATCTCCAGAGGTGGCATGAACACTGACCAACACCAATGATGATTGACTGGCCCCAGCCTTTGTGGCATGCCTACCGAACTAGTCAGCACGTTACTGAGCAGAATTCATTGGATGGTACTCACCTCCAGGGCTGCTCTCATGACACCCACATTACCAGTGCAGTCAAAAGTGTAATCGAGACCACCGTCGGTAATGTCAACCAGGTGCTCCTGGATGCTCTTGCCATTCAATTTGGTAGGATTGACAAATTCAGTGGCACCGAACTTCTTAGACCACTCTTCCTTCTTGTCATTGACATCAACGACGATGATTCTAGCAGCTTTGTTCTTGACAGCTCCTTGGATGACTGAGAGACCAACACACCCCGCGCCGAAGATGGCGACATTGGAACCCGCCTCAACGTTGGCGGTAATGGTTGCTGCACCGTATCCGGTTGTGATACCACAGCCTAACAGACAAGCTCTGTCAAAAGGAGCCTTTTCGGTGATGGCAACGACCGAGATATCAGCGACGACGGTGTACTGGATGAATGTGGAGGTGCCCATGAAATGCAGAAGATCCTTTCCTTTGCACTTGAATCGACTGGTGCCGTCAGGTAAAACACCCTTGCCCTGTGTGGCTCGAATCTTGCCACACAAGTTGGTCTTGCCAGATTTGCAGAACTTGCATTCCTTACATTCGGGAGTGCTTTTCAACTCAGCTGGGTTCTTCTTGTTTGGCGGTGGAACATACTAGAGAGCAACAACATGGTCGCCAGGCTTGACGTTGGTCACACCCTCTCCAACGGATTCGACAATGCCAGCACCCTCATGGCCAAGGACGACGGGGAAAGCACCCTCGGGGTCTTTTCCGGAGAGTGTGTAGGCATCTGCTCATTGTTCAGCAACCATCTCTTTCTCCTCTTGAACAACTCAGCGCCCATACCAGTGTGGCAGACACCAGTGTGCATAATCTGAATGCGGACTTCATGTGCTCTTGGAGGGGCAACTTCGATGTCCTCGATAGACAGGTCCTTGCCAGCCTCCCAGGCAACGGCGCCCTACAATGGACGGTGAGATTGGTTAAGGTTTGAGCGAGAAGCGTTCTTTGTTTACCTTGCATGTTATGGTCTGGACCCGTTAGCTTCAGCTGCCCACGTTGTGTTTCGGGATGCCCTTACCTTTCCAGCTGTGCTTGAAGACATGGTTGATAACGATAATAAGTTACACTTGATATTCCTGGGGCGAATACAATAGGGAGAAGAGAATAGAATAGGAAGATGAATGGGGAGAGCAAAGTAATAACAGCAGCGGGAATAGTTTATGACGGATGTGCCGATGGTTGGAGGTGGGGTTCAGTATTTTGAAATCCATTGGCAGCGATCAGAGGTGGGGTGGGCGAGGAGAAGGAGAATTGTGTGTACGGATACTCAAACGAGAATGACGACCCAAGTGAGGAGACGTTCAAGCGCATTTCTGGGATCCCCTCGAATGAAATCAATCCTTTTGGAGCGGAGTTTCCCTTAAGGCCAGTCTTGCATATCTCTACGATCATGTTCGTCAAAGGGCTATACTCATCCAAAGGCCAAATGGTGGTAAGTGGTGTTCGGTGCAGGTTCGGTGCAGGGGGCAGTCGGAGAACTGACGGAAAAAAATTCCCAAAGTGGACAAACAATAGCGGACTGAACAGTTCGTGCAGTGGTGGGACACATGTTCCATCCAAGTGAGCAATTCGATGGAAGACATTTCTTAGCTTGCAAGTCTGCTGAATATATGCATACCTGGGCTGCGTTGCCTTTCATTTTCTGCTTGGGAGAATTGAGAATGTAACCAAATTCGCCAGCAAATGCAAACACAAGTCGCCGAATATATTTAAGAGCGCCCTCGCATTAGCTGAACCCGTGCGAGTTCCTTGCTCCTCTCCCATAACCTTCCCGTAATGTACAGTGTATCATTTGAAAAGCACAGTAGGCATGAAGCGATCCGGCGCCGTGGCCGTGCCCATGAAACATTCTTATCTGCCAGGAAGCTGACCGGACTGCATCATGGCTGCGTTTTGCTCTTGGAACCGTTGACCCAATCTCTCAGAGCCCTTGAGGTACTTGTCGACGCATCGCATGACGCAGCTTTCTTCTCTTGATATTAGGGATTTGGTGGTGAAATCATTGACGCAGTCGTCGAAGCATCGCTGCACGAGTTTGGAGTACATCTGTAGGCGAAAGGAACATATCAGCTACTTGTACGGGGTGGGATGTATCTTGACAGGAACAGTCATACGGTCATGAATTCCTTCATCTGCTTCTTCTCCATCCGAGAGCTCAGCTCTCTCTGTTCAGCTGCGTTGAGACTTTCGTGCCATGTTAGCGAAAACGCTCAGAGAGCAACGACGCAGGATCTCACTTGTCCATGATGTCGGAGACGTCAATATGGGGCTAAGAGTAGCGGAGAAGTGAGGAATTGATGCGAAATGGTTCGTAGATGTGCTCGACGGATGTGTGAATAGTCAGTCAATGGTGAACAAGACCTTGTGATGGCTGCTCCTCTGGTCGAGTGTCTGCTGCAGACAGAAATCTGTGAAGGCACTTCCAGAAACAGACTAGCTCCAGCTTCGAGACTCGGCAAACCTGCCTTTATCGTCAAGAATTCGGTATTATATTTTTTGGGTGCGCCAGCTGCCTGAGCATTCCTCTCGCCTGAATAAATTCCTCTCGGTCGCCACGCCTCCAAGTTCTATGCATTTATTCTTGGTTCGCCATGGAGAAACAGAGCACAATGTGGCTGGATTGCTAGCAGGAGTCTCCGACTCTAGACTGACTAACCATGGAGTTCTTCAAACCCAAAGATTGGGATCACATCTCGTAAACCAGCGCAATTTACGTTTCACACACATCTATGCATCGGATCTTCAGCGGGCCTTCATGACTGCAGAGGAGATCAGAAAGGCACACGCTTCGAATCTAGAAGAACCCACCACTAAGCCTGACGTCGTTAAGCTCCAGCTCCTTCGAGAACAAGATTTTGGCAGCCTTGAACTCGTCCCATGGGCTTCGAGGCGAGCCCAGAACGCTTTCACACCCGAATCATCGAGTCTAGTCGATCCGGAATTTCGACCTCAGGAGACTGCCGAGGCCATGATGCATAGAGCTGAGTGCTTTCTGGCTGATTATATACTTCCGTTGTTGGCGGTCGCATCCGCCGAGAAATCGTCGTCGGTGCAAGATTGTGTGGCAGTCGTTTCTCATGGCCTCTTTCTTTCCGTACTCTGGCGTTCGCTATTAAGTAAGTTCGACACCGATGGCGTAAGGATAAACTCCAAGGCAGAGATATCGACCAACGGCAGACCACTCGCTTACCTCCCGAATTGGAGCAACACAGGCTTTCTGGAACTGAGAATTGGCAGCCCTTCTTGTATTGTTCCTAATCATATGTCCGCAATTGAGTGCTCGTCGCAGGACGCTGATGGAACAAGACCTCTTGCCAGCCGACTACTCACAATTTTAGCCGTCAACAACAAAGACCATCTTGTTCACCTCAAGCGTACTCGCGGCGGGGTTGGATCGGCACCATTTGATGCTCGTCAGAAGAGCCTGGAAGGCTTCTTTAAGCGTCCCAAACAACGTGAGGATCCTGCTTGAATGTAACCTGACCCGGGTGACTACATTTTAACTAAGCTCGCGGCTACGCTACCCCTGAAACCGGTACGCCGTCGTTGGGGGCAGTTGTTACTGTCAAAAGGCACAAACCCAAATTTGTACTGTTGGGTTGTTTACCGTCAGCTACAGGTCTCTGCAAGCATTATCCTACGAGTGAGTGCCTTTTCCCTTGTTCGTCCACTCCCATCCTTTCTCTGATGAAGCACAATTCACACAGACCTGTTCTGAACCTTTGTGAGGAAGCATACATTGTACCAACTGCTGTCTGAAATATGGCGTTTCTACTGTTCTATCCATGAAACCAGAGAGATTCATTGACTGACTTGAACATCTGGCGTATAGATCGTGTTGATTCTATCATTCGGGTATAATATCGTCTATACATAGCCCGATACATACCAAAACAACTGGCCACTTATGCGACCAATATAACTATTATGCAGAATAACATAGATTGTGCAGACACAGCTCCTATCTGGCAGAGTTATCGATGGGTGTTTCTGCAGGTAGTTGCGAGTAATAGTTTGGGGTAGGCAAATCTTTATGGGTGTGGCGGGTAAGGCAGCAGCAGTCGAGGTCAGCAGACCCTCTGACACGTCTAATTGGCTATGAGAAACGCGTGGAAAGACAGGGGTAACACCCCCTACCTAGATGAGCTCTGAAATTCTCCTTTCATCTTCTTCTCCTGACAACCGGTTGCATCTGAATTCTCTTTTCATTTCCATCATCAATCGACCCAATGCTGCATTCTCCTCCTGGTGGTGCGGCACTGGCTATTGCTTAGGGAGTAGCTATCGTTGCAATATACCTTCCCTGTTTGTTCGTAGTGGCCAAGTGCCCCCCCCCTTATAAGGTGCGTCACTAGGCAACCACCAACTACTTCAGGTAAGGACTGACCATGAATTAAACACGCGATTAAGTATTGTTCAGAGGTTCGTATCATCAGTCTCTCAATCCTATCTTCTTCGTGTTTACCATCATCATGCATAGGAGAATTGGTCAAGACGTGGATGAGTTAAAGGCTTCCCATCGACACTGTGAAGCATTCCGCTAGATTACACATATGATTTCAACAAACCCCTCAAGCTTCAACAAAAACACAAACAATCGCTAGTCCAACACATCACTCATTAGAAAGTGTGCGACGAGCACAGTACAATCTGATCGCAGCAAAGAGGGCGCCCAGATATATAGCTCCCTCCGAGTCGATCCAGGAGCTCATACCTGCTCAGCTTCAAGGTCGCCCTGACCGTCAAACCGTGCATAAATCCGGCATAAATCATGTCGAAACTCCAATTGCGCCTTCGCAAATGATATACGGTGAACTGCAAACCCAAAACACCCGATGAGGAGGTGTTTGCTGTAACAAAACACTTTTACCTCAGATTCAGCATTCGAATTAAGACCCGCCGACTGTAACCTCTTTTTTGTGTTACATCGTCCTCCTCCTCTTCCTGTTCTCCTTCTTCTCACATATAGCTCCTTGCTCGCACTACCGTTCGAGTGGCTTCCAATCGACGGCGCTCTGACCTTCTGCCAGCATTGACAGTATATGATTCATCTTGATGGCCGACCGAAGCAAAATGGGCTAGGACGGCGGGAGGTGGGGGTGCGGATGGAGCACGAGGTGCTTCCGATAAATTTCTGATCTCTCTCCTGAAGTTAGATGCTCTCGGAAGCATTATAGGTATGGGCATCATTTGTGTTCTTGAGAACTGATCTTCGTTTATGATCCTTTTGCTGAACATCCACCGCATGAGGCTGAAATCCGTCCTTACAGTTGCGAGATGTTGGCCTTGCCGGAAATGTTCATGGACCATGTGAGATAACATGGTATTCCACGCAAGAGCACGATCATCTTCCGGGTGCTGAACAAATTTGGCGTCGCACAAAAAACAGGCTGCGACTGCCGGTAACTCATGCCCCCTAAAATGTGAAAAGACGTGCATCTTGAAAGGAACGATCTCTGCAAAAACCCGATCACAGTCCAAGATCTGGAAGGGGCAGAGTAAGTCGGCATCCTCTTGGTATCGGAACGGGACTGTCAAAATTCCATCTTGTGACTCAAGGGTATAGCCATCTCCGAGTATACTACTAGCAAGACCGGTGTCGACTGAAGAGGCTACTGAGGATGCAGTTGAGGTACCACGAGTCAGTGGTGGCACTGCATCAGTGGGAGAGGTTGCCATGTTGGCGTCATCGTCATCGTTTGAGACCGTCTGTGATGCAGATGGATATGCAAAGGGATCTCTGATGCTTGAACTACTGAACATGACAGCAATTTCGTTCATATTCTCTTCTCGAATCATCAAAATCTCCGCTTTCGAACAGCGGCTAGGATCGAAAATCTCCTTGAAAGACGCCCCGAGCTGACCCAGGACTTGAGGTGCAATTGCGTCTTAGCCTCAACTACCAAGCCTATCTCCATGATCAGATTTCATGTCTCATATACTTGGGTGAGGCCACAGCATCCACCAGGGCTTACCATTTATAATACTTGAATATGAATGTCGAGGTTGATCATGGCGCTATCGATAAGCCCCGGACACGGGCGAAGTGCGGGGTCGGTCAGTGATTTCCAACGGAGGTTGATAAAACACCATAAAACAAACACCGGGTACAGAAAAAATGACAGTGACCACGCAGGGTCAATGTTCAAGACAATAGGGATGCGGCTGTCTGCAAATATCTTCGGGAGTGGAACGCAGATGGAAGCAAATCTTCGACAATGCAGATCTGGAAGTTCCAGAGCACTAGTCCTAGTGGGCACATGAGAGATTGTGACTTGCATTCAGCAACTTTCTCCGCCATGGCCCGAGGACCTGTCAGATGTTGCCAACACATCAGCATGGTTTGCCGATGTCCCCGGTTGATTGGTTCAGGCCTCGCATATAAAAGGAAAAATTATCGATGGCCGGACATGACACGATGGCTTTCTTGTGACAAGACCTAGCCTAATTGACGACAAACGCCTAAGCGATCGCAAAATCATGTAGCAGAGACGGGCCCCTGTTGTATCTGAGAACAACACCGCGTCGTTCGCCGGCCAATTTCTTTAGCAATTATCGAACTGTTATCCGTTGAGAGTTCGAATTCCTTTAGATAAAGTGTCTCCGATTGGTGGCCCCGGAAATATTTCTTTAGAGCAACTGGCTGGAAAAATTTTCGTCCGACGTTGTGTGCATATGATCCAGAGGCTAAGCGAGCGCCTATCAATCATTTGTTGGGCATCTTTACCTTAGCTCAGCAATATTGTGGATTGATTATCGGGGTATTGTTCGCATACCAAGACCAAAAACAAACTATGTGTGGCAAATTATCTAAATTCAAGAAAGCCTCAAGCCTTTCCTAGTAAGAGTCCTCGCAAAACCAATCATTGATACCAACAACACAAGCTCGCCACAACTAAATTGCTCTCTAGGCAGGTAAGTACGCCTTTGTGCTTGGGTCAGCCTTCAGCGTGACTTGCCGGACATCTCTCCAGACTTTGTCCCCGAGTTTCTTCCCGTCAGGAGTGACATAAATGCCTTTGGGTTGATATTTCTGATCGTTCTTCCACATATGTCCATGTAAGTCTTCGCCTTGCAACAGAGCACTAAGCAAGGTGTTGGCGCCTTGTTCAGTCTCACGGGAGAACAAGTTAAAGAAGATCCAGACAGCGATCTTGAATACGAAGCTCGTGAATCGTCGCCCGAGATCACTTTTCGTGACGCCAGGACATGTAGAATTGATGATGACTTTGGGATGGCCATCGGCGCCCTTGATGGCAGGTGAATCTGCCAGCTGACGGATTGCATATTCCAATATAAGTTTGGACCGTGCGTACTGGGTCTGACCTCCTACTCCGCCAGGTGGGAAATTCTTCTGAACACTAACGAATTCCAGAGCCTCATCGCTTGCAGTCCACGCCTTCTCCTTGTCTGCATTGACCACCCAGGCCATGCCCGAGGAGACAAACGTCAGATGGGGCCTGTAGGCGCTCTTCCCAGTATCTGCTTGCGCAATGAGGAGCGGAAGCAGGAGCACACCAAGGAGGAAGGTGCTCAGAGCGTTAACGTGGATGTTATTCTCCCATCCATCCTCGCTCTGACCCCATTCAGTGAAAATTGCTCCCGCATTGAGGACCACTCCATCAAGTCTCGGAAAGTCCGCTTGCAGGTTACGGACGAATGCCTGGACACTGGCGAACGAACCCATGTCAAGCACACGCGTCACAATTTGTGAGTCTAGATCTGCCGCCTGTATCGAGCTTGAGGCTCGGACGAAAGCCTCGACCTCCTTCTTGGCCGCATTCGCTTTACTTTCATTTCTTGCAGTGATGATGAGTTTGTTGGCGTGTAGCACTGCTAGTTTCTTCGCAGCCTCGAGGCCAATTCCTGATGTCGCGCCTGTCACCAGGATCGTCCTTCCTGCGAAAGACTCACTGACTGGTTTGGGGAAGTTGCGCTTCTCGGAGAGCAGGGTAAAGAAACTGGACATGTTGTACGGATTTGTCGGTTACTGGGAAGAACAAAACAACAGGAGTCGGGCTGGATGCGACAAGATATCGAGAAGTTCAATGTTTCTGGATTACGCAAGCCTTTAGATCTTCGCACGAATAAAGCGCAGGTAGAGGAGAAGAGAGGACTCCCTTGGGCCGCTCCTGCAATAAGTATTTATTCGTTCAGTAGACCCAGGTCGGCGAGTTGAATCAAGTTGCCCCAGACCACACTACTAATCATAGAAAGAATAGATCATGTCGATTTACTTGTGCCTGTCAACACGGGGTATCAGTACTCAATAGAGCCTCCTTGGTACTCCGTAGGTCAGCTAGAAGAGACACAGGTAATCACCATTGGTCATGAATACCCTCGGGAAAAGGGCTGGTGGGATTAGCGTGCGGACTGGTGAACAGCCGTGCAGGGGAACGCGGGTCTGAGAGTCTGCCGCATCCGAGAGCGGCCGCAAAGGCTGCCGCTCTCCTGAGAATCAGGCTGATTTATCAGGAGGGTGGCCAACGCGTGGAGTGGCGCGACCGCCTTTTCCGCCCACATCAAGTCACCAGTCTGAGTCCGAAAACTCCATACCACTTGCTCCGTGAGCCGCGCGTCTCGCGGCTGGCGGCTGTCTTCCCCACGAACAATTGCGCTTCGTGGTTTTCGAAGTACAAGTATGTTCAATTGCCCTGCTCATACCTACTATAACCTTCCAGGACAACGGATCATGTCACCGGGTAATTTTAGCTGCCATGGTTGAGATTCACCAGGTACGAATTGTTCCTCCGAATCGATAACCTCAAAAGGATCGTTTTCCTATCCTTCCCTTCGCCATACTCCATTACTAAAGTTGTCCAAAACCCCAAACCCTTTTCCACGATTTCAATTCCAAAAGGAACTCGATATTTGAAAACATGGAGAACCTGTCTATCGTTGACCCCGCTGGGCCTTCTTCCCCCAAGCGGCTGGGACAAGGACAGCAATCTGGTCAGAATGCCGTCTTCCCCGGTGCTCCTCCGCAGGGTGCGCCCCAACTGCCACCACAGATGTTCACAACCGCCGCGCAATTATTAGATCTCACAGACAGTACGTAGCACCTTATCTACTAGCGTTTCTCGAACCAGAAAGTCCTCGCAGCACGACCCAAGTCAGGGGAGGCGCAAAGCAACTAGGCTCTGCGCGATTTGAGCTGACTCGCGAGGCGAAACTCTGCACACATATTTCATCCACAATAACTAATACAATGATTACCCCTTCCAACAGAGAAACTCCTCCTCGTGCTCCGCGATGGACGCAAGATCTTCGGCGTGCTGCGTTCATGGGATCAATTCGCCAACCTGGTCCTAACCGACACTCGAGAACGCTATTTCGTCTCCGTGCCTTCCTCTTCTTCCGAACCGTCCTCCTTGGAGACCACAACGAGGAACCTCTACTGCGACATCCCGCGCGGCACATATCTCGTGCGCGGCGAGAACGTGCTGTTGTTGGGAGAGGTCGATCTCGACCGCGACGACGAGCCTCCGCCGGGTTATGTGGAAGGAGATGTCGAGGAGGTTTTCCGCATCCAGAAGCAGTTGGAGACCCAGAGGAAGAAAAGTGATAAGATCAAGGGCAAGAAGTTGACGCAGCTCTGGGGCGGTGAGATCGAGGCTAGTGGTGAAGTTTTGTTCTGAGAAAGGGATGGACGATGAGGGGATGGGAAACACTACCTTCTCCGAAGAAAACCGGCGAAGAGATCACGAAACATGTTTCATGGGTCTGTCGTCTGGAAGAAAAACCTCAAGTCTTCATAGGGGGCTTTCGGTCAGTTCGAAGGGGAAAACTTTCGAATGCTTCGCGCGGGCACTGAGACTGGCGCTGTGTGGGCCGATGATTGAGTGATCCGAGAGCAGAATATTGTGAAATGCTCTTTCGATCACGGTGGTCGTGAGTGTACAGCTGAGACATGAATCGGGGGCTTCAACTATTTGCTATGATTGCAATTACTATCTACCTAGTTCTCCTGTTACTACTGGGCTGGAGAGCAGCGGGGAAAACTCATGACTACTAGGTCTCTTCCTAGGTAGTTAGATGGTGCCTCAAATGCAAAGGATTTCCCCTGGGATATTCGTACGTCAGAAGATTGTTTGTCGCTCACGTGTTGGTTTGAGAATACTGGTTAGGAAGTTACGCTTGAGCGGCCATATCGCAGCTTACCATAGGCAGGTGTGTGTGCTTTCCCGCCCACTGAATAGCTTTGCTTTTGACTGTCTAAACTCCCAAGGGTTAATGCCCTTCTGCCAAGTCTACGTATGCCACGTTGAATTAAGAACCATCAAGGGTAGCGTGAATGACGCGCTGTAGTAAGCTATAAATGCAAGGCTGCTTATTCCACCTGGGCATCAACGCCGTCTAGATCTATTGAACCTTCACAAAACCAACCTAAGAAGACTTTTGTGCTTTCCCCCGTTGAGGAGACTGTTCCTTTGCCCCTCGACGTTTGTGTGTTGGGATCTTAGCTAGACTCGAGTTGACCCAGCCAGTTGACAACCATCATGGCCTGGGTAATAGCGACTTTCTCCCCAAAGCCCATGCCATCCCAGCTATCTGCTTGGACGGTCATGTTCCACATTTTCAGGACCTCGACGCCATTGGCCTGAGCTGTGGTTTCCATGTGCTTGTCGAAGTCCCAGATTTCCTGGTTCCCCTTGCGGTTCTTGATCTCGACATGTCCGGCGGCAGAAGGACCAACCCACAGAAATGGTGTCTTGCGTTGCGAATCTTCGGCGAGCTCGAGGAACTTGAGTAACGTGGCGGCTGCCATTTCTTGTGAAGTCGTGCTTGGTGATAACGAATATATGATTGGAACTGGCTTGTAATTAGATTTCGGGACCGGGGGCAATTTTTCTTTGAATTTGGAAAGGATCTCTCTTGAAGCAAGTGCCGCGGTCATGGACAGAAAACTGTGTGGTGCGCGATTGCAAACATAAGGGCTGCGAGCATCACTTCCACTCCCGCCACCCGCGCCCTTGGAAATGTCGTCGCTTGAAGAGACGAAGTGCTCAGAGCAGGTCTGTTTGACAAACTGATTGTCACAATGACACTCTGCCAGAGTGTCGTCATCCATCCTTCGGGTCTGCATTGCACCGGTGCTCAGATCTTGACGCAAGAGAATGTTGAATCCGCTGTAGATGGCGTGTAGATTGCGATCACCGACAAAGACCATGGAGTCAAACCGGTCTAGAATCATGCAAATCTCGGCAACAGAATACCAACGGTAATGACAATCTGAAATTGAGGAACAGAGATCAGCCCAGTTTTGCCTTCCACCAAATATGCAGGGGAGTTTGTTGTAGAACAGTACCTCTTGAAGTGTAGGGAGCCTCGAAGCCGATCCGGCCGCCGTTGGACATGGATCTAAGTAGGGATTTGCGGTTGTGGCAATACAAGCTCTGGCTATAGTCGCTGTCCTGCTGCTGGGAAGGAAAGGAGTAAAGCTCATTCGCTCTGATGTTACAATCTGGGAAGCCGCGGAAATGGTCAAAGTAGCTGCCTATGTTTTAGTCGCGGTTTCCTAAAGTCGCGGCCTCAGAACAAACGCACTTTTTGAGCTCCTGATGGGCAATAGGGACCCGGTCAGATTGCTGCGGGTTGCTCCAGTTGGATGGAAAAGGTAGAACAAAGGAGATTAACCAGAGGATAAAGGCGAGATAGGAATAGGCCACAACTTTGTAGGCCAGGTGTAGCCAGTTCAGCTCATCGACCAGGTCTTCCAGTCTGTCACGAACTCGTGCCAGGAAAGGGCGACGGTTCACCACTGCGGGTTTTCTCGCAAGTTCTGTGAACACACGATCTCTAGAAGCCCGAGCCATGTCGACGGTGGAAGAGGCGGAGCACAAGTAGTTGATTTGCAGGATGGTCAGAAGCAAGAGATAATGTGACCCTTCGCGAGGGGAAGCGCTCTTGGATGAACGGGGTAGTAGACCAAGGGACTCGCGGCTGCCCCAACGTCGCCCTTGTTTGATATTGCGCCCCGTTGGATATCTGTGCATCACCAATCTCTCAAACGACTTTGTCCCTTTGTCAGGGTTCATTCTCAGCCTTCACGCTTCAGTGGATCTCAAGATGTGAAGCAGAGAAACATCTAGATGGAATATGGCATGCAACCCGTTGACGTGCACGCATCAACAGAACGGCGGCGACGTCGACCACAAATACCAAGATGAGCAGGTGAGACCTGGTAGGTCGGAGCAGTTGATCAAGAAAATCATATTGGTACATCCTTGCAAGAAAAAGAGACATGACTGCATGACATGCTGCATATCGAGCAACCTTACTCGGAATCCCTTCCAACCATGGCGGCTGGCTCATGTCATATAAACAATCCTCTGGGTCCAGAATATCATACGAGCAGTCGGCGGACCTGAAACATACCGAAGCATTCCGATTCGATTCAACGCCGTAAAACTCCGACTCTTGGACCCAGCCTTGTCGTCAGCAGCTGGGTGTCAATGTTGTGGTGCAAAAACAGCTTACCAAGCCTGAATGTTGAGTGAAAGCGAACGCCTCAAATGTTCGAGTAAGCTTTTGGGGGTGCTGAGCATATGTGAAGTTTGGATAAAGGATGGATCGCCAGACTGCCTAAACTAAGTTAACGAAGCGAACGGCGAAAGGGCTTTCGCACCGACGGAGCAACGGGAGCCTCAATGCAAAGATTGATGGGGAGAAAGCCTTCAGGTGGCTCCCTCACCCGCCCCAGTCACCCCAGTCCCCTCCAACCCGAGCACCAATAAGAGTCCAGGGGTTGATTGAAGTATGTCCACCATCATGTGCTTTCTTGGTGGCCCGAGAGGCACAGAGCCCCTCGGGCTAGCTAGGGCCCATCAGAGAGCCAAAAGCGACTCAGGCGAGAGGCCAAAGGGCAGCGAGGACGGAGGACGGAGGACAGAGGGAAGCCCCTCGGGCAAGGCCAGGGCCAAAGCAAAAGCCAAAGGCCAGCAATGGAGGCTGGTCTGCTCCACCACAGCCGAGAATGAGGTGTTGGTTCCACCACCACAAGCGGCAGCGGTCAGAAGCACTTGGGTCCTAGACTCCTGGGTAGGAGGTACCACGTACGACTACTGGCTCCTCCGTACTTGCTCTTGCATGCTGGGGTTTGTCCCTCATCACGAGTCACCTGCGTCGGAAAGCATCTTTCGAGGCACACAACTTCAGAGCCTTTCTTTTGGCAAGGCCCAACTCTTCAGCGACCTCGAAGCCGTGGAGTCACTTCACGCCTCAGTACCTTTCTTCCAGCTACAATCCAGCTGGTACTTCAATTATCTCGATATCAGTTGCACTCTTCCTACCATTGCCTGCCTCGGCACCTTGCGTTGATCATCATAGTCGGAGAACATCGGACTGCCCCGTCCACACTCACATCTGCTTCAAACTTTCGAGTCACTGCTGCACATTGTCTTCCATCTCTCTCTACTCCTTTACTCATTCAAATTGTGTCTCCTCAAAGTAGCAGGCCGAAAGGCCTGATAGAGCACAGTCATCATGTCGTGGAGACCCTCTGAAAAGCTCCTTCAAACCATCGGTCACTATGCCAACTTCCCACCCACTGGTGTCAGTCTGCGCCAGATGGTGCAATTTGGGGAGAAGCCTTCCGTTGGTATGTTAATGCATTGAATAATATTTCCTCAGGAAGTCTTCTGACCCGTTGATGCAAGGCACCCTCTTTCGCGCCTCTCAATTCCTTTCCGAAGAGCTTCCGGTTCGCCTTGCACATCGTGTAGAGGAACTCGGCAAGCTACCTGACGGTCTCAATGAGATGGACTCCATCCAAAAGGTCAGAGATTGGTACGCCCAGTCCTTCGAGGAAATCACAACCCTACCCCGCCCTGAGATAGACAAAGAGACCAGGGAACGTCTTCTCAATCCACCCAAGAACAGCTCTACAAGACTCTCCTCCACTACTCGCAACCCGAGTCTAAAGCATGAGGGCAATGGCAACGGAAAGAATGGTGCCAACACACGTCGCTACTTCGCCGCTCTTGACGACGGAAAGGAGTGGCCGCCGATGTTGGCAGAATACAATCGAAAGTTCTCGCGAACCTTAGGAGCAATCAAACGTCGACATGATCCAGTCGTCACCACTGTCGCTCAAGGCATCAATGAATGGAAGAGAAAACAACAGCGTACACAGATCGACTCTTCTATTCAATCGTTCCTCGACCGCTTCTATATGTCTCGAATTGGCATCCGAATGCTTATTGGGCAACACATTGCTTTGACTGATCAAACTTCACACAACCATCCAAACTATGTCGGCATAATATGCACAAAGACCAATGTCAAAGAGCTTGCAGAAGAAGCCATTGAGAATGCAAGATTTGTTTGTGAAGACCATTATGGCTTGTTTGACGCACCTAAGGTCCAATTGTTTTGCGACCCCAATCTCAACTTCATGTATGTGCCTGGTCACCTTTCACACATGCTGTTTGAGACTCTCAAGAACTCTCTTCGAGCTGTTGTTGAGACTCATGGTGCAGAGAAGGAGGCCTTCCCTGTCACCAAGGTCGTCATTGCAGAGGGCAAGGAGGATATTACCATTAAGATCAGTGATGAAGGTGGCGGCATTCCTAGATCTGCTATTCCACTTGTCTGGACTTACATGTACACCACTGTCGACACTACACCGGAGTTGGACCCAGGTTTTGACAAGAGTGATTTCAAAGCTCCTATGGCCGGATTTGGATATGGACTGCCTATCTCGCGTCTATATGCCAGATATTTCGGTGGAGATCTTAAGCTCATTTCCATGGAAGGGTAAGTTTCACGGACTATTGCAATACATTGGGTACTGATGCACTTGTTTCAGCTATGGCACAGACGTCTATCTTCACCTGAATCGCCTTTCCTCGTCGTCGGAGCCTTTACAATAACAATCAGCAGCCATGGTGAGTCGTGTCCTTCTCTGCTTTGTACTCATATCTTGCATACAGTGAAAGTTTCCTCCCACTACTTGTGGACGTCGCACTAACGACGTGCCTTCAGAGGGATGACAGTTTCAGCGGGCGGTCCCCGGGATTGGCGGTCAAAAATCAATCAGTATTGGGTTTAAGCCCAGGACGCATGGCCGCGATGCGTACACGAGCGAAAAGCGGAGAAGTAACAGAACGAAAGCAAGTCGGCGACCTTGACAGCATGATTAATTCAGAGCCCAACGTTGTCAAGCCCGGCGGTGCAACCGAATGGTTAGAGTGAACGAACGAAGATTCGAAATCTAAGAATTGATGTCAGGAATGGAGTGCGTGTGCGTGCATGTATGATTCCTATGCTCGGAGCAAAGAAGAGAGAATGGTAATATGTGCATGCAAACGAACGAACTTGTCTATTACTATCGAACCCAAAAAAGCGAAAGGAAAACAAGGAAATATTCGCCTGGACTATGGGGTACACAAGACGGTTGAGCTACAGGGAAAGACACGGCTATTACGGTCCAGGAAGAAGTCAGACCATGAGTATGAGTATTAGCTCCAGATAAAATCCTTTCGAAAGGTAGAACACGACATGTGCTGTAAAAACAACTACCATCCTAAACGGTCTTTTCAGCGCTTCTCTTTCTTCGAATATTTGCACTTCAAACAATAAGGATCTAGCGGGCTGTACTTCTAGCACTGATGTTGATTCTGAGCGTCGTTGGCAATCCTATACTGTCGTCAAGTCGAATTGTGATTCATAGATGCCTTGTTTGGAGGGGCATCTGATGTTCAACTGCACCCCGCATTTAGGTTTTTCCGCTAAGACGCGCTTGAGCGTTTTCGACGCGTCGGGATTCCACTGCCAACGGGCTTCCCTGCATCAAAACTCTCCAGCGTACTCCATACACAGTCCTGCACACCAGAAGACATCCTGCAAACATGCCTCGAGAAATCATAACAATTCAGGCAGGACAATGTGGCAATGCAATTGGGTCGAAATTCTGGCAGCAGCTGTGTCTCGAACATGGCATTAACGCGGATGGCAACCTCGAGGATTTCGCTACAGAAGGCGGTGATCGCAAAGATGTCTTCTTCTACCAGAGCGACGACACTCGTTACATTCCTCGTGCCATTCTTGTCGACCTTGAACCCAGAGTAATCCATGGTATTCAGGCGAGCCCATACAAGAACATTTACAACCCGGAGAATTTCTTTGTGGGCGAAAACGGCATGGGCGCAGGCAACAACTGGGCAGCTGGCTACGCGGCCGGCGAGAGAGTACAAGAGGAAATATTCGACATGATTGACCGGGAAGCCGACGGTAGTGACTCACTCGAGGGTTTCATGCTACTTCACTCAATTGCTGGGGGCACTGGGTCCGGATTGGGTTCTTATCTACTAGAACGTGCCAACGACCGTTTCCCCAAAAAGATCATTCAGACATATTCGGTGTTCCCAGATACCGCCATCGGAGATGTGGTAGTCAATCCTTACAACAGCTTGTTGACTATGCGGCGATTGACTCAGAACGCCGATTCTGTGGTGGTCCTTGACAATGGGGCACTGTCGAGGATAGCATCCGAAAGACTACACGTTCAAGAGCCGTCGTTCCAACAAACAAACCAGCTAGTTTCAACGGTCATGTCAGCGTCGACCACCACTCTTCGATATCCGGGGTATATGCATAACGACCTAGTTGGAATTATTGCCTCGCTCATTCCCACTCCGCGCTGCCATTATCTAATGACGGCATACACCCCATTCACCGGGGATAATCTCGACGCCGCGAAAACGGTCCGCAAGACCACTGTTCTCGATGTGATGCGTCGCCTGCTTCAACCAAAGAACCGCATGGTCTCGATTACGCCATCCAAGTCATCCTGCTACATCTCGATCCTCAACATCATCCAAGGTGAAGATGTCTCGCCAACAGACGTTCACAAGTCGCTTCTACGCATACGAGAGCGTCGGATGGCAACCTTCATTCCGTGGGGGCCAGCGTCAATTCAGGTAGCGCTGACGAAGAAATCCCCCTACTTACAAAATACCCATCGGGTTTCGGGGCTGATGCTCGCAAACCATACAAGCGTCTCGACGTTATTTAGGAGAATTGTGGTGCAGTACGGACAGATGCGGAAACGAAATGCATATCTAGAACAGTACAAGAAAGAAGCACCATTCGCAGAGGGATTGGGCGAGTTCGATGAGGCTAAGGAGGTTGTGATGGGGATGATCAGCGAGTACGAGGCAGCTGAGAAGGACAACTATCTCGACCCTGACGCTGGTGAAAAGAAAGCAGACGGAATTTGAACGAGGATATGAAAGTCTCGATGACTGATACTCATGTCTATTCTAACATGACTTGCAGCATTCTCGCCCAGAGTTATTGAGTCACTGAACGAAGGAATGGGCGGCTTTCCCTTTTATGATCACGAGATGAAGGTTTGAAACTGGGAAGACGGGTAACGACTATATCCCAACTGCTACCAGTCAAGCCACGTTTTCGTGACGGATGATTGGAATCCAGATTGACAAATCCAACGAACAGTGGGACAGTGCACCAGGATTGCGATGTTTGTTTTGGGACAAAGTCCGAGTGATGAAACCACACAATAGTGACAAGTTGCTTTTCCCGAAGAGAGCCAACCGGGAAATTTGATTCACAGCGGGAAGCATGCATGATGCACATGCAGTTGTCACCCCAAAAGTCGATCGATTTCCGGTGAATGAGTGTGGGCCACTACGACTACCATATGGGTCTGGCGAGTCACCTTTCAGGCAAGTTAAGCGATTCGATGCATTCTTTTGGTGAACGCCTCGTGCTACTGCATGACTGCCTAACTTTTGGGTGGTATTGCAATAAGCGTTGTGTCTGCAAGGACTTGCCAGCTGACAGGAAGTGAAGGCCACTGCCAGTCGACTCTGACGCACGCAGCTGACAGCAATGCCGTTGTTGTCAAGAGCAGTGGCTGAACCCACGGAGTTGCGAGATGTCTGTGTATGGCACAAGTGTCCGTGGGTGCCCCTAAGGATCCCGCACAGATGCTAAGCACGGACGGTTAGTGTTGGTTGTTGGCCGGACCCAGCAATCCGGACTCTGGACTCTGGACTCTGGACTGGGCCCTGGCTTTCGACCAAGAATTGAAGGTCGGTCAGGTTCCGGGTCAGGTGCTTAGTGGTTGAGCACCCAGAGTTTGAGGGACGGTGAGAGGGAAGAGGCGAGGAAGCGACCTGTATCGGTAGCAGACAAGCGGAATATGAGTTACAGTGACACTTACAACCATGACCAAGTCGGCATGTGATGATTGAAAGCATTGGGACCAAACAACGCGCATTATCTCATCGAAGTGTGATTCATTATGTATGTCCAGGATCAAGTCGAGGGTTGCTGGGATGCCTGCGTCCGTCTCGTGGCTTCATCTCAACTGGGCGATGATGAGTTTGACCGAATGATGGACTGGATTTGGCTGAGGGATTACGCCGGTTTCTCGGCCTTGGGGTTCCGTTCTTGACGTGTCTCGTGTCGCCATCCACCCGCTCCACCCGCTCCACCTGTTTTCGCCAACTGACTTACTGGTACTGGGCTTTAGCCTTCGATTTTAGACCCTCGGCCCTCACGTGGGCCTGTTGCAGTGGGTGCGTCCATTGCCCTTTGCCCTCTGCCCTCTGCCCTTGGCCCCCGAGCCTTGGCCTATGGGTACCTACCATACCTGGGTCCAGCAGTGGGTAGCCTTTGCCCTTTCCACTCGGTCCCTAAGTTCTGTTACGGAGTGTCTGGCGTCTATCACTTGCGCCGACCTTCCATTATTATCCGTATTACGCTTTACAGTCTGTTGCCTTTGCCTCATCCCAACAGCCACCCTGTCACCGCCGCCGCTGCTACTGCTGCCTCTGCCACTCCGACTACTGCCTTCGCCAGCTCGGCCGTCTCCAGGTTGACTCCTAGTCACATTACACATCTACGCTGTTTCCAACATCTACTGTATCTATCTTCCTTTCCTTCACTCTGCCACCTCTCTTTGACAACCATCCACACACTCGCACACCAACACCTGCCTGCTACTCACGCCATAGTGACTTCCGCCTTATCTCGAAAGCTGCCACTATCCGACCCTTTGTTCGCTGCTGCGCCGTCCATCCTCCACATCCGACTTCGTCATCAAGCAGTCACAGTCAGTCCGTCCGTCCATCACACGCTTGCTGCTTCGTGCACAAGGTCTATCTATCATCAACCGTCTCGAATCCTCTCCTCTCAACTCAAAACCACCTTCTATCTCTCTATACTCTCCATCATGCGTTCCCGATCCGACTCCGCAACCTCTAACAACTCCAACAAGGAGCTCTCCGCGGACAACATGGCCATCCAAGTCACCATCGGCGGCGGCAAGAGTAGGTCTAGCCCTAAGACCACTGTTGACCATTCTAGAATACTGCTAACTCATGACCTCGCAGCGATCAAGTTGAATGTACGTCCAGTCCATACTGTTTCAAACGTCCTCGAGTTTCTGTCTGCCTCTACCAACCTCCCTGCAGACGTTCAACTCATGCTAGATGGCAAACCTCTCGATCCATCTAGTACTGTGGGCGAACTCAAGCTGGAAGAGTCATCAACACTTCAACTTTCATCACCTACCCGAAGTACTACACCCGAGGAGCAGACGGCACCTTCTTCTCAAGAACAGCAGACCTCTTCGCAGCAACAGCAATCCGCTGTCATCAAGCCATCCATATCCACACCTACACCCTCCTCATCCGGCACCGCCACGCCCACTAAGAGAAAGTCCAACAAGCCTCGCTGCTCTAAGGAAGGATGCAGAGCACCCGCCCAGCCCATCGTAGGTGACTGTGGTTTCTGCCAGAAGCGGTTCTGTGGAAAGCACCGCATGCTGGAAAGTCACAACTGCGAGGGTCTGGAAGACGCTCGTCGTGCAGATAAAGATCGCAACACTGCTAAACTTGAGGGCGAGAGGACTGTGATGCTTCGCGGTCTGTAAACTGTTCGTGCAGGTTGCACTGCAAGACTTGCCGAGTCAGCGTATGGGATTTTCTCAATCTTTGACGCCATGGCCTTCGACAGCTCAATGACTACTATTCTTTCGCTAGAGAGGGTCATGCCGTCGCCGTAGTTTTTGGCTCAAATTTGCTTGATTCTTGCTGGAAGAAAGGCGTTCACTGGGCCCACATCGGAGAGGGTAATCTTTTTTTTGAGCCTGTTGTTTTCTCGAGGGAGATCAACCAGCTCTCCATTGCCAGCAATCTATTCAGGAGCTGGGAGAAGGAGATGCGTTGCTGCCGCTGTGGGATATGGGATCTGGAATCGGAAACGGACAATTTGGGGGGGGGGGG